GTGCTGGCCGTGGTGGGCGAGGGCGGCGTTGAGCTGACGGCGCACGGGAGGCGGGCGACGAGCGACTGTCGTCAACGGGCGGCGGCGGTCGTCAATGGGCGGCGGCGTTCAATGCGTAAGAGGGAGAGCGCGAGTGCTGCTGTCGCCGTCACTGTCAGCGATGCCGCTCAGCAAGCTGCAGGCGAACCACGGCGCGCGTAATCGAGTGTACACACGACACCAGACCAGCGCCCGCGCGAGCTGGCCGCCATGACGTACCGTGTTCTGCCGTGTCTGCGTGCGAGGACGTCTGCTCCAACAAGGCAGAGGCCGCTGGCAGAGAGTGAATATATCAATGGGTCCCGGAGCAGCACCCGTGGGCAAGTCCATGTATGTACGTAGCAGTAGGTAGCCGCCTCGTTGCTGCAATCCCGAGCTGCGGCTCGCTTCGCCGTGCTGACCGGGGACCGCACTGGAGCTGTGGCGGCGAGGACAACGAGACTACGCCCGTATCGGTTAGCGCCACGCGCGTCGACAATTACAGCGACGCGAGGCTGCAGCAAACAATCCAGCCGTCAGCGTCGAGGGACCGTCAAGGGAACGTGCACAGCTGGGGCATAGCTCAAGGGGCAACAACAGTAAGCTAACCATTCTCCTGTATTCTTGTCAAGTCTCGTTCCCAAGTCTCGTTCCCAAGTCTCGTTTCCAAGTCTCGTTTCCAAGTCTCATTCCCAAGTCTCGCTCTACCAATCTGTCCGTGTGCACATTCGTTCGTTGCACGACACGCGGTTGCTGCATAGCATTCCATCTGGCGCACCAGCATCTGAAAACCTCTCTTGCCATGTCCATGAGCAGAACAGCTGTCTGTACCCCAAGCACGGCCAATCCATCACTGTTCCTTGCCTCGTGCCTTCTACTCCTGGTGGACCTTTCTGTCACCAGACCCTCAACACACATAAAACACCACCTCACACCCCTCTCTCCAATGAATTCCTTACAGCACCACCATCCAAGTCCACTAACCCCCCCAGCACCAAAATGTCCTACTATGACATCGACGCAATCCTCACAGACGCCCAAAAGGTGCCCTGCACATTCGAGCTCACCGTGCCGGGGCTGGGCTACCTCGAGGGCAACCCAGGCGCCATGGCGCGCGGGTCCAAGATCGAGCTGCCCCTGTGGCTGGGCGAGATGCTGGCGCTGAGCCAGAGCCTGAACACGCAGTCGCTGGTGACTTTGGACGCGCCAGCGGCGCTGTCGCCACGGGTGCTGAACGCGCTGAGGGCAGATGCGCGGACGGTTGATTTGCGCGCGCTGGCGCCGCACTTTTACGACCTGGGCGCGCGCATCCTGGAGCTGTTTGATGAGGATGATATGGTCCATGTGCTTTCTGACGTGCGTTGTCTTGCATTCTCTGATGGGGAATCAGCCTCACTGACGATACGCAGACGTACAAGTCTCGCGCCGCCATCATCGCAGACCAAGCCCACAACCCACGCGGCGCCCTTGGCGACGGAGCAGAGTTCATGAGAGGCCTCGACGAGAACGAGCGGCAGCGTGAGTCTCTCCCAAATCCCCCCAAATCTCCTTCCACAGTGCGGATGCATGCTGACCATGCAGTCTTTCGCGCGGCCCATGACAGCGCCAAGGGGGTGCGGACCTGGATGGCCGACTTGCAGAAGAAGTGAGACATAAGTGGATCGTGACCGATTGATTTATGATTGATGGTTGATGGGTGATGGGTGGTATGCGACTCTCTTCTACTTCGCACTATCTACTCGAAAGCGAATACTCTGCTGGATAAAGGAAGATGCGCAACGCCGAAACTCCATGCCTGCGTGAAGGAAAGCCGCCCGAGATTGAAGAAAAAGAAAATATTTAGAGGCTTGCAAAACATCAATCGCTCAAGACGGCACCAAAGACGCCCGCAATTAAAGAGAATATACAGACTGCTCGATTGCAAACAAATATCCACACTCCTCCTAGCCTCCACGGAACGCGCTTCCAAGATTGCTGTTCTGCAGTATCATCGCCAGCTGCTCTGGGGGGTATCCAAGAAAGACAGGACCGTTGAAAACCATCTGAGGAATCACTCTAGCCGCCTCTCGCTCCTTGGACCGTGGCCGCCGAGACTGCGGCACAGCCTCAGGCTCAGGCTTGACGGTAGGCTCGGCCTTCGGGCTCGGCGATTGGGAGGTGCTGAGTCCTGGCTGTGTGGGAGCCGTCGCCACCGTCGGCATCGTCGGCATCGTGCGCATCGTGGGAACCGCTTGGAGCGGCCCTCCTGTCTTCATTCTCGCGAGCACTTCGTGGTCGAACGGACACTTGCCAGCAGGCTTCTGAGGCGTCTGCCCAATCTCGCGGTCCGTCTCGAGAGGTACTGGCGGCGAGGCCGTCGCGGCCGATCCAACCGATGATGAGCTCTGAGCGTTCGTGTACTTGGCTGGCACATTGATGCCCCATGGACGGCTCGGTGACTCGCCCAGTCGCACGTCCTTGAGCGGGCGGTCGAAGTGACTGGTCCTGTCCTCATCTGCAGCTGGCTCGGGTGCTATGTCCTCTGGCGGCGATGCCACGCCTTGCAAGCTCTCCGAGACAGCCCTGGCCCACTTTGTCACCTTCGCGTCTGCTTTCAAGTCAGGATCTGCCTCATGTTCCGCATCTTCCTCGACTGCGTCCTCCGGCTCTTCTGGCAACCAAGCTTGGTGCTTCTGACCCAGTCCTTGTATCATGTTGACCAGGTTGCCATACTTGCGGTCCAGCTGGTCGATGCTCTCTTGGTTGCTCTGGAAGCGAGTGATGCATACTTCGTGGCTCCGCGGCAGCTCATGCTTGTGCTTTTCGAAGTACTTCGCGACCTCTTCAGGATCGTGCTGGTCAAGGAATCGAATCGGGCATACTGCAGCAGAGCCCTCGACGGAGGCAGAGGGCGAGGGCGCGGCTGGCATATTGCCACATATCTCAGCGCGAATGGGGTCGCAGAACGACGGCCGTTTCGATCGTCGGCCTCGCGAGCTCATCCTCGAAGTGGAGCTGCGCGGGGTAGCCAGCGAGCTGCCTCTCCCTGCTCCCGCAGCAAACGGGCACCCAAGCTTACTGGGCGTGCCAGGTGCGGTGAAGTCTTTCTCCATGGGCGATGATACACTGCTCGTTTGGATATTCGATGACATTGTTTGTGGGTCCGCTTGAGGGCCGCTCCAGATTCTGACACCAGCATCCTCGGTGGGAGCACGCAGGGCAGCCGCAGCGACCTCAGCCTGTCTAATAACTACAGCCCGGCTCTTTCGCTCCACATCATCGCCCTGAGCCAACAGATCCACCACGTTCAGCCGCGCCCAAGGCTGCTCTTCGGCAACGCGCTCGAGGTCCTGGAGGAACGCAATGTGATCCTGCGACAGTGTACTCGGCGTGAAGCGCTTCAGAAGGTCAAGGTACTGCTGCTTGTCAGCGTGTGCACCCCATTTTGTGGTGTGACAAGTGGTGTGATATAGAGAAGAGTCAGGATAACATGTGGTTGTTGTCTGTCAAAGCCCTGGGGCTGCAGGTCTAGAGCTAAGTGTATCATCATAGGAGAGGTGGGTGCGCAAGCAAAAAATCGTTTGTGGCTTACCTGCTGTTTAGCCCAGGACAACTTGCTCTCCAGCTGCTTCTGCTGCTCGAAGAGCGCCTGGTACTCTCCGCTCAACACCGAGAAACCCTCGGCAAGCTGATCAGCCAGCTGCACAACATCCTTCTTCGCCTCGTCGCCCATGGCTGTGCTGGTGCTGGGCGAAGTGGTTTCGTGGCAGGAAGTCTGGGGAGAGACCAGCTCCGGCGAAGAGGCTGCGTTGTAGGCGAAGGAAGAACGGCGGGTGTGACGGCAGAGTTTGGCCGCGGCTGCCAAGAAAAGTCTACGCTAATCCTTCCGAGGTCTTGGACACTGCGTCAGCCCTGGAGTCTGCGCCTCAACTTTCTGTCCTTGGTTTACGTAGCATCTTACGAGACTCGGTCTTCTTACACAGCATGTCACCCATTCCGTGATTTCCTAGCAGTCCAATTCCACCGCATACCGCCCCACGTACTATACCGTCTTCTCCTTCTCGACCAGCTGTTTCTGCAATTGCACCGTTCCTACGCATTTCCTAGACCGAGTACATTCCGAGCTTAACAATTTCCACCATGAGCTCTATACACGACTCTCGCATACACAAGTGGTTCGCCGCCTCGCCACCGGTCGCGTGGACAATACGGCAACTGCGAGAGATCCTCATCGGCTCCCTGAAGCAGGGCCCGATCCCGCAGCATGTTGCATTCGTGATGGACGGAAACAGGCGATTCGCGCGAAACCACCATATTGAGACTGTAGAAGGGCACAACCTGGGCTTCGAGTCCTTGGCGAGGGTACGTTGTAGCAGAAGGGAGTCTCGTGCAGCGAATTAATCCATTCGCAGATATTAGAGGTCTGCTACAAGACCGGTGTAAAGGTTGTTACTATCTACGCCTTCAGTATCGAAAACTTCAAGCGCTCGAAACACGAAGTAGACGCTCTGATGTCCATGGCCAAGGTCAAGCTCGAGCAGCTGTCTGAGCACGGTGCACTTCTCGACCGATATGGAGCATCCGTCAGGGTGCTGGGCCAGCGAGAGCTGATCAAGCCCGATGTGTTGAAGGCCGTCGACAGAGCAGTCTCGCTGACCGCGCACAATAAGAAGTGAGTTTTACTGGAATCCTGGCTACTAGACAGCGTCTTAACATGAGCAGGGCCATCCTCAACATCTGCTTCCCGTACACATCGCGACACGAGATCACGACTGCAGTCATGAAGACTGTCGAGACCTACAGCACGCCCATCCACAACCTGCAAAGTCCTTCGAAGCGCACGTTCTCGGAATCAGGTATCACGCAGCAAATTCGCAAGCAGTCCCTCAAGGAGGATGCCGAGGGAGGGGATGAGCAGCGCGAATCACGGTCGTCCTCCCCATCGAAAGAGGACAAACACGATGACGAAAATTCCTCGTCGAGTTCGACAGCGATCAACCCATCAGAGAAGGATGATCTGCACAACCACCAATTCCTGGATTCTGAGGCGATCACCCATCAAACCCTAACGGACAACATGATGACAGCGGATGCCCCACCGCTTGACTTGCTAGTGCGTACGTCCGGTGTGGAGCGGTTGAGCGACTTTATGCTATGGCAGTGTCACGAAAACACTTCGATCGTGTTCCTGAAGTGTCTGTGGCCAGAGTTCGACTTGTGGCAGTTCCTACCGGTGCTGGTCGAATGGCAATGGCAACAGAAGAAGATCGAGGAGGCGGCAGCACAACAACAGAAAAGCCGTGGGCGGTCGAAGTAAGACTAGAATCGCCTCGCGAGGCAGCTGGAGTGCAGCGATCAAGATGCATCGATGATACCCCCGGAGCGAGCGTGCTTATTCATAGTGAATGCAACTTTTGGCAAATCAAAATGCGCACCAAAATCGAGATCATGGTACAAATGTGACCCTAATATGCAGCTGCTGGAGACTACCGTGGCTCGTACGGGAATTTAAGGGCAGATGACACGCGCCCGCGGCAGCAAGGTCCTTATCTTCTCCAGACGGTTGCGTTGTTACACCGCTGGTGAACCAATCCCGTTATTCGCGCTACGAGCAGGGCAGACCTCGATTGGTACCCCGGCAAACTACCAAGCGTCATACTAATGACGAACTAGTCCTTGCGCGCCGTGATGCTCTGGCACGCCATAATGACGGCGCGTGATCCTCTCAATCCCTCATGTCAAGCTGGAGAGCGTTTCTGTCAGATGTTTCAATCTTGAGGACTTACTACTGATCTCGGTGCCACCCTTCTACAAAGATCTTCAGAATTGGCCATAGGCGTCCGCGGCCACCGTAGAGTGTCCCACCTCGTGCATAAGACAAGGATCTCATCTTACCCGCATCGATCTGACCCATACATCTTTACGACATGGCCACACCAAACCTTCTGACAATTCCAGTAGAGCTGCGGGAGTTGATATACGGCTTTCTTTTTAGCTCTTACACAATCATCCACGGCCACAGAGGAGCCAGCAAAGCGGCCGTTGAGCCTCCCTCCTCGCCGCGCAGCTTGCTACTCACATGTCGTCAAATACACGCCGAGGCCTGGCGTTACCTCCCACTCAATTGCACCCTCCACTTCCGCGGTACTGAGGACCTCCTTAAAACATTGCTCTCCGTCGACCAAAGTATCATAACCCGCCTGCGTCACATCCGCGTCTGCGCCTTCCCATTCCCGCTCTATGCAGACGACAAACCGGAATACTATCCCATATACTACTTCGCCAATGCCCTATCTTTCTTCCCAGGCCTTTGTCTCGATGAGCTAGAAGTCTACGACTGCTGGCACGGCACGGGACAAGGAGACGGCTGGCGCGACGTAACAACGTATCTGGATATCGAAGCGCTGCTCAAGAGTGATGCGTGGAGGCGGCTGACGTACATCACGCCTTGCACGGATTTCATCGCGTCGGGCTACGATCACAGACAGAAGCGGCAGCAGCAACCTAAGAACTGGGATGCCCTGCTCAGAGAACGCGATGGTGCAGCTTCTGAGGCAGAAGTCAAGATGTGGATTGTGCCGCTCAAGCAAGACCAGGCTAGAGACGAGGAGAGGACGGAGGATGGAAGGAAAATGCACGAATGGTCTGCGAGGCCGGGACATCAGATTGTTCAGAATTGGCGGCTGGCTACGCCGGAACAGAGTCTCAAGGGTGAGGTTAGGATTGTGGCGATGAGGGCCAAGAAGGCGAGGGTCGTGCAGTTGGGGTTGCAGGAGAAGAAGAGTTGGGCCGAGCTTAAGAAGCAGAAAGGCGGTTTTGTGAGAGAAGGTATGTTCTGCTTACATATGTGAGGACTGAAGCTGATGATTTGAAGATTGGACTCCGTATTACAACGATATGGCGGACGCGATGGGATGGATTTATGGGGGTTATGGAAGGAGGAGGCAATTGGCCCATCAGGCCATGATTGGTTGAGGAGGGCGACATTGTGAAGCCGTTCAAGGCACAGGATCTTGCAAAACACATTGAATGATATCGATATTGCCGTTTTGAGATTTGGCCATGGTTCAGATCACTATGGGGGGTTCTCAAGGATTGTCAGGTCGGTCCTTTCCCCACGAGCGATCATGCATGTTATGAACGCCACAATACTTACCTAGAAGACAAGTACATGGATACACCACGAGACACGGCATCTCCCCTTCAAACATCGTCTATCGAATCAGCACGGACAACTAGCTCAGGCCTCTGAGTGGCTGCTCGCGCTGTATTTGTCCACCTGATCGAGCGTGTCGAAGCAATTGCACAGCAGCTCGGCAGCGCTTGCCGCGAATGAGCAAGAACGGTCCACAACGTCGAGATGCCGTGGCTAAAAGGAACGATACTTGGAACAAATCGCAGAACGACTGGGTGAGAAAGTCGAATTGCGGTGTGCCACGTCCAAGCGCGCGTCCCCGCTAGCGCCGTTCCCGGGCAACGGCGCTTTGTTTACCATCTTGACGTAGGCACGAACCATCTGGAGCAGACAACCCCATCTGCTCTGCCAAATATGCCAGACATGTCCCTGCTGTAGCCTGCACACGTACAGATTGCCGTGCTGCCCGTCACCGCGTCCACCATCGCACCTGCACTTCCCATCCCGTCGTCGCTGCCCTCGCAATGGCAGCGCCTGCGCCTGGCCCCGCCGCAGGGCATCGCCGCCACAAGTCAGCCTCTGTGCTCAAGTCGATCATCAGCCAGCACAAGCGCTCGCCATCTGATGCCACTGCGTTGAAGGCTGCGCCCTCGACTGCCCCATACATTCCTACGCCATCTGCGACTATGAACGCGCCGCTGCTGCCGCCAGACCACCCCCACAGCCAGCAGCGAACCGCCAACAACCAGGTCGAGAACCTCCCCTTCCTCCCGCCGTCGCCCCGCAAACAATCGCACGACTCTCGCAGCTCGAGCCCACGGAAGGGCCTGCACAAGAAGACCCTCAGCACCGTGTCGCTGCGGTCTCTGGGCAAAGACAAGGCGAAAGACCAGCAGTCGACCGACCTCAGACGATTGCAGGACGAGGAAGAGCCGCTCGACAAGTTCAAGAAGACCAAGTCATCGACCAATCTGACGTCTATGTTTGGAAAGAGCAAGTCCAGGAAGATTGCACGGTCGCCCAGCAAAGACAAGGAGAACACGGCGCCCATCCTCTCTGCAGCCTTGGCGTCTGAACCACCCCCAACACCCATTTGGGCACAGTTCAGCTCGCAGCCTCTCCAAGACGTCACAACTACGAGCAAGGTTCCGCTCAACGACCAGCGCCGTAGCCTCGAGGACGAGATCGACCTGTACACTCCACACAACTACTCCCCATCGAAGCAGCGCGACTTCTTCGAGGTCGGCCAGCCATCTTTGCCGCAGCGGCCTGCGCCCAAAGAGCGACCAAAGTCCATGCACGTGCCAAAGTCCACAACATCATTGCTTGGCACATTCTCGCGCAAGAAGAGTACTGATCGAGCTCCTTTGACGAATGCACAGGGGAATGGGGAGAGGACAAGAGACAGCTCGCCGTCGAAGAGCAAGCCTAGCAGACCCACGCTCAATCGTGCTAGCACAGACATTGGCAGACAGCCCGTGGCAGCTGGAGCTCTGGATCCACCACCTAGTCCGACAAAGAAACAAAACAGGGTTATGGCTGCAGTTGCTGCCTTCAACGGTAGGGCGAAGCAGACAGACGCTCCGCTGCCACCCGCCAAGGAGCTCGATCCAAAGGTCGTGGATGCGGAGTTCGAGGAAGTCTTGGTAAGTAGAAAGACAGCGTGAAATGTATCAGTATCTAACAGCTTCAGGAATCGCGAAATATTCCTACCCACCAGCGCGCCGCAATGCGAACACTCAAGATTGAAGTCAAAGCCGACTTTGTCCGCACACACAAACTTGATACACCACGATTATCCACAGCATCCATTCCGTCAATTGGAGAGACTGACGGCAAAGGCATTTCCAAACTGCAGCCTACAAAATCCACCAAGTCAAGGAACGATTCTGCACAGGAGGAGAACCTGACAATGCAGAGTAGAGCTGACGGTACCAAACGCGAGCGTCCAACAAGTAAATCGTTCACCTTCAGGAGCAACTCTCCAACAAAGAAGTCGAGAGCTACGGAACTAGGGACAGCAGCTAAGCCCAGTCCAATACCCAAGTCGCCATCGTCCAGATCACTATCCTCAGATGCAGCGTCGAATAGATCAGTCTCGAACAGCTCGAAGACAGTCAAATCTACTGAGTTCATCAACTATTTGAAGAAGAATCCTAAGCCTCAGGACGTCGAAGTAGGAAAGCTGCACAAGCTGCGACTCTTGCTGAGAAATGAGACGGTCGAATGGGTCAACACATTCATCCAAGATGGTGGCATGCTGGAGCTTGTGGCTCTGCTCCACCGAATCATGGAAATTGAGTGGCGCGAAGATCACGAGGACACGCTCCTACACGAGCTACTGCGCTGCTTGAAGGGGCTCTGCACAACAGACAGTGCCCTCAAGCAACTCGCCAGCATTTCTCCTACGCTCTACCCAGCACTTCTTGGTATGCTCTTCGATGAAGAGCACAAAGGACCTAGTGAGTTCACCACTCGTGAGCTTATCATACAAATCATCTTCGCACATATCGATCAGGCCCCTGAACCAGAGCTTTCCACTCGTGCGGCCGAACTCCTTGGATACCTTCGCGATCCCGTAAAAGAGAAGGAGTCTTCGACTGTTCCTTTCATCCTGCAGATGCACACATCTCGTCCATACCAGGTATGGTGTAAAGAGATGACAAACGTCACAAAAGAAGTGTTCTGGATTTTCATTCACCACCTCCAAGTCATTCCCATTCCACCCGCGCCCTCTGAACCTACGAGTTATGCGAGGGCTCACTTCCCTGGGCCTCGCGCCATTGTCCCTGCCGCTCCTTATGTCGGTGGAGTCGAGTGGGACGCAACAAACTACCTAGCGACGCACATCGACCTCCTCAACGGACTGCTAGCCTCGCTGCCAACACGTGATGCACGCAACGAACTTCGCGAAGACCTCCGCATCTCTGGGTTCGAGAAGTTGATGGCTCACCTACGTGCCTGTAACCCTAAATACTACGGAGCGGTGCACGACAGCATCAAAGTGTGGATCGGCGCAGCGCTGGAGGACGACTGGGATGTCAAGCCTGTCAGGATGGGCAGCGACAAGAACAATGGCAGCACGAGTCCAGTGAAATTGAGCCCAAAGAAGAAAGCCGAGCCAGCGCCGCAGATTGATGTGCCCAAACTCGACCTTGGATTGGCGTTTGACCGAGAAATTGATATTGGCGGGCCTGTTGGTGGCAAGAAGGACGACGACTGGATCTGAAACAAGAGTTGGATGTGGTGACAGTTGGATTTCTCATATTATTCTGGCGCAGGTTTGGATCCGGCTTTACATTTTTTGGAGTAGCTCTTCGCCCTCCTTTCGACACTCCTCTTTCGCGGTCTCAATCTGGCTGCATACTCACGACTTCCCACGAACATGACGACCGAGACGGCGACTCTCCTTTTGTTGGCTGCTGCAGCTGCTGTCCAAGAGCTAAAGCGCGTGCCTTGTATATATACTACATACAATTTCTTGAGTTACAGGGTGGGCGCGTGAAGCATTCGTAGCAATCTTAATCACTGCACTGTTAATTTCCTGTTACCTGGCACTTCCTTCCACCTCCTTCCGCACCGATATTCACAGCAGCGCTCTCTTCAGGAGGGTCAAGGGTTGCTACCCGCTCTTGCAGGAAAGCAATGCTACGAAGTCGCACGAAACGCACATGCACGTTATCCACGCACTAAGATATGGGAAGGCGCACAGTGAAGAACCGCAGTTCGACAAGTCGCAATCAGAAGGCTCAGCTTACGCGTTATGCTCAGGTGCCGCTGGTAATGCTTTCGTGCCTATTGAAGATACTGCCTTCCTTACTCTCGCGCTCAATTAAGGTTATTGCTAAAGCAGTCATCCCTTGCTGCGGCCAACGTGCTCCACCACCATCCACAAGAGCAAAAGTGCATCAAGAGTGCAAAAACAAACGGGCCCCACCGCGATTCGAACGCGGGGCCTCCTGCAGACTTGAGAGTGAACCCAAAGCAGGAATCATACCACTAGACCATGAGGCCGTTTTTATCGATAAGCAAATGAACTGTATTATACATTATATTCTAGATTTCTCACTGGACAGTGTGAACGTACGCGTTGATCGTTGTTTGGGCAGTCCTTTTCGTCGATGCTCGACGTCTCGCAGTTCCAGCTCAATGCATCCACCTTCTATGGTCATCTTCATACGCTTTTGATCAGACGTTCTTCGATTTGCGCGCCCGTATGACCTGAGAATTTTCTTGGCCTTAAATTCACAGGCTCAGCGTATCTAGGCGGGCTTATAAGCTTGCGTTGTGCAGGTTGCTGTGCGGCATCCGCAGCTGCAGCTGCAGCGTCAGCATCGTCGGGAGTGCGCTGCAGAAGTTATCAATATTGTACAACTCTTCCTGAATGCGCGGCGACAATGAAGACTGATCTGGTGCAGACTGCTGACATATAAAGTGGAACCTCTACCTCGCTATGCGGTCCTGTCCTACACGGGGGATCGAGACAGTGGATCCAAATATATCGAGTGCGATGGAATGGCCGTGAAGGTAAGACTCCACTGTGACAAATGTTTTACATGACAATACACTTTCTGAAGAGTCTCGAGCATGCACAGAGCACTGCTTACCAGACCGAATGGGATGATGTGTGTATACTCTTTGTTGCCAAGTCGAGTGCACCTCCAAACTGTCTTATCTTGCCATACTCGCTCCAGTGCAACTTTGAAATACGCAGATGTCGAATACTAATGGTATCATATTACGCATTGATAAATTTTGGTATGTGTCACCCGTGGACTTCATCAATTATCTATTCTCGCCGTTCTCCAAGGAAGTAGCTACTCACGATCTTGTAATAGCAACTAAGCGTGTGGAGAGTTGCGCCGTAGGCTACAATCCATGATGGATTCTCGTACTATCCATTCTAGTACGCCGATGTAGTCGCAGGATAAATTGCCGATGGGAACACAGGAATATTACTCGTCGTGAGCGGCACAAAAGAGTTCGTGTGCGTCGCATTCGCTGGCCCAGAAGTCTCCAAATCAGCGGTGACCTTCTTCTCACCCGTCGCGATATCGTAGTGGTACAGCGTACGATTGAAGTACGCCAGGGCAGCCTCAGCTAAATACACAGTCAGTAAAAGATACCATGCAGGAGATGAGTATGTTATGACTCACGCTGGTAGTAAGGCACCTCATGCCCGGACTCGTAGATCCGCGCGAAGCTGAAGTTACCGTACTGCCTCACCTCGCCGTACTCCATGCCATCAACCATCATGGCTTCGTAGCCCGCGGCGCGGAATTTCTTGCTGTGGGTGTAGTCGACGGCGAGACTGATGGCTTGGCCGCCAAACCAGTTGCCTGACAATGTCAGTAAGAGTTCAGTGTTGATCGAGATGCACGTAAAGACTTACAGATGTAGTCGGCGTCGCCGTACGCCAGACTGACACGCACATCCTGATCCAGCAAATGCTCAAGATCCAGTCTGAAGTTGGGGTAGATGAAATCGCCAGTGTTCTGGAACGCGTAGTAGATGCCGTTATTACTCGAGTAGTTGAGAGTCACGCCAAGCGCCTGCTGCACCTCCGGCAGGTTCAGATAGTCAGGGTAGTAAGACGGCGGAGTGGGATCGTTACTGTCATGCCTAATATCGTAGACCCCGCGGCCGCTGTAGTAGTAGTACGGCGATTCGACGTTGTCACGGCACATGTCGGCGGCTTCGTTGCAGATCTGCATCACACCGGGGGTGAGTTGGGCTTCGGTGATGGGCGCATCCGTATGATAGTAACTAGCGTTACCTTCGGCTGCGGCGCGGCAGATCTTGATCTGATCGAGGCAGCCGTTGTACATGTTGTTGGCGAATTTGGCGTAGGAGTAGACGGTGTCGTTGTAGGCTTTGATGCCGTAGGTGCTGGGAATGTTAGCGAATATTTACAGGCTGCAGAGGTATTTGACATACTTGTTGACAGCGAACTCGGGGTATTGCTCGGCTTGAACAGACTCATCGATGATGCCGTTGATTATGCCCAGCGAGTTGAAGTTGAGCGGGTAGCCTGGCATACTACCGTTCTGAATTTTCAGATTTTGGTTGTAGAAGTAGTTGAAGAACGCCGGTCCATAGTGACCACCGTAGGACTCAGTGAAGAGATTGAATTCCTTGGGCGTTCCGATCTTGGTGTCGAATTTGGGGATGGTGTTCAACAGCGCCTGCAGTACGTGCTGCACATCGTCAGCGTCATGTCTAGGGATTTCGGAAGCATCTTGACTCACGAAAGCTGCGGCAGCAGCAAGATCCGTAGTATCGATTGTGCCCGTGTTCAGCGGGTCCAAGAGAGGGTACCTTCCAGTCGCCGGCCAGTCGCTCGAATTGTAGTGGAAATCCTCAGACCAGGGATTGAAGCTGCCGACGCCCTGCTTCTGATAACTGAAACCTGTGCCGACGGGCTGAGAGATGTACAACATGTTGGACACATTGTTCCAGCTGTAGGGGTTGTAGACCGTTGTTAAGTTTTCATTCAGCATGCAGGGTCCATTCTCTTCAAAAAGACCGATCAGACTATCTGATCCAGGGCCTCCGTTGAGCCAGAGCGTAAAAGGGTCTTCGGCTGGCTTGTTGCGGGATTCAAAGAACCAGTAGAAGACGTGGACCTGGATAAGTTTTAGAGGTTACCTACCCAGCTCTGGAGGCCTTCACGTACGTCTGGACTAAGATCGACATATCCAGAGTAGCTGTCTACGCCTGGGGTCGTCTCGCAGATACCAGGGTTCTTGTACCGAATTGTAACATTGTTCGGAGCCGAAGCGGTCTTGTAGTCGCTGGTCTCCTTTGGCAGGTACAAATGATCCGCTCGCTTATGCCATTGCTTCTTTGACACAGCACTAGCTTGCAGCGCAAGCGACGCAAGAGCTACCGAGGTCACGGACTTCGTGAACATAGCAACAATTGAGGACAAGGTTGGGCATAGAGATGAACGAGAAGCTTCCTTGGCGTATTTAAGCACATCTTGAAAAGCTTGTCGCATAACCTTATTGAGGTCATTATCTCGAACGCCTGCGGGGTCTCGTACGCGATCCTGGTCTTCGCGTAGTTTGTGGTTTCGCTCCTGCCTATACTGGTCTAGGCGCCGTGTTTGTCTCCCAAACCAGACTCCATGCGGCTCATGTGCTCACCGAGTCTACCGAATGACGTATCCCTCGGAGCTTAGATTCAAGCTGTTCCAGCAAAGCTTGCGCGACAACATTATGAGCTTCCTGATAAGTTGTAGGGCGAGTCAACAAAGCGGCTCGGATGTCGTCCTGTTCGTAATGGGACCGAGTGTTGCCGGACCAGGAAACCGGATGAAATAAACAGTCCTCCTGTTGCTGCAATGCCTCATTATTTTCCAGCATCTCGAAATCCTGCTCGATCTACCTCTTCTGCCATCTCACAGGCGACTCTTCCTAGTTCAAGAGCTTTTGGAGACCGCTGACAAGCTCATTGAGTTGCTCCGCAATCGATTTGATATCCCTAAGCTATTTTTGCACCTTGAGTAAGTCCCTGATCCGCTTCAAATTAGATGTTCGGTGAGACATATCCGCAGGTGGACCTAGTACTTGGCGTATCTGTTCGAGAGACAAAGTATGATGCCGGGCCGGAACCAGGTCGCCCAATGCCACAATCAGCGCAAGAGTGATCCGTGCAGAAATTGTGTAGTCTTACTGACCAGCTATACTGATGGACGCATTTTACATATCTCTGCGATCCTCGCGAAGACATGTAGGACCGGCTAGCCAACGCAGCATCCAGTCCTGGTTCTTAGGGTCAAGTCACGTGAGACATGTGAAGGTGGATACTTCAGATGATGCAACCTTCTCTCTCCCTCTCCTCCTTTACCGACATCAGTCATGTCGAGCAATTTGACAGCTTAAATTGCTTTGATTTGCTTGCGTGACAATTTCACCTGAAAATATCTGAACAAATCAATTAGTCCAACGAAGCCAGCTTGCTGATCGAGGACTGAGGGTCTCCTAGCGTCACGTGTGATCCTCTCGGTGCAACGATTGCTGACGGGATGTATTTCTCCGAATCTTGATGCAGCCAAGACCACAGTCGTGCCCGCTGGTCTGTTTGTTTGTGTTTCAGGCCGAGCATTGTAAATGTTCGTGGAACATAAAGAAACCACCAAGACTAACGTGTATGATCGTAGCTGAACTGCAACAGGGTCTAATCATAAACATAACTAAAGCTTGCTTGGAGTTGGCCCCACCGTAGAGCTTGACATGTTCTCCGGTTGCGGCGGACAAACGCTGCAACTTATTTTTGGGCCACGTGCATGAAGAACGCGTCCAGAGTCATTCGCGGTTTGTGAGGTATCTGAGGGGTGAAACAGTCACGCAGGTTTGCGCAACAGAACTACAACCCCTCACCCAAAGCGCCTGATTGAAGGAGCGCCGTGGTGTCATAGCTGCAACGCAAAGAATCTCGGGACAGCTTTCCAACCTTCCACATTTGACCCCTCCACGCCCGACGCACCATTGCTTGTAGCTTCACGAAAGGAAGATTTGTCTATTTCACCACAGCCGTTGCTTGGTATTGTTAGGGCCCAGCAACCCGGCGCCGTTGCGTGAATAGCTCCAACTAGCTTAACTCACAGCTATCCACGACCGAGGTTTCTGCGCAGCCATGGTCAAGGGCCCTGCAGCCGTCTTCATTGCTAGGTGGGTGCCTAGTATATGTCCAGAGGATTCAAGCTGACAACACAGACACGGCGCTCGTCTCGACGCCTCAGACAAGTCATGGCACCTCACTTCACCGACGCCCTACGATCCACCCCTCACGTATGGCGGCTGGTCACAAGCCAAAGCACTGGGTCTACGCATAGCGGCGCTGCTGCACCAGCAAGACGTCGAGGAGACTGAGGCGGCCAAGCATGGCGCGAACGCGGATCTGGCGCATCTCGAGTTCAGCGCGCTCGATGCCCCCAGGGCGCAACCAGCTCGCCCGAGGAATAAGAAGCGCAAGATCGTCATACACTCGAGCCCGTTCCTGAGGTGCGTTCAGACGAGCACGGCAGTCGCAGCAGGCATCTCGCAGTACAAGCCAGAGGCAACGCCCAGGCTGGGAGTACCGGCGCCATCCAAGGAGAGGAGCGGCGTGCTGGGCAGTTCTCCGCTGGCGAGGTCGGCACGCTCCCAGTCGCCGCGCACAAGATCGCCCTCGGTGCAGCCGGCGTACCTCGACCCGCTGGTCGATCCCAACCTTGAAGTCTATGCGAAGCCGCGCAAAGGCGAGGAGAAGATCCTCCTGCGCATCGACGCCTTCCTCGGAGAATGGCTGTCGCCCGACTACTACGAAGACATCACCCCGCCGCCGAACTCGACACTGATGGTGGCAGGCGCAAAGGCAGACTTGCTGCGGAGGGGCGACAATCTACAGGCACAGCCAGATGCGCACAGCAGCAAGGGCCATTTCCCAGGTGGCTGGGGAGGGGCTAGCAAAGGAGCTGCGGCATCAGCAATATTGGCTCGATGCAGCGTCGACAACGGCGCATTTGCGACCATGAACAGCCTTACGCAGAACCTGCCTCCGACCAGAGAACGTGCTGGTAGTCTCAGTGGCGGCGGCGGAGCTGTACAATCCTCAAGACCGAGAGGCAACTTCTTGTCACTCAATCCATCCACACGCCACGTCACGAAGAAGAACTACAACTCTCCCGCACCGTCATACTCCGTCTCTCCCTCCGACCCCATACCGCGAGGCTATGTAGCTCATGCACGAGAGGCGTGCGTCACAGTCGACTTCCAGTGGGACAGTATGCGGCCACCACAGAACTGGGGTGATGGTGGTGAATACGGCGACGAGTGGAGTACGATGCACAAGCGGTTCCGCAGAGGACTGACTGGCATGATGGAATGGTACAGAGAACACGGAGCAACACCACCCAAGGACCCATTCCCGGGCTTCACATTCTCGGACCGGCCGTCACAGCCTGACAAGGAGCCAAGGCCATCTGCACCCAAAGCCACGAATTTCGCCGCCAACCCTCTGCCTCTACTAAACGGCAAGGCAGAGGATGAAGAAGAAGAGCTTGTGCTTGTACTGGTCACCCACGGCGCAGGCTGCAATGCTCTGCTTGGTGCCATCCAAAACCAGCCCGTCTTGATCGATGTCGGGCTTGCTTCACTGTCGATGGCAGTACGACGAGATCAACTTCGAAAGCCTTCTGCTCCGACCGTATTCGAGCGACGCCTGTCAGTGGCCGATCCTGGCATGTCGGATTCGTACGAGATGAAGATACTCGCCTCTGTGGATCATCTGCGGCCAAGTACCAATCCAGCGGTGATCTCTGCGCCCGAATCTGCGACTCAATCACCAGCGGTGCATGCCAGTCCAACCACCGGGAACTACAGAAAACGGTTTACTGGCAGCTCATCTGGCGCAGGCACCCCGAGCGACTCGCCCCTCGATGCGTCGTACAGAAGCTGGCTGGGGAACTCTAACGGCGTGCGTAGGACAGCGAGCTCAGGATCGAACTCGCGACACAGCCACCTCAACGACAGCGGTATCTCATCGCCATCTTCAGGTCTTTGGTCAAGCCCCCGTATGACAGCGCTGGATGCAAGCAGCGATGGCAGATGCAGTCCAGGCGCCGACATGGTGCTCAACTTCACGAACCAGCAGTCGGCACAGAAGTCGGAGCCATCTGCCGCCCCAGTGAGCCAGCCTGCTGCAACCAGCACGGCTGAGGCACCTGTCGGACTGACCAAGATGACGACCAACGAGCAAAGGGAGTGTGGTGACTCTGTAGCCCCACTCCCAACCTCACTCAACCGCACGAACAGCACGAACAGCTCGTCGGCAGCGGCTGGTGGTGGCGGCGGCCTCTGGGGCGCAAAGCCTCAGGCGACGACGCAACAGGGTCTATGGGGCTCACCAAAGCTCTCTGGCGTGACTGAGCGCGAGAGCGGGCTCAAGAGGCGATGGACGATCACGGAGCACAACCAGTGAGGTGGTTCTACCTGCACGTTAAGGTGAAAGCGATGTTGCACCCAGGGAGAAATGCACATCTCGGAGCAGCTGGTGTTTGCGAGTCTACTGACCGTTAATTAAGCGATTCATTACCGGGGCGTTTGATACCCCCGCCATCCTTTCGTTTTTCCATAGTCGAGCATTGGTCGGTCGAATCGCTGCAGGTACGCGTCTAGCTCACACAATGCAGTCCTGTTTCACCCTTCACTTTTTCCATGCACTGTTTTTTCCTACAGTGGCCTCGACAGCATGCGCATGGGTTTTTTGCAAGAACCGCGACACGCACGCCCCACTAGGTACGGAAGACCCCGCTAGACAGATGACTCAGCACTCGCATAATTATGGCGCTGGAGCCGCAGTCAATTCTGTGATTCGACGCGGAGCGCGGGCCGGCTGCTGTTAGCGCGGGGGGAGGGCTCGGCTCGCGCGCAGGCGCAAGGCAGAAGGACGTCGCTGCGCCCGGGCTTGCTGCAAGAGCGCGCGCGAAGCGTACTCAGCGTTTCAACATGTCGGTCAAGTAAGTTTCCCGCCCTCGAGTACTTCGGGCCGCCCGCTGCCGCACTCCCCCCGGCGCGAAGAAGGCGGTGTTCTTGGTATTGCTGCTGCCCCTCGCACCCCGCGGGCCTCGCTCGCTGCACGCAGTATGAACCGGAAAGACAGCAAGACGCGGGCGCACCCGAGAGACGGCAAGGCGCGGACGAAGAGCAGGACTGACGCAAAGCGCAGCTGGGTCATGATCAGCACGGACGGCGGATACACGCCGCTGCCCGGCGAAACGACACTGTACCAGTCACCGCAGCGCACGACGCTGAGCCTGCAGTCGAGCCACCGCCTCCCGCCCGCCGAGGCGTACAGCCAGCAGTGCAAGAACGGCGTCGTGTATCTGACGAACAGACGGGTATGCTCTCCATCCCCCGACCCGCAAGCGTGTGCTTGGTCCTAACGCGCACCTGCACAGATGATCTACCTCCCCGTCACGCCCACGCCGACCTTCCGCTCCTTCGCCGTCCCCATCCTCAACGTCGCCGACTCGCGCGTCACGGCGCCGTGGTTCGGCGCCAACAAGTGGGAGGCCCTGGTCCATCCGGTCACGGGCGGCGGCATCCCGCCTGCGCACGCTGAGCTGGACTGCACCATCGAGTTCAAGGAGGGCGGCGCGTTTGACTTCCACAACACCTTCGAGCGCCTCAGGGAGCGTCTGCGCCAGACTATCGACGTGGCGCGTGAGTCTGGCGGAGACGAGTCGCTTGCTGCCGCCGGTGTAGGCGGCTTGGAGGATCTCCCGGCCTACGAGGAGAGCGGGCAGCACGTGAGGGTGCCGCAGGACGCTGCTGCGCCTGCTGCTGCTACTGCTCCTGCGCCTGCTGCTGCGACGCCCCCACCGCCCGCGGACAGCCCGCAGCAGTCGAGTCCGCTGCAGAGCCCACAGCCGTTCCAACCGCCGTCTGAACCGCCGCCGGGCTACGAGGAGGTCCAGAGGGGCAGTATTGCGGATGAGTTGGAGCGCAGGCTGTCGGATCCTCACTGGGACGAGGAACTGCGGCGGTGAGACAGCGGCCGTGTTGAATCAACTTTGGGAAGCATGGCGTTCAGGAGGACAAGACGGAGCAATCGATCTGCGAGCATCTAATATACACACACAAACACACACACACACACACACACACACACACGCAAACAAGTGAGGCCTCGGAGTCCTCCAACTCTATCGAGGCACGTGCGTGTGCTTGCCTGAGTCTGCAACGTCTACCACCAACGACACCTTGCTGACGTGTGCAACCGCATGCAACCCACACCGTCGTCACGCTCACGCCCTCACCCATCAGCATGTGAAAGCCTCCCATCTCCGTCCTCCGCATGTGAAACCAGCCACTAGCCACACTGTGGGGCCCAGTCCGGGGCACCCTAACCACATGCAGCGAGCCTCGGCTCGGTCAGCGCCCAGATGACTTCAGTCGGGAAGAAAGACCCAGCGTTTCGCACATTCCCTCCTTTCCTTTCCAAATCCCATTTTTCCTGTTGCTTCAAACTCGGACACTGCACACATACGCCCAAAATGACACAGGCACCACAGAAAGGTACGTTGCGTTGTTGCTCGCGATGCGTCGGGGAGAATGACGTGGTGGTGATTAGTTTGGATGCGTGAAAAGAGGCTGACGGAGAGTAGCTCAGGAGCGTCTTGCTCAGATTGGAAACCACCTCGGTGGCAGCCCGGATTCGAAGTCGCCTGCGAAGAAGGGCAGGGCGGGTCTGCTGGAGAAGCACGCCGATGATGTAAGTCTCAACGCTCATGAGAAACTCCAAGCCACACATTCGAGTGCAGAGCTGATAGTTCCCAGGTTGTCGTCACCTGCGCCCTCCGCACACCCTTCACCAAGGGTGGCAAGGGCGGCTTCAAAGACACCCAGAGTGCCGACCTGCTGCACGGCGCCTTCAAGGCCCTCATCCAGCGCTCCGGCATCGACCCCTCGCTCGTCGAAGACATCGCCGTCGGCACCGTCCTCGCACCTGGCGGCGGTGCGACCGAGTTCCGCGCCGCTGCGCTCGCAGCCGGCTTCCCCGTGACCGCTGCCGTCAAGAGCTTGAACAGGCAGTGCTCGTCTGGCCTGCAGGCATGCGTCGACATCGCCAACGCCATCAAGAGCGGCATGATCGAGATCGGCATCGGCGCCGGCAGCGAGAGCATGTCGACCCAGTACGGTCCCAACGCCGTCAGCGAGCTCAGCGAGCTCGTCGAGAGCCACACCGAGGCCGCCAACTGCAAGGTGCCCATGGGTGCGCTGTCCGAACAGATGGCCAAGGACAAGAAGATCTCGCGCGCTGACCAGGACGCCTTTGCCGCGGCCTCGTTCCAGAAGGCCGAAGCCGCGCAGAAGCAGGGCCTGTTTGACGAGGAACTCGCCCCGCTGACCGTCAAGTGGACCGACCCCAAGACCGACGAGGAGAAGACCATCACCGTCTCCAAAGACGACGGCGTCCGCGCGGGCATCACCCCGGAGAGCCTGGGCAAGATCCGCGCCGCCTTTGCTAAAGATGGCTCCATTCACGCCGGCAACGCGTCGCAGATCTCCGACGGCGCGGCCGCAGTCCTGCTCATGAAGCGCAGCACCGCCGAGCGCCTCGGCCAGACCATCATCGGCAAGTTCGTGCAAGCCTCGATCGTCGGCGTGCCGCCGCTGCTCATGGGCGTGGGCCCCGCGGCCGCCATCCCCGTCGTGCTAGAGAAGACGGGCCTGGGCAAAGACGACGTGGACATCTATGAGATCAACGAGGCGTTTGCGAGCCAGTGTCTTTTCTGCATCAACGAGCTGGGTCTTGATCAGAAGAAGATTAACCCCAAGGGTGGCGCTATTGCGTTTGGACACCCCCTCGGTGTCACCGGTGCGCGGCAGGTCAGCACGCTGCTGACAGAGCTGAGGCGCACCAAGCAGCGTGTTGGCGTTACGAGTATGTGCATTGGAACGGGTATGGGTATGGCTGCTGTCTGGGTCGCCGAGTAGATGTAAAAGATGTAAACCTGGAGTTAGCCATAATACATAACACGATCAGTATCTGCTACATCGTTGCATTTGCAAGCCTCCCCGCACCGAGTCCGGGCCTGGTGCATGGTCAAGAACAGGCGAGTTCGGAAGCAGCGCTCTTCGATGTCGATGCGCGTGAAGTAGCTGGTTTCGAATTTTCGGTGTTTTTGCGATTCAATTTTGATCCTGTCTAGATAAATGAGGGACATGTTCGCAAGATGTGGACCGCCTTTCGTCCTGGATCTGAGCCGTCGTGTGATACATGCATCGTACATCCAAGCACTGGGAACCAAAAAACGCCGTCGTGAGAGAGGTGCAATGATGCCGATCCGCCGTGCTCTAGGGTATTCATGTGCTGACATAATAAGAAAACTGGACGGTATAATAGACATTAGACAAAGTGATAAGCGTCGTGAGAGGAGCCCGTTTGGCCAAATATGCGAAGGAAACTCCATAGTCCAACGCCGCACAGGGCGGGAATCGTGAGGTTGTCGTCCCAGCCGAATAAGTCGAGCGCTTCGCTGCCACTTGCGACGATGCCGGTCACCAGAGACATGACGCCGAGAGCCACGTATCCCGTAATCGTGCTCTGGGAGGCAGGCAGTCCTAGTGAATCCTGAGCCTGAGCTGGTAATGTCAGCACGCCCTGGAATGCAAACGAGTTGTCGCCCTGATTCAGCTCTGAGTAGAGGGGTCCCAGCCAGCCCCAGAACATGACGGCTGTGATGACGCCCATCACGCATGCCGCAATCGTGCCTGCGAGACTCTTGCCCTTCCTGACCTTGGGCGTCAGGTGGCCCCACAGGCGGCCAAATGTCGATGCCGCAGTGTCGCACCAGCTGAGCAGCAGAATGCTCATGACGCCCACATCCTTTGGGCAGAAGCGCATCACGATCCATGCGCCGAGCAGGTACGAGATGACGCCGTTGTAACCATCTACTTCCGATTCGCGCATCAGTGCACCCAGGCACCGGATGTAGAAGCGGTTGACCTGCCAGTAACGGTGGCGAATTACGTCGGTGATGGCGATGGGGATGAACATGGCAAGCAGAACTGGGTGGATCTGCGACATTTGGCGGCCAGAACAGTAGAGGTATATTGTGACGAAGCCAATAGAGACGTGGAGGATCTTGCGGGGTATTTCATGACGGTGGATCTATTGATGTCAGAGGTTGAATCAAGAACCAAGTGTGTATTGTACATACGAAAGAGCGCCATTCTTGGTGGATGGGGATCAGACCAAGTGGGCTCGGACTTCGACTCATCTCTCGCCAGTAGATCTTGTTCGCTGCTGCGGGAGATAGATGCCCACTGCTCGTACCATTTGGCAGAGTGAGGTCCTTGACACCCCCGTTCTGCTGCCTTCTGGTAGTCAGACCACTGATTCTCCTTCGTCCCAAACCTCCCTCGAGCGTAGAGTCACGACTCCTTGTTCGGGCGCGCTTCTCTGGATCTGAGCCAGATGAATCTTCTTCGATAGGTGGGGGTGACTGCAACTTGTTCTTGCGCGCCGAAGCACGCGTAACAGGCGGGAAGTAGCCATCCTTCCCGCTCCCGACCTCTGATGGAGTCGGTGAGGGTGAAATGACGCGCGGTGTGTGCGGTATCTGGTACTGCCTCGATGAAGCCATTGCTGAGCGAAAGCAGGTGGTGAAGTACGGAAGCGGAGGGGCGCGGACGAGGCCGGATATGCTGGAGCGGGTCCTCGCGCAAACTAGAGCGACGTTGACGAGTAGGGAATGGCGATCGCGGTCCACGTAGCTGTGAGGCTGAGTGTATGTGGTGTGAGCGCCGGTTAAGCTTGCGAAAGTGGTGGCTTCGACATCGGCGTCAGGCGTAATCAACAAGGCCAGGGCGGACGCGAATTCGTCCGGACAACGCGCAGCATCTGGGGAGACAGGAGGTGCCACAATTTAGATGGGCGACAGTAGCCAGCTTGAGAACGTGGTTGAAGAGGAGACGTTGCGACACCAATGACGCCTTTGCAATCTTGATGCGTAGCCAGGAAATTTAGCAGCGCCGTGATCTTGTCGCGTGTATGCGGATCAGTGCGGCCGATGATATCAGCTTGCATGTGAAGATACTCCACTCAGAAGGCCAGGGTGCCTCGCGCAGCAAGTCGTAGCTGTCAACTCAGCCGCGAGATGTTTCGTGCCATTTTTGAGATTTTGTGATCTTCAAGCGCATACCTAATTATTACACCAAGTGGCATGGAAAAGATCACGTGTCGGCCGGCTGCAGCTTCCCCAATCGATCAGAGCGTGGCGCGCTTATGGCGGATCCCGCCTGCGCCACAGCTTAACTTTTTCGAAAAGTCCCAGAGCCGAGCCAAAAGTTCGTCGTTCGCTCTGGCGCAACGACTGCTCACGCCTCACGTTCTTTGGAGATGGCACCGCAAACAAAAATCGACCGGTCCTTTAGCGCACTGATACCTGCACTTTCAGAATGGACTCTCGAGGCTGTCGACGCCATGGGTTTCGCGAAGACCACACCAGTGCAACACGCCGCCATTCCCATGTTCATGAAGAACTCTGATGTCGTCGTCGAAGCGGTCACTGGAAGCGGAAAGACACTTGCGTATGTAATCAGTAATGCTTAAAGACCTTATTCTCATTAAGAAAAGCTTCTTGATTCCCATCGTGGAACGGTTACTTCGACTCGATGCGCCTATCAAAAAGCATCATGTGGGCGCCATAATCATATCGCCAACAAGAGAATTGGCAACGCAAATCCATACTGTACTTTGTTCTTTGCTAAAGTTTCACGCCCCGTCCGCTGCAGCACTTGAGCCAGAGGACGAGGACAGCGATATGGAAGATGCAGATGCGCCGCCAAAACCAATATTTCCAGCTGGTACGCTCAAAGTTGTGCCTCAACTACTCCTCGGAGGCTCGGTCACACCAGCTCAAGACCTCAGCGTATTCCTCAAGAAGCAGACGAACGTACTGATCGGCACTCCTGGACGACTGTTGGAGTTGTTATCCTCTCGTCACGTTCATTGTTCATCATCTTTCGATGCCCTTGTACTGGATGAAGCCGATCGACTGCTGGACCTTGGCTTTAAGGACGATCTGCAAAAGATTCTTTCACGCTTGCCCAAGCAACGACGAACGGGCCTGTTCAGTGCGAGTGTTAGCGAGGCTGTCGATCAACTCATTCGTGTGGGCCTACGTAATCCAGTTCGCATTGCTGTCAAAGTCAAAGCGAGGGCAGCGGAAAACGGTCAAATTGAGGACAAGCGGACACCTGCCAGTCTACAAATGGCTTATCTCGTAGTACCCCCGTCACACAAGCTACCAGCCATCCAACAGATACTGGATCAGGTGCAACCACAACCTCAGAAGACAATCTTTTACCTGGCAACATGCTTCGCAGTCGACTACTTCCAGCACGTTCTTCCGGAAGTACTCAAGAGTCACACAATTGTTCCACTTCATGGCAAGCACCCCGACAAGGTGCGGCGGAAGAACTTTACAAAATTTGTGGATAGCGTCATGCCCTCGATCCTGCTGACCACCGATGTGGCTGCTCGTGGTCTCGACATCCCTTCAGTAGACCTTGTCTTACAACTGGATCCGCCAAGCGACCCCAAGACCTTTATTCATCGATGTGGACGCGCTGGGCGAGCTGGACGAAAAGGTCTCGCCGTCACCTTCCTCACGCCTGGCCTGGAAGAAGACTATGTCGAGTTTTTGCGGGTACGACAGACTCCAGTGGCCCCTCTCACCAATCCGGGTATCACTGTTACATCAGCGGATATCGATCGCGTCACGAACGCGATCAGGAAGGTGGCCAAGACCGATCGAGCCATCTACGACAAGGCTCAGCGTGGCTTTGTCTCCTGGGTTCGTGCTTATAGTAAGCACACCGCCAGCTCGATCTTCCGTGTCGAAGAATTGGACTGGGCTGAGCTTGGACACGCCTGGGGCTTGCTTCGTCTTCCCCGTATGCCAGAAACAAAGAAGTGGGAGGGCGACAAGTCGCTCGGTGTTACGATGGATTTCGATGCGTTTGCGTACAAAGACAAAGTGCGCGAGCAGCAGCGTCAGATGGAAATGGCAGACGCTGCGGCTCAAGGAGCTACTGGCAAGAAGTTCGTCAAGGAGAATAAGATCGCAAAGGCTTGGACGGACCAGAAGGACCAGAAGGCCACGAAAGAGCTCAGACGTGAGAAGAAGGTGGCGAAACGGGAACAAGAGCGCAAATCCAAGATGACAGACGAGGAGCGCCAGAAGGAGGAGGAGCTCAACGAAATGATTTCACAAATGCGAAAGAAGGTCAAGCAGACAGAGGCTGCTGAGGAGGAGGACGAGTTCCACGGATTTGATGATTGATTGGTCGGTGAAGAACGGGGCACGTCGAGCGACGGCGCAACCTCCTTGAAAGGTCAGAAATCCGGTACGAACCAGGATCCATTAGCAGCAAACCAGGACTTTTGCAACTCTCCCTTCGATTCACTAGACTACCTGCTCAGTTGCAGCCAGTCCGGATCAGTCGCTTGCCTCGAGAGTCACCACACTTCGCCGAACAGCACCATCTCACGAATGGCAAAGTTTGCATTCTAAACTGGCGTCAAAATCGTCGACCGCAACCTGACCATAATCCCACGAATCTTGGAGACTCGCTAATGACTTCGCTGCGGTGGTTGAGGCCCCGGGTGGATCATACATATTCTTCGCTTCCGGCGACCTTTCGATGCCCTTCCATCAGACCAAGAGATCGCGGTCAACATCCCGCCATGGATATGGGACTGCCCATATACTGTTGCTACATGTGTGATGCCTTCCAGGAGGTACATTGTTCTGCTGCCTGACAAGGTCATAAGACAATACAAGTGTTGAGGCGGTAAATGCCACTATTACACACCATTTCGAATATTTCCTCCTATTTACCTCCAGCCAAGTGACCAGCTCAAGACATCGTCCGCCAGTATTGCCTACCATTCGCCTAGGCTTTGCTCGAGGACTACCGGATACCGAAACTCAGTGGTGGCGATCAGCAGCGATGGTCTCTAAAGCCGTCTGTGATCGCACGTCGTCACCAATTCGTTCAGCTGCAGGGATTGTGCGATTACCTGTCCTTTCCAATTGTCGTGTTGCCAAAGGAGGGCCTTGTGGTCGAAAGTTGATACTCGCTACAGCCACACAAAGCAAGCAACGTGCGTAGGCTATATGCAACTGGAAGGCATGAACAACTTGCCTGCGATTGGCCTGACACTCCCGAATCCCGAGGGCACCGACTGGCCATTGTAGGACTTGCTCCGACCTGCATGTTCAGGAACTCTCTAGCCCTGACGGGATCTGTCAAGTAAGCTCTCGCAAGTCGCCGGTGCTCGTGTCATGTTCTAATGATTCAGCGTTCGAAACTTGGACCATAGTCATCGAGTAAGTGAGGCTAGAGAGCGTGTTAGAGCTGAGCACGGCCAATCAGAACACTCGGAAGTGACGTCAACCCTAAGGTCACCGCGCCAAACTATCGCGGATTGGCAGCTACAACACAAAGATCTCGAAACTTGTGGCTTCGAGACTTTTCTCGGTAACGATGGCTCATCACCAGTCCACATACCTACTGACCACGCTTCTGGTAGTCAAGTCCACTGCGCGGTGTACTAGAAAAGTACTGCGATGCAGATCAGTCCCGAATAGGATATTACGTCGTACCAGAAAAGGGAAGGCTGAAAAAAACTTGTTCCTGATTTGCACTAGCACATGCCAAAGCACTTGGCAACTAACAACCCAATGTCAACTAAGTTTTCGGCATCCGCGCTAGAGTGTTGCCCCCATCATAGTGCCAGATCCCCGGATTCTCGCTCCAGCAAATATACGCTTCGCCAACCCCAGGGGGGCAAATTGGCATTGGTTGTCCCCACAAAGATCTGCAAAACCACTACTAGGGACTGCTTTGAATGGAGCTTTGGCAAACTAGCGACGAAGTTACTCCCCCAGGTAAATTCAACTGAGAGGCGAACCACATATATATATATATATATCAAGGGCGCCCATACCACACATTCTAACCTTGTCCACGAACACCTCTCGAGTACCCCACTCCTCTTTCACCATTACCTTTCTACAAACATGCGTTTCTCCTTAGCAAGCGCGTTGCTCACACTCGTGCCCCTTGCGGCAGCATGGCCTAATGTCATGGAGATGGACAGGGCACTCAAGAAGCGTGAAGAGCCCCCGCCACGCAACCCCACCTTCAAGTCCGGGCGACCCAACACTGGAGCCTCAGGCCCAGCTTTGACATTTAATGCTAGGGACCAGCTCGTCAACGTTGGTTCCGGCAGCGGACATGAGTTCCGATCACCTCGATCTGGCGATATCCGCGGACAGTGCCCTGGGTTGAATGCTGCTGCGAACCACAATTTTATTCCCCGCAACGGTCTGGTTACTACCGCACAGACTATTCAAGGCCTTGGAGATGCTTACAGCATGTCTCCTGACCTTGCTTTGTTATTGGCAGTTGTTTCTACCGCACTTGCTGGAGACCCAGTCTCGAACCGCTGGTCTATTGGCGGGAGGTTTACACCTACCATCCCGATCTTCCCAGCAAATGGTATTGCCGGAACACACAACCAATACGAGGGAGATGCCTCCATCGTCCGAGGTGATGCTTATCTCAATGGTGGCAGCGTTGGCGTATTCCAGATGCGATCCTGGGAACACTTGTACCAGCTCGCGGAGGAGTACACAATGGACGTGATTGCTGCCCAGTCCGACTATGTCACACGCTGGTCAATCCTCAACAACCCTTACTACTTCTCGGCGCCCTTCTCTGGCTTAGTTGCACCCGCAGCGCACAACTTTGTCATCAACTTCATGTCCAACCACAGTGCCGAGAACCCAAGTGGCTTTCTCACCCGCGAAGTTCTGAAGAGCTTCTTCGGTGTCACTGGCGATGCGCCCGGTCAGTTCGTCCACAACCGTGGCCAAGAGCGCATTCCAGAGAACTGGTACAAGCGCCCATTCAGTAACGCCTATAATATTCCTAATGTTCTCGTCGATGTCCAGACTAACAATCTGATGTACCCAGGCATCATCCGAATTGGAGGCAACACTGGTACCACGAACTCATTTGCTGGAGTCGACCTCACAGACCTCACTGGCGGTGTTTTCAATGTCGGCGACCTCGCTGATGGCAACAAGGGCGCTTGCTTTTTGTTGCAGGCGTCTCTTGCTGGTCTTCCAGACATCAGCAACCCTCTTCTTGGTGCAGTCGGCTCTGTGCTTGGCTGGGCTACCCAGCAGCTTGGCCCGCTCAGCTCCAAATTTTCGTGCCCTCAGTTGGCTACCTTTGACAACCAGCTCTTCAATAAATTCCCTGGTGCTAGTTATAAGGGCAGCGGCAACGCTTGAGTTGATTGAAAAGACGAGCTGGAGTTGGCGTCGCACCACGCTTCGCGAGAATGAAGTGATGAATGTTTATTAATGCCCGGTAAAGCACGCAGTGCACCAGTATGAGCAGTATGTTTGGGGTCTTACGAAAGTTACGTAACCTGCAAATAATTATCTCTACAAATCGTTCACTCTCCACCCAGGTCCCTCCCTATCAAACACAACTTTCCCCATTGATCGCATCCCCTACTCACCTTAGCGACCGCTTTCATATATGGGTCTGCGTGCAGCTGATTTTGCCTTCCATCTTGAGGGGCGTAGGAAGATACCGAACGCTAGCAGGCACTGGTGCGGGTGATCTCCGCATCACGCCCCACTTGCCGCTAGATGATGCGATGTCTAACCACAGATCAAGTGACGTATGCACCACCCGCATCGTCCAGCTGGGTGAGGCTATTGAATGCTGCAGACTTGGCGCATAAGGCATATGCGTGCTTACACCCGCCAAGTACGCTTGCAGTAGTAATCGTCAAATCATGAAGATCAGGGCACATGACCTCTGCTGATGATGGTAGTGTAGTCGCGAGGGAACACCGAAACCTTGCATGGCCCTGTTGTAAGGTGTGACGGTATCCTTGGGTACATCGTCTCGTCCGAGGGCATGTTTGTGTGCCGGAGTCAGAGATTGTGGAGACATGATCCTACGCCTATTCTCGCTGATGACGACTCGGACGACTAGCTACAAATGGCAGAGTGAGATCGACATTGGTCGCAAAGCATGTGTCTCGAGATTTGACAGCTACGGATCTACCAGTAATCCAAGTATCGCATCGATGCTTAGGGAGTGCCTTTGCCTGGTGCTAAGCTGCAATGACAGTCCCAAATCAATATCCGTTGTGTGCGCAGCAAATATTCGAAAACGTGATGAATGGGTGTGGCAAGAGTGGCAAAGTTAGTACGTGCGATTCGATATTGATGATGGTCGGATTGTAATGAATTGATCTGCCTGGAGTACTACCATACATTGTAGATAGAGAAAAATATTTTGAACGAGATTTATTCAATCCAAGGTCAATTTGGATGCTCCTACAACTGATATCGTCCGATCCTGTTGCGCAACACTTGCGAGAAGTAAATCGCGTTGTCTGGTCCAGAGTGGATAGCGATGTTCAGGCCTGGAGGGATGCCAATTGGCAAGTTGACACCATTATCAGGCATATCGATGATGACGGCCTCATTATTCTGGTCGAGGTACTGGATCGTGTTCCTCGTTGCAGTCGAGTACCAGTACCGTCCCTGAGGATCCACCGTGTTCTCCGTGGGGAATGAGGCAGGCAGAGGATCTGTGAAGACATCGATCTTCTCGGTCTGGGTGTCGAAGCGGACGTTACTGTTTGACAGAAAGCCAGTGAACCAGATGTAGCGGCTCTCGGTTTCTGCACGCACGACGACGATGCCAAGACCACTCAAGGGAAGAGGGAAGCGGGTAAATTGCTGTGTCCTTGGGTCGAATCTGGTGATGGCTTGACCGAGCATTTCAGCGAGGTAGACGTTGCCATCGATCTCCGAAACAAAAGCTCCGACGACACCATTAAGGGGCGTGGGCAGTGGATAGACGCCATCGAAGGTCTCAGTAGCGTAGTCGAAGTGGTAGAGTGTTCCGGCTGTTGTGAGTGTGTACCACATCTGCACTTGATTAGTTGTACCAACACCGTCGATCTGTGAGAAGGTCACTTACTCCGGATCCGCCATCCCAGAGATCGTTGAAGGGCTGAATGTTGCCAAGGAAAGGGACGTTCGGTAGTGGCGGAGTAAAGACTTTGATAACTCCATTCGAAGGATCGATCTTCAGAAATTGTGATCTGATACCTGTCGCAGCGTAGAGATTGCCATCACTACCTGGCTGAATAGCACAGGCGAATGCAACGCGCCCTGTCAACGGCAAGCTTTGGTTTGGATACAATTGATCTGGGTTGTAGGGCACTTTGTAGTTTGTGATACTGCCACTCCCGATCTCGATCTTGGAGACTGTGTTGTCGAGGAAGTTCTGAGTCCAGACGTTCCCATCCGGCCCTGTAGTGATATCGCACGGACCCTGCAAGAGACCCTCATTCTCATAGTATCTGAAGCGCGCAGGATCTGAGTCGCCTTTCGAGTAGCCGGGGGTAAGATCGATGAGTTGTGGTGCTGGTGCTGCCGCAGCAGTGGTGGCCAAAAGACCAAATGTGAACAGGAAATACATTGTGAAAGGTTTTTTTGCGTCAGGCGGTGTGCTGCATGTACAGTTCAGAGGGATGATGTACATGCTACTGCTACAAACTATGCTGAGCACTTCGAGAAAACGAAATCAGCAGGTCCAGTACCAAATGGGATGCGATGTTCAGACAAATAGTAACGCTCGTGATGAGTAGAAGCTAGGCACTGTAACAAGATGTCGCGGGGACAAGCTGGGTACCATAAGACCAGAACACTGGTCAAGCTTTGCCGGGGCCTTGCTGTATTCTAGTTCGTTGTGGGTTCACTCTAGCGTAGTATCGGGGCCGAGGGTCGATCTGCGATGTGGCCAGCAGCACACGCTAAGGGCTTTGACTTAAATAGGAGAAGGATATTGTCGATCCAGTGGACGACCCTTCTCCCCCAAACCTTTCATTCACCATGCAATATTCCCAATTTGAACCCCCCAAGGGCAACCGCCGCTGAAACAACCTATTGAGAGCGTATCCTCCACTCATACTTTTGAACAATCCCAGGTTAGCCTCTCCCTAGATGTAAATCAGCTTTTGCCAGCTTCCACGGTAGTTGAGGTACTGATGTCTGTGATTGGTCTGACTTCTGGTTGTGAATACATCGATCTGCTCAATCGCAGCATAGTTGATCTCATCCACCTTATCATCATCTGCAATCAACGCGCAGTTCAAAATTCATCGTGATTTGAAAGTTTCCAAGTGGTTCACCTGGGAATCGTCCAGCCCTAGTGGATCAGACTGTTTCCTTTGCGCGCCCATTCAGGCAATAACGGTCGAAGCATGAGCATTCAGGACACGCGTTGGATCACAGCGTTCCGAATGCTATGAACACCGGAACGGTAGACACGGTAGGTCGCTGTAAGTGTTGCGGAATAATTCTTGATTGTCGTGTTACCCCACGTCTGGCGGCGTTCAGGTCGATTGAGAGCGTGTAAGTCGTCAGTCGCTCTGACCAGGCTGCGAACTTCACAGGTACTCCATAAGTGCCAAAACGAAGCGAATCAGGAGCTGCGCCAATACTGAGGCTATCGACGGTGATGCTTGAGTAGCTGAGTGTGCACAAGATGAACAGCGATAGCTTGAATAATATTCCTCGACAGGTAAGGAAAGCACGCCTGTGGTCCTGTCGAATGTTGGTCGTAGGTCCTGCCTTTATCGTTAACTACTCACAACTCGTTCCATATATTCATGGAAGGCGGCAAGCGCATTGCATGCTTGTGAGGATGGGAGACGAATGAAGCTACCCCACACCCGCTCCAAAGAAAACGCATTTGCCCTGAATGATGTAACGATGCCGAAGTTGTTCTAAAGACGAGGATGCTTGCTCGCTGAAGCGGTAAAAACAGATCCATCGGCGAGTAAAATCTTTACACCCGAAGACGTCGGAGCACGCGAATCCAGGGCGTGGGGGAGAGAAAAAAGTGGGCTGCCGAGAGTACGGCCTCTGACACCCACAGTTAGGTTTCGGCCTCCGGCGACCGCAAGTCCTTTCTCTTCCAAAACCTGATACGCTTGTACCCATCTGCACCCAGCACCTTCAAGAACCGGACCATCTTGCTATCAGAAGAAGGAACTACTTTGTCAAAAGGAATCATTTCAATCGGCACGCCGCCATTGATGCTTGAAGCACCCATGATTGGCATGTGACCACCGCCTCCAACTACGAAGAGGGCAAAGGCTTCAATTTTCTCTCCGCGCTCGCAGACATCGAATTCGCTCTTCAATACTTTAATGGCTGCCGCGAGCTCTTGCATGGCGCGGTCCCGTATGGCTGCTTTTCCCAATGCGTACTGACCGAGTCCCTGAAGGACTCCCAGCCTCTGAGCAGATCAAAGTCGCGGGTACCGCTTCTTGCAATCTAGCCCTCAGCTGTAAAGCTGACTCTAATGGATCCGTTAGGACATCAACACGAGTGGGTGTCTCTGCTTCGGCCTTGCGCTTCACCTGCGAATTTTGCACTCGGAGAAGATGCAGAAGAATTATCAGAACGATCAGAGCGGCAGTGAGTGTCGTGGGAAGAATCGCAGCTGCCATGATGCCTGGCAACGTGAGGGGTAAGCGCGAGGGCGCGTTGTGCGTGGCTGTGGGCAGCGTCGATCCGTCCTACATCAACTTTACGAGACGAGACACAAAGGCGTAAGATGGGACGATAACCTGCAGTTCCATGGTAAACACCATGGGGTCTAAAAACTCGATGGTCGTGGAAAGAGTTGGGGGACACCTGAAGCTGCCGGGAAGAAAACATGCTAGTTGCGATGTGTCCAAATTCGCGCCTTCCAAGTTCCAACTTATCATCAATTTCTCAGCTAACCATGTGATCGCACAGCTTACTTTCGACAGACCGTGGTTTGACGAATGTCGAATTCTATCATGCTAATAAATGATGCAGTCATAATTGTACAGGGACGAGCCGCGGCTTTGTGCAACGGTCAGCTCACACTCCCGTCTGCACTGCTGCAGTCCTTCCTAGCTCGACTTTTCGACAGGCACAAGGAGCTACAACACGAACTCCTTGACCAACCCAGTCCAACAGCACTTGGCAGCTTCCTCATTCGCAGCATGATTATCGGCAGAACGTGCTGATAAGGTGATCCCTGGAATTTGCAAAAAGAAACCAGTGTTCAGCGAACGGAAGGTGCATCAGTACCCAACATGCACCATGTCCGATGCGCGCCAACCTCCTACTCATGGTTCTGAACGAGATCCGTCCGGTGTTCACCCGCGGGTGTTGAGCTCCGTCATGGCTTATAATCTCATTCTACTGTGAAAGCTTCATTGGGCGCAGAAGTGCAGGTTTTGGCAAGCAGAATCTGCGATGCATACGTCGTGCACCGCCCGCCCGGTTTCTGGACCAGTCAACCCGTTCCGCAGATCACGATGCTAAGCACTCAATTCGAGTACCATACGAAAGAAAACTCTATCGGATGACCATTAAGCGTTTTCGGCGAATCTCGAATGCGAACAAGCATACCTAGAACTGCTCTGCAGTCGATGCTGCATGCAAAGCTCCGCCGAACGGTCGAATTTCGCTCGGTTTGTAATCCCGTCTGGGTATCAAAGCCTTTACCAACCATCGGACTGCTTCGGATGCCTGTCAAATGTAGGTACTGCGGGGAAAAGGAAAATAAAGATTGACGTGCCACAGGTGGGTCGTCGGCCAACAATGCCTCAAGCAGTTGGAAACGCTAGGCCCTTCACTTCTTGGCAACACTACCACAACATCGGAGGAAGTCAAGATCTTGGAAGAGGCTCAAATGGCATTTCGAATGCAGAGAGCTAGTGTTTATGTTTGTATCCCAGCCAGGCATAGTTGCCGGGCATATCCTAGAATGACGTGCTCCAAGCCCAACGCTGCATGAAGTTGCAGCCGCAAGCCGTGCAGGAGATGAAGGTCTCCCGACTACATCCCTGCTGATGCGGCACGTGCCTTCGGAGTATCGGCTTTGCCCCGGCTTCGGAACATCAGAATTCAGGAAACAATTCGTTCAATTGGCCAATCAGATAAGATTCACTTTCCTATTGCAACACATCTCCGCGACGGGGCCTGGCTGTCAACGCTGCGCACCAATGGTTCGGTCCGATGGTTCGCGCCGCACTATCGGTCAAACACTTCACCTGCTTGGAATGTAAAGTCGGCGATCTTGCCTAGGTATAGGTACTGGAGGAGATGACGAAAGGGCTGGTCTGAAATAGGTATGAATACCTGAGCGCTGTAATAGATTAAGAGCTGCTCCACTTGCAGTGAAGGTGCATCATATTCCCACTGACCCTCGAAACGTTGAGTGATTTTATTGTTTAACACAATCCAGAAAGAGCGAAGAAGCCTGCAACTCTATAAAACAACCGAGCAGGCACTCTTTTAACTTCTAGCCAAGAGGCACCGCTCACTGACGCTTCTTTTCACCCAAGTCATTCACTTGCATACAGTCACTCTCCCAACATGCGCGTCTCAGCTCTCGTCTTTGCGTCCGTCGCTCTTGCAGCACGCCCCTTCCTCAACGAGCCAGACACAGGCCTCGAGGACCTGCTCGGGTCCGTCACCGCCAATGGCACACTTCCACCACTGTCCGACATGGTTGGCCTGCCCGATTTCGATTGGGCAGCTCGCAAGAGAATGAACATCTCGTCCTACACCTACTACCGCAATGGCGCTGCTGGAGAGTGGTCGTACCGCAACAACCTCGAGGTCTTTACCCGACACAGGTTTCGACCTCGCATATTGAACGACATCACGAATATCGCTGCGTCTCTCCCCACTACAATACTCGGCCACAACTTCTCGGCGCCCTTCTTCATCTCGCCATGCGCTCGTGGTGGTTATGCGCATCCTGACGGAGAGCTGAACTTCGTTAAGGGCGCCGCCGCCGGCAACATTCTGTACATGTCCTCGCTGTTCTCGTCACAGAGCTTCGATGCCATATACCAGGAGGCTTCCAACACCACTGATCCCCTTTTCCAGCAGGTCTACCTCACCAACAATCTGACCGAAACACAAGCGCTCTTCACCAAGATTGAGAAGACGGGCAAGGCTAAGGCCATCATTCTTACTGTCGACTCGCCCGGAGACGGCATCCGCCACCGCGCAGCTCGCTACAGTGTCGGCTCTGCGGACAGCAGCCTCAGTCTGCTGACTTGGGATCTGTTCCGCCAGTTCCAGAACATGACCTCCCTCCCTATTATCCCCAAGGGTATTCAGACCGTCGATGACGCGCAGGAGGCTATCAAGAACGGCGCGAAGGCCATCTTTCTCTCCAATCACGGCGGCCGCCAGCTCGACACTTCGCCCTCATCCCTTGAGGTCGCGCTTGAGATTCACCGCGAGGATCCCGATCTCTTCAACCGCGTCGAGGTCTTCGCTGATGGCGGTGTCAGGTACGGATCTGACATCCTCAAGCTTCTTGCTCTTGGTGTAAAGGCTGTTGGCGTTGGAAGGCCTTTCATGTACAGCAACATCTACGGTGCTGAGGGTGTTGAGAAGGTCATTGATATCCTCAAGTACGAGCTCATTAACGATGCCGCCAACTTGGGCGTTGGTGACCTCAAGAAGATCGGTCCCCAGTATGTCGACTGGAAGAACAGCCTCAACACTTGGTACAGCTAGATGAAACTAGATATACCGGCGGGCGGAGAATTTTGATCCTGGGTTTACCCGATCTTGCTAGCACGAGGCACGACCTTGATTTCACTGTGCATAGTTCAATCGAACATACATTGTCTACTTTTTGAGTCCCTGTACATCTTGTGTGATACACTACCGCGGCTTACAGCGCTCCACTCACATGCGGGAAGCCCTGCTAGGAATTGTACGCGCTCTCGACCTTCTCCATATCCTGTCCCGTGAGCGCCACGGTCAGACCATCGACACTTGCTTTCAGGTGTAGGGTCTCTCACTGCCTCACTAGCGGAAAAACGTAGGAACTATGTTGCTGGATATGCAAGTGTTATGTACGTTGTCTGCAGCTTCATGAGCGACGTTTTGACAGACAGCTTCAGACCCTTGCTGCCAGTGCCAACATACTTGCTGTGGAGGTGAAGGCCTCTTTGATGCCCCCAGAACCATAATGAGAGATATTTCATCAAGCGATCGATTCTTGCACCTTGACCAATTCAATCGAACCAAAACGTGGCCTGACTCGGCGATTCGGGTGTATACTCGCGCTTTCGCACATCCTCATGGTGATCAAGCCAGTGGGCTAATCGTCAGACATTCAGCACCTGAATGCAAGATAGAAGAATGACCTTCTAATTAAGTCATAAACGATGCCACGTCTCAAAACTCCCATTTCTCGTCCCTTCTTGTACCCACCACTATATCCACCCCAAATTCTCCCTTCCGCCTTCAGTCTAATCGAAGAATCCAAATGTGCACATGGCATCCTCGTCGCTATCAGAGCCAGCCCTAACATCCATACCATCAGGCTCAGAGGCGCCGTTCTTGCGGTCATCACAGTCGCAGCCATGATCAAGGGCTTCATCTCCAGCTGGCCTGGAAGTGGCGACTACGGTAAGGATGTCCTTGATATTCTTGCCTTTGAGTGCATCGGCGAAAAGCTTAGTCCAGATGGGCTCGACCTCCGTAATGCCGGCGGCCTTGAGAAGAGTCTGAAGCTTCCCGGGTGTGACAACGAGGTTATCATCAGCGAGGATCAGAGTAGCAAATGCAACGGCTTGCTCGGGGTTGACTTTATAAGGAGCGGCAGCGGTGGTAGTCGTGTTGGTATCGATAGAAGAGGTTGTAGACATTGGCACTGTCGTTACTGAGTGGTGCAATCGAAAGGTGTGGATGTTTGATACGGTGCGACGTAAGAATTCGCAGTTGCGATCAGTTTTCCGTTGGGGTTTGATAGTCTCGGTATGGTGGAGATCGTTGTTTAGAGAGATGGTCGAACTCGAACTCGGAATCGATGCAGGAACGGAAGAAGCGATCCGGACGACTATATAGTAGCAGCCGTGATGCAAACTGCGTTCTTCATCTTCGATCAAGCTGTTGCACTTGGTAAGTTGTGGGTGCAGAAGGGTTGACTCAAAAGAAAGGGCGGCGGTTGCCTGAAATGCGTGGTACGCCCTGGTGAGTCACCAGCAGCCCGGCGATCGCATTATATCAGCAACAGTGAGTCGAAAGACTATATGAGTTAAGCTACTTATACTTGCAGCTTTATGGAATTAAATTATTAGCCACTGATAGTGCGGCGAACATACTCCACTAAGTCCCCTGCGAGCATTTAGAGTCACCATGATGTCCACACTGCCGGATTATACAGCGATAGACTACCTCCTGATGGGCCCGGCAAACCTTCGGCAGACTTACTCAAGAATTATAAGTCGTCAGTCTCACGTTCTGACCTCATGTAACGCGTAAAGACAGCCAAAGTAGATACGAATGCTAACGTTAACGAGCTTCAACAACGAAGATATTCCAGAGGGGCGGCATGAATAGCTCTGCCAGTTCTTCTCGTAGCCAATGAACCATGCAACTCGATATCCCGTGAGGAGAGCCGAGTTGGAGGCATTGTCGCTTGAAGGATATCTAGTCCCTGCACGCGCGACGATAGATGACTTTAATGAGAGGATCGACAGATTGGACGGGTTTGGGATGGTCATATCGGCTGATGTCGAACACTAGGAAATTTTGGCTCTCATAATTGCTCGCTGGCCTCAAGAGCATTTTGACAGAAGCAAAGACCGACTTCCGCGATCTGCTGGGTCATCTCGACCAGCTCAGGGCGCTCCTGACTCACGTACAGGCATTAGCCATCGACGCAGTTTATCGACGTCGGTCAATGGCACTAGAGCGGGAGCTTTTCTATATGAAAGACGATTTGAGAATTGTGGAATATGTGGCGAGGCTGAGGCATGATGTGAAAATGGAGATAGAAAGCCCAATAGCGACCACTCAAGCTTCTTGGAAACGGTCGAACCAAAGATAAGCAACAACCAAGATGTTGCTTGCCAGTATTTTGAACCTCGAGCAGTACGAACGTATATCCAAAAGGCCTTCAACACACCTTCCACCAAGCCAGCCGAGTCCAAACACGTGTCCCCAACTCACCCATCTGCTTTCCACGACATCTCCGAGTACTCCTCAGACACCGCAACTATTCAGAGACAGCCTATCTTTAGTCTAATAGATCACAACAATGTCTGAGCCGTCCAGTCCTGCAGCACGCGCTGCCCGATCCAAATCGGCACCTGCTCAGTTAGAAACCGCACCAGCAGATCTCACCCCACCTCAAACAGACGCGAATCCCGTCTCACCGAACAAAACAGCGCCTGCGAAAGATTCATTGACTTCGCATGCCGCCTACTACCTCGAAAAGTCCCGCGCTAGACTCTCGCTCCAGACAATGCAGCTTGAGATCGCAAACATCGAGGCTGCACTCGAAGGTGCGCAGCCTGACCGTCTAGTCACGGATCTAAAGGGAAGGCACCTCACTTCTGAGCAAGCAGCGAAGGTACTAGAGCTCCTGAGAGGATCTCGGGATTCGCTGAGCAACGTGGTCGATCGGCTGTGAGAAACTTGCCAGCGGACATGGAGGTTTAGTCGGTGCGGTTGCACACCTCCATTTTGAAGAAGATACTCAGTGTAGTCACAATTAATTACTGAAGTGAGTACTGCTGCACGGCATCTTTGAGGAGATTGAAGGAGTGGTGAGGAGAAGACGGGGCAGCGATAGAGTTGATGTCCTGGAGGGATCATAAGGATGACTCGCGGTAATTGTCAACACTACTATAGAACACAGGAGTTTACTACTTTGTCATCCAAGCTTTATGTCATAACGCCTGGGTATGTGAATACAAGAGAAACAATCACGTCGTAATGGTCGAGGTAAGCAAATATAGTACTGCGTGTGACATCCTCGAGCTTTCTGGCTTTTCTCACCCTCTCCTCCCATCGCAGTACTCGAGCAGTCTCTCTTGCGGGAGTGCAAATCACTTCTCCTCCTCGCCTCCTACGATTCAATCAAAGACATCTACCCTCCCCAACCAAGAGCTACGACCACCAACTGCACAACTGCTCACTACCGGAAAGCCAGTGCTAACCCATACACAGATCTTCAAACCGTGCCGGAAGGAACAAGTGCAGTCGTCTCCTTTCTTTCACACCTCAATCAACTCATAATATACGAATACAATCATTGGTACGACGGTGTGAGTGGATAAAGTGAGGGAGAAGTCGTTGTACGAACGGATACGCTGCACTCGATTGAAATTACAACAAAGCAAGAGGACTATATGGGGAGTATCTACCGAACGCCGTTTAGCCACTGATCGGGCGCTCTAAATGATATGGAAAGATGCTACACGTCGCCGAGTACAAACGCCTGTGAAAAACCAAACCCAGGATGTGGAGATCAAACATGAATGCAGACTATCCTCACGCAGTCCATCTCTGCATCCGCCTCCGTATGGGTGCCGTTGTTCGGCTACCCTCCGCTTCAAATCCCTTCATCTCCTTCTTCCTCTGCCCCTCTTCCTCTTCAAGCTCTGCTTTATTTTGCTCTTCTTTTTCCGCCTGCTCGTGCTCCATTTTCACCTTCTCCGCCGCTTTCTTTACTTGCTCAGCCTCTTCGTCTTTCTCTTCCTTCCTCTTGCCTCCGAGACTTCTCTCATAGGCCTCTTCAGACCTGACCCTCTGCCCCTCATTATCGTCCTCAAGCTCATGCATCCACACCCCCTTTCCATCGTCAAAGACTTCTTTCAGATGCGCTAGTGTACCGCAAACACCATCGACTTCGCCCCACGGCAGCCAGATCTGCTCTTTTGAGGTCCAGACACCGCCACGCCCGCCGCGCTGATCCCAGAGGCGGTCGCCGCCGACAGCGAAGTTGTGATAGCCGTTCGGGCTCTGCGGAGTGCGGAAGTATTGGCGTAGGAGAGCGCGTTTGTACTTGGCGAACCAGAGATTGTTGAAAGACATTTGGTCGCTGGAGAGACTGGTGGCTCCCGAGTCGCGAAAGTGTCGAATGACTAGCGCAGGGATCGCGCCGGTGTATGTGTTCTGCACGAGCGGTATGTCAGACCACAAGGTGTGACGGTCAGGAAGTCGGTCGAGATCGAAGTCGTAGGCGAGTTCGTCGATGTAGGCAGGCTTGTTGGTCTCAGGAGAGGGGTTGTGCAGGTACAGATCTGGACTCCAGAAGGGCAGCTTACTAGCGAGAAGCGTCGGCGGGAGAGAGAGGTGCGGGGTGATAGTGCTAGGATGGCGATACAACGATAGATCGGTCAAATTGTCATGCTTCAGAGGCAGAACTTCTCTGGATTGTGTGAGCGCGAGGGGTTGGAAGAGCGTGTGCGTGTAGTCGAGGCCAACCGAGTACTCGTGCGTCTTCTCCGGGAGAATATCAGCATTTGCAGACTTTAGTCGTCGCTCCGCCGCCGCATGGTCCTTTGAGGTCTTGCCCACCCACTCTCGCAGCTTGTCTGATGCAGATTTGGCCTTTATTAGTGCCGCATCACGTCTCAGCTGCTGCTCTCCGAACATCAAGGCCAGTACTGACTGCATGGTCTGCCTCTCGCTCCCATCAGTCTGAAACTTCTTCAAAGCCGCGTCGAAGAGAGCCCTCAAATCCTTGGCAGGACCCATCACAACTCTGGAATTGAGGTACCTTGCAGGGAAATCCTTTTCGCTATTGGAATCCTCGCTGACGCCATAAAGATGGTGAGGCAGTATTGACTCAGGTGAGTACTTGCAGGTTGTAGCATCCCCTTGGCAGCTCTTCTCAGCACCAAACACGATGGTCTGGGTGAACCTCTGGTGCTTGTCCTCATCGACACCATACTTCTTCAGTAGCCGCGCATTTGCATACTCAACCACGGCTTCATATTGCATGATGATGACATCGCTCGGCAGCTGGAACCAAGTATCCTGACCATCCACAATCAATAGCAGATCATCATCGTGTACCAGCTTCTTGTTGTGGAGGTACTCCTTTATCCCAGACAATGTCTGCCATTCCTTGTGACCTGGCCTCACGAACGTTTGATGTAGGTTGACGCCGGTCGGTGGGGGGTAGTCGAGCAGCATTGCCGACAGGGTGGACTTGCAGAAGTCATCCGAATCTTTCTCTGAAGTCATCAGAAGGTGGAAGTTCGGCGTCGACTTTTCGAGCTTTGGTGGCAGGTGAGCAATCTCGCCGTTCTCGAGCTGGAGCGTTGTGTTCGATGGGGCTTTGGAGGGTGTGCTCGTGAGCTTCGGTGTGCTTGCGAAGTAGGGTCGCCATTGGTATTCAGAGAGAGCGTGGTATTGTGCGGTGATCATTTCGGAGTGCCGTATGCCTGCGAGGCCTAGTATGAGTGTGAAGAAGACAACGAGGAAAAGCAACGTCCGCCCTCGCCGTGAGCAGAACCATTGTATGGCTGCTGATCCTATCTCGATCGGTATTTGGCGAGCGGACATGGGCATAGGCAGCATCGCGTCGCCTACCATGATGGGTGAGGTGGTGACGCCTCACAAGGCTCGTCGTCGAGATGCTAGTTGGGTTGCAGATAGAGGAAAGCGACCGGGTGACGGAGGAAGGAGTGGCCCCAACTTGTGTCCCCAACACAACCAGACAGTGTCCCCGACCGGCCTCGTGCGTCCGAGCCGCTCCTAAAAGACCGCTGAAGTGCCCTCGATGACGCCGCCGATTCGCCGATTCATACGCGTCACCTCCACAAATACAATACCCGCAATCTTGTGCAACGCGGCTGTCCTCTGCGATGAAGGTTGCGACCGCTGTAAGAGACGACATCTCGAGGACGAGGAAGACATCGCAACCACCACTGTGGGTTTACTGAAAGCTTCCCAGTGCGCACAACGAGGCGTTGAGTACAGCCAGCCAGTAGGCCACTTTTCAGGTACTCCGGTCGCGAGCTAGGCTTTACGAAGCATAGGCTTCCCGCTTTTGGGTGATCGTGAGCTGCAAATAGATTACCGAGACAATGTGTCCATAAAGCCTTACAGTATCGGCTCTGATTGTGACCGTGCGGGCAGGGTGCCTGCTTCGGGCTGGAGCCGTGGTGGTTGTCGGTCAGTTCTACGCCTTGTTCTATGATGCTGGGTCGCATGTAAAACAGGAAACTTGGCAGGTTTTGGAGGTGATCAGTTGCGCTAGCCTTGGAAGGACCAGGACCCACACACCGGGGCGCCCGCTGTCAGCAGCTGCGGCTGATCTTGATGTATCAAAAGGAGAGTTTGATGCTGCTGCAGGCCCGGGGAGTATTTTCTGCCACCGAATTTGCTTGTATTGGAAGTACTTTGATGAAGAAGTGCCTCGGATGGCCGATGTCTAGAACTGGCGGGTGCAACGCGTTGTGGCATGTGGCTGCGCGCGCCTTCTGTGTAACGTTACAGATTCTGGTGTCCGTGAGCGTACAATAAACGGGCAAAAATGAGCGTCACTGTGGCTGGCTGAGTATCAGAACATGTCTTCAATTTAGCGCTAACAATGAATAGTTCCGAAACCCTGTTCGATAATACGAAGTAGTATGTCGTCCTCCTACTATTCCACTTCCAGCAACGCTCGACCAACCTTTGATGTGTATGCTCTTCTTCTTGGACGGGGCGAATCTTTGTCGTTTGAAACTTCGCAGTCCTTCGCATTAGACTAGGTAGATGATCTGCTGTGACTATCATCTCACGGTCTGATCCTCCATGTCTGTTCCATCTCTCTCTGAGTTTGCACGTCTTCTTCAGTCGAGCATGGTAATGTCCGATCCCTTGAAGCTGCCTAAACTCAGCCTCTTCAACGACCGCATCCCTTCACTGTAGCGGTTGTCAGTATATAACCATTGTCGAAAGGCGTTGGCGAACTTACTCCAACACGCACATGAAACCTCGTAGCAACTTCTTCGATACTGCCCTTCCACTTGCGCCTCCCAGCCCCTCATTCGATTTTTGAGGGAGCTCGACATCTTGAACGATTCGCAGAACTTGCGTACACCAACTCACCGCAGTATCATAGCACTCAGTGGTCCAACACACGCAACCAATCATTGTCTTAACAACTTAGTCACAACAGCAAACAAAATAGACTCTTCAACAGATTCACAACATCTTCGCCGAATCCAACATCAGCTACGCCTCTCTGCGCGTCTACTCGTGCGTGCACGGTGCCTCTGGTTCAGTAGCAGGGATACCCACCTACGTGAACAACACGCAAGAATCCGACATCGAGATCTTCACGCGCTCACCCATAGACTACATGCAGTACACCAACCAGCCCGCCTCCTCAGGCGAACCAGACTGGGTCTCAATCCCAGGCGCAACGGTCAATGTGAGCATGCCGTCCGGCAAAGTGTATACTGACTGGCATGTACACCGCCTGAGCTGGACGCCGGGGAGAGCGTGTTTTTCGTTGATGAGCAGCAGGTGAATGAGACGGCGCTTCATGGGCCGATTGCGAGCCCGCCGAGGGAGCGTGAAGTCGTCATGGAGTGGGAGTATGGAGGTTGGGGGGAACGCGACGTTGGGTATTCTGTGGGTTGAGATGTTGTTCAATACGACGCAAGAGGTTCAAAAGATTGGGGCGAACAGGGTATGTGCGATTAGTGAGGGAAAGGCGGCTGCTGTGCAGCAGTCAGGGGCCATCACTGTGGGTCGGTCATCGCGGCGATGTTGTTCGCGATCATGACTTTCAGCTTTTTGCAAACATAGCTTTGTATTAATTCCTGGTTGGGATCTCGCTAATCATGGTCTGTTCAGTGGAGCGCCTAATACTAACATCTCGCTTCTGGCGCAACTCGGACGCGTGCATTCGTTCTGTGACCTTCAGAAGCTCAGAGTATTGCCCATCTGACGATCTTGTAAATTTATCGATCTAGCGGCCATAGTCGAGAGTAGCTCTTACGTCGATAATATAGACCCGATTTGACTGTGGAAAGCCATAATGCTCATGTAGGAATTGCCACCGGAGTTCGGATACTGGGTAGACTAGGCAGGTACGGAGAAATGACAGGTTTTCAGCAAGAAGAGCCGAATACGCATATTCGTTACCATTTGACTTTTCAATCAGCACTTGTTGGAACATGCTGACATAGAACGACTGAATGAGTGGCAGGTTGGAGGCCCTGTAGAGGGTGCGCCTCATGCTCGGTCTTGGAGAGCGACAAAGCTCTGATGCAAGCTGTCCGAACCTGCAGTAATGACTGTCGATGCTGCCATTACTCCCCAGCGCGGAGTTCTAGTGCCTGTCATTGCGTTGTTCTTGAGGATGTCATTGTTAACAAAGCTGTGAGAATAGCTGAGGCAAAGTCTCGCCACGAAGACATGACTCAAGGCTTGAATCTGGCAGTCCCTTTCCGAATGCTTTGATCCACGCTTTGCCCATTCTCGCCCAGTGAGCGGATCGGTCTGCTACCGTACAAGTGCGTCGGTGAACACGTGACATGTTATCTCGTACATGTGCTCCTTCGTTTCTGAGATTCGGCATCGGTCCCAGAGTTTTTCCTCGAACCATTCGGCGAGTTCTGAGCAGCACCACGATCCCCCCTGAAGATAGATACGAAGGAATTCATGATAATGGTGAGCCTCTGCGAGAAGCTCAAGCTGCTCAGCAAGATTCTTTGCGTGTTTTTTGCGAGCACCTGTGAGTCGCCTGAAAGGAGCGGCCGTTGTGAAGGAGTCAGGTGGACTCTAGGTCGGTAGCGAAGCGTCTCGTGTGTAGAGTCATCCCGTCGACTGCGGATGGGCAGCTTGAACATGTGTGTAGCCATCTGTATGGTCTAGTTGTGGTTCAGGGGTAGTGGTACAGTTGAGAGGTACTCGGAGATTGCTGCAGGCATTTATTGCACGTGTGAGAACGCTGTCTTGTAGGGTTTGTACTTACGCAGGGCTTTGGTGAAAGCATCTGATTCGCCCGCCAGGTTTGCGATAATGGAGAGTAAGAGCACTCTGCCTTCCACTACGCGCGGCGAAGCTCGGAGGCTGTAGGTCCACTGAAAACTCCACGCTCTTAACTCTCACCACCTCGACCGCGCACAAGGACACCAATCACAAACCAAAACCACCGATATGGAAGACACCAACCCCTCTTTTCACTCAGCATCAAGCGGAAAATATGCCCGCAGGATAGCTCCATCGCGGAAGAGCAAACACCATGCCAGAGATCTCAGCGCTACCACGGAGCATAACCAGGGCCCAGTCGAGACAGATACCGTGGATGCCGCTGTGGTAGCTGCTGCATTTGCCCTGATGGACCTCTCACTCAAATCGGTGGGACAGCCGTACGAGCTGACGGAAGAAGAGCGCATTCGCCAAAACTGCATCAAGGACTTGACTGCCATTCTCGTAAAGTTTTTGGACAAGAGCAAAGCCAGCGGTGACACTCTCGACACGGAAATTGACGCCAAGACGCTCGCAAACCACTGCGAATTGACAATCTGGGACGCAACATATGAGCAATGCGGGGATCTCAACATCTACACAGATGCAATGGATCTCGAACAGACGGACTTCGAGACGTGGGAAGCACACTGGTGCTCAGAGGGAAATGGCCGTTCCTTGTTCCTAGAACATGTGCGGAACTTCCACACGCAGGCTCTGACGCCGTCTCTGAAGCGGGCATTCGAGCTCGGTCGAGTGCAGGGCGGTCAGTAGCCCCTGTTTACGAATGGTGCTGGAGATTTGAAATTCACGAATGGACCAAATACCCCAGGAACCACGACAGACGATGAAGAAGATGGTGATCTGGCAGCTGCAATCATAGAGGTACTGGATGAGAAGGATCGAAGGAGTGACCACGCTGGAGATGATAATACAAGGGGTCCAGCGAACGAGGATGTCGGCGGTCCTGTCGTGCTTTTCGGTCCAAGCGGAGCGAGCCTAGAGTCGTTCAAGTTCACGTTCTGAATGCGCAGACTCGAGAGGAAAGACAATACTGAGTTGGTTAAAACCGTGTCTCGCACCTCATGTGGTGTCTTGCGCTGCCGAAAGTTCGAGATCTGCTCTGCATGTGGTTGGGCACTGTCTGTACAGTGTACGTACAAATTGCAATGCAATTCCAAGTCCAATGGACGATGTAGGTCATTTGCCACCCGTGCACGACAAGATTGATCTTCCGCATGTGTCGACAATTCGAGGTGCCATAACGAGCGCAGACGTCCCAGCATCCAGGCACGGCTATGCTGTTGTGTCACGATGCACAACGTGCCTTTTTGACATGCAGCTTGCAGACGTAGTCGCGCTGCCGTGTCGCATCGCAAATAGTTGATATGGCAAGGCATCCTTGAACACGTTACTGCAATTCAACATAGTCAGCGCCGAATTTTGCTGAATAGTCAGCCGTCTGTAACGTGAAGGTAGAAAGCGTCAGGAGGCGTATTGGAGGTTGGCAGTCGATAACAATCATGCTCACCCAGGTCATCACCTTAAGACATGCTTTGCACTTGATGGGAAAGTGCTGACTTCTCGACCATCAATGGGGTCATCTGGGCGGCCGGGGCGACCGTCAGGTACGAGGGCTCAGGACCCTGGCGGAGCGTGCGCTGAGATGTTTGGCTCGGTTGACGAGTCTTGTCTGAGGGCCTCTCTCGCCAGGCCCCACTACTTTGCGTTCCAGCACTGAGCTTGCTTTCAAAAAGATGCATAACGCGGACGATGCGAAAGAGGAAGTCCACGGTTGCCGCTGTCGTCTCTTCATCCCTGCTCAATAGTCGTCCCGTCTCTTCTTGACCATTTCTGCGTAGCCCTACAGAGTCAACACCAGGAACCCCAGCCGCGTGACAGTTCGAGATGGCTTTGAGACGGTGGAGATGCAGAGGTGAGAGAAAGCGGAAGTCGGCCGCCAGAAAGGACCCCTGCTAGTCTTGGTTGCTGACGCCACCCGCGAGCACGTCGACGGGAAGGTGCTCACGACCTCGGATGCTTGCTTCTTCTCATATTTTTATGCCTGCACCGTTCCAACTCTCTGCTAAGCTGTACACATTTGGTTGCCGTCGCCTTGGTCTACTGAGGAATCGCCACCCCTCCATCTGCACCCCTGCCGAGCGCCCGCTATTGCCAGGGCAGCCCCGCCATCGCCTCGGTCGCCGCGACGTACACACTGCAACGCGCCTTAGCTGCCAGCACTCTCTCTACACTGTCGCTGCATATATAAGGCCTCACGTGCCCTAGCAGTATAGTCCTTTCATCACCAGGCTCTGCGATTGCCACTCGACGAACCTACCCTGCTCTACATTCGCTTTTCGACGACCCCCGCTTGATCATCGACCAAGCTCCATACAAGCTTCACTCGGCCACAGTACACAACCACCACAGCACGCGAAGATGACCTCCAGCGCAGCAGGGCTACTGGCCCGCCAGCTCAAGCAAATGCAAAACGACAAGAGCATATCAGGCATAAGTTGTGGCCTGGTAGAAAACAATGTCTTCGAGTGGGAAGTCATGCTCATGATCGACGACGACACAAAGTTCTATGGGGGTATGTGGATCGTAATCGCAGATATAGTATGATGCTGACGTATGCAGGTGGCTTCTTTCGCGCACGGCTGAACTTCCCATCCGAGTACCCAATGCTGCCACCCAAGATGCGCTTCGAGACACCAATTTTCCACCCAAACAGTAAGCCGCAACCCTTCAAGAGACCTCCACATGACTTTCTTTGACACACAGCTAGTCTACCAGAACGGCGAAGTCTGCATCTCGATCTTGCACCCGCCCGAAGAAGACAAATACGGCTACGAGTCCGCCGCAGAGCGCTGGTCACCCGTCCAGACCCCGGAGACAATCCTTCTTTCTGTCATATCTATGCTCTCAAGCCCGAACGACGAGTCGCCGGCAAACGTCGAGGCCGCAGCGCTGTGGCGAGAGAACACACCCGAGTTCAAGAAGCGCGTCAGAAAGTGTGTACGAGATAGCTTGGAGTTCGAGTAGACGGTGGAGTAGGAGACGTGGATCAAAAAGGTCGATCAGGGCAAGGGGCTGGGGTTACAGAGCTGAAAGACGAACACTATGGCATCTCCCACTACTTGATCATTTAGGCGTGCATGGTGGGACTTGAGGCATGGTTTGCTTAGCGTACAATGCATTTAAGATGCCTCTTATTCTGGTGGCTCGCTAACGGTGTGCAAAGACCCATCAGAAATGTCGAACAGCTCCTGAGCTTGCATACATGTCGCCTTGAAGTCCAGCTACCTAATCTCCTCTCAAGGTTCAGCAGGCCATCCACGTGCCAACTTGAAGCCCCTCCAGGTCCTGCAGGACAACCTCAGTCAGCCAGACTGAAAGTGTGTACAGCGGTCTCGTCAGCACCGCTTCCGGCACAATCGTAGCGTACAGTCGGACTCCCTCAATATGCCTCTCGAACAAGTCCTCAATGTCCCTGGCCATCCTCCTGTCCACCCGTCCTCTTCCCAAGACGCCTACCAGGACGAGCGCCGCGGTCATGGCGAACATGCAGAACAAGACACAGTGTGCCAATCTGAGCCTCCACATCCTACGAAAAGGGCCGAGAAGAGGGTGCTTGACTCCCCTACGCATTGTGCGCCACCACTCCGCTTCGCCGATGAGGAAGTATGTGATGCTAAATTGCACAGCCAGCTTCTGCTGCACCGTTGAAGAACCCATCGAGAACGACCTGAGGGAAATGTCGGCGGGGTTGAACGCCGCAAGGGCCAGCGTGCTGACGGCGAAATGGTAGATCGTCTGCAGGGGACTACGACTGAAGTATGCCTGCACCAGGATGGCCTAGGGGCAAAATCTGGGTACTGAAGCGGATATGGGAGAGGAGTGTACATTCGTAGTGGTGGATGTTGATGAAGGACCATAGTCAGGGGTTTGCGACGGCGAGCGCGGAGAGACGACCTGATGCCTCAGACTCGATCTCCCCGGTCACCCCTTTTCAGCAATCTGCGCCCTCACTTCCTCCATGTCGGTAATCCGGAGGTATTGTTCAAGGTGATATTGCTGGTTGATCAGGGACTGTCTCCTCTCTCGTACCTTCCTGAGTTGCTTTAGAAAGAAAGATCGGAATCTCCCAGAGGTCCGCATTCCTCCTCCGTGGGTCAGATGCTTGAAATGTCGCGGCCACTTGCTGGTGTATAGCTCTTTGAAAGTCGATGCGGGCCCGGGCCACTTCGATCTCGAGGCCTATAGACTAGATATTCTCTCTTACATCGATCAGCAAGCGCTCGTTATGTTTCCGTTGGGCGAATACCGCATGCTCTCGCGCTGGGCTCTTAAAGGAGTGGGGTTCTTCACCAGTAGTGGTTACTTGCTGCGCTCTATAGATAGGTATGTTCGTTGGTAGTGGTGCCAGGTTCTCACGGAGCTCCATGATTAGTAGCTAAGCGATATAAGTGTTACGAGAGTAGGTGAAGAAGATTGCGCTCTTGACTTCCAGCTTACGGGACTCTCGATATCTTACCCGATCGGGAGAGAGCAAACGCGTCGTTTCTCCTTGCTAGAGAGTTTACTGACCAGCTATCGAAGGCATCACCGTTGTGTGTGTACTCAACTGCCTGGCTTGTGCGAGGAATACAACTGGTGCTGATGGGCTAAAGGGACGGTGGCCCATCGACAGATGGATATAGAAAGGGTGGCGCGGCGGCTTAGTTTTGGAGCCCGTTCTAGAATCAGGGGTTGAGATCTGTTCTGACCTGTGCTGGTTCACTGCTCCTATATTACTGCGGGGATGTCTAATGTAGCTGCCGGACTGATCGATGCACTGTATCTTGCGCTATCATTCGCATCGCTTTCTGTCTGCCTACTGTACTGGCTCGAAATCTACTCGCGTTAGATGTGTTTGTATTGGTACGACATTACTGGCTGCACGATCAAAAATGTTTCTTAGGAAACGGATCACATTAGCGCTCCTGGAAGACCTGAACGCCTTTCGTATACTCCAAAATCACTTCAATCTGCTCTCACCGTCTCTTCTCTTAATTTCTAACGCAGTGTCAACACAAGGCGTCAATTCCACAACAGCCAAACATGCATGAATCGGTCTACCAGTTGAACTCACCCACCATCCTCTTACGTTGCTGATGCTCCCTGATCCTCACCAATGCACCAAAGTCAGTTGGACCCTGCCTTCCGCAGCCCAAACTAGTAACACAAATACCATCTTGTTCAGCTTCAGGGACAGTTGTGTTGCTACACGAAGACGATGCTGCACAGATACTCTTGACACAAATCTCACCAAGCCTGCAGCCCGTCGTCGCTTTGCACTTGGGTGTATCGCTGAGGCACTGATACATGTTCGCATCGAAGCAAATACCAAAGCCATCAGAATCGCGTGCGCAAGAGCAGCTGACGCGACTAAGGCCCTGGTTGCATTCGCGCCGGAACGTACAGTTTGTGTCGCAGGGTGGGTCAAGAGGGCGACGAGCGCACACGCCGTTGAAGCATACGAGACCGTCACCGCACTTGTTTCCGCAGCTTCCGCAGTTGGCTTTATCAGATGCGGGGTTAAGACAAGTGCTGTTGCAGAGAATCCAGCCGGGGGTGGCGCAGGTTGGTGTTGGGGTAGTGGGGCTGGTCAGGGTAGTATTATAGAAGGTGGTAGTAGTGGCGGAACTTAGAGTTGAAGATGAGGTTATCGTTGTGTTGAAAGTCTCAGAGCTTGACGATGTGGCCGAGCTGGATGATTGGGACGAAACGGTACCTGTTCCTGTGCCAGTACCAGTCGACGGGGTAAGGGTGACCGTAGTAACCATAGTCGAGGAGCTATGCGACAAAGTAATGACGGTCAACAAGCTACAAGATGCTGTAGAAGTGACTGTCGACGTGAGTGTCAAGGTATCCGTACTGGTCAATGTCTAGAGTACGTTAGAACACATTCGAGACTAAGGGCGCACAATATTTACCGTCCTGGGTCCATTGACATTGATAATGCTTGACGTGAGGTTCTTGCAAGAGCAGGCGCTCGCGTAGAAGACATCTGAATTGGAGCAAGGTTCGCCGGCGTAGGTAGGAATAGGGCCGATGATGGTTGTCGTGCTGGTAGACAGAACCTCGTTTTGGCGGACTTTCAACTTACCAGCTATCTCTGCCGGAGTCGGGCTTGGAGTAGAAAATGAGAAGCCTGGCAGAGATGAGGCAGTGCTAGACGACTTGCTAGGTAGGGTCGTTGAGCAAGACACTACTGCAGTTGCAGTGGTCCGAGCGACAATGGTAATGGTAGCGCTGGCAAAGTTTATAAGCTTTGGGCAAGCAAGCAGCAGCGTAATGTAGACTTACACTGAATATGTGTATGTGGCTATTGTTGTTGTCAGGTGGCTCATGCAATCTCGAAGTGCACTTAGGGGAGCGTCGGGACCTCGATCGGTTCCCCAGACGGCTCGAAAGCAGTTATCCGTGGAGCAGGTGCCCTGCCTAGATACTAACTTGGCACCAGAAGCACAGGCGGCGTAGGAAGCAAGAACGATCTTATGTAGCTTCATGGTTGATTGTAGCGAGTGAATGAAGGCGAAGGTGTAGCCTGCAGAACTATGATCGGGAACCGGAAGATCTTTATATAACGATGATATGCTGCGCAACTCATTCAGGGAGTTGCCTGCTTAAAAATCCAGTCAGCTGTTGCTAGACTGAAGCTGGGGGGGAAAGCCACTCAAGTCCACAAGCCAACGGACAATGTCCACAGGACCAGAAGTCTCAACCACTGACTGCTCTACCGAGCGTACAAAACATTGAAAGCGAAGCTTTGGATGGCATATTCCTTGCTTCGACAAAGAAATTGCGTCTGCGTACGCCTGTGGTTCAACGGCGTGATACATTAGAGGAGCCGTCAAAGTATGCGCTGGGATATTAATCACTACTCATTCTATGACTATGCCGGATCGTGTTGGAGCCGCTCACCACGATAGCTCAAGACGTCGCGCACGGCATGATGCGGTGTTATCGCGTATGCAGGCGATGACGCACCTCAATGCAGGTACAGTGTAGTCGTTCCTCGTTACTATAGAGAGGCTGAGGCCCACCAATCAACAGTTACGAGCTTACGGCAGGCTGGTCACTGGTCGATGAGTGAGCTAGTGTCTGCAACACAATTGCCAAGTGCCAAAGCAGCACGTTAGTCGCGAGATCACGTCCACAGGGATGAGAAACGCGCACTGTCTGCAGGGCCCTAGTCTTTGATGGTTCGTAGGGTATCAGTTATGGTTGCTTAGATCGATCTCCGTGCAGCCCTCAAGCTATTAGTGCGTGGCTCCCACTGGCGTCGCAGTAGGAGTACATGCTCGCGTTCTTCAACGGCCACGAACATTTCGGGTATGATGCACGCAAATATGACGCGACTTCCTCTCGATTAGATTTGTCCGCGGGAGAAATAGAGGTCTCAAGATGTATACCCATGGCGGCGCCTCCGCCATACGTTGAGCAACCGCGTCGTCACGTTCCAGCAACTTGTTCGACATCGGCCCAATTATTACCCTGCGAAAGGCAGGCATCCATTCTCAGGCGGGTGGTAGAAAATTTGCGAAAAGCATCCCCTGGATCATAGCATACATGACCATGGCGCGAATGGTATATTGCGCACGACCAGGTTGACCCCCAGTACGCCGTTCTGATTCGACGTCAAACAGCCATGAAGCCACTGTCAGATACCAGATGGGGTATCCGGAAGAGATCCGATTAACGATCTGAACGTGGAAACTGGTAGCTGCTGTGACGGCTAGGACCAGCTGCGGCAATGCTAGTTCTGGCAGGTTGTACGTCAAAGGAGGCGTATGCTTAGCGCCAGAGGTATTACTAGAGTGGGGTACAGAACGCCCTCGCAACGGCTGGGCATAGCCTATGCGGAGGTATGTAACACTCGAGTAGACCAACAGCCATAACATCGGGAACGCAAGCAAGAACAGTGGGAGGTTGGGCAGGGTCCAGTAACGGAACAGTCCGACATTCCTGATCGCATGTTAGCTTTGGTCTTGCTCACAGCCGGTACACTCACCAATAGTGACTTTGTACCCATGAGTATATACTAGGTATACTCTTCTCGCACCATGGCCTTACCGCGGAGCCGCTGGCGTTGCAAAAGTCCAAGTAGGCAAGGTATTGCGGTCCAACAAAAGCAAGTGCTATCAAAGAGCCGGATGCGCAGGTAAGGATTATTCTGAACATGTTGTGTATGCCCAACCGCATCGAGAGAAGCTGGGGTACGTATCGCGTAACGTCATACAGAAGTACCAAGCCACTCAGCAAGCCATTGCTTCGTATGGTAGTCGCCACAGCAAACAGCAGACCTGAGCTGAGCTTGTAGAAGATCTCCAGGAAGCCAAGGGAAGACGTCTTGGCGGCCGATCTAGACTCAGCATAGCAGAGCATACCTGCCAAATTGATCAAAGAGAAGAGTGACTCGGTATAGGGCGCTGAGAGGAACAAGGAAGCTGGCGTAAGTATGTGGAGTACAGATGCGACGAAGGGGATCCGGGATTGCTGCCACCCCACTCCCGTGAGATGGGTTGTGAGTCTGTGCAGAATGAGTACTGAGAGGAGGTGGCAAGTAGTGGAGATGATGATGCCAGCCAAAACGTAGTACTGGATCGTACCTGCCGCTGTGCCGGAGATGTCTACGATTGTGTCAATGCCATCTCACTGCAAAGATCAAGCCTTCTCACATCGTCCCATGACATTCAGAATCCCGGAGAAACCCGGGCTGAATGCCCACTCCTGCTCAAACATCAGGCCCCGCTCGGCTGCCTTGACAAAGTACAACGCATCCCATCGGAAGAGGTTAAGGACGAATTGATCGAAACGTGATGAGAATTTGAGGTTTGTATAGCGATCGAGACTCGAATCAATCAAAATCAGACCTGAGGTGTCGTACCCCGGCCCTGGACAGAGCGCAGTGAGGCAGAAGAGCAAGGCTTTCCATGCAAAGAACACAAAGACGAGCTGCCTCTTGTCCGAGGAACTTGATGCTGCCATCGTGGACATGAAGTGACGGAGCTGGTGATGGTCGAGGAGGCCGCGTCTCGATTGGACAGCCCACTAGCAGTTGCCACAAGCGCTCGCTTAACCAGGCACGGGCCATAGAGCACAAAAGTCCTAGCACCCCGTCAATTTCGACTTTTCGTTCTTCGTCCAGCAAACACGTCGTCGACCGCCAACTAACCAACGGTAAGCGCAACACCCGCCTCTGATCCGCTCGAACAGCATTCAGATCGCATGCAACAGCAATCGCGCATGTCGACAACAATGATGGCCAGAGTGCAGCGCGGTAGCAATGCCCGCTCACTCTTACGAGCTACAGAACTACTTAGTGGATGAACATTCGCTGATAGTTTCTGTTCTCTATGACAGAGCCTCTACAGTTCAAAATGCCTCCTAAGGGAAAGAAGACCGCCCCCGCCCCCTTCCCCCAGGGAAAGGCTGGCACCAAGAAGGCTGCTAAGGTACGTTGGAAACTCACGCGCAGTGACTTCGCAGGCTCTAATCAATGACAGAACCCTCTCCTCGAGAAGCGCCCCAAGAACTTCGGTATCGGCCAAGACATCCAGCCCCAGCGCAACCTCGGTCGCATGGTCAGGTGGCCTGCGTACGTCCGTCTCCAGCGCCAGAAGAAGATCCTCAACCTCCGTTTGAAGGTCCCCCCAGCGATTGCCCAGTTCCAGCATGTTGCTGACCGCAACCGTAAGCACCACTACAACCAGTCGGAGGATCGCGGCTAACGCATTGCAGTCGCTACCCAGGCTTTCAAGATCCTCAACAAGTACCGCCCTGAGACCAAGGTCGAGAAGAAGGAGCGTCTGACCAAGGAGGCTACCGCCATCTCTGAGGGCAAGAAGAAGGAGGATGTCTCCAAGAAGCCCTACACCGCCAAGTTCGGTCTGAACCACGTTGTCGGCCTTGTCGAGAACAAGAAGGCCTCGCTCGTCCTGATTGCCAACGACGTCGACCCCATCGAGCTCGTCGTCTTCCTTCCCGCCCTTTGCCGCAAGATGGGTGTCCCCTACGTCATTGTCAAGGGCAAGGCCCGTCTCGGTACCGTCGTCCACCAGAAGACAGCTGCCGTCCTCGCCCTCACCGAGGTCCGCGCCGAGGACAAGACTGAGCTCTCCAAGCTCGTCTCCGCTGTCAATGATGGCTACCTCGAGGCCCACCACAAGGACGCTTCCCGCCACTGGGGTGGTGGCATCATGGGTGCCAAGGCCAACGCTCGCATGGCCAAGCGCAGGAAGGCTCTTGAGAGCGCCATCAAGATCTAAACGGTCTGAATGGTTTGCTAGGTTCATGAATTTTACGGCGTGTCTCTTGTCTCTGCATGTAGGGTCCACAATACCAAGGAGTTACGGAGGGTTAAAAGCAGTCGCTATGACACTGCATTGACTGGAATCGAACAACGATAACGCACGCCATTAGCATTACTTGCAGACATGAGTGATTAGTGAAGTAAGCCCTAGCAAATTTCTTCTACACATAGGGTTTTCCACAACAGCGGTCTCCGTCGCAGCCGCCAGTCTTACCTAAGGCAAGTACCCCACCCCCACTTCTTAAGATATGCGTGGGCACCCACTTACATCATCCTACACAACAGTCTGTCGCAATGCCGTTGACCATCCTGACCGACTCAGACGTACGCGATCTGCTGCACCAATTGTCTAAGCAGGACATACTTGACCTGCAACAATCCCTCGCCGACGGTCTGCACTACTACTCGACCGCAACCGAAGATGACTCCAATGCATGCTGTTCGTCATACCAGCCCATGCGCACAGCGCTCAAGCGCAATGATGGACAAACAACACTCTTCATGCCAGCTTCGAGCAATGATGGTATTGGCTTCAAGGTTGTAACACTGTCCACACCTGATCAGAAAGCTGCCTCGGACACGTCGTCGATCGCGTCGTCCCTCAAGGCTGCCTCCCTCGCTGAGTCAACACAGTCCAGTGGCTCCTACGGACCGCCTCAGTCTCTCGCGAGCTCGCAAAGCACAACACCAAAGGGGACATTGCAGCTCTTAGATAAAGATGGGTCGCCTCGAGCACTCGTCAATGCTGAAGAGATCACGGCTTTCCGCACGGCGCTGGCCAGTACTATGTTGTTTAAGAAACGACACAACGTTCACGACATCGTCGTATTCGGCGCAGGTAGGCTATTGACATATTGCGTTGTAGTGCGGACCTGACTGTCTTTCTAGGCAAGCAAGCATATTGGCACATTCGACTTGCCCTAATACTACGATCCACAGAGATACACCACCTCAACATCATTAACCGCGACTTCGAGCGTGTCCATCAGCTACTCCAATCCCTCTACAATCCTGACGAGCAACCCACCAAGTTCGACCCCAGCACGGCCAAGATTCTCTCGTATAGGAAAGAAGGCGAAAACCTGCACCGGCCGAAAATACAGATCCTTACTCCCTCGCACGGGGAATACGAGCGCCTCCTCAAGTCCACAATACGAGCCTCGTCCGTCATCTTCTGCACGACCCCAAGCCTGCACCCACTTTTCCCAGCACCCTACCTCACAAACCCAGAAGGCAGGAAGAAAGGCCGCTACGTAGCAGCTATCGGGTCGTACAAGGCGCATATGTGCGAAATCCACCCCGACATACTCCGTCAGAACGTCACACCCGACCACGGTCGCCAATTCCACAAGCACGCTCCGCAAGGCGGCGCAGTCATCGTCGATAGCGTGGAAGCATGTCTCAAGGAAGCAGGTGAGATCATCCAAGCTGGTCTGTCGCCCAATGAACTTGTCGAGATTGGAGAACTCGTCATGCTTAAGCGGGATGCCGAGAAACGACGATCAGAGTGCATGGCACAGAAACGGATGAGCCAGGAAGGCCTGGATGATAATGGTGTGGAGCTGGGAGAGGCACCTTCCTCGAAGAAGAAGAAGAAGGGCAAGGGAGGAAAAGAGGAACACGATAAGGAACACCATAGTCTTGTGGAGTGGTTGCAAAAGGGCAACGTCATCTACAAGAGTGTGGGGCTGGGACTAATGGATGTGGTCGTTGGTAGTGATTTGGTAAGGCTGGCGGATGAAAGGGGTATCGGGACGAAAATTGAGAACTTCTGAGGTTTGAGTAGATCGACAATCGAACGAGACACAGCAAATAGAGATCACATCGCAAGATGGCTATGCAACGAATGCATCCCATGTGCAGCTTTCTTAATTCATCTGCACATTCTTTGCAGCTCACTTATCCTATCAAATGATGAGATCTCGAGGCAAACACTACGGGAAAATGTGACCACGCACATTAACAGCGTAGAGGCGTTGCACCCAATACACCTCTAGTAACACGGTACCCAACGAACCTCCGCTGTGACCAGTGCGTGTTTTTAGTTTGATACAATCGCGTCAGCTCGCGCCATTGCAGCGGCCGCCTTGTACACGCCAATACAGGCAGCCGTTGTTGTCCGAGGTCGGTGCCGTAGCGTCGCACTGTAGTAGATACGAATTCCCTTTGTTACTAGTAGGATTGGTGAAGGCTTATGTAAGAGTGGAAGGCATCTACCGTCTCAGACCGAAGAGGCTCACGGTCATCGCGAAATCCGATGCCGAGTGTGTAGAGGTGAGCCAACCCTATCTCCTCGTAGCTTCTGCAAGGAAGCTTATGGTCATGCTAGTATGGAAGTAGTCATGGTACATGTTGTAAACATCTGGGTCGCCTGAGGCCGTGATATTAACTTCACGGCGCAGGCCAATGCCTTACAGTCCAGCTCCAATGCTGGTTTTTGGATGTCTCAAGGAAAGGAAATTTTTATACCAGGATCGTGTCTTCGCTTTGTCGCAGTGCCTACCGAGATCAGACAGTCAGTATCATCTGCATGTGATCCGGTTACATGTTCGGTGCTCCGAAGAAACCGCGTGTCGACATTTGTAGGGATACTAGAAGCAGATTCGAGGGAAATTGGTCGAAGGCTAATTGAACCATGACTGCCACCAAAACCATCTGAGCACACTATAGCAACTACGGAGCACCACTGTGAGCTACAATTTTGCGAGGTAAGAGAAGCAATGAACCGGACCAGGTGGTAGCCCAGCTCTTTCACAGACCATGCGGACGTGCTCAAACAACCCTTCCAAATCAAGCCTGTGCACTTTACAAGAGCGTTTGTTTCTTCTTTTTCGAGCCTGCGCCTCAAGCTGTCGTCGAAGATCCAGACCCTCGCGGAAGCTAAAGCAGGGGCGAACAGAGAGTCCGGGGCGTAGAACACATACAAAATAGTCTAAGCCGTCCATCCCCATCCCCGATACGGGCAAGGTAAGCTCGAGGGTAAGCTTTCGAGTGTCTTGGCAATCTGCGCGAGTAACATCTCATTACGAGTGGCTGAAGCAGGTCTCAGGGGCGAGCCGGTGCGCTCGACAATCGTCCCGTATCTCACGAGGCAGCTTGGGCCAGAGCGCTGAACGTGGGAAGACCTAGACCGCCTTGCCGAAGCGAGAGTCAGTGATATGAACCCATTGGTGTGAACTTTGTATGCAGGGGAGGGGTAAAATAAGGAAAGAGCTGGGGGCTGCACGTGATCGATAAACGCCTTCGCCAGAATCGGCTTGTGCGCCGGACGAACTTCCGATGGACGGATCCTCGATGCATTTGTTCCCTCACACACCATCGTCACCCATCAACATCTACAGTAAAACGCAATGGCCGAGACATCGGCATTGATAACACCTTGAATTGTCTGCAATGACAGAACACCGTGAGAGATGCCACCGTTGACCTCCGGCGAACGAGTTGGCGCGGATGGGTTAGCGCGCTCAAGAATGCGCCACAAAACAACCAGACAGCTGACACTGTACATCTCCCTTTGCGGTATGCTCCGCAGGGCTTCAATACCAAGACCGAGGATTACACTCGCCTACAATTTGGTGGAAGCGTGCTATTCTAGCGTACCACTACCACCACTTCTCAGCTGAAGACATGGAGCCCCGTCAGGTCTATCCAGAGCAATGCACTCGATGTGGAAATTGCAACTATCTAGACCTTGAGGAAAGCCTCAGCAACCTCAGAAGAGGTGAATATAAGACGTGCGTAGGTATCTGCTCAGAAGGGCATCACAGTCCTGCGGTATCACCCCAATCCCTAATAGAGCCTTTGGCTCGCGCCACTCTTTACTGCTGCTCATTTTGTCATCAATCGTGATGTCGTCCTTTCTTTTGAAACCAACGCTCATTTTGGGTCTCTTGGCCGCACGCTCTCTCGCAGTTCCTGCTCTTACCTCCGAGAACTCTTATGTAGCCCGACGCGCAACGGACGAGCTCTCCTGCTGGGACAACCATAGTGATGGCAAAACTTTTATCGCACAGAACGGAGACTGGGAGATCATCTGCAGCAAGGACTATGCGTGAGTAGCAAAGCCTTATCGAGGGGATATTACCTGTACTGACACTGAGTAGTGGCGGCGACATGGGAGCCTCATCTCCTGGCTCGTTCGAAGAATGCATCAGAGAATGCGATACCACCCCTGGGTGTATCGACGTATCCTTCGCCTGGCCCAACTCCTGCTACAAGAAGAACAAGCTCACCATTGCCGTCGACAACAACTCCATTTGGACTGCGCGCAAGAAGGTTACCTCTTCCACTGGCAGCAGCGACATGGATACCAAGACACCTGCTGTTACACAGGATGTTACTTGTGAAGGCAAGGCCAGCGAAGGTGTCAAGTATAACTCGAAGCAGGGCACATTCTTGATCGAGTGCGGCGTTGACCACTAGTAAGTCCATCAAGTCTCTTCTTTCTACCGCTCCTTTAACAAGCAATTAGTGGCGGTGACATCGGCTCTTCGAGTACTGACAGCTTTGCGGCCTGTATCGAAGACTGCGCCGCAACAACTGGTTGCGTTGACGTCAGCTATGTTTGGGGAGCCTGTTACAAGAAGGGCACACTCAACGAGGGTGGCGCTGTAGGACATGTGTGGTCGGCCAAATTGGTCGCATCTGACCCTGACACCACTCGCACCACTTTTCCTAGCACTACTACCACTGGCACCACAACGGCTACTGCCCAGGCTACCTCCACGCCCATCACATGCCCTGCTAGTAACGGCCAGACCCCTACCATCGCTTCTGGCGGTACCTACGAGATCGCTTGTGGTACTGACTACGGAGGCGGTGACTTCATGGCCGTCGATGCAGCTACCTTCGATCTGTGCCTCAAGGCCTGCGACGACAACAATGCTTGTCAGGCACTTGCTTATGTCGCTCCAACATGCTACTTGAAGAACGAAGTCAATAAGGCCAACGCCGTCGGGCACGTCTGGGGCGCCATTGTTAAGAAAGCCGCCAAAGATGTATTCGTCTTCCCCACTGTTCCTGACCAGACTTTAGAACCGAATGCCATTGAGTCTATCATGGCTGATGTTCTTACGCTTCCTCCAATGCCCACGGCGACCCTCGGTCCAGTGTCTCCTCCTGGTGTCGACATGGGTGGTCTGGATGTACTTACTCCGGAGCCCAAGACCGAGCTTTGGTTCAGCGGTAGCGCTGCCCAGATGAAGGACGATGAGTCTGGCGCTGTCACTGTTCGTATCTCTGTCGACTACAAGTACCCCTCCATTGTTCTGGACCACTCCATCTACATTAAGAACGTCGACTGCTCAAGCGGCAGTCTTCAGGGTAAATTCGACAACCTTCTGGCATTCACCCACGCTGCGGATTCATGGCCAGCGAAAGCTCCCCTTCTTCTTATCACCAGTGCACAGAGCTGCGGCAATGGCGATCAGAACTCCTTCTGGCTTGCTCAATCGACCACCTTCGATCAAAACGCCAACACCTTCAGCGCTCCTGGTATGGCCGTCGAGCTCGCTGATATCTACAACGAAATGGATATTGATTTCGGCAAGATTGAGGTGAACAATAGCACCGGCAACAGCTCCATCGGCACCGACGGAGATGCGCTGAGCTGTGGCAAGCCGGACTCTCCTTTCGTCGATGGTCTCCCCGCCGTTGCATGTGGAACTTCTTTCGACAAATCCCTTGATGACAACCTTGGGTATTACGCCGCCAATGGTGACGACGAGCAGCATGTACTGGCATCAGCCGGCGGAGATGCTTCCAATAGCACCGACATCAGTCTCAACGTGAGGCGCGACCTATCCAAGCGATGGAGCTTGAAGAGCGCTTTCAAATCTATCGCTAAGGCCGTTGTCCAAGTCGTCAAAAAGGCTGTCGTTGTAGTCGTGAAACAGGTGGCTGTGACATTCGTTTCGGTTGCAAAGGCTGCTGCTAAGCTTGCTGTTGCCGTCGTCAAGACCACCGTCAGGGTCGGTATCGCCATTGCCGTCAATTACGCGAAGCTCGCCAAATTCATCGTGACTGGCAACTACGATAACTCTCTCACACTTCCGATCGATCTCACAGGTACGAGTCTGACCAAGGCTACACCTTGGGATGGCACCACAGGTTTCAAGTTCTACGATTACAAGCCAGACCGCAAGGGTGCTAAGTGGAAGGCTTCCAAGATCAACCTCGAGAGGGTCGCGACTGAGCTTCTAAAGGCTCCTGGAGAGGCTGATCCTGAGCCGGGTATTGAACTGTGGTGCGTCGACTGTGGAATCAAGGGAAAGTTCGTCGCAAAGGGTTCTCTCAGTGCTACACCTCTCTCCGGTCTGAAGAAGGCCCAGGTCGGTGTACATGGCAACATGTATGTCGGCGCATTCCTGGGCGTCAACGCTTTCACCAAGTACGAGAAGACTATCAAGAAGGAACTCATGAAGCGCAATCTCGCAGGTTGGGAGATCCCTAAGATCGTCTCCCTGGGGCCCGCCATCAGTCTTAGTACTCAAGCGACCTTTAGCGTCGAAGCTGAAGGACAATTACTCGCTGGTGCCAGTCTGAACTGGCCAGCTTTCGAGGCGACCCTGGACTTCGTCGATACCCGCAAGTCGACTCAGTCTGGTTGGACCCCGCAGGTTACTAAGAAATTCGATGCTCATGGTGAACTCACTGCTACTGCGGCTCTCGGTCTGCCCGTCACCTTGAGCTTTGGTGTTGACATTCTGAGCGGCAAGATTAAGAAGGAGATCGAACTGTCGGATATTCCTGCCCTTACTGCGGAGGCCAAGCTTGAGTTTGATGTTGGAACATCGAAGAACCAATTCGGAGGCGACGACTGTCAAGGCATCGCGTGGGACATTGCCCTCACCAACGAGCTTCGCATCGACGTCCCCGGAACTGAGGGCTGGAAGCTGAACGGCTGGAAGTCTCCTCCTCTAGCCAAGGGCTGCATCGGTCGTACGCGTATCCCAAGCGAAGATGAGTCTTCCTCGACCTCCTCCACCATGCCTACAACCTCGACTACTCCCACGCCTACACCTACACCCATCGGTCTCCACTGCCCAGATGCAAGTGGCAAGACATATACAGACTCTGGTGCCCAAATGAAGCAGTACACCGTCACCTGTAACCAGGATGCGGCTGGCCTTGACATCACGTGGGCCTACCGAGCCTCCATGGAGACCTGTATGGACTGGTGTGGTACTGTCTCAAGCTGCGTCGGTACCGTCTTTGCGCCAAAGCGCACCGACATCAACTGTTGGCTCAAGAGTGGTTATCCGGCACTGATTGCTAATCCTTCGCCAAACACAGATCCCATTCACAGCTCCATGACCTCGCAACCTACCTTCACTATTCTGAGCATGTACTATGCCGACCGGGACATCACACCCTACGCTAAGCAGAACGTGGCTCGCGGCACGCAACTCGTCATCGACACGAACAACATCGTGGGATGGGCCAACGGCGACCCATGGCCTGGTAACCAAAAGAGTATTTCTATGCTCTTCAGCTACGGAAAAGAGCTGCGCACGTTCGTTGTCGCCAGCGGCACAGGAGTCTACACCCTCAACCCCGGTCCTGCTACTTCCCAGCCTGGTGTCCAAGTCGCGCCAGGCTACGAGTCCATGTCAGGCGTTTCCAACATCAACATTGTTGCCGTGGCATATGGTCGTGGCGCCATTACCTCCCGCGTCGTGTTCCAGAACATGTACAATGCGATAAGGAACGCAGGCGGGAGGTGGCAGTACACCAACGACAACTTCGGTCAAGACAACTGGGTGGGAGTTGGAAAGACAGGTGTCGTTTGGTACCAAAACCTCGATGGCGACTACCTCGTCTCTAACCCTGCCCGCGAGGGCAACTACAATTTCTTCTATAACGCTCGCTGGAGCAAGCGCCAGGAACAGGAGATTGCCCCGTCGCAAGAGCCTACGCCCATCGAGGCCGAGGGCAACTCAAACAGTCAGCCGACTGTTGTCGGCGCAAGCCCAGCACAGAACACTCCTGATGCTGAGCTGACCCCGTCCCCAACTCCCCTCCTCGCATCGTCTGCCGATACTTCGGACCAGACTCCCAGCGCTACTCCTGCCAGCAACAGTGCTTCCGAGACCTCCTCTGAAGCCCCTGCAATCCCCGCGGCTACCAGCTCGGACTTCCCTCAGCTGAACGTCAACAACTCCACCTTGAACTCTACCTCCAATGCAACTGACGTCAACTTTGTCAACTTCGACATTGTCGACACGACCAACTCGCTGAAGCTGAACCCAAGCACGGACGGCAACCTCTTCCTCTCCCTTGTCGGAGACAGCACCGACCTCTCTAACCTGACAACCGGCTCTTTCACCGGCGACTCGGACTCCAAGACCATCTTCGGCGACTCTTCGGACCGCTTCCTGCACTATTACCCCGACGTGCTTGCCTCCTCTGGCGCCTCGCGTCTGCGTCTCGCAGCGTGGGACAAGCTGCCGAAGGGAGCAAAGCTCATCACGCTGACACAGATTGAGATCGAGGGAGAGACGATGATGCTGGGCATTGACACAAAGGGCAACTACCTGTGGCCGTTCGTCTGTGGCATCAAGGGCCAGTTGAACAAGATTTTCCTCGTCAATGATCCGGCGAGTGGTGGCGCGACGCTGCAGAAGGAAAGCATGAAGTTTACGGTTACAGGCGGTGAGGCGTACAGCTGTGAGCCTGTGGCGCTGATGGTCAAGGCGTAAATGGTGGTGAGCGGACTGCGGGTAGATGGAGTAGACTACAGTGTACACACACTTTTCTTAATACATAATGATAATGTGGATGTCGCAACCTTGTATATATGCATCTTGACCTAAGCCGTGATGGTAACAGGTACACAGTACTTACTTGGCACGGGGCTATTCTTTCTGAGCTGGGTCAACCTTCCGTGTTAGCTCAAGAACGGTCTTGTCACATGATTCGAGTCGTGGGGAAGAGGGTTGTATGAGAACCAATCGCAGATTTGCAGTAACACTTCGCCTATACCACTCTGCTGTAGACGTGGTACCTTGCTCATCAAAATGAGCAGTCTTTCGCTGAGTTCGAGTGCTTGCAGTCGGCGTCTTCTCTTGGAAGCTGATCGATAGGAAAAAAATGACCCCGTATCTCAGCTTCTGGTTTTGCAAGCAAATTCAAAGTGAAGCATAAAAAAAGATCATTAGATAGCAGCGACTTCCGAACCCTTGCCGCTGTTGATGGCGGCTGACAGTCGGCCATTCCTGGATCGAGTTCGATGGAGATGTCATCGACTTTGGGGCCCAATCAGATCAACGCCAAGACCGATTATAGAGCCGGGACGAACTTCACGAACATGCACGCCGCCACTGTTCCAGCAACGACGTCGCCCCGCACGCATCAATCGCACGAGCGCACACACAGTCCGCGTTCACGATGCTCGCACGACATGCTCCCGCCTCGACGGCCCTCGCCGCGGCCGCCCACCGCGCGCCGCTCGCCGCAACCGCAGCCACTCGCCTTTCGACCGCGAGCGCCCCGTCGCCGCAGCAGAAGCGCTCTCTGGCCACGGTGAACGATGCCGCGCCCAAGCGCACATACGGCGGCCTCAAGGACCAGGACCGCATCTTCCAGAACCTGTACGGCCACCACGGCGCCGACCTGAAGAGCGCGATGAAGTACGGCGACTGGCACAAGACGAAGGAGATCCTCCTCAAGGGCGACGACTGGGTGGGCAGAGCCGGCACAGCTGCACAGCTGCACTGCACGAGGCATTGCTGACGCGGTGTAGATCATCTCCGAGATCAAGGCCTCCGGTCTGCGTGGCCGAGGCGGTGCTGGTTTCCCCTCGGGTCTGAAATGGGTACGCAAAAGCTCAGCGGTGTGGGCAGGCATCGCGCAGAACTGACGGCTGCAGTCTTTCATGAACGCCAAGGGCTGGGAGAACGACTCCAAGCCCCGCTACCTCGTTGTCAACGCCGACGAGGGCGAGCCCGGCACGTGCAAGGACCGTGAGATCATGCGTAAGGATCCTCACAAGCTCATCGAGGGCTGTCTCGTCGCCGGCCGCGCCATGAACGCTACCGCCGCCTACATCTACATCCGCGGCGAGTTCTACCACGAGGCCACTGTTCTCGAGCGCGCCATCCAGGAGGCATACCAGGCCGGCCTCATTGGCAAGAACGCCTGCGGCTCCGGATACGACTTCGACGTCTACGTCCACCGCGGTATGGGTGCCTACGTCTGCGGCGAGGAGACCTCCCTCATCGAGTCGCTCGAGGGCAAGCCCGGAAAGCCCCGTCTCAAGCCCCCGTTCCCCGCTGCCGTGGGTCTATTCGGATGCCCTTCGACCGTCGCCAATGTCGAGACAATCGCTGTTGCACCCACCATCCTCCGACGAGGAGGCAGCTGGTTCGCCGGCTTCGGCCGTGAGCGCAACGCTGGCACCAAGCTCTTTGCCATCTCCGGCCATGTCAACCACCCCTGCACCGTCGAGGAGGAGATGTCCATTCCTCTCCGCGAGCTGATCGACCGTCACTGCGGCGGTGTCAAGGGCGGCTGGGACAACCTCCTCGCCGTCATCCCCGGTGGCTCCTCGACTCCCGTCCTGCCCAGGCACATCTGCGACGACCAGCTGATGGACTTTGACGCGCTCAAGGACGCACAGTCCGGATTCGGAACCGCTGCCGTCATCGTCATGGACAAGTCGACCGACATCGTCCGCGCCATCACCCGCCTCGCCAAGTTCTACCACCATGAGTCCTGTGGCCAGTGCACGCCCTGCCGCGAGGGCTCCAAGTGGACCCACCAGATCATGGACCGCTTCTACAAGGGCCAAGCGCGCGAGCGCGAAATCGATATGCTCCAGGAGCTTACCAAGCAGGTTGAGGGCCACACCATCTGCGCGCTGGGAGAGGCGTTTGCTTGGCCGCTGCAGGGTCTCATCAGGCATTTCCGCCCGGAGCTCGAGGCTAGGATAAAGGACTATGGATTGAAGAACGGTGGTGAGGCGCTGGCTGGTGGCTGGGCCCACGATGCTGGAAAGAGGGGCCAGCTTGTCTCGCCGGGTCAGTAGATGTAAGAAGGCAGTGAGGGATCAAGATGGAGTGTCTTGTACAATGCATGTTCCTTTTGTTTGAGCTTTTCTTGGGCGGCTGTATATAGTTCAGCAGATCTGAATTCAACTATCAACGTTCACCAGTCTGTCACGCACAAGCGGTCCCCCATCCCACAAACACCACAAACGCCAGGCTCGAAGCAACCCAACCAGTATCCCCGCGTCTCCAACGCTATCCATCCTACCCCAAGCATATCCCCACAAACTCCTCCCGACTAATTGCATTGTCCCCGTCCATATCGAACTCCTCAATCATGGCTACCAGCTCGTCGTTCCCCAGCGTCTCGCCCAGCTCCCGCGCCACCCGCTGCAAGTCCTGCAGCGTAATGCGCCCCTTGCCGCCCTCGTCGAACAGCTCAAACGCGCGCAGAATCTCGTCCTCGGGGTTGCGCGCCATGATGCGCTGCGCCATCAGCGTCTGGAACGTCTGGAAGCCCAGCAGCGGTCGCGCGGGCGGCACGAAGGCGGCCTGCGCCGCAGCTCTCGCCGAGTCACGCGCGGGCTGTTTCTGGCCCTGCGCCTGCGACGACGTTGTACCATGCGTCTGCAGGATCTGCAGGATCTCGTGCTTGGGCAGGTCGAAGCCCAGCGCCTTCATAGCGACTTTCAGCTCGTGGTAGTCGATGTAGCCATCCTTGTCGAGGTCGAATAGGTTAAATGCTTCGCTTATTTCTTCGCGCTGCTCTTCGCTCAGCGCGGCGAGGGCTTGCGCGTCCATTGCGGACGAGGCCAGGCGTGATTCGCGCGCCAGCCGCTCACGCTCGAGACGTTCGCTTTCTAGTCTTTGCGCGTTCTTGGGCGCGCTCGGGAACGCGGGAGTGCTGAATGTGGGTGCCGAGGGACCGTTGGCGGGGCGATTGAGACCGTAGCGCGGCTGGTGGGAGGAGGTTGCCATGGGTTGTGTGGTGGTGTAGGTTGAGGATGTGAGCTGGCTGTGGTGAAGCGCAAAGCTCGGACTTGTGGTTTCCTTCCAGTCACAGTGCAGTGAAGATGTTGTATATGCTGCTGCGGTCGCGACAGGGTATCAATGGCGAAGTTCTGACGTTGAAGAAGTATAGTTCGTTATTCGTGACTTCTTTGTTTGGGTGTCGCGGGTCAGGATTGGGTTGACGCGACGTGATAATAGATCATAGCGCGTTCAAGGTGGGGGCTAACTTCAAGTGGCTGGTTGATGGAGAGCCTAGAGACAATGAACTTGATCTTGACAATGCAAGCACTTGTAGAATTTGATCAGCGGCAGGACATCTAGTAGAGCTGTTCATCGTGAGTCGTGACCCAATAAGCCAGCATACAAGATCAGCGGTGCAGTGCCCCACGTCCATCAGCAGCACTACAACCACACAGACGCCTTCCTCCAGCAAGTACTGCTCAACAGACTGAATGCCTACGACTCGCATGCAGTTACCTTGCGTCGAGCAAGATATCGGGAGACGCGAAGCTGGACTGGTCTTGCGCACCTTGAAAACATTCGTCTTTGGGGCGGAGCGTCTTATGCTGGGGCGAGACAGCTCTCAGCGCTCAGGCAGCAGCAGGTAGCAGTAAGAAACTATCAGGCAGCATGCTGGCAACCTCCAGCGAACCGCAGCACTTGACTGCAGGCCTTTTTTTCGTCGATGGCGTCTGCCTTTGTCATCATTCAACACGTCTGCCTTTGTCATCGTTCACACTTTTGTCAGTGCAAACAGCAACTCTTGCCGTGGTGAAATGAAACTGCTGTCTTGCACGTGACTCTGTTGCAGCGCAAGCAAAGGCTACCGCTGCGAGCGCAGTACTATTAAATCGCACCCGTCACCTTCCCTTTCTCGTCACTCAATTCTCCAGCAACCGCTGCTGACTCGAAGCGCTCTTTTCACTTTTGCATGCTCGTTGTGTCGCCGCGACAGCTCGACTCGTTAGCGCGTTGTTCCCGTGCAGCTCTGATTTACCTGTGCAACCCTGGCACGAACCTCGCCCATCCGCACCTCGACCTTTTCAACCCCATTCGCGCCCGCGCGACCGCACAACGCGCATTGGTAGTCGAGCAGACAACAACGCGCGCGCGACGTCTCGCACACGGCCATCATGTCTTTCGGCGGAGGCGGCTTTGGCTTCGGCGGTAGCAACACCAACAACCAGTCCACGGGCTTTGGGTTTGGGGGCACCAACAACAACAACAACTCCGGTGGTAAGTAGCAATCTCTATCTTTGATCTCAATGTGACTGCCTCTTGCGGACACGTCGGCGATGCACCAATGCGACCGCACCGGCCTTCTCGTGGACTCTTGTCTAACCCGTCCTTCGCCTCAGGCTTTGGCTCGAACACCGGTGCATTTGGCTCCAATAATAACACTGGGGGCGGTATGTTCGGCGGCAACAACAACACAACGAGCGCATTTGGCAGCGGAGGTACGTGATTGCTTTGCGCGTTGCGGTCGCGTCTACGTTCTGGCTTTCTGCGTCACTGTGTCTGCTGCACAGCCTGGCTTCAGCATACTCTGTCTTCGTCAAATCTTGCGCTTCGCGGGTTATCGCGCGTCCATTGCCTTCAAGCTATCGTCCCGGAAGGCTGATGCTAACCTGTCTTACAGGTGGCTTCGGTGCAAACAACAACGCCCCCAAAACGACCTTCGGCTCGAACACATTCGGCGCCGGATCAACGGGCGGCGGCCTCTTTGGCGGCGGCGCCTCGAATACAGGCTCGACGTTTGGCAGCGGCGGCGGTGGTTTCGGAGCAGCCAGCAACACGTCCTCAGGATTTGGTGGTGGTGCAACCACCGGCACAAGTCTCTTTGGAGGCGCAAGTAAGCCTGCATTCGGTGCTGGATCTACGACCAACACTGGTGGCGGTCTATTTGGTGGAGGCTCTGGTGGATTTGGCGCTGGCAACACAACAGGAGGCTTTGGCAGTGGCACAACGGGCGGCTTTGGCGCAGGTGCAACAAACACCACCAACAACGGCACCGCGAGCACGCCGTTCCAGGCGCACACCGAGAAGGATGGCACATCTGCGACACAACACTACCAGACCATCACCTTTCAGCAACCGTACCAGAACTTCTCTCTCGAGGAGCTCAGGTTAGCCGACTACAACCAGGGACGCCGCTACGGCAACTCGAACGGTCAGGGCGGTGCATTCGGTCAGAGCTCTACCTTTGGTGGTTTCGGCGCCGCCAATAATAACAATGCCAACGCCAACACCACATCTGCCTTCGGTTCTAATAACACGAACACTGGTGGTGGTCTATTTGGTGGCGGCGGCACAACGAACACTACTGGAGGGTTTGGACAATCTACAGGAGGGTTCGGTGCGCAGAACAACGCCAACACCGGCGGTGGCCTCTTCGGCGCCAAACCAGCGACTGGTGGTTTGTTTGGAGGATCCAACACAGCTACCACAGGCACCACAGGCGGCGGTCTTTTCGGAGGCGGCTCTACCACCAATACAACCGGCGGGTTTGGTGGCGGTGGAGGAGGCTTTGGCGCGGCCAACACCAACACAGGAGGTGGTCTTTTCGGCAACAACAACGCAGCTAAGCCTGCGTTCGGCGCTGGCGCAACGAACACCTCGACAGGCTTCGGAGCCTCGACCGGCGGCGGTTTCGGACAGTCAACAAACACTGGTGGAGGGCTCTTCGGCGGCAACAATAACCAGGCCAGCGCTGCACCTGCATTCGGTGGAGCTCCAGCGACTGCAAACACAGGCGGTGGACTGTTCGGCAACGCTGGCAGCACATTTGGCCAGAACAACACCGCTCAGGCCCCAGCATCTGGAGGACTATTCGGTGGTGGCGGTGGCTTCGCTGCAAACAACAACCAGGCGAAGCCTGCGACCGGAGGCCTTTTTGGCAGCGGTTCCACAACAACTAACACTGGCGGTGGTCTCTTCGGCGGCGGTGCTCCCGCTCAGCAACCAGCAGCTGGAGGTCTGTTCGGAGGTTCGACCACCACAAACAACAACGCAGGGGGTGGACTTTTTGGAGGTGCGAAGCCTGCGACAGGTGGCGGCCTTTTTGGCGGCGGCGCATCCACTCAACAACCAGCTTCTGGTGGCCTGTTCGGCAACCTTGGTGGTCAGAACAACCAGCAGAACGCCGGATCAAGCCTGTTCGGCGGGAACAACAATCAGCAGAAGCCCGGCGGTCTCTTTGGCAGTTCCACCACCAACAATACTGGCGGTGGCCTCTTTGGAGGTCTCGGTGGTCAGAACAACAACCAGCAGCAGAACAACCTTGGTGGCTCTCTGTTCGGTGGCGGCCAGAGCCAGCAGCAACAGGGTCAGCAGCAAATGGGCAATAGCCTGTTCGGCGCATCTGGAAGCTCTCTGCTGAACACTTCGCTGAACACCAACCCTTACGGAAACGACGCTCTGTTCGCTGGTCTGGCTACGCCAACTCAGAGCCCCGGGCCTATCGCCACGCCCCTCTCGAGCAGCCAGAAGAACAAGAAGAGCGCCATATTGCCTCAGCACAAGCTCAACCCAGCCGCGTCCACCCGTCTGCTGACCCCTCAGGCTAAGCGCACCGGCGGGTATGGTTTCACGTACTCCACCTACGGCAGCCCAGCTAGTGGCCAAGCTACTCCCAACCTTGGTGGCAGTCTCTTCGCTGGAGGCGGCCTGTCACGCTCACTTGGTAGTAGGAGCACCTCTATGAGCAACTTGCGCAATAGCTTCACTCCCGAGACCAGCATCCTTGCACCAGGCGCTTTCTCTACAACTGGACGCTCCTTCGCCAATGGCAGTCTCAAGAAGTTGAATGTCAACCGTCACGTCAACACCCGCATTCCGCTCTTCGATGAGCCTTCTCACAAGCGCGTGAGCTTCGCTGGCGGTGATGGCGACTCACTGAGTGGCAGCACGAATGGATCGACTGCACTGGTGGTACGTGAGGAAGACAGCGATGCTTCGCCTACATCGGTGAACGGCAATGCTAGCCTGGAGCCGTCCCGTCCAGCCATGCAGCAAGTCAACGGCACCGAGCTTGCACAAGTCCCCGAACACGACCCTGCCCTGACACCGAAGTCTGCTTCAGTAGTCAACGTTCAGCCTGGTGAAGACCCTGAGCCTGGTCATTACTGGTCCGAGCCAACCTTGAACCAGCTGAAGAAGATGAGCAAGCAGGAGCTCAAGGCTGTGAAAAACTTTATCGTCGGACGTCAAAACATCGGTCAGATCGAGTTCCACCAGGGTGCTCCTGTTGATCTCTCTAACACAGACCTTGACAAGCTCTACGGAGATATTATCCAGCTCAGCCACCGCAACGCTACCGTCTACGGCGAAAACTGCTCATGCCTTCCGAAGCCCCCGATGGGCACCGGCTTGAACCACCCATCGCGTGTCATCCTTCTTAACTCTTGGCCTCGCAACAAGGCTGGCAAGATGGACGCGAAGCACCTGGAGCGCTTAAAGCGTGTTGCCGGCACGAAATTCGAGAGCTACAATCCCTCTAACGGTGGCTGGATCTTCACTGTACCTCACTTCTCGTCTTACGGTCTTGACTATGAGGACAGGGGTGTCTATGACGACGATGAGGAGGACGAGTCGAGTGAGCTCAGCCCCGTTCCCGACACTCCTGCGCAAACGTTGCTCAATACAAGCCAGATGACCAGCACGCCCCAGCAGGACTCGCTTGTGAGCCCCTACGAGTCTAGTCCCGACGACACGTTCGAGTTCAAGCGCGGCATGCCTCAACGCGCCAATGTTCCCGGAGGTTTCGACGACGAGGCTGCATACGAAGAAGAGTACGACGACGAGGACTCTCGCGGCGAGTCTTTTTTAGGGGAACGCTCCGTGGGTTCGCTTGATGGCCAGCAAGAAGCTGAGTACTACGAGAGCGAATCCGGATCGGACCAAGACCAGAGCATGGCGGATTCTGTGTCCGGACCGATCTACACCACGGAGCCAGCAGCCGCTGTAGAATTTGACCCCTTCAGGAGTACAATGAAGGCACCGAAGTCGATCTTGAAAGCCAGCCAGGTCTTCAAGCCCAATTTTGGCACGCCTTCGAAGGGACCGGCAGTGTTTGACGATGACTGGGCGAATCAACTGCAGCGCACCATCAGCCCGAGGAAGCAGGATCGAACTGCCCTGCGCGAAAGCCAGGGCCATGCTCTTCGAGAGTACGAGCGGAGTCCTACTCTTGCAGCACAACAGATCAACGTACGACCCTTTGCAACACACATGGACTTGATGAACTCTCTCTTTGGCGAGACTGAAAACCACCGGGAGTCACTTTCGAAGCGACAAGGACAAGGCATAGAGGTTTGACTTCCCCTTCTAGCGTTTGTTTTGGCAAGTTTATGTTGATTGTCGTGAGATGTCCTCACACAAATTGACGCTTCGGCCACTGTAGATAGTCACAAATTGATGAGGGACAAGATTGCTAAAACCTTGTCTCCAGTTGCCATATTCGAAACGACCTAAGTCTTCACACGATCTCGACCAAATGACCGACGCCGATAAAGACTTCCACAACTCCAGCAAACCCCACTTTAGCGAGACTGGCGTCTTCATCTACAGCAACAAGGGTGGTAAGAACCTTGAGAGCGGCGCATTCTCCACTGCCCAGGAACCACTCGTCGGTGCCACCTGCGACATCCGCTTCACAAAGATGCCTACTTTCGGTGATGCTGTCCCCGAGACCATTGCCGTCCAGAAGAAGGTCACCAAGATCTCCACTGCCGATGGCGTACCCTTGGCTTCGATCACCCTTGAACCAGTTCCCATCGAATTTGCTGCTTTCTCTAAAGCTGTCGCTGTCGACTCCGTCGCAGGTACTCACGAACAACATGCATGGCAGCTGTTATCGCTGTTGTTCGATGGCGGCGATAAAGTCAACAAGCCAGTGGATGTTGATGACGAACACCTTGAGCGGTACAGGAAGGAGCGACTGTCTGACTTCTGGCGGAACTTGGTCTACGGCGATGCACAGAAGCAAGCTCAGCAAGCTGCCACAGCTGAAGAGCGCGCCATTGCCCAGCTGAGTTGCAATAACGTTGCCGAAGCTTGTCACGCACTGCTTGAGGGCTTGGACCTGCGACTTGCCACCATGATCGCACAGATCGGCGGCGATGCGAACATGCGCCAGACGATGACCGAACAGATTGATCAGTGGCGACGCATGGACATGCTTGCCGAGATGGAGGATGCCCACCGCGCTCTGTACGAGCTCCTATCTGGCAACTGCGCTCAGGCAGATGGTAAGGATGGCAATGGTCGTGAGAACAGGGCTGTCACATTCAGCATCTCAAAACGATTTTCTCTCGATTGGCGTCGCGCATTCGGCCTTCGTTTGTGGTACGGCACCCTGGTCGACGAGCCTATTGAGCTTGCTGTTGCACAATTCGCAGATGCCATCAGGGATGGTCTCGAGGATGTCAAGCCTGTGCCATGGTTCGTGCGCGATGGTGCTGACATGGGTTGGGTTGATCCAAAGGCGGCCGACCGCGAAGATCTCCTCTGGGGTATCCTCAAGCTCTATGCCGCTTCCAAATTGGACATCCCAGCCAACGTGGAGGATGTCCTTGCTCCTGAGAACGTCTCCGGCCACCCGCTGAATGCACGACTATCCTTCCAGCTCTTCCAGCTCTTCTACTCTCGCCATCAAGACAACAAGGAAGACGAGTGGCGCAAGATTGGAATGCCTACGTTCCGTGCTGATACAGAGGGCGACTTCCGTCATTCATTCATGTCGTCAACTGCCACTGTCACAAACAATGACACGCAGGGAGAGGATCCTTTGGTCGAGTTGGGTGACAAAATCACTCTGTCGTACGCTGCATCACTTCACACACAAGAGTACTGGACGGCCGCCGTTTGGGTATACACTCACCTGTCCTCCGCGCCCATGCGTGAGCACTACATTCGATCACTTGTGAACCAGTTCGCCAAGTCAATGACACTTGCCGAGTCGGACTCGACATACGCCTACCTTACGAATGATCTGCATGTCCCCGCGACCTGGCTCCACGCAGCTGCCGCACTGCAAGCCAAGACAGACGGGGATGCAGGCCGAGAAGCTGCGCACCTAATCAAGGCCAATGAGCTTGATGAGGCTCATGAGGTTCTCTGTCGTAAGGTAGGCCCTGATGCCATCATCTCGCGCGATTACGAGCCGTTGCGCGAGCTCATGGCTGGTTTCGTACCCGAGGATGCCAACGACAGTGCATCACTCGCCTCTTCGCGACCTGTAGTGTCTGCCCGTGGACCTGAGAGCGTTGCCGGCTGGGCACAGGGTGGCCAGATTTATCTGGACTACATCGAGCTTCTCGACCACACCGGCCGCCGTTCAACATACCGTGTTGATGAGGAGCTCGAACAGGATATCCAGCACCTACTTGCGAAGCTCCAGAAAGCTCTGGAGATTGCTGCACGCGATCGCCTGGAATCCTGTGGCCTTGAAGAGCGCGTCGCGCTGATGGAGATTGCTGGCACCGTTGCCAACTTGATTGCCAAGAATAAGGTACGTTTTCCAGACCTTCATTTCCGCTCTGAAGACGAGAGACTAACAATCATACAGACTGCTAACCGCTCCCAGATCCTCAGGCTCCCCCTCACCGAGGACCTTTGGCTCAAGCACTCATGTGACCTCAGCACGAGCTACTACCGCAACCTGATGGCGAGTAGCAAATAGAAGTATGCGAAACTACACAATTTGCTGTGCATAGTTGGCTGGGGAAGAGTGGGCCCATCCTACAAATGGGAGAGATGACTTCTCGAACAAAGAAGAGATGCTGCAGTGAGAGACTCAAGAGCGTGCGTTGGGATGGCGGAGCAAATAGAGTTGGTCTTAGCGATGGGTGTGCAATGGTGTATAGTAGGAATTTGTACAGAAAACGCATCTTATTTCTGAAATTGTGCTGGGTTTTTTTTCGAGTGTTGTGTTATGGTGTGACGTGAAAGAGGATCATGATTTTAACCTTGAGATATCTGGGGTATGTGACACGAAGGATGTGGATAGGTCACTTCCTCGACTACGGGGCCTAGCTTTGGCATGTCGACTACCTTGGACTAGACCCTTCTAGCGTCACTTTCATCCTAGCAATTTTCTGTTTTATCGAAAAACTGTGTGATGTGAAAGAGAGGGGTTGTGCTTGAGACTTATGGACGTGTAATAGGAGGAGGTTAAGTAGGTCACTTCTTTAGTGCCGGGACCCCTGTTTGGCATGTTGAATGCCTTGGGCTTGAATGGTCTTGGGTGGGCTGGCAAGGCTAAATTGACACGAACTTGTGTAAGAATTCTGTCAACTAACTGCGCGACATTCACAATGTAGAGCAATATGAGTTCCACGAGCATGTCAACTTCTACAAACATGCTATGCCAAACCCCACGACTTCAGCCCCACTACAACGAGCGCTCATTAAAGATTTGCAATCGTTCAAGAAACAACCTGGGACGATCTTTCTGAATACAAAGCGGACCATCTAGCCAGTTTTATCCCTTTAAAGTCCGACAACATCATCGAGTTCACCACTTGTCGTCTATCCGCTACGCTTCGCACAGTCTCTTTTCATCATTATGCGAGCAGGAAGCCCCTAGAGATTGACTACCCTTTTGTCGTGGATCAGAATGGCCAGGTCGTTGGTAAGATGGATCTCTTAATTGACAGTCCACACAACCATTCATTACTCAATTCCAGTGGAATTCATCAGCACTGGGTCAATGGTTGCCAGAGACATACAAAACAATGATTTTCAGAGTTTCGGGCGGAAGCCTACTTCCACCGGTTCTGCAACGCTGGGCGTCTCTGGAATCCCTCATATAAGCTTGAGAAAGACTGGGAATCCAAGCTCTACAGCGTCTTGTGGATCGAGTGGAAAGGTGGCATGGCATATCGCGAAGCTATCGCGAAGCTATCGGGAAAGTAGGGGCAGATTACTGGGAAAGCGCGGACAAAGAGGAGATCGAAGCTAGGCTTGGATAAGTCTGCAACAACCGCAGCCTAAAAAGGCGATGGGATCATGGCGGAGCCTGCCGTCCCACTTGATCGCTGCCTGTTTCCTAGCCTATTTCCGTTAACGTTAGGCAGGATAGTCTCTCCGTCATCGACTTTCGTTTGCTCGGGCTTGGTCTCAGGGTAATATTTTTGGTCTCATTACAAGGCATATCGAATACTGGGTATCACTTATTAATCCAAATGCAAACCTCCCACGCCCACCCAGGCAGCTGTATCAAACAACATCGCTCGGACCCTTAACAAGCGTATCCGTACTACCGCTCCCATCCGTCTTCTTACTCCGCGACGTCTCCCACCCACTAAGCCTCTCTCCGCCACCTTCAACCTGGACATAAATATGCGTCTCGACCTGGATATCCCTCGCAGCACTCTCACTACTACTCCTCGAGCCACCTCCCGACCCCTTAGTCCTGGTCTGGAGCGGAAAGTCGCCACTGTGGCTGGGCAGCGGACGGGACCGTGCGCTCCCGATGGTAGGGTAGACGCGCGGCGTGCTATGCGTCCTGCGGCGGTGGCTAGAGAGGACACCGGGGAGGCACTTGGTCATCAGCGGCCGGAGGAGGGGCAGGCAGGAGCAGATTATGCCGACGTTTATTTCGACGGAGGACCAGGTTGCAGCCGGCGGGTTGTCGTAAGATCGGTCGGTGCTGTTGGATATCGCGACTAGGGATTGCAGGCGCAGAATCGAGACGATGCAGACACTGCGTGTTGTTAGTGGGGTGGGCTGAAACGAACGCGCGTGCTGTGTGAGAAAAGGTGGGACAGAGCTGCATGTGTACGCCCTGGTTTATACGGGACGGAGTATGTGCATGCATGAATTGCGTCGGCCTTGCGATGCGACTACAAAGTGTAGATGAATCGGGAAGGTGTTACTTACAAGCCGCCGACAGTGAAGATCCCGATCAACGCTGATTTCTGTCGCTTTCCGAGCTGCAGACGCCGGATCACAGGCATGGGGAGGATGATGATGGCGAAGTCGGTCGTAATGTTGATGGCGGCGTTGGTGAACCACATAGCGAATTGGTCGATGCAGCGCGCGCGCTCCTTGGTCCAGAATGCCTGCACTGGGATGCAGGCGAAGATGCTACTGAAGACGGTCCAAATGGTGTAGCAAAAGACGAAGGCGAAGAGACACCAGCATGCGACTCGAAACTTTCGGGTTGGGAATACTCGGTGATACTGCAGCAGAAGGGAGGTCTTCGTGGCGCCAAGCGAGAGGTTGTAGGCGATCAGAGAAGCCCAGAAAGCCTGGCATATATTAGTATGAGTCAATTGCAGCGACGAGTATTCGGTACCTTCGAGACCTTGACGTTGTCATCCCATGACAAGGTGTCGGCATGCATGCCCATTCCCCATTTTGCTTCTTCTATGTGTCAGTGTTGGCCTTAGATGACAATGGAGTGTACATACGGTACGCAATGCAGACAGTAAGAAGAATGGAGAAGATCTAGACCATAATCAGTCAGCGCTCGGTGATGTTTGGCCGGGCGAATACTCACTGTTGCCACTACAATGAGATGGTCCTCAGTTCCCGGAGCGCGAACGATGAACCATCGAGTATAGAGTCGTAGGGCTACACTGATGAAGGCTAGGACAGTAAATGCGATGGACACATCAACAGCCTGCCGGCCACGAGGGTTTTCTTGGCCGTCAAGCATCGCGAGTACGTTCGACGATCTTCACTTGCGGCAGGGAGTTGTCGACAACATGTGGGTGTCAAAGTCGGCTCGGGCTAGGTGCTGTCTGTGCCCTGCCTGAAAGTAATATTCAGGCTTGTTCAAGTAGCAAATTGTGTGGGGTGCGCATGCTTAAGACATCATCGGGTGGTCGATGTGAAATTCCATGGGGACACGGCAGGGTGCAGGGGCTCCACTGCAACGTGCACGGTGCGACGGACTGGAACGAGTACTTCGCTAGCTGCGTATCCGTGGAATGTTAGTATTGGAACCTTGGTTCTTTCGGACGGCAGCGGGTGAACGCGTTGCAAGGCACTATGTCCAGCCAGGACCGAGGATGTTTGCCTCTCTACACGGAGCAGTCTAGGGCATGGGGAACTTGGCAAATAGTTGTGGGTAGACTAGGTGTTGAAAGTAAGATCAACTGGAGTATCGTTTGATGTTCAGGGGACCATCTCGAGTACCGTAGCGGCTGTGCTTCATTCGGTGGTACGGGCAAGGCCCGGGTCTAAGGACTACGTAGATCCTACAGGTCCAACACAGATCTGCTACATGGGGTAGCACGCCTGAGCCCACGGGCTTTTGAAGTTCTCGGAGCGTCTGGGGCTAACATGCGCGATAATCTAAAGGTGGAAGCCCACATCGCGAAACTGTTGACCCTGATATATTATACCAGTACATAGCCCGCAAGCGTCACTTCACTACTGAGCTTGACAACCACTCTGCTGGAATCGTACAACAGCACTCAATCATCGTCTTGTGTTAGCGAGAGTGGTGGCCCATTGCAATTATGGTCGACGTCTGGAAGCGCGGCAGCGACAAGGCAACGTGTGGTCTTGAGCGACCCTGGGGAGTTTCGTATGCTTCTATAAACAGGACCCTCGTGCTATTCGAAGACCTTGTGGCTGAGTTCTTCCCTGCATGCTGGCCTTGCATGTCCGTTGCTGAAAGCACGTTGGTTGCAGAGCAAATTAACGTTTTGCAAGTGTGGACCACGGCTGGGCAAGCAGGGGTGTTCCTTTCGGATCAATACCCTACGCCGCGGCCCGAGATCTGGTGACATCGAGGCAACTGGGGGTACAGGCGGACACCATGCTCTTGACAGGCAAGCGGACCTCCGGGCTCCTGTACTCATCCAATTGAACCTGGGCGAGCCGTGACGCAATATTTGATACTAGCGCTGGAAATTCTGGCTGAGCTGTTCGCTCATCCCAAGTGGTTCGGCGAAGGTGTAATGCGCTGCAGGTCATTTCGAGCACGTGTTGTCGCGTAGCCTGTCGCCCGAAGCATTGCGTGCTGGATGTGGTGTGCATAGGCCGTCTGCCGATCGCTTTAAATGAGATCGGATCATCCCCCACTCGGGCATCCTGTGGCCAGGTACCATGAGTAGCACGGCGATCTCCGCCGAAGTCATCAGATGAATGACATGCGCCCTAAAAGCCAAGGGAGCGCTGCGCCGTCCCTGCAGTGGGTCACAAATGCTCACTCTATCCGATCGTGAACCGAGACTGGCCCTGAGTAGAGGTTGCAATGATGATCTTTTTCAACCAGGTGCTCTAACGTGGACATGCACGGAACGTGGCTGCTGCTTCCGTTTGCAGGCGCTTGCGAATGACTCGCGAGGCTTGTTGGGCTTATGTGGCATTCGTCTGGCAATGGACAGCTCATTGCTGTTGAGTACGAGAAACTCACAAACTACGAGGGAACGCCCTGCATAGGTGATATCGCCACGCCAAGCAAGCTGTGTACGAAACAGATGACGCGTAACGTTCGCGAGTCCAGGACTCCCAGTGTTATCCTCCAATCCTCCATCCGGAAACTCGTAGGGACTGGATCAGTCGAGCTGCAAGGATGGTACGCTTGGTACGTACCGCTGGAGTCAGTCAAGAAGTAGTCCGATCAAGTGGAACGTGTAATTGATGGAGATGCACGTGACGGCGCGTGCGCGGAGTCCACGTGCAGCGGGGCTCGTTTTGGCGCCCTAGCAACGGACCCTGAGACAACCTAAATCGGGACACACAAACATGACGATCGCACCTTCTATCTTGAGCACGACACAGCAGGACACGGCGACAGCCTCGAGGCTTGTGCTACTAGCTACCGAGTACTCACACGATCCATGAAAAGCAGCTCGCAGAAGCATTGTGCGCCATTTGCGCCTCTCAACACGCTCTCGTTACCGCAGAAACCGGCCTACGCCCCGCTCGACACGCCCGAATCGTCCTTCTACGGCGACAGCAGTTCGCTTTTTGACGAAGCACCCAGCCCTTACGCTCCCCCGGCCAGCACACAGAGCAAGATGGTGCGCGAACGAGAGCCATCGGCCCTGCCCACGCGGCCGGAGCAGCAGAAGCCCGCGCCGGCTGCGAGCGTGACCGAGCGCATTGCAGCACCGCAGTTTGGGCAAGCAAGTCCTCTGCGTAACCCGCTGAGACAAGACAAGCCCAAGCATTCACATCTGTTCAATGTTGCTGCCCGCGCACCAAATCCGCACACGGCGCCGCCTTCCTTCAAGGTGCCCCAGCGAGTATCGGTCCAACCGAAGCCCGCCAAGCTGGATGCTTTTGGCCGTCCAGTCGACGATGACCTGTTCGAGATCCCCGCCAGCAGCTTCCAGCCTCGACAGTTGCAGTCGACGAGCGTCCCGGTCCCTCGGCCATTCAACCCGCCCGCGCGCACCGTACAGCCCCCACCGCGATCGCTATACACGTCGGTAGGACACGACAACGGCTTCCAGCCAGTGAACAAGGGCGCACACAACCCTCTGCAAGACGTGCGGAAGACAGTCATCCTAGACGACGAGGATGACTTTGACCCTGACGCCGCCGTCTTCGCCGACCGCGGCCGCTTCGGCGCACCTGACCTCAACGCCTACGTTGACCAGGGGCAAGCCAGCGAGAACATCAAGGCTCTCCTTGAGGGTGCCCTGGACGATGACGACGAAAAGATCCCGCGCACACGAGGGCGAAAGAAGAAGAAGCAGCAGCAAGTGAAGGACGCTGCCGCCTCGCTGGCCGACCGCCTAAAGGCTCTGGACGTCCAAGACAAGCACTCCAAGCCCGAGCCTGAGGAAGAAGACGCGGATGATGACGAAGATGACGGCTTCGTCGATGGGCTCAAGGTCAGCCTGCTACCCCACCAGGTCGATGGTGTCTCATGGATGATCGAGAAGGAGACGGGTGCGCACAACAAGCGAGGAAAGCTGCCCAAGGGTGGAATTCTGGCAGATGACATGGGTCTGGGCAAGACTGTGCAATCCATGGCACTCATGTTGTCGAATCCTCGGCCTGAGAAAGGCGCCGAGCCTGAGAACAAGAAGAACAAGATCCTGGACATCGTCGGCAAGGGCACTCTCGTTGTTGCTCCTCTGGCCTTGATCAAGCAGTGGGAATCTGAGATCGCCACTAAGGTCGCGAAGACTCATGCGCTGAAGGTCTTGGTTCACCACGGTCCCAGTCGCACAAAGTCCGCCGATAAGCTCAAGCAGTACGACGTGGTTATCACGACCTATCAAGTCCTTGCATCAGAGCATGCACAGTGTGGAGACGGTCCAGACGGCCTCAAGAAGGGCTGCTTTGCCGTGCACTGGTACCGCATGATGCTCGACGAGGCCCACACAATTAAGAACCGCAACGCGAAGATGACTAAAGCCTGCTATGATGTCCGCTCGCATTACCGCTGGTGTCTGACCGGTACACCGATGCAGAACAACCTCGACGAGCTGCAGAGTCTGATCAAGTTCCTCCGCATCCAGCCATACTGCGAGATGTCGAACTGGAAGGACTCAATTACAGGACCCATGAAGAACGGCCGCGGCAATCTTGCCATGCGCCGACTGCAGATCTTCCTGAAGGCTTTCATGAAGCGTCGGACCAAGGATGTACTCAAGAAAGAGGGAGCGCTGACCTTCGGTGGCAAGAACAAAGACGGTGCGGATAAGCCAGCCTTCCAGATCGTTGCGCGAAACGTCGAGACTGTCATAGGAGAGTTCACGGCCAAAGAGCGCGCTTTCTACGATCGCCTGTCCACTCGTGCACAGGATCGCCTTGAGGAGTTGATGGGTGGCGAGAAGCAGGATTACATTGGGGCCTTGGTGTTGCTGCTTCGTCTGCGACAGGCGTGCAATCATCCCAACCTCACCAAGAGCAATGTCAAGGACGACAAGGATGCGCTGACGACAGGATCGAAGTCGGGAACTCAGACGGGCTTTCAGACTCCTCGCAAGGCTTCCAAAGGTGACGATGCAGACGATCTTGCGGATCTGCTCGGTGGACTGAGTGTTGCGGTCAAGCGCTGCGATCTCTGCCAGCGGACGCTGAACCGCGACAACGCTGCGAATGGCGCGATCCGCTGCAATGACTGCGAAGAGGATCTCCATGCCTCGTCGAAGAAGTCGAAGAAGCATAAGAAGAAGCATCGCAAGGACAAGCACAAGTCTGACAAGACCAAGAAGTCCTCCAAGCCAATCATTACCGATGATGATGATGATGAAGACGAGGCAGACGATATTATCCGGCCGACCAAGTCTTCTCGCCAGCGCCGTGTTGTTGTGGATAGCGATGATGAAGAAGAGGGCGAGTGGCTCGTCTCAGAAGACCAGCAACACTCCGAGAACCTCGGTGTTGCTGGCGGCACAGACGACGAGAATGCCGAGGGCGGTGGCGACACACTGGCCTCTATTGACTCACAAGCCACAGGCAGCGTCGACGACAGCAAGAGCAACCTTGATTCTTTTATCGTGCACGACACCGACAGCGAGGACGAAGCGCCCGTGGCCCGTAAGAAGCTCTTCATCAAAGGCAAGCCTCGCACCGTCAACCTCGTGTCTGACTCCGAAGATGACTCGGCGACAGAAGCCGACTCAGAATCCGACCCCAACTCCGAAGACGACGATGATGATGAAGACTCCGCCACCGACGCATCAAACGACTACAACACGTCTGATCTCGTCCCCTCCACCAAAATCCGCCAACTCCTCAGCATCCTCGAGAAGGAAACGCCGGAACACAAAGTCATCGTCTTCTCGCAATTCACTTCCATGCTCGACCTCATCGAGCCGTTCCTCAAGCGCGCCGAATTCGCCTTCACGCGCTATGATGGCAGTATGCGCAATGACCTGCGCGAGGCGAGCTTGCAAAAGTTGCGCGAGGATAAGAAATGCAGGGTCTTGTTGTGTAGTCTGAAGTGCGGCAGTCTTGGGCTAAATTTGACGGCGGCGAGTAGGGTGGTTATTATGGAGCCATTCTGGAATCCGGTAAGCCATGCTCAACTATCTCATCGCCAGTCATGAGAGGGAGAAGAATGGGTGAACTTGTGCTGACATGCGGAATTCTAGTTCGTCGAAGAACAGGCCATCGACCGCGTCCACCGCCTCAACCAAACCGTCGACGTCACCGTCTACCGCCTCTCCATCCACAACTCAGTCGAAGAACGCATCCTCGAACTGCAGGAAGCGAAGCGCAAACTCGCACAAGCTGCGATCGAAGGCGGCAAGGCGATTGGCAAGCTGAGCATGAAGGATATTCTCAATCTGTTCAAGCGCGAGGCCGAGTATGACCATACGAATGTGGACAAGGATGTTGACGAGAGCGTCTTTGCTAAGCGCAGGGTGCTTGAGAGCGGCAGTGACGAGTTTGCAAGCCAGGGTGATTCAACGGATAGGCGCCCGGCTAGGAAGGCGGGCAGCCTTGGGTTCAGGAAGGAGAGGAAGGAGGACAGTGTTTACGGTCGGCGCTGAGGCTTGGGTCCCCGGATTTCGCTGCCTCGAATGTCTTGGCGATCAAGGGTGAGGCGGTTGGTGGTTCTGGACACGCATCTGGGCAGGGAAGGCATGATAGAAGGCGTTCAGGACATCAGGTTTCAAGATTTACGCTGTTCTGACTTGACAGTCTCGGGTTTCATTTCAATGTGACCAGTGCACTCTCGCACCACCTGACAATACTTAGAATCCCCTCGCCGCATCTCCTGAATCGCTCCTCGCACCACCCCAACACGTGCTTTCCGTCAGATTCTGGAGTATCGCACAACAGTACCCACAGCTCGACAGCATCTTTGATTCTAATGTCCAGGTCTCCGCTTATCATCTGCGAAGAGAGGAGGCGTGGAATCTTGCGAATAAAATGATGGGTTTTCGTCTGTCCTTGGTATGTTGGCTTCGAGATTGGATGATATAGTGGATATTGGGTTGATGATTCCTTGGAGGGTGTGGAAACGGTGGAGGACGTAACTTGTCTTGCTGATCTTGGCGGTGGGAGTTGGAGGTAGATGGGCAGCAGGATAAGAACACATGGCATCCTTTCGAAGGGTACAGTTAGAAGGTTTCGCTACCGGAAGTTGTAAAAGAGTAATCGGGTTTTGCAGAGTGTTTCCCAAAACGCAGAAGAAATGAGTATATTTGAGGCACGAACAGAAGAGGGATGATATGTTGGAAAATAGACATTAAAAGGATCTGCAGGCTCGCGCACTAGACCATCAAATAGACATCAGCTGACGAGATACAAGAAGAGAAGGGTACTTCAGTACGGAGAAGGAGACCCTTGGTACCAATGTTGAGTGGCTGCTTGGATTTCGGACGTCGTGAGGCAGTTTGTGCCTGGATAAGAACGCATTGTATTGTAGACAGTCTCGGTAGTCAACTCAAAGGAAGCTTTCGTGGACTATCATCTTGCTGTCTTCGCTACAGTTTTGGTTGTGTATGATGGTGGATAGTCATTCTGCGAGCAGGCATGAGGGGGGAGGGCGCCTGCTTGACATGCTGGCTCCATCACGTCCAGATAAGCAGCGATATTTGACCGCATAAGATAAACCATCAGAACAAGACCAGTGAACGATGAAGTGTGTTAGATTCCAAGAGTGTGAACACGGCGAAGGTGGGACTGTGGCGTCAACGTCGTCGGTGCACGGACTTACCTCGGCCGGACTTTACGCGGTGATGCTTACTACCTTCGCAAAGCGAGCTGGAGTTTGATAGAAGTCACTCGAAGGCAACTTTGCCTTTCACAGTCGCTCCTCCCTTTTGGGCGCCTCGTCCTACTTTCCCTCGTTCACACGAACCTGGCTCCACCCTCATGCCGCAACCCGTAATCTTGACGTATCGATAGCGCTCGGCTGGACATCGAGTCCACATCTACACAGCACCTGCAACCTCACCTCACCCAGCCCAAACAGTCCCGTAGACTGGAGGGCTCGTCCAATCAACGACTACATCCTCGTCATCACTGGCTGATATCGCGTTCCACAACGTCGCCGCCGCCGACTGTCCACGCCCACACACCCCGCCACCATGTTCACGAGCTTCACGGGCAATACACGGCGACCACGCCAGGTCAACCTTTCGGGACGTAAGACGAACCCTTTTGGCACACCTAGCACCGGTGCTGGCTCGCAAGCTGCCGTCGACCGAGCACAGCAAGAACGCGCGCAGCGACAACGAGAACGAGATACACTCAATGCGGCGAAGAAGATACAGAGAGTATGGAGAGGCCACGCCGGCAGACGGAGGGTAGCAGATTATTTGCGGCAGGAGTGGGATTCCGTGGAAAGAGATACAATCTCCCAGACGTCATCTTTACCATACGACGGCGAAGAGCCAGCCTTATTGCAACTACAACGGCTGCTGAGATTTGCATCGGTACGGAACGAGCAAGATCTTGGACGGATACGACACCTGGGTGTCCGACTGCAAAACACTCTAGGGGAGGAGGATCATTTCCAAGTTTCGTCATGGACATCAGCGTATTTGAAGTTAGAGAAGTTGCTGTTGGCAGCACTGCCTCAGATCTTTAAAGGTCCGACATCGATATTGCAGGATGCAGCCATGGCGTTCGTCCAGCTTTTGCTGTTTGTTGCAGGACAAATCCCCGCCCAGACCTCTCAGCACGCATATCCATACTACCGCACGCTCGCTGAAACTGTATCGAAGCTCGCACCATCCCTGGTAAGCACAACAATGGTTGGAGATTCAAATGCCAGTGGCGCAGAAATTGTCAATTGGCAGCAAGGTTGGGAGGTTTTTCTCGCCACTCTCATCGCGCCGCTCAAGGCTGTTACTGGATATACTTTGGACGCATACGAGGCTTTTGGCCACATCTTCATGACTATACCGCTGCTAAGCTCCAACTCAACGTCTCCTCTCATTGGCAGATTCAGAGATGCGCTTGCCGAGTTGATCAACTACAAGCTGCTCGCTAGTGCGCTAGCCACATCGTTCAAGAGCTCGGGATTACAGTCACATCCCCAGTTGAAGAGCACGAACAGTCGCCTGCGATTGCTTGGGCTGTTCATATACTTCCACCGATATGCGCACAATTTCGATTCACCAGAAGCGTACGCGATACATCAAGACTTCGTCACGGTGGTGTCTCTCCTACTGAATTCTCTTCCAGCCGGAATTCTTGGTGACGAAGACTCTGTCATTGATTTGACGGATGAAGACGACTTGACTACAGACAAAGTTACTCAGTTCTTGAAAGAGCAGGTACAGTCCCTTGTGAACCAAGAAGGCATTGGAAGCTTATTGGCTGGTTCACCACAATCCTTGCAAGCTTCAGAGGATGAGAAGATCGAGGAGGCGAGGCAGCTGGCAAACTACGCCCTTGCGTTACTTCGATTCTTCCCCAAGAGAGGTGATGAGATTCGCATGTGGCTTTACATTGGTCCCTCAGACAAGAACAACGCCGGACAGAAATCGCCTGCGATCAGATACTTCTGGGAAGCGTCAAAACGGTCATTCGTGTATGCGACCATCTTCCGCGATTCACGTGCGGCAATTGAGCTGTTGAAGACAAAGACGACAGATCCTAGTCCTTCAGGCTTGACACAGCATGGCTTTTGGCAACCAGCACAGCAAGAGGTCAACCGCGAGGCTGCTGTTGCGGATGAGTGGAGAGTCATACTTGTCTTCCTCGAGTTATACACTTTCGTGCTGAAGGTCACGGACGACGAGGAGTTCTTTGCCGCCGGGCAGCATGACGGCTTCTCGAACCAAGTCCGCGACAGCGGTCTTCCTCTCACCGAAGTCAAGGACCTCACAACTTTCTTGAAGAATCTTGGATTCACACTGTACTTCAACGCAGCGGACATCATGCCTGCAGAGGAGGGCACGACTACAAACTCCAGTCTCAACTTTTACAGCCACCAAGCTGTGGAGACTCAGGCAGCCAAAGAGACGCAGGAACCATCAGTCGGTGGAGTCGCCGGACTCAGTCTTGACTATGTCAAGGGACTGGTCACTGGACTACTCCGGATGGTCTACGAGCGAGATTCGCGCCGTAACTTCTTGCCTGGTGATCACTGGCTGATGACCTCTCGCTTCGACATGACAGGCTTTATTCCAGCTGTAGTGGAAGAGGAAGAATCACGACACAAGATCCAAGATGAAGATGCTGACGATGTGGACGAAGAGGAGGATGAGATCGACGACACGCCACAATTGATTGGCACAAGCCGTGTACAACAGCAGCGGAGATTGGAAAGGCTACAACGGCAGCAGCGCAAGGCCTCGCGGAGAAGGTATTTGCAAGCTGTCGCCCCGCGCCTGGAGATTCTGCAGAACATGCCCTTCTTCATCCCTTTCACAACTCGAGTGAAAATATTTCGAGAGTTCGTGCATCTGGACATGACCAAGCGCAGGCAAACTGCTGAACCTGAAGCCTGGCGAGCGAGAATGATGTTCGGTGGTGGGCCAGGCGACAAACACTCCGCGAGGATTCGACGAGACAACGAGTTCGAGGATGCTTACGAACAATTCTACTCTCTAGGCCAAGGCCTCAAGGAACCCATACAGATCACTTTCGTAGATCAATTTGACGCTCCTGAGGCCGGTATTGACGGTGGTGGTGTAACTAAAGAGTTTCTGACCAGCGTCACGGATCGCGCTTTCAGACCTACGGACTCTGTTGACATGTTTGCGGAAAACGACCAGCATCTTCTGTATCCGAACCCTGCTGCGGTTGAAGAGCATAAAGAGCAGTTGAAGCAAGTCGGGTTGCGCGAGAACTCGCCGGAGTTCCGACAACAGATCACCGAGCTTTTGCACCGCTACGAATTTCTTGGCCGCATCATTGGCAAGTGCTTGTATGAAGGGATACTGGTAGACGTCAACTTTGCACCGTTCTTCTTGCGCAAGTGGGCATTAACAGGTGGTGCTGGCTCTGCGCCAAACGAAACTGGCTATCGCCCTACGCTCAACGATCTTCGCGACCTCGACGAAGAGCTCTACCAAGGTCTCCACAAGCTCAAGACCTATCCCGGTGACGTCGAGGATTTCTCTCTCAACTTCACGGTCACCGACACAGTCGTCACCGATCACACCGCCTCCCCCAAGAAAACCAAAGCCATCACCAGAGACCTGAAACCTGGCGGCGCTAACACAGAAGTAACAAACCAAAACCGCCTCGTCTACATCAGCTACATGGCGCGCCACCGTCTCCAAAACCAACCCTATCTCCAGACCACCGCCTTCCTCCGTGGCCTTAGCACCATGATCCAACCCTCCTGGCTCTCCATGTTCAATCACTCAGAACTGCAGACGCTGATCTCGGGCACACGCACCCAGATCGACGTCGAAGACCTACGCCGCAACACCATCTACGGCGGGACTTATGTGATCGGCGACGATGGCCTCGAGCACCCAACGGTCCAGCTCTTCTGGCAGATTATGAAGGACATCAGTGATGATGAGCGTCGTGCTGTACTGAAGTTCGTCACCAGTACGCCCAGAGCGCCCTTGTTGGGATTTGGCACATTGAACCCCAGATTCAGTATTAGAGATGGAGGGAGTGACCAAGAGAGGTTACCCAGCACGAGCACGTGTGTGAACCTGTTGAAGCTGCCGATGTATAGGGACTATGATGTGCTGAAGGAAAAGCTGCTGTATAGCGTGTTCAGTGGGGCTGGGTTCGATTTGAGTTAGATGGCGGTGGGGACGGGTGGGGTGGGAAGAAGGACCTGGAGATAAACACATGACATGATTGATGGGCACAATGTTTCAATATCGAGTGTGTCCCCCAGATATAATGTGATGTACAGTATTCGAAGCAGTCTGACGTTCTCAATTCCCCCCTCATGCCGACTTCATGGAAGCTTTAATGTGGCACAGCCTCTCTGGGTAGCGGATATAGGCTCTGCGACGTTGTAAGCAGCACCTACTGCGCATTCACTTACACAAAGCCTCAGCAAGGAGTGGCGTCCGGCACTAGGAGGGACCTCCGACTTGAGTTCACTCTGTACCCTGGGCGAGCAAGCCAGCCGTCACCGGCGGACGAACGATTCGAAGGGGCTTCTTATATTCACGGCGGTACCCTAGCTGAGGGGCCAGAGTTGGTGCGTACAATCACCTAATATGGTGCAGTACGAGACTGCTGGATAGCTATGTGGAGTTACGATAGCTGATAGGCAACTCAACTCGAAGCTTGTGTAGCCGCATACGGGTTGTGAGTGCTCCAAAGTCTGGTACGTGTCTAAAGGGGTAAAAACGCCGGTGGTGCTGCTGCTGCTCCTTGGGGATAGACGTCTCCACTGGGCCCTTCCTTTCGCAGTCTTTCTGTTTTCGGAAGCACCAAGGCTCATCTCACAGTGCTCACTTTGCTCGCAGTCGGCCAAGTGGAGTCCCAGTATGCGTGCTGCCAACTGACACACACCACGCCAAATGGCGAAAAAATCCCCCCTCTAGTCGTACGAGCGATGCATAGCCAATAAGAGCACGGTACCGCTAGCGCCGCCGCCCGTGCCGCCGCTCGTGAAGAGGACATGGTGTTCCTTGCCGCAACAACGATAACTATCGCAATCACGAGCAGTGAGGACTGTAGGGCTGCCGTGGCACGAAATGCAACATGGGATTCATGCACGCGCCCTGGGAGCAGCACTGAGCGGCCTGCCCTCCGGATGCCTTCCGCCAATGACCTTGACTCGCGAGTGCGAGAAGGCAACTCACCAATCAGCATGAGTGTCACGAGGTCCCGTTGCTGGTGCAGTTGCCGTCGCGGACAAACCACGGCAGGGCACAAAGCGGTTCGCCGCGCCGGTAGTCACAGAGCCCATTGCCGCGACTGCAAGTCGTGAAGGCCTGTCCGTCGCGGTGTGCTCGGAGCCATGACAGCGGAAGGGCCTGCTCACGAACGCTCGTCTGATAAACGAAACTCGTGATGGAATGCGAGGCAGGGATGTCAACGCAGAAGCTAAAAGTCATAAATCTCATCGAGCCTTGTTGCAGCACAATAACGATAGCGCGCACGTCTCGCTACTGCTGCGAATCGATTACACGGGGGCAGTCTTCTTCACCGAACTCGATCCCTCAGCTCTGTCTCCATGTAAGGCGAAACTCTGGGTACCGCCGAATCGGGAATCCCCGTGCTTAGGAACGTTGCCTCTTCCTTCAGACCGCTAGCGGCATCGAGATCACAGTTGCAAGTGGCCCCGCCAGATCAACTTTTCGCATCGAGACTCCAGACGCTGTCTTGATGTGCCCCCAACCCAACTCCAGCGTTCTTGTATTTTACCGCCAGTCCGCATCATTGAGGACCACTCGAATGCCCGTCTCCTCTACGAAGTAGGACTCCCCGGACTGGTCTTTGGATTGGTCTAGATAACCACGCGACACGGGAACCGTTGCTCACTGGCCCTAACTAGTAACCTGTGGCTAGACCCCCATCAGACCATTCAGATCATTCAAATCAATTGCCACTCAAAACAGAGTGCACGGCACCTGCGAAGTGACACAGCACCAGCCACGATCCCGCAATTCTTTCAATTCTACAACATCTTCATCAAGATCTTGCTGCTTCAAATGGTGGGGCTCACTGTTGTCGCTCGGCCCCACGATTGATTCGATGCCTCCAGTCAGCCATGAGTTTACATCCTTCTTTCCCAGAGCCGATGCAGCTGTACTGCGTTCGAAATATGTCGCTCCCACAGATCGCCCAAGCGAGACAGCTCCTATCTTCGACACCGACAATGCCACCAAGGCTCTGGATAATTGGTCCGTTGAGGTAGCAGAGCGCGTCTATCCAGGTCAAACGGATATCTGGGCTCCAGCAAAGATTCCAGAGAAGACGTCAACGCAATGTGCGACCGACAGGTACCTGTTTCCTGTGCTGACGCGCAATGAGAGGTTGCGATTGACGATGCTGTTCTACTACACTCGAGGCGCTCTCGAGGATACTGAACTGCAGTCAAGATTGCAAGAAAAGGTCTATCTGGCGAGAGATACCGTAGGATGGGAGTTTGTAATCGCAGGTCTCTTAAACCACAACACGTACACCCGTATGGTGACCGTGGGTCTACCGTTGGCTGTGCTGCCCCGCCGCGAAAGTACTTGCGCCCACACAGTCAATCAGCCATCAGGCGTAAGTATTTTCCTTTCCCATATTTACCTATGCTGAGGCAATCGCAGGCGATCTTCACACTACTTAACATGTCTGAGGACTGGCGGTTTCGAGATTCTCCTCACGTAGAGATTGGCGGTCTTCGCGCGTATGCAGGTGCACCCTTACGATTTGAGACCGAATTTGGCGAACACGTTGCGTTCGGATCGTTATGTGTCGCGTCGAATTCGGTGCAAGAGCCGCTTTCGAAGGAGAAGCAGAGATCGTTGGCACACCTGGCCGACTGGATCGTCGCGGACATCGTTCATGCTCACCGAGCACGGCGACAGAGGGAACGACGCCAAATGTCGGACCGCCTTGCTCAGCTGACGAAGTTACTGGAAGAGAACGTGAACCTGGAGGAAGCCGTCAAGGGCATGCTGCACGAAGTGTATCCTGGCAGCCTGGTCAAGATCATGCAAGCGCAAGATGATGTCCTCAATCTTGGCGATGGGACGAAGGTGGCTACAGCGGACATCGAGCATGGACTGTGGGAGGACAGCGAATACTTCGAATATTTGATCGAGAATCTAAATCACCAGGAACCAGAAGCTCACAGGTCGATACGGATTGTAACCTCGCAATGCGAAAGCCAACGGACATCGACGTACCTTGTCTTAGGCACCAGGACCTTCCGAGATGTTTACGATGATATCGATGCATGGTTCGTACAGATGTGTGCAGCTTCTTTGTGCCGCTACTGGCAAGACAGGACACTCAAGGAGGCTTTAAGGGCGAAAGAGACGTTCCTTCGCGGGATTACGCATCAGCTGCGAACACCAATTCACGGCATTCTGGGTTCCGTGGAACTTCTTACAGAGGAGTTGAAGTCACGCAATATTGTTACCGTAACCGCCGAATCGACTCCCGATGCAACACCCAGCGACGAGCGGCTCGGTGCGCTGGACCCCTATTCATACATTAAGACGATACGATCATCTGCGAAAGAACTCATTTCGACAATCAATAGCCTTATCAAGCTCAATCAGTGGGCCGATGTCGCCGAAGCACAACGAGTCGTCACAGTACATACGATCCAAGAAATCGAAGTAGCTCTACTGAAGGAGCTCACGCTGTTTCTACCCGATGACGTTACTTTACGACCTTCCCTTATAATCAACCACAAATTACCGGAACGATGCGATACAGTATCCTTGGACTTGCGACTCTTCGTCGATTGTATTCAGCCTATTTTACAGAACGCGATTCAGAACACTGCTGGCGGTGTTGTGGTTGTCACTATTACGGTATCTGAGGACTACAGCAGCATGGTGGTCGATGTTGTAGACAATGGATGCGGCATCAAACAAGAGAACCAGGCGAGAATTTTCGACGCCTACGAAAAAGTCGACAATCATACCACGGATGCTGGCCTTGGTCTGACGTTGGCTGGGAAGCTGGCCACGCTCATGAATGGGTGTGTTACCCTGGTCTCCTCTGAAATTGGCATGGGATCGCACTTTCGTGTTGCCTTCAACGACCCTACGTGCGCATCTTCCATCTCGCTGATTCGGAAGAAGTACGAACACTTACCGCCTGTATTCAGCAGGCTTCCCGCGGACGACCTTACCTCGCTATTGGGCAACAACTTCGCAGAGTACCTGACCGGGCTGGGATACGCCGATTCTAATGGCACTTCAGGGTCGTTCTTGATACTTGACTACACACGTGATCTGAGCAGGCTTTACAGTGCTACAAAGCAAGTCAGCGATGATCAAGTCGCCATTTGTCTTGTTCCAGAACACGACGTGGTTATAAACTTCGCCGGACAGCGTTTTTTGCGAGACGGTAACGTGATATACATGAAGGGCCCATTCACGTCACGATCGATCGAAGACATACTAGCGGAGGCTGATGCCGTCTTTGCCGAACTTGCGGCAGCAAAGTTAGCTCGGCCAGTACTGCCCGACGGAGGCATTGCTCTGGAACCGACTCCACCAGCAACACCGGCATGCAACGCACCGGAGGACGACTCTGGCTTTACAGCTCCAGATTTGATCCACCGTGGCTCCATATTTCCCAAACAACTCGTGAAAGCCGAGCTCACGAAATCTGTCGCGACCTTGCGTCTTACGCAAGAAAAACTCGGACCCGCTTCGACCGGCTCGAACAAACCGATGACACTCCTCGTTGACGACAACGCTGTCAATCTTCGTCTTCTCGAGATGTACTGTAAACGCCGTGGCATTCCATATTGTACCGCTATCGACGGTGCGCAGGCTGTCAAACTATTCACCGAACACGGTATCCCCGCAGCTTTCACGCCTACAGCATCACGCACACATCCTTGGTTATTCGCCGAGTCGACGCCTGCGCTTTCAATACCTCCGCCGCCTGCACTCCGGCCCTTCGATCTTGTGCTTATGGATTTTCAAATGCCTGTTTGTGACGGCATAAGCGCCACGAGCCAGATCCGCTCACTGGAGAATATGCATCACTTAAAAAAGAGCGTAGTGTTTATTGTCACAGGGCAAGATAGCCCGAGAGATCGCTTGAGTGCGCAGGAAGCGGGCAGTGATGGGTACCTGGTCAAGCCCGTTGGTCCGAAAGTGTTGGATCGTGGTGTCAAGCAGTGGTTTCCTAATGCGGAGATCGGTTAGGAAAAAGTCAAAAGGAAGGAGACGCTTGGGTAGTAAGAGCGAAGAAGAGCATTAGAAGCATTGCACAGCATAGCGCGGCGTTTTGGTATCTGTACAATCACGAAGCGGCGTACGCATATACCCAGTAATACATTTCTTGCCACCTTGACAAAGTATGTCCAACCACAAACCTTTAGGTCGCCAACGGCACTGCGACCTCGTTTTTGCTGGTAATTAAGGCGTCCATGCCTTGCCGATGCAGCTCCACAGCTTACATCTCGTCCAGCTGTCCGCCCAGATCTGAGGATGGCTTTGACGAAACCCAGTTTCTGGGCTGTGGATCAGCAGGCGCTGTCAAGATCGGCGCTTTCTCGAACAATGAGATGGGGCAATGTACTCATGATATGAATGGGATGTACATGAAGTGGTTGCTGGGTGCTGGAGGGCATCGGCTCAGCAAGTCGGTCGGGTCGTTGAAAGCAGGTATTCGAATACTTGATCGAGGAACGTTATCACTATTCCGTCCGTTTGCGTACTACAGCACGTTGAGGTTTCAGACTTCCACACGATAGCCGCCGTTGTGGGAGCAAAATGGCAAAAGGAAAGGTATGCCATGACGGAAAGCACCATTGTGGATCGAATGAAGCTGATTCTTCAGAGACAATATGTGTACACGTGAAAAGTCGCAGGGCAGACTGAGGCCACTGGAGGAGAAAGAGCCTTGTATATATCAGAAACGGCAGCCTTCGAGGGGAGCGTGATCGTGGTGAGAAAGAATGATACTGCGCTCTGGGCAGCATACAACGACATCATGCACCTGCCCTGCGGTACGGCAGGGAGTGTCGGTGTGTGCGACTCTGAAATCACCCCGGTACATCGCTAAGGTCTGAAGTTTTGGCCTGGCAAACAATCTCCGCGGTATGGATGTTCGCAATGATCGAAGGTCTGTCATTTTGTGTCCATGAGAAGTATCAGTACTAGGCTTCCTCAGATGATAGCTCTGGACGGACTTGACACCTTGTAGATCGCAGTAGTCTGACGTGCCGAGATAGGGGTACCAGACGCATACTGGTAGCATTTCGGTATGCGTATAGAGTCTAGCCTGTCTCATCCTTGCAAATTGGTGACAGGCATGGCGTTCTGTCCTCCGTGTGCAATAATAACTTCCTCGACTGTCTCGGCTCACACCTTCGTCTGACACGGACAGCAGGTTCAGTACACGTTCCCGTACGCAATGATGGACATGTTTAAGCCCACACCTCTTCCATGACAACGATCATTATGTTCTTGCACGTTCTTCTGTGTGAATGGCGAGTGCTGTTCATGGAACGGCACGACCAGGCTGCCTTGGCCCTTAGGTCAATTGATCCCGTGCTTGAACCGTTGTAGACCTGTAGTTATTTTCCAGCACAAGAACATGCAAAAAGCTTGTATTGCAATTCCTCGATTGTATCTTATTTTTTTGGTCGTGGGTATCATCTAGGTAATGGATCGTATCTGATGCCGCTGCATCGCTTCGTCAAGTAGGGCGTCCGTCCGCTCTTTTCGGTTGTGTCGCGGCTCCCGTGCCCACATCTCGAATACCATCATCGATCATGTCGCTGCGTCATCCTCCTCATTCTCCCTCTACACACGTCTAGAAGACCATTTCGTGAGGGTGCTGACCGCTCCTCAGGCTGAAACTGGCGCCCAAGTACTGCTCGAGATCCGGCTGTTGCTTGATGGTCGCCATCAGCGCCTTGTCGACAGTCTTCTGGTCCGCAATGCGCTGAGGATCAACATCCTTCTTCTGGGGTGTGGTCTCACCCTGCTCGAAGAACGCATCCTCGCCCTTGCCCTCCTTCTTCTCGCGCGCCCAGTACTCGTCCTTGCTCACGCGGTCGAGGACTTCGGAGTCGAGGTTCGAGACATCGACGGATGCGCCGGTTGCGATTACGTATCGGTGGTTGACGCGGCGCAGGGGAACGCCGTTGGACTTGAAGGGACCGGTGACCAAGAGGACACCCTGGTCGAGCTGGCGCAGCAGGACGACGCGCTTGCCGGAGAAGCGACCAGAGAGGAGGATCAGAATTGTCCCAGGCTTGAGAGACTCGCGGTACTTGGTGGGGTGGGCTGTCTTGCGGGCCTGATGTTGTCAGCATGTGATTCGGCCAATTCACAACTTCGCGAATTCGCAGCATATCTGGCGCAAAATCGTGTCGTTGTTGAGATCTCAAATTATGCGCATACCTTCTTCATGAGCGCCTCCTCCTCCGCAGCGTAGTAGCGCGAGGCTTTCTGTTCACCGGCAGCAGTAGACATTGTGAATTCGATTCTGAACTTCAATCAGTATTCCGGGTGTGAAGCAAGACTCGTAAATCTGCTGGACACTCACGTTAGATCTTTTGATGTCGATGATGTCGCCGTCGTGATAATGCTCGACACGCTGTGGGAAGCTCGCTTGTACTGGCCAATGGTAGAAGAGATAGTTATCGATACGCCGACGTCATCTCCTAACACCTTGAGACGTGTCGTGAACAACCACTTCGTGCTGTGCACGAATGCCACGATGTATAGCGAGAACCATCGCTCAAGTTGTGTAGCTGATCAACAATTTTTTGCTGACTCTGGACAATCACAGTTTTTGGCGTGTAGGGTAAGCTGTGCCTTCAACAGGCATTCAGGCAAGTGCACGACAGACGCGCGACTACCACAGATGCTAGCTTGCCACATGCTACATTTGTTGCACTACCTTATTCTTGCCTTCGTCACACCTACAAAACTCCACGACACCTATAGATACTCACCTAATTTTACTACTACTCACTTGCGACAATTCGTAATGGAAGGTATCATCAATTGCTCACCCGACGGTACACATACCGCTACAACCGAAGAGACCCTTATACGCAAATCGGTCTGCGATATAGCCAGTGAGCTCGACTTGGAGAAGATCGAATCATAAAAGCATCACATCGCTGATAGAACCCACAGCGACACCCACCTCGGTCGAGCTGGCTCCTTACACGCACGCGCAGTCACACCGAAGCGCCGCCCACCGAAGCGGCCTGATCCAAGCTAACGAGCATAGAAGGATAGGACTGTGGCAACTTAGTACACACTATGTACCCTTTCACTAAGTTATCTAATTTAAAAATAAAAGCCATCCAAACAATGCTTGGGCAAGAGGCCGGTTACGACTACGGTGCACCGACGTTCATCCCACCCCCAAGACTGGTGTCGGACTGGTCGTCAATAGACAGTGTTCTTCGAGACTCACGATCCTTTGTTGCACCTTGGGAGTTAAGATTGCAAAGTCTCGGATGTTCTTAAGGTGTTGTTGCTCGACTTTGCAGTTGTGTGTCGGAATGGCAAGAGGTTCCCACGTCTGGACGAAATGGAGCTAGACCGGCCACCCGCGGTGTATGATCACATATTTTTCATCGACGGGTTGCACGGTCCTCTGGTCAAAAAGATCGCGATCGCCGGAGTAGCGGAACAACTGCGAGTGTTTGGGTGACTTGCGGCGGGCACCAGGAGCTGCAGGCACTATGAGAAGAGTATGCAAGAGCGAAGTCGTGAGTTATCTCAACGATGCTCAAGACGAGTGGGTACCACTGCCGCCGCGCTTGAAGTCGCGCTTGAAGTCGCGCTTCGACACCTTGCCGTAGAATCAGGCAGCGACTCATGACAGTCCCGGAGATAATGTGATTGACTGTTTTGACCGTCACTTTGCTCGTTCTCCGTTACCCCGTCATTCTGGATCCGTTCCACACCGTCCTGTCGGATTGTGGCCGAGTGAACACGGCATCGTGAAATGCATCCCGGCACCCAAAGGTCAGGAAACATCTGTGCGCCAAGCCGCAAAATGAATCTGCAATCTACGGAAAAGCAAACACATGCCGCATTGAGTAATTCGAGAGGTGGTGGCTTTACGCCTTGCGCGCGGCTGCAGGGGAGAGCCTGGTGAGTCGGCGCCGGGCGGTCCGCAGCATCATCGTGATCCGTAGATGTGCATTCATAAGTCGGCTTTCATGATTGTTCACCTGAAGCCGAAATTGCAGTCGCGCAAAAGCTATGAAGAGGCGCCACATCCGTTACACACGACGTGGCTGCGCCTCAAGTCAACCCTCGAGGATCTGATCTCTGTGTTATGCATCACCAATCCGCAGCGCGTACAACCGGACTTTGAAGACCCGGGCAACGATCGTTGTTGGGTGTCGAAGTTCCACAGGTAGCCGCAATGTCGAAGCCAGAAAGCACGATCAGAGGCCTTTGATGCCAATCACCATGGACAACAGGAGAACCCCAATATATCCTCGGAACCTCGCCCTGGGCGCCAAAGATGAAGGACTCGCTGGACGGGCTCAGTCGCTCGAAACATTGAAGTCCGACAGCTGAAACATGCAGGCAGCCAATCAGCGCAGAAGTCTCGAAACAGCCAGAACTTCGTAGCTCGAGTCCCTGCAGGGGTCGCGCGGCTCCTTCCCCAGGTGAACATCAAATCTCGATAGACCAATGCAAACACCCGGCCACGAGGTCTTATAGATAGCAAGGCCCACTTCATCATGGTTCCTTCATTCACATTCGGTCTTTTGCGTTGTACACGCACCTCCACTCGCTTTCGTGCTTTTTACCTTCTTCGTTTCTTAACTTTCAGCATTGCAATATGAAGTTCTCTACTTTTGGAGCTGCGCTCCTTCCTTTTATCGCGTCGACCGCGGGTGCTGTTCAGCTTGATCCGAATGATGAGGCGTCTATTAAGGCGGCCGCAAGAAGTTATGCGTATGGCTTGATGGAACTTTACAAGAACAACGCTACAGGAACTGCGGAGCAGGATATAGGGGTATGGCCGCAGCCGCATTACTGGTGGGAGGGTAATTTTCCCTGGTCGCAAATCTTCTTGGAGTGTTGCTGAGCTCATACAGGTGGCGCCGCATGGGGAGGCATGATTGAGTATTCAATGTTCTCGGGCGATTCTTCGCATGTCAAGGCGCTCCAGCAGGCCCTGACTGCCAACTACGGACCCAGCAACGACTTCATCCTATCTTACCGCAAGGGCCAGACAGGAAACGATGACCAGCTGTTCTGGGCGCTCGCAGTCATGTCGGCGCTCGAGTACCAGTTTCCGGACGCCGACTCGGCCCCTGCCGACTACCTGGAGGTTGCCGTGAACGCTTTCAACAACGTCATGGGACGCTGGGACACCACTACCTGCGGTGGAGGGCTGAAGTGGCAGATCTACCCCGAGAACGCATACGGTTACAACTACAAGAATTCCATCTCCAACGGATGCGCCTTTGCCTTGGGCGCGCGCCTTGCTCGCTACACTGGCAACTCGACATACTCGGACTGGTCCGAGAAGATCTACGACTGGACCAAGTCGGTTGGTCTGATCACTGACATCTACGAAGTCTTCGACGGTGTTGATGACAAGACGAACTGTGCTGCCGTCGCGGACAAGACCCAATGGACTTACAACAACGCCATGTTCCTCCACGGTTCCGCTTTTATGTACGACGTCACGAATGGTGCGAGTATCTGGAAGGAACGTGTCTCCGGATTTCTCTCCCACGCTGAGCTTCTCTTCTTCAGCGCAGAGACCAAGGACAACATCATGTACGAGTGGGCGTGCGAGACTGGAGAGTCGGGCCGTACCTGCAACCTCGACCAGCAGTCGTTCAAGGCTTACCTGTCCCGCTTCATGGCACAGACTGCGGCTGTTGCTCCCTTCACCAAGGATTCAATTAACAAGTATCTCACAGCGTCTGCCGTCGGAGCTGCAAAGTCCTGCTCGGGTGGAGACAACAAAGCTACCTGCGGTTCGAAGTGGTACACCGGTAGCTGGGACGGAACATCTGGCGTTGGCCAGCAGCTTTCGGCCTTGGAGGTCACTAAGGCACTGTTGTCGCTGAAGCAGAACATTGTGCCTGTCAAGCAGGGCGCTTCAGAGCCAAAGCCTACTACGACCGTCACACCCAAGCCTAGCTCGACACCTGCTGCTAAACCTACTTCGGCCGCTACCAGCAAGCCAGCTGAGTCAAGTAAGCCAGCTGAGGTCCCTTCATCCAGCAAGGCAGCTCCCGTCAACAGTGCTACGGTTCCTTCGACCAAGGAGGTTGTATTCACTTCTGCTGTCGTAGTCTCCTCCACGAAGTCCACTGCGGCAGCAGCGGTCTCTACTCAGAAGCCTGCCGGCTCGTCCGCTGGTGTTGCCTCATCTTGCCTGTCAAGGACGACGGTTACAGTCACCATCTCGAAGCCGTCCGGTGTTAACACGACCTGCACACCCAGCACTACGCTCACTGTTTACGTTCCTCCCGTCACATCGGCTCCGGTTGTCCCGTCTGGCGCAACAACTAGCGCGCCTGTCGTCCCACCGGTCCTGACTACACTCGCTCCTGCCGCACCGTCTGCTAATGTCAGCGTGCCTGCTAATGGCAGTGTACCTAGCTCAACAGCACCGGCAGAGTTCCAGGGTGCTGCATCTAGCATCATGGTGATGGGCGGCTCTACCCTAGGCGCCATCGCTGTTGCCATGGTTGCTGGTCTGTTGTAGAGCAGGCTTCTGGCATGTCAGCTTCCGCTTCTTTGTAGTCCCTTGGGGCATTTATTCGTTGTACATATACCCTTCATATCAAGGCCTGGCCGAGATGCAGCCATACATAGCACGGTTCACAGATTGTTTATAGACGATGTTAGAACCAGCAAATTCGTAAACGCCATGTTGCGCGCTTTCCGTGACGTTTGCGGCGTGACGACGGTCATTTCCAGGGTGCAGTGCCCTCCCCGGAAGCATCCCTCGTGGATGTTGCAGATAAGTGCAGATTATGTTCCCGTCTGGCGCAGACGAGACGGTGATCGGCCGGTTTGATTTGGTCTTGCAGCTGCCCCGCGCGCCACCAAGCTCCTCAACGGCGCGCACCATGACCAAATACTCGTGCCCGCGGCCGCCCGCTACATCTCCACATATCCAAGCGCTCAACAACAGCTGTAGCGCATCCTGTGAGCGCACATAGCCGCACGATCCCCCAGCAAAGGCGAGCTGTTCCGGGACTCGGCTACGTGGGCAATTGCTGTATGGGAACTATGCGCACCTGCTTCCTCCCGCACACGACCACCTAAGACATCAGCCCAGGACAACGTGATGAGATAGGAAATAGTGAAGGTGCGTTGGACGGGAAGGATGGCGAGATGTCACTGACATGTGAGAGCAGGAGTCCGCCGTGTCCCCACTGTTCCTCTGCACGTCCGCATCGAACCTCGAGCGCATCTTGCACGCTCGCAGCACGTCACCCCACAATCGCTACATACGCCGTATTCATACACAACACGACTAATCGCCCAGCCGCGCAGGCTGCACGGCAATCATGGCGCCTCAGGCAAAGGGCAAGAAGTCGATTGCGACCATGAACAAATATGTCTACGACGCCTTCCTGTGGACCTTTTCGATACTGGTTGAGCTCTTCTTCCGCGAAGTCCACCCCAGGAGCAGCTGGAAGGTGCCCAAGGACGGGCCAGTCATCTTCGTGTGTGCGCCGCACGCCAACCAGGTAAGACATGTGACATGCAAACTGCACAGGGCAAGTGCATGCTAACAACGCCAGTTCGTCGACCCTCTGATGTTGATGCGCGTAGTCAAAAAGGAATCCGACCGCCGCATCCAGTTCCTGATCGCCGACAAGTCCATGGAGAGGCGCTTCATTGGCGCCATGGCCAGTTTGACGGGCGTGGTGCCTGTGGGAAGAGCCATGGACGCGACGAAGCCTGCGAAAGGCAAGATCTACCAGCCGGACCCCATCAACGACCCGTGCCTCATTCGAGGTGTCGAAACAAACTTCGAGGACCCGCAGTTCATGGTCGGTGGCTCGCTGGTGCTGCCCAAGGTTGAGAACAAGGCGGCGACGGCCGAGATCTTGGAGATCAAGGGGCCTGAGGAGATCAGGCTTAAGCGTGGCTTCAAAGGTGGTGTTGCGATGCAGCAGCTTACCGGACGCAATGACATGACTAAGGACGGCACCTTTGTCGACGGCGCTTCGGCGAAGAAGGGCGTTGCTGAAGGGTTCGAGGGCATCAACTTCCTTGTTGCGCCGAAGCTGGATCAGACCGAAGTCTATGACGCTGTGCACGCTGTGCTACATCACGGCGGCAGCATTGGCATTTTTCCTGAGGGTGGAAGCCACGACCGGACGGATCTCCTGCCATTGAAGGGTGAATACACATTGCCCCCTCCAAATGAGTATAAGCTAACATCACACAGCTGGTGTCGCCATCATGGCTCTCGGCACAGTTGCAAGCAAGCCAGACTGCAATCTCAAGATCATCCCAGTTGGCATGAACTACTTCCACGCGCATAAGTTCCGTTCGAGGGCCGTCATCGAATTTGGTACACCGGTCGACATACCCCCCGAGCTCGCCCAGAAGTTTGAAGGACCAGGCAGGCGTGACGCTATTGGTGAAATGCTCGAATCTGTCCGTCAAGGTCTCATCTCAGTCACTGTCACTACACCAGACTATGAAACTTTACAGGTCATTCAAGCCGTTCGCCGCTTGTACAATACCAAGGGCGCTAAGCTCCCGCTACCTAGGATCGTGGAACTGAACCGACGTCTTCTCAAGGGATACGACAAATACAAGGATGATCCGCGCGTTGTCGAGCTCAGGAAAGAAGTCATCTCCTACAACGCCAAGCTCAGGGCTGTTGGACTCCGTGATCACCAGGTCCAGTATGCCAAAATGCACCCTCTACATGCCTTCTTCACATTCTCGTACCGCCTTAGTAAGCTGATCGTCTTGACCGCATTCGTGCTGCCTGGCACCGTGCTATTCGGTCTGGTCTTCATAGCTACGAAGATGATTTCCATCAAGAAGGCAAAGGAAGCCCTTGCAGCCTCGAATGTCAAGATCCAGGCTCGCGACGTTATGGCTACCTGGAAGCTACTCGTTGCTATGGCAGTCGCGCCTGCCGTTTACTTATGGTACATCGGTATTGGCCTTGCGTGGTACAGGTACAACAACTGCAACGGCTACCTTCCCGACGGCGTCCGCAAACGCTACTTAATCATCATACAAGCCCTCATCTACCCGACTGTGACATATGCAGCTCTCCGTTTCGGCGAAGTCGCCATGGATATCCTCAAGTCTCTGGGCCCACTCTGGAAGATGATGAACCCCTTCTCATCCACCGAACTCGTCAAAATTCAACGAGGGCGCGAGAACCTCGCGCACCGCGTCAACGAAATCATCAACGAGCTCGGTCCCGAGATGTTCGACGACTTCTACAGCAAACGCATCCTGCAGGACCCCTTCCTCGACGGAGAAGAAGCAGAAGTGCCACGTACCCCACTGCGCAAGTCCCGCGCCGAGGCCGAAGCCGAAGGCCCAACCAACGTGGAAGCATACGACTACCCCATCTCGCCCACCAGCCCGGGCACCGAGAACGAGCTCCCCCGCAACGAATCCTTCCACGACCTTGCGAACCAGGACATCTTCTCCACCCGCCCGCCGACGCCGAAGAAAGGGCGGAGCAGGAATAGTAGCTTTGCGAACCTCGGGTTTCAGCTCAAGCCGTTTAGCACGATTGATGGGAATCTCGATGAGGTTAAGCAGAGACTCAAGGATGGGGTTAGAGATCGTAGGTATAAGCGCAGGAGCAGTGGGGCGAACAGCCTCGGTGATGGGTTCGAGAGTGATGCGAGTAGTGGCGCAGGAGAGATTGAGGGGTTGACTATGACGAAGAGGAAGGCTCGTTGAAGAGAGTGCGACGAGGACGTGTGATGGTGTAGCAGATTGAGCGGCGGTTATGAGAAGGAACGCATTGGCGGAATTGCAATGAGGGGCTTTGTAAGGCATTATACCACAATCTCCAGTTGATTGCTTCTTCGAATACATACATGTCTTGCAATACGTCTGTGTGTTGCTAGTGAATAGAGGGGGGAATGGAATCATGGTGGACATGATCAAGTGCATTGTTACACTGATGAGGAGGCGGACAGCCAGGGGCATTTGACGATGAAGAAGGAGAGGACGTGTACAAGGCCATCTGCCGTTCACAACGCTACAACACGTAGACACCACAGCGGAGTCGCATAGCTGTCAGGCGCCGCTGGACACAATATCAAGACGCAGCGCATACACCTACCTATGCGAAGAGTCCCCCAGATACCGCCCGCCATGCCACCTGTTCTTATGCTCGTAGTCGCCGCTCCAGCTCAGGCCGCCGCTGCACCGCACGCACCTGTAGCGCACCGTCTGCGTGCGCTTCTCGACCCTGCTGCACGACCGGTCCAGCGCACCCTTGCCTGCGACCGCGCACACCACGGGCACATCGTCTTCGAGGTATGTTGTGCTGAGTGAGCGCGAGCGGGTGTGGCCGCATTTGTAGAGGTGAGTTGTTAGCAGGCACATTGTTGGTTGTGTTTGGTTGTGGGGAGACTTGGAACGGGTGCTTGATGGCCTTTGTAATGGGTATTACAGCGCGCGTGATGAGACTATATGCGGTGGTGTGAGACCGCGTGAGATGGCCGGTGCGTTGCGCGGCGCCGTGTAGAATGCTGCTTGCTTCCGCACAATGTCTGATCGCGACTACCGTCATCTTGTAGGGTGGTAGCTGCACTGTGCTGGTGCATGGAGGCGTTCAATACCGGTGCAAGTCGCTCAATGCCATCGGCCAGACTGCACTTGATACCTGCATTTCTAGAAGAGTCTAAGAAGCACCTGGCCGCTCTTCACATCAATAAGATCACGAGGACGCGCACATGCTGGCGTTCGCACATGAGACGTTTTGAGCATGCAGGTGAAGGCGTGAGGATCCAACAAAAAAGACAACAAACGCGCCTTCCACAGGGCGAATCGAACGGTGGATACCTACCCCTAAGTCCCCCAGACTGGCAAGAAAGAGGGCAGTCGGTAGATGCAACTCTAGCTGGGAGCGCTGGGCCATACTGCTTGATCAGTCTATGAAAGCCATTCACTCACTTTTGGGGAGTCTGGGTTTTGGCGGATGCAAAGCATAGCGACCAGATCCACTGGGCCATGGGGCCTGAGTGCATAGAGATCGATAGAGAGAGTGCATAATGTTGCAGTATACATGTCGAGGGTTATTGCGAGCGTCCCTCCTGATGCAAAGGGTCCTGGGGTGGGGGGCTTGTTGCTCGCTGGCCCCGCCGTCCCTGAGGTGAAAGCCAGCGACGAGGAATCGCCACCGAGATGTTGAGCGTACCGCAGCCCAGAAATGCGCAAGTTCTGTCACGAAGTCCGGAAAGCTCGAGCTACCCATGTAGGAGCAGCATGATCTTCACATGACAAGAGAGCATCGGCACCGGAGGCGGACTTTCGGTAAAGCCTGCGACAGTATTAGCAGATTTGGCAAATTCGAATTAGCTTTGATAGCGTCATGACGAGGCCGCATCACGCGTAAATGTGCAGCGTGGGCGACGTCGTAGATGCGAAGCACGGTCATCTTCGCCGTGCGTTCTTTGAGTCGAAACGTGAGAGACATGTGCAGCAGATGCAGAGTCTTGAGGTGGAAAACTGTTCAGCGGTGTTGTTTCCACTCTCGCGCTGAAAGCAAATATTCGCAGGAGGCCTTGGTGGCAGTTGCGGGATTAGGCAAGCGTCAACGATAATCGGCAAGCGTCGCCGGCAGGGGGGATATGAGTCTGACGATCAAGAGGTCCGGCGCACAGAGCGAGGGGGCCTGCCTCTTTTACGCTGCCGCTGGCCACGGTTTCGAGCGTTTGCACTGTGAATGCAATTTTGCCGTGTCGAGGTGATCGATCGCTGGTGCCGAACCCTGAGGCTTGGTGGACGCTCCGTTGGCACATAGACCACAAATCCCATACGGGATCTTCTCTTTCTTTTAATGCAAGCAGCGATGATGGATATAGGAAGACCGATTCGTGGAGCCATAACAAAGAACTGCAAGGAGTGAGGTGTGAAGGTTGAAGTTGGTTCAGAGTTCGCGCGTCGGCACGCGTCACGCGAGCCCCCATCAGGCATCGCTCCTTCCGAATGCCAGCAGGCACGCACCCCACAGCGAGCTACGATCTCCACAATAGCACCGCGATCTTGTTCAACTTCTTTGCAACCTCACTCAATTCATAATCATTGTTGCGTACAGCCAACAACACCTGTTCAACCCTCGTGTAGTCTGAGGCGCCCAGGACGAGATGACGGGAACATTGAATGACAAGCAGCTCGGCGCATGCGTTCGCCCGAAATGGGACTAAATCCGTTCAATTCGACGTCATCTTGCGCACTCGACAGCTCCAGTAACAGAACGCCCAAGCGAACCCCGCGTTTGTTACCCCAGATGTGAGCGCTCTACACGACGATCGTATAATCATGGCGTGAATGGCCTCCAATAGCGCCCATACCGTGCCGGCTGGTCAGACAGTGACGTACGTCTGCAACACGTCGGAAGCGAGCAGCACGCGCTCTTAAGCGTAAGGAGTCGTGATGGCATTTGGCAATTCGATTACCTGGAGGTCCTGTCTGAAATATAGTAGGCCAGAGTTTACTGCGACCTTTGCCTTTCTTACGGCTTGGTGTGGGTAAGACTTTCTGCTGAACCTACAAACACATCGTACAGCATAATGGAGACGATGTCGCAGAACGCAGGCCCAGTGGCTCAAGGACTATCGAGGACATCAGCGGCCTCGCCATCGTCTCTATCTCACGACTGGACTGGAGAGCAGAACGGCACAAGTCTCAGCTACACGCCTTCAACTCATCCATTGACACAAGCCCGCACTGAGCGCTCCAACAACTCAACAGACCGCACATCCTCCACTATCACCCACTCACGGTCAGTCATCGGTCTCCATCCAGATGCCCCTATCGACGAAGAGAATGACCATGGACCAGCCTCAGAACTTTTATGGTCACGCATACGCGCCGTGTTGCGTGAGCCCTTCGCTGAGTTCTGGGGCGTAGCGATCATGGTCATGTTTGGAGATGGCTCGGTGGCACAAGTCTTGCTCAGTACGGGGCAAGAAACAGCACCAGGTGGGAATGGATTTGGATCGTATCAATCGATAAACTGGGGGTACTTGTCCTTGGTCGCTTCTGCACAATGAATCACTGACCCATCCTAGCTGGGGACTCGGCGTGATGCTAGGAATCTACGTCGCAGGCGACAGCGGCGCATACCTCAACCCCGCCATAACATTCTGCAACTGTCTCTTTCGGCAGCTTCCCTGGCGACGTTTCCCAATCTACTTGATCGCGCAGATGCTAGGCGGCTTTGTGGGGAGCGGTATCGTGTACGCAAACTACCTCTCCGCAATCGACTACTTCGAAGGCCACAACCTACGCACCGTTCCGCCCGCGCCGAACGCAACAGCGGGCATATTCTGCACGTACCCGCAAGCATTTGCGACCAAGACGAGTCAGTTCTTCAGCGAGTTCATCGCCAGCGCACTGCTGATGTTCGTCATCTTCGCGCTCAAGGATCCGAGTAACAATGGGTACGCTTCGTCACCATGCCCCGGTGCATCGCCATGTTAACCACTCCCTCAGCGTGCCCAAATCCGACAAATGCTTCCCGCTGTGCCTCTTCTTCCTGGTCTTCGGCCTCGGAAGCTGTTTCGGGTGGCAGACGGGCTACGCGATCAACATGGCGCGCGACCTGGGACCGCGGCTGATGAGCTACGTCGTCGGCTACGGGCCCCAAGTGTGGTCCGCGGGCGGCTATTACTTCTGGATCCCGGTGGTGGCGCCGTTTCTGGGCTGTGCGTTTGGTGCGTTTCTGTACGATGTGTTTGTCTACACGGGGCCGAGCCCGATCAATACGCCCTGGCTGGGGGTGAAGCAGTTGGTAGTGCCGAAACAGATGGCGAGAGCGAGGAGAGAACATCGTAGGAGGGAGAAGGAGGAGGGTCTTGTTTGATGGTGGGGAGTGTGGATAGGAGTCGGACTACGTCGATGAATTGCGGCATTGAAAGTGTGATGCTTTGAACAAGAAGGCCCAGCGCTCGCAACAGTGTCATAATGAGGTATTGGATGGGCGACGACGGGCTAGGACTGGACGCTACCAGGCCAAGGCTTTTGTCTTGCTGTCTCTCAGGCGTGACGGGAAGAATACGGTGTTTTGTGTGCAAATGCAATGTCTTCTGTGCAACCCCGTAGCCGACTCGACGTCTACGGTCTACGGTACTGCTACTGCAACATGCATGTATGCTCCTATCTCCAAACCCAACCTTGCCCGAATCAAGAAGCGGCTCTACGCCCGGCTGAGATGGCAGCATGACCCATCCGACAACAAACTCTCAGAGCTCAGTCTGGTGTACACATACGGCGGCTAGTTGCCAGCGAGCCTCTTCTCCTTTCCTTCCTTGACATTGTCCCTGATCGCCGCCACGTCCTCTCGCGTAGCGTTGTAGCTCGCGTTGACCTGGTTGAACGGATTGTCCGGGTGCTTCTCAAACTCCTTGCGGATCTGCTCGACCTTCTGGTTCCGCCGCAGGCCCTTCTCGTCCTTCATCTCCTCGAGCCGGCGCTCCTCGTACGCGGCATACGCCGCCTTGAAGCGGCGCTCCGGGTGGCGGTCCAGCTTGTCCTGGTTCGAGGCTGTGATGTCGAGCGCGTCGAGCGCGTTGTCGATGCCGGTGGCGTTGAGCGCCGAGGGCTTGTCGAAGGAGCCCAGCGCCGAGTCGATGCCGCGGGCGGAAGTCTTCTTCTCAGCTTTCTTTGCACCGGCGCCCTTGGGCTTGGAGGGCAGCGAGGCTTCTTCTTCGGCGAGCAGGGCGGCTTTCTCGGCCTTCTTGCGCGCGGCTTCGGCGGCCTTTTCGGCGGCCGCGTCGCTGGCGCGTGTTAGCACATGTGAACGGTGGCAGGCGCGCAGCAGCGACATACGCCTTCGCATTCGACTTGGCGCCCTTGTCCCACTTGGACGCCTCAGCCTGGTCCTCCTGCGCCTGCGCCTGGGCTTTCTTCGCGTTCGCGGCGTCGGCCTTTCGCGCCTGGCCCTGGGCCTTCTTGCTACCCAGGTTCTCGCCTCCACCGGCGCCCTTTCCTTTGGCCATGGGTGCTGTGCGCTCGGGTGCGACCAAGCAGAGACTGGCGAGCTGGTGAACTTGCGGTGAGAGTGCGGATGTGCTGTTTGTGGCGGGCGTGTTGTGTGGTCGAGTCAGAGTTCGAACGTGAAGCAACTGACAGCTGCGGGCGGGACCGGCGTCGGCGGGGCAGGTGTGACGCAAGTGCAGACCAGGGTCCAGTTTTGAGCACCGACAGGGGTGCAAGTGCAACATCAGTAGCGCTTCTCTTGTCTTGAATAGTCTCTATTACGCATATACCATAACATTACTCTATGCTCATGCACCATCCGTGCAGACAAACCCTTTTCGCATGCTCAAACACGACAAACGCTTCAAGTGCCGTTTACAAAATGCGACGCTAGATGCAAGCGCAAATGGGTATATAGAAATACAAATGCGAAGTGGAAAGTGCCATGGCGCAAAGGCCACGATCAATCATCGAGTGCCGTGGATCATGATGCTTGCAGTGTTTGTTGCGTAGTCTGACGGGACAGAGTCGGCCGGAGAGCAGGGGATGCGTCTTTGCGCAGCTGGCGCACGACGGCTTCGAGTTTGCGGCGCTCTTCTTGCTCGGCCTGGAGTGTGTTAGAGGATGGCTTGGTATGTCTCGTGTGATGTGGCTTACCCTCAGTGCCTTCAGCCCTTCGGCTGTGCGGTCTCTCATCATCTTCCTGAACTCATCGCGCATCATGCGAATGCTAGTCGCTCCCATATCGAGCTGGCCAGATCCGCCACCGGGCGTCCCTGGTGCACCTGGTGTACGAACACCAAGCCACTTGACCTTTTCGTCGTTCAGATCGCGCTCCAAGGTCTCCTTGTCGCTGCGCAGCTTTTCGATTTGAGCTTCGAGCATCTCGCGATCTCTCTCGTTGGTGATAGCGTCGCGCGTGAGTGCCTCGTATTCGGCCGCCATGCCTGAAAGCTCCGCCTTAAGGTTGCGTTCTGACTGGCGAGCCTCTTGCTCAGACTGTGAGGCCACGTCCTGCAGTCTGCCAAGGGCTTCCAACTCGGCGAGGAGAGACTGATTCTTCTCAGCGAGGTCGTCAAGCTCTTTCTTGATGGCAGGGTTGGCGGCGGACTCTGCGGCTCGCTGTGAACGACTGCCATATGCGCCGTCGAGCTCGGCCTTGGCAAACGTGAGCTCGGTTGTCAGACGAACAATCTCGCCTTCCAAGTTGCGGTACTCCTCCTCCTTGGCGTTGAGTGCGTTTGTCGCTTCCAACGAGCGCGCTGAAGCGGCTTCGCTCTCCACTGTCGCGGCTTTCAGCACGGTGACGAGCTCCTCGATTTTGGCTGCAGATTGCGCGAGCTCGCCTTGTCGTGCTGCCACTTCAACACGAGAGGCATCCCGAGCTTCTTGAGCTTCCCTCAGTTGACCCTCTAGAGCCACTGCTCGCTCCTGGGCATCTCGAATCTGTGCCTCGTAGCCAGCATTGCGATCGTCGATCTCCCTGCTCTTGACGTTGTACAACGACGTCACCTCCTGGTTGTCCTTGTGCTCCTTCTCGAGCTCGTCGTAACGCTTCTCGGCTTCCTGCAGTTGCTTCTGATAGGTCACAACGCTCTCCTGCACGTCCTTGAGTTGGTTCTCGTAAGCGACGGATCGCTCTCGCGATTCTTTGAGCTCCTTGTCGAAAGTGGCAAGGCGTTCTTGCATATTGATGACCTGGCCCTCGAGTCCAGCATTGCGTTCCTGCACGTCTCGCACGCTTTGTGGGTCAGCCGTGCTCTTCTGCCCATCGAATTGACGGAGCTGGTCCATGGCACGCTCGAGCTCATCCTCCATGGTCTTCTTCTCGGACCTTGCACTGAAGATCTGCTCGTTGAGGCGCTGGAACTGCTCTTCCTTCTGGGCATCCGACTTGCTGTTGAGTTCGCGCTGCTGCTTGATCTGACGCAAAAGCACTGAATGCTTGTCCTTCATGCCCATGGCGCGGCTGAACAGCCATTGGACCTTGGACGAGAAGGCGGGCAGGGAGAAAGACTCATTAGCGTTGTAGTCCTCGTCGGGCGACAACTCTTCGCTGGCATCAGGATCGTCAGCAAGCACACGGCGGCGCTCTCGCTTCCTTTCACGGGCATCCTCTTCACCGGCTTGGATGATCTGCCACAGACCCATGAGCGTAGTCTCGTACTTCTCGGCCTTCTCAGCGCCCTCGTTGTCCAGAGACCTCGATCTTAATTGGCCTAGTTGGTCGTTCAGTGAGTCTTGAATCTGCTCGAGGTTGTACAGCGAGTCCTCCATGTAGTTGAACTGGTCAGCCTGACCGCCTCCCGTTATGGGCGGTGGAGGCTGGATGGGCTCAGTGTCGTTGTCAGGCTTCGATCTGCTCAACACGCCGTACAGCTGATTGTTGATGCCCTCGAGGCGTCCTTCCACCTCACTCAGGCTGTGGCGGGTCTTGCTGCGGATGGTCGACAGCTCAGCGGTGGTATCGCGAAGACCTTTGTCGAGGAAGTCGAGCTGGCGTTCAATGCTCGACGCATCTGGCGGAGGTCCGGATGACTGTGGCGGGAGCGCATAGCCCTTGTTGCGCTCTGGGTTGGCTTGCACGATGAGCTCTCTCAAGCGTTCGTTGAGTTCGTCCAAACGTCTGCTCATGGTCGTGAGGGCCTGGTCCTGACGGTCAACAGACTGCGAGCGGTGGTGTGTGCCTTTCTGCAATGCCGCCATAAGACTATCGAGGTTCTCCGGTGTCCTATAGAAGCTCCTGTCGTCGAAAGTGTCCTCGCCGTCGTCGATGCCATTGGCCCTACCGACCTCGTAGGTTTCAAGGCTGGCTGGGCTGTCTGGCCTGCCCATGCCGTTTTCTGTCAGCTGGCCAAAGGGGTTGCGCTTCTTGGGGCCTCGATGTGTCAGCTGCAGTACCGCAGCCGTGTGCATGAGGAGCTGCATATCAATCATGCGCATCCGCGACTCAGTCTCCAGCAGATCCCTGATGAACTCCTCCACCTTCTTGTTGCTGGCGTCCAGCCCCTCATGTGACTGCTCGTCGTAGTCGTGCACCGCACTGCTGCCCTTGCTGCTCAGCCCTCTGCGGTGCCCCTTGTCCTTCTTCGATGCCAGGCGCGTCAGCGAGCGTGTTGCGTCGCGGATCTTGGTCTCGGACTCCAGCTTTCTCCTCACTGTCCCGAGCTTCGTGTCGAGCGTCTTCTGCTCCTGCTTCAGGGCCTCGACCTCCTCTACCGTCAAGATGTCGAAGTACTGGCTGTCCCCTATCGCCGTCTCGACCAGCAGGTGCATTGCAACGGGGTCTGTGTTCATGGCGTCTGAGCTCCTCTTCCTGTAGTCACGGGGTGTGTAGCCACCGTTCTCGCGCACCGTGTCTCTGCGGTCCCCGAAGACGTCTGGCGGAGGAATGAAGGCGCTGGCGCCGAACCGGGGGGAGATCTGGTAGGCCATGGGGAAGAAGCTCGGCGACGGGGCGCCCAGGCCAGACGGGTAGTTGGAGCTCGGCGAAGGGAAGTCGTAGACGGGGCGCGGGCTGAGCGTGCCGCCCTCGTAGGGGAACTGCGTGCGCAGGCCATTGTTGCTGGTCATGGTCGGCGGCGGCGGCGGGCGTGGAGAGCAGCAGAGCTCACGCAGCAGAGCGGGAGGAGCGGCTCACGGCGGGCAGAGCATGGCCAAAGTCATTCAACAGGTAGTCAGGAGAAGCGCGCTAGGTATCCATTATTCGCAGGCGGAGCGGCTGTCGTGTGTTTCCCAGAGGGCGGCAGCGGCTGCGCGGCCCCTGTCAACAACATGACAAGCGCCACGATTCCAGGGGTTCAATAAAGCTCGGCCGCTGAGCGGGTATGGCACCAAGTGCGGCTTGGCAGGCACGGGCTCCACCACCCAGGCGATGCGGTGACGCCAGAGAGTGCAGGCGTGTCGTGGCCTGTGGTAGGACTGCCTGTGATGCCTTTAATATCCGAAGCTCTTGCATAAGCTCCATCTAATTAGCCACCATGCCATCTGAGAGCTGTAGTCGGACTGCATACAACATGTTCCACTTTCTAAAGCTCTCGCAAAAGCTCCATCTAATTAGCCACCATGCCATTTGAGAGCTGCAGTAGGACTGCATACAACATGTTCCACTTTCTAAAGCTCTCGAAAAAGCTTTGTCTGGCGACTGTGCCATTCGAGACCTGAAGTAGGACTGCATTTGATACGTTTGAGCATCGGAAGCTCATCTGGCCACCATGCCATTCGTCTTGTCGCTGCAAGCCCATTGCGCAGTCACGTGACATCATCTACTTCACAAGCACGTGCAAATACACGGTCTTCACAAGCACGATTGTCTGTTTACAAAAGGAATTGGCATTGCTTGATTTGGATACGTAACATTGGCTTCCGTTCGATTGTCTCGCGCACTGCTTAGATGAATCGCTGCTCGCACTACACATTTGTCAGTCCTGCCCATGTCTCTGCCGTCATTCATGTACGCACCCTCCAAGGGTTGTTGAGCTCGAAGCCGGCGGGCGCCTCGGCCTTGTCTGTCTGTCCTCGCATAAAGCCCGTCAGGCGGCGGTCGCGCTCCATCACTGCGGCATGATCAGTATGTCGTCCAGCACGAGGCCGTGGCGGAGATATCCTACTTTGCTGCACAGTGGTTAGCAGAGCGTCTCACGGCTTCTACTCCCCGCAACCTACCCTGTCCCAAGCGTCGATTCCGCGCCTGGTCCTCTTACCGCCGTTCTGCATCTCCTTGAGCTTTCCGACGGACACGGCACTGAAAGCGAAGAACTGCGGTGCACCGTCAGCGCGGTCCGGCACGGCCAATTGGGGCGGTCAGCGTACGCCGGTCATGATCGCATACGGCAGCAAAGCCTCAAAGGGGACGCCCATGGTTGCGAGCGTGTCGGCGGGCGCGGTGGTTCGGTGGGGGTGGGTGTCGAGCGGAGCGATGGCTTGGTGAGGTCGGCCGCGAGAGAGGGCACGCTCCGCAGTAAGGCGCGCCTTGGCACCCCCGACCTCCACCAGCAGTGACGCCTTGGGTCAAGCAAAGCACCATGCACGCACGCGTTGCAGACGGACTCTGATTACTCACGCGGTCGCCCGGAGCCGCCGTTTCCTACGAGTCGCGAACATCGCCCAGGAACGCCGACAGCGACACCCGTTCCGCCCGCGAGGCCGCCCGTCAACGCGCCGCAACACCACCACGACGCGCCGCATCCACCCTGCATGGTAGCGCTCTCGCTGCGACAACTGCTCATGTGCCGAGCAGTCTAGGCTCGCCACTACATCTGGATTGCGACACTGGCGTATCTCGTATCCAAACTGGCAACCGCCGTCTCCCTCGCCATGGCGGAGCCGGGCAGGCTGGCGGGCCAGACGGCTCCCAGCGTCGAGCCAGAAGATATCGACGCCGACGGAGACTACGAGATGGACACTGTGCAGTACGAGCAGGAGCCTGCGGTTGCTGACACCCCAGGCGCAGACGGCCACACCACCGACGCAGAAGGCTCAGAGGTCGACGCCGAGGGCGAGGAAGTCGATGACGATGACGTCGAAGCAGTGGGCGCTGTCAAGGTGCGCGCAAGCGCCTCTTCAGACGACGACGACGACGACGATGACGACCATGACAATGACCCAGACGCTGCCGCGGAATCCGAATCCGACGCCAAGACGTTCAGCGACGACGACGAATCAGAAAGCTCAGACGAAGAGGAAGAGGTTCAGTATCAAGACGAGAGCGAGGAAGAGGCAGAGGCTGGTGCTGCGAGAAGCGACCCTAACGTGTGCATGTAAGTCTCCATGCACGACACCAACACCAAACCTGAAAACTAAGACTCTCGCAGTTACTGCAACCAGTCCGAAGAAGACGATCCAAGCCCGGATTTCGAACCATACCTTGCATGCTCGGTGTGCGGCGATCACTGTGAGTCGAAATGTTGCAACGTTCAAGTGATGATCCTTGCAGCTGACATGTCTTGTTCCTGCAGCACATCGGCAGTGCGCCCGCGACGCTAACACGCTTAGCCCCGACGTTGGGCCTGAGAACGGTATGGTCCTCGTTCTGCAAGCCTTGTTCGAGACTGACATATCCACAGACGCAAAACACTGGCGCTGCAGTGCCTGTATCCAGAACAACGTCCATCAGGAGCAAGACACCGAGGAACAGGAGAAACGGAAGACTTCAGAATCAATCACTCGCCGCAGACTATCATCCGTTCCAAGGCTTGCTAGGGACTTGCTTCCTTCCGCTCGAGGTGTCGACCCCAGCGGTCACTCTATCTTCAAGGAGTTGATACTTCCCGACGATGCACCTGAAGGCACGCGATCTTTGCGGAAACGCAAAGCGTCACACGATGAGGAAGTGGTAGCACTAGTGCCCTTACGGACGTACAGAAAGAAGCGGCGACCATCCGAGGTCTCGAAAACGGAAGCAGCACCGTCAGCAGCACCGTCAGCAGCACCATCAGCAGCACCATCAGCAGCACCATCAGCAGCACCGTCGTCTCCGGGGCCATCTGTGAGGAATGCCGTGACGGACGACGACACCGATGAAGATGCAGAGCACAATGACACAGACCAAGAAGGAGCACGACTTCGCTCTTCGCGCGCACGCCGCTCGGCGAAGCCTCCGAGGAAGGACAAGAGACCTCTCGTGTGGATCGAGGAGTCTCAAGGCCTTAGTCTCGTCGTTGCATTCCACCTTAGCAATGAAAAGGTCCAGAAGATCGTCACACAGAAGCCGAAGAGGAAAGTCCTGACGCTTGAGCAAGAACGGCAAGAGCGGCGGCGAGAGCGAGACAGGGAACGACGTGAGCGAAAACGGCGAGCAAGAGAGGTGGCCAGAGAGTCTCCAGAGGTTGCTCAGTATCCCTCAGCGCAGCATCACTTCACTGCACCGTTTACTCTCGCCTTTACTGAAAAGGAGGACGGGAGCAAGAGCAAACCTTATGGCGGCGTACTATCAGAAGCTGACGCGGACACCTCCAAGACTTATCCCTCGCAAGCGGACAGGAAACGCTTTGAAGATGCCCGTGTCAAAGCTGAAGAAGCATGGAAGGAGAAGCAGGCTGCTCTATATGCTCACCATGAGCCTGTGAAATCATCAAAGCAGGCTGCTGCTGCCAGCAAGATCAAGTGCGTCAACTTTGGCGGTTACGAGATCGAAACCTGGCATGCGGCGCCATACCCCGAGGAGTACAGCAAGAACAGGGTCTTGTATATTTGCGAGTTTTGTCTCAAGTACATGAACTCTGACTACGTCGCGTGGCGGCACAAGGTAAGCATCGTCTAAGCGTCGTGGAAGGGGACACTCGTTGACATCACACAGCTCAAGTGCCCAGCCAAACATCCTCCTGGCGACGAGATCTACCGCGACGGCAAATACTCATTCTTCGAAGTCGACGGCCGCAAGAACCCTGTATATTGCCAGAACCTCTGTCTTCTCGCCAAGCTGTTCTTGGGCTCCAAGACGCTCTACTATGACGTGGAGCCTTTCCTCTTCTATGTCATGACAGAGAACAATGACTACGGCTGTCATTTTGTGGGCTACTTCTCAAAGGAAAAACGACCAAGCTCGCTCAACAACGTCTCATGTATCCTTGTGCTGCCGATACACATGCGCAAAGGCTACGGACAGTATCTGATCGAGTTCTCCTATCTTCTCACCCGAGTAGAAAAGAAGACTGGAAGTCCGGAGAAACCGCTCAGTGACATGGGTTTAGTCAGTTATCGGAAGTACTGGCGGCTGCTGCTCTGCCAGGAGCTACTCGACCAGAAAGGGCCCATCAGTGTCGCAGCAATCTCCGAGCGCACTGGCATGACACCTGACGACATTGTGTCAGCTTTGGAAGGTTTGCGCGCCCTTGTACGTGATCCCGTCACCAAGAAGTACGCTTTTCGTTTGGATATCAACTACTTCAAGTCTTACATCGAGAAGTGTCAAGCGGCCGGCAACCCCACGGTCAAACCAGAGTGTCTCGTCTGGACGCCGTACGTCATGGGCCGTTTTGGTCAGTATGAGGACGGGCCCGCGTTACAGACAGTCCAGCAACGCGACGAGGTGGAGGAAGAAGACAAGCCTGAACCTGAAGGTGTGCAGATGGATGCTGTCGTCGCCAAAGCGAACGGTACGCCCCTCGAAGAAACAGGCCCGACTATGAACGAGACCGACCCTGGCCCAGACGTCCCTCTTGACGACGCTGTGGACGAGGATTCCCCAGCACCGCCAGGTACTGGCGCCGACACCCCACTCGCGAACGGGTCCACAATAGCACTTGCAGGGTCTGCAATCACGAGCAATGGGCCTGTGATACCACCTACACGGTATGAGATATTCCCAGCGATACCAGGCGCGGCCGTTGCGAAGAGACGACCCGGACGACCCTTCGGTGCGCGACGACGGACAGGCACGCCAAACCGAGTGCGCAGCACGCCACTCTCGATGCACACCGAGCCCGTCTCAAGGATGCAGCATCTCTCTCCAATAAGATCACGTCGAGATTCACCCTCCCGCCACGGCGCAAGGACACCCGCGACCGTCTCCGTCCGTCGCACACGCAGCAGGCTAGGCGAAAGCGTCACCAACGGCGACGACCTCGACGAAGGCGGTGAAGTCAAGGCCGTAGTCACGAATGGCAGGAGAAGTACAAGGAGCTCCGCCAGCTCGGGCGGCAGCCCGCGAGTGCCCCCACGAGTGGTCATCAACACGAACAGTAGGAGCAAGGGCAAGGTCATGCCAGTTGAAGAAGAACAGGAAGAGCTCGAAGATGTTGATGCGGACGGCGACGCGGACGGCGACTACGACGAAGACGAGGACGCCGAGGGCGAGCCTGATGAGGAAATGGACGTCGATGCCGAGGGCGAGGAAGACGATGACATCGTCATGGGCGAGGTATAGTGGGTCCACAGGCGTGCTGGGGTCAAAGCATTGCTGGTCAGTGCTGGCCATGCTGCGCCTCACACAGTGAGCTCGCAGAGTGCTCGACGCAGCGTCGGACCAGGACTTGATTATATTTGTAGCCAGGCGTTTTGGGGCGTCCTTCGGCCCACCAGCTCTTTTGTTCGGCCGTGTGGGCTACACTGTAGCACTAGCTTCTTCGACTCGACACACGTAGGGAGATACCTCGGGACTCGCACAGAGCAGGCGTTGGATTCGAGAATACACTAATGCATCACTACCGACTACGTACACTGTACTCGAGCGAACCCGTCGGGCGTGCAGCTGTCACAGCAGATCCGCACATGTCGTGTCGCATCGCCAGCAAGCATGCCAACTGTCGCTTCCTGCTTTTGTGAAGGCTTGCATTGCGCCCGTTTCGCACCTCCCACAGCATAAGAGTTGCATGGCACACCGGTATATGCAAGGCGGAGTACCCAGCACAGTGGAAAGTTTGCTCGCACGCCGTGCGACATCTAACGCCCCAATGGCCCCGACATCTGACGCCCCTATGGTCCCGACATCTGACGCCCCTATGGTCCCGACGTGTTCCCGACATCAGCACGACAGGGCCTGCACGCTTTTCACCTCTGCCATCTCTAAAACCATCGTGGGAAGCAAAGTATTACCCAAGTGCACGCTCTCAATGTATACGAAGTATAGCTAGCATCAAGCAGTCAAAGCGCGCCGTGGCCAATCACAGCGCGGGACGACTCGGTCGCTGCGCACGCGGGCTGAGATGCTGTATAGAGCCGCACGCAGATGGAGGCTTGGCTGCATCTCTCTATGTGTTGATCCTGGCTTGCCTTTTGTGCTGCGACACGTTCAGCTGTCGTTCTCGGAATCGCAGTTCCCTGCCGGTGGCAATTCACGGTGACGCACTGATACGACGTACGATAAGCGGGGTCTGCGGGCGCGCCAGTAGTATGCATGCCGAACGCGCCCTGTGCTCGCGATCGCGCCGACGACGGCTATCAAGTTTCGTATTAGTCACGGCGAGGGTTCTGAATGGGAAATATTATCCTCGATCTTGGCTCGTGTGAGTTGACGATGTGGTTTCGTCTTTAACGGGTGATGCTTCAGTTTTCATCTCCATCTGCCTCGTGGGTTTGCTTGCGTTAGACTTCTTCCATCACCTTGCCGCACGCTGGCTGGCGGATACACACTTGCAGCGCGTAGCCATGCTTGACTTCTCCACGCTTGCTTTGATACTCCCGCTAGCTCTGCTGCTGCAAGTAGCAGTGAGCTATGTCCGCAATCCGCTTCGCAAAGTCCCCGCCGCGCACCCCCTGGCCCCGTTCACCAGTCTATGGATATCCTCCATCCGCTGGCGGCAGATCGAAAATGCAACCCTGAAGGCTGCTCACAACCGCCTGGGACCGATCGTCTGCTTGGGCCCAGAGGAGGTCAGTGTCAACTGCGTTAGAGGCGGGATCCGGGACGTGTATGCAGGCGGCTTTGAGAAGCGCGATGCAAAGAGCGGGTACAACTGGTATGGCTTCTTCACCAACTTCGGGAACGACAACATGTTTTCCACCGGCCTGAACAAGCCGCATTCGGCACGGAAGCGCATGTTGAGCAACATCTACAGCAAGAGCGTCATCACGGCGAGTCCGGTGTTGCAGGCGCAGGTGTCGGCGATACTGTATGAGAGGCTGCTGCCGCGTCTTACGGCCATTTACGACGGCGCGGAGGGTGTGTTCGAGGCGGGGAGCTTAATCAGCGCGAGTACCATGGATATCGTCACCTCGTATATCTTTGGTCTGAGGGCGAGCTCGAATCTGCTTGGCAATCCTGACGAGTGTGCTTGGTTCCTGGATCTCTACAAGTCTCGCCATGGGTGGACGTTCTGGCCGCAGGAGTTCCCGCGATTCACGAGCTTCTTGAGCAAGTATCTGGGAATCAGTATGTCGCCGGTATGGGTCGCTGGGGCGAATGCGGAAATCGAGAAGTGGACGAAGACAATGTGCGACGGGGCTGCTGAGGTGATGCAGCAAAGCAGCGTAGAGACCGAGGACACGCCATCGGTATACATACAGCTATCGACGGCCGTCAGAAAGGACGCGATGAAGAACGACCTGGCTGCCATGGACCTAAATCCTGTAATCGCAAGCGAGGTGCTCGACCACCTTGCGGCTGGCTTCGACACGTCTGCAATTACGCTTACCTATGTAGTCCACGAGCTCTCAACGCACAGAGACATGCAGTCTCGTCTGCAGAATGAGCTTCGAACGCTCTCGCCTAGACTTGTCGCTGCATCGTCGCCCAGCTTACCGGATCCAAAGGTTGTGGATGCGCTTCCAGTGTTGCACGCGATCATCTGGGAGACATTGCGCCTCCATTCAGCTATACCCGGTCCTCAGCCACGATTCACACCGCATCAAGGGTGCCGGCTCGGTCCAAACGGCGATTACTTCATCCCCGGAGGTGTGAGGGTCAGCGCCAGTGCTGGAATACTGCATCAGAACGAACAAGTGTACAAGCGCGCGAGCGAGTGGAGGCCTGAGCGGTGGCTGGATCTCGACAAGATTGACGAGGAGAAGCGGAAGGACATGGAGAGCAGATGGTTCTGGGCTTTTGGCAGGTCAGTCCATGCACTCGTAGTGCATTGGTCAATCTTAAGCTTACCATTTGCAGCGGAGGGCGAATGTGCGTGGGCTCCCACCTGGCGGTATACCGTAAGTTCAGAATCTCCCCGTGTCCAAGCCCAACCCTTCGTTTCACAATCTGTTCCGTTCCTGTAGTCTCGTGGGGTGTTGTTCTTGAAAAGGATTGTTGGCCGGCGTTTCTCTGTCACTGTTATCGGCTGATAGGCTGGCCGAAAGCCTTCGGCATTACGGAGCAATTACAGTGGGTAAACGACAGCGGCAAAATTCGTCAATCGGCAACAACATGCCTGAAGTTGTACTGACCCTGAGCCAGAAATGAAGTACATCGTTGCTGCGCTATACTCGAGATATAGCACGACCGTGGTAGAGGATACCGGCATCGAGCAAGCAGATGCCTACACGGCCCCGCCGAAGGGCAACAAGCTTATGATCCAGCTGGAGGGATTGGAGATGTGAGCACGTTCGACACGAATTGAAAGTGAAATGCAACTCGACGTCTCATGCATCACTTCGTACATGCAAGAGCGTTGATCTCCACTATCAAGCCTCGGGGAAGCGGTACCCCGCGGCATAGAAGCTCAATGAGTGATAGCTCTCATGCACGCTGTAGCGTGTACTTTTCGCGTTTTGTGCGGCATCGGTCAAGCTTGCTCTCCGGAGGTTGTCAAGCACTCGCACGGTTTGTTGAGGTCGTGTTGTGAACCATGGTAACACCGAGCGGGGTGCGGACGGGAGCACAAGTGGAAGTCGTTGACGTCGAAAGTTGATGCAATGTCAAAGTATTAAAGCCGCAGCAAAGGCCTCGATCGATCTGCGCGTACTGTGGGTATCTCGCCCATCCGGATGCGTTACGATCTTGAGCTCCTCGCTATCGATCGCCCACAAAGGTGGGTCCCATGGCGTGTTTTGCCAATTGTGTGCTCGTGTCAAGCTGAATCGCCTCAGTCGAGCAATTCTCGGGCCCTGGAGGCTTTCAGTACGATTAGACCTGACCGTGCAGATTTTCTTTGTTTCAGGGGTGGTAGCGCGGTCGCGTGTAACCAGTGACGGTGGGTATGTGGAAGGTCCCCTCTTGGCCTGCAACGGACCCACAAATATGCATTCTAGGTACGCAACCGACCGAGTTGCAGAAGTCGTGATAACCAAGTCGAGCTTACAGTGATGACGTCTGAAGTGCGCTCATTGCGTCGAGGGCTGACTCAATGATCTTGAGGACAGTTGCTCGCCGAGTGTAGTGCTCTTTTGAGTACGTTGCTACAAGTCGAGGCAGTGCGTGCTAATGCGGGGCATTTGCTAGGTAAAGCAGCAAGACGCCGTCGTCTGTTCAATGGTATGAGAGACAGGGCTAGCTCCAGGCTCCAGGCTACAGCACGCAAGCGAGAGAGAGGTGCATTCGCCATACACTAGCACAAAGACACCGATGAGAAGAAGTGGAAGGTGAGGCTAAAGCGCAGAATTAGGTCGTAATTTACGTGTTAATGCATGGCCTGGCTTGGCAAACGAAAGCAGGAGAGAGAGACAGAGCATGTGTGACGATATTGTAGAGCTTCTTAGTGTGATGTTCTGAGAATGTGCTGGTCAGAATTTCGCCCCTTCTGCTTTTGAAGTCTCTGCGCCACTAAGCTCAGTTCATACCACAAGGTTCAAGTTTGAACTACGAAGGCTCAATGAGCAGATGACAATGAAGTGATATCGCGTTATTGTGGATATATTCCACGTCCAAAAAAAATCCATTATCTTGGCCTAATGTGGTGATGTGCTGGGAACGTACTGCGGTAGTCGAGCGGAGGGAAACGATACACGAGAACTTCGGCAATGCAATAACAATAGGTCTTACTGGCCTCCACAACAGCAATGTATTGGCTGCGGATTGAGCTCGGAAGTTTAGGCTAATATGTGTACCTGCCCGAAGTGAGGGACTATCATGACTATGACCATCAACAAGTGCTTGAAATTTATACAGATGATAACAATATTGCTCATTCTGCACTTAATCATAGATCAACCTCCTTGTCATACGTGAGGCCGTTTCCAGTGATGTGTACACTGGGCTTTTATCATGTTAAATCTCAATCCACCCGCTCGCCTTTGCTATCGCCCGATAGTTTACCAGGGGGAGTAACGGCTCCCATCATACAGACGAGACAACCTTTAATGTCTACACTAATCATGGATTTGTGTCTGCACATTGACTAGGGAGGTTGTCAGAGACGATCGTTACGGACTGCAGAAAGGAGCCTTCATTCGCATTAGCTGCATGCAGTCACACTGCGTCTGCAGTGACTATGCGTGATGTCAATATGCGCCTAGATTCTGATCGCTGGCGAGCAGCATGATACTCTGAACCCATTACCAGTCGACGACGCTACTTTCTTCTGCGAATGGAAGTCGCCGGCAACAACGCTTCTGTCAGCGAAGCCCGTTCCATCGCGCTGGCTACGTCGCATGGCTTCCTCGCGGAGAGTGCTGTGGCCGAATGAATACCAGTAAGGATGAGGACGGTTGTGTAACGTCGTAGGTAGGAATCGCTAGCGGCTTCCTCGTGCATGGCGAGTCCAGCCACCGTGAGAGTCGCCGCCGGTCTTCTCTTCGCTCACGCCTTACGATATTGAACGCTCTGACCGATCCATCGCTCTGTGTTCCCAGTCGTAACAGGCCGTGCACGTCAGCCTCACATTTGTCAGGCCTGCAGAACACGTTATGCCCACGCGCCAGCCACTTGGGTTGCTCCATCGCGTCGTCTCGGTGTGAGCTTAGAGTCCACTAGCCATTGCCGTCGTATGCTGTGTAGCGATAGTATGATGTGGCTGTCATAGCTCCTCAGGATAGATCCGTCCGACGGTGTCCGGCCTTGATGTGCACCTGGGAACAGCCTCTAAGACATATTCTAGCCACTATGTGCGTGTCTGGGTTCTTACTACTTTCATTGCGGTGACGAGTTGGGCCATTCAAGGCAGACGGTGATCGGCGAATGTGTTGCGAGTTTCGGTCTCGTGCAGTTGCGCAGCATGTGTTCGAAGTGAGGACTGACATCGGCAGTTAGGCATGTGCTCATGTACCAGGACGAGGCAAGCTCATAACTTCCTAAGCATATGTGAGCTCGATGTTGCACCCGTCATGCGCATCGGCCCAGGGCCCCGGGGCCGACTGGCTTTGACAGCACCCAGTAGTGACCTTGATCTTAGAAGTAACATTGGTCAGCTCATGAATTTTGCAGCATCTTTTCTGCTCGACCGACGTCTGCGCCAGCAACGACTCGCTTCCGGAATGGCCTTCTAAGTGTAAGAGACGAGAGAGTTTCCGGATGCATAGGCTGCTTCGAGGTTGGCTTAGCTAGTGACGGTCTGTCGTCGCCGCTCTCAGCACTGTCGGTGCACTTGGCCATCTGCACAGGACCTCCAGCTTACACACCTCGACTAACTTCGGCGAGGTTCCATATAATCATAGGAACTCCATCAAGGAAAGCTAACGCTTGTTGCAACGAAGCCGTCAGCTCTGGTTGTGCGAGTCAGGGTCGACACCATTTTCTTGACAAGGGCTTCTGGGGCAGCGCGTATCGATACGAATAAAAGCACGACTTCGGTAGTCCAGACATCGGCCAGGAAAGGGTGAAAGGGTGAAGACCACGACAGCGCGGAGGAGAATCAATACGAACGAAACCTGACCCTGACATACTTCACGCCGCCTTTGCGTTTCCACTAGCTCGCCGAAACTGGTAGCGAACGGGACTTGCTAGTCGGAGATCGACGAGCTAAAGATCGTCGTGGCGTTCAAGCAGCTGGGCGCCCGTTGAACTTTGACACTAAGAGTCAAAGCGGCGACCCGGCTTCGCGTCTGGCAGCTCTCGCGCAAGGCCATAGGACGACGGCGGAGGGCCCCGGCTCAAACGCTACTCGGAGGTACCTTTGCGACTCAATCGTCGAGTGCAATATCTCCCCTTCGAGCTGGTCTCTGCGATAAGCTAGAGTGAGCCTCGCCTTTCTCTCTACTCCTCGCCCTTCACACTCACCCTGCATAACTTTCAGGTTGCACACGACCTGTGGCTACGCTCACGTATCTCCCCGGCTCCTGTTCTGCCTGCATTGCGCTATCCTGTGGGAGAACCTTTCAACGGCCACCACTTTGTCCCCAGGCCCTAAGGCACATCTCTACCACGGTTCGGTCCCGCAGCCGAGCAGCTTCAACCGACTTCAGACCGTGCATTACCATCATTCATCCAGAGGCGGAGTCGCCTGACCATCCGCTGTGCTGTGTATCGAACCCCCAGGACCTCATGTATATCTTTCTGGAACGCCGCAATCACCAGTGAAGACTACTTCGGCCGTTTGTCTGCCTGCGGCACGATCATCAAAACAGGTGCTGGGGAATTTGCGCCGCGGAGGAGACGATTGTGCGCAGGGTCAAACGTGGTTCGGTCTCGACAGAGCACTGTGGTGTGCTCAACGGCGCAGGCGCAGCGCATCTGCCTGGTCGCTCATTCGTGTGCGCACATTTTCCCTTTATTCCATGGAACAGTCTGTACCACGAGACCGCCCGTAATCTGGTTCGTCCCGAGCCGCGACCTCAATCTGGAGCAGGCGACTGCGTTAAAAGGATCCGTTTCGCGCGGGGTTTTAACGCTCCATTACTCGATAAAGCCAAAAAGTGGACTGTTGACAGTGTTAAAGAAGTCATTGGTGAATCACCACTGGCTGATAGAGAACACAGGGAAGGCGCTCATGGAAGCGACTCGTCATTACCTCCCCACTTACCCTTCGTTATTGCTTCAGGGTGCTTGAAACCACCCACGGATCAGAAAAATTGGGTGGAGTAGTTCCTCTTCTTCACACGCGGCCAAGCTGCGCTCATCTTTCTTCTGGACAGCTTTAGAGAATTCCCAAAATCTCTCACTGCTCTGAGACTGTTTCCTTGGTCTCAGTCTGCGACTACCCTTACTCTAGACCACCCCCGACCGACCCCCCCTTCGACATTCCAGCGGCGTCTCGAGGTCGAGGACATCACAACCAAATCTACGTCCAGCAAACAGGCCCGGTCCTGTTAACCAGGCGTCTGCTATCCACGCAATTCGACCAGGCGACATCTGACCGTGGAACAATCGCCCACCATGTCGCTCATAAGCTATCCTCCCAACGTGTTCTGCCTCTCCGTCAAACAGCAGCCTCGCGAGGCTCTGGTTGTGGCCAAGGGCAAGGACAAGGCGCGCAAGGCGATCGATCCACCACCTATCGTTCAGCTTGACGTCAAGCAACATCGAGATCCCCAGAAGAATTTCCTTCAGAACCCGTACCTGTTCATGCAGGTCAGCTTGTACAAGGCTGATCGAGATGAGCCACATCCTGGACGCGACATTTTGACAGGCACTCTGACATCCTCACTACACCGCCTGAAAGACCAGACCAACGACGAGGTCGGCCTTTTTGTGTTCGGAGACATTTCTGTAAGGATACTGGGTTCCTTCAGGCTCCACTTCAGTATGTGGGAGTTCAGCCAAGTGGAGCAGCGAGCAATATTCATGGCAAGTTGTACCAGTGAGAATTTCAGTGTGTTGGCGCCCAAAGACTTCAAAGGCATGGAGGAGTCTACTGCCCTTAGCCGCTGCATCGCCGACCAGGGCGTCCGTCTCCGACTGCGTAAAGAGGCTAGAACCGGAGCTGGTAGCAAGCGTTCGTATCCATACGACAGCCCTGTCAACATCGCACAAGCTCACGTAAGCCTCTCCAACGAGTTCTCCTCGTCCTTCGACGGAGAGCATTCACCCATCAAGCGAGAGAGCACATACAACTCGAACAGCCAGACCGAGGCACCGACTCACTCTACCATTGAGCAATCATACTATGCTCAGCCTCCTTACAAGCGATCTTTTCCATCGTACCCTCCTGTTGGGCATCCACCTCCCATCGCCGCCCCTTATAACATGATGGGCCACTCGAGCATGGTCGGTCAACACTCGTCGCTCATGAGTCCTCCTGGAATTTTGCCTTCAAACACAGGCGCAGGGTACAACGTTGATCACACCGGCTTGTACGGTAGCCCCTCGTTCCCAAGCTCAAGCTCTAGCTATCCAGGCTCGGCGGCTCCATACCCGGGTACCGGCTACAACAGCATTCTATATCCGTACGATAGCAACGCCCCTCGCTAGGCGCGTCAATAGGGTGATTCTCAATGCCCTTGGTGGGTGGAATTAGGCTGCACAGTCTTGGTGTGCGACTGGAACTACACCTACATTTTCAGTATTTTGTGTTCATGGCGTACGGGCGCGGATACAAGAATTGGGTTGGGCGGGCTCAACGCATTTCAGGCGTCATCGCAACTCAAGAAGGTCGGCGTTCTGGCAGTACTGGTAGAGTACAAGCCTCACGGCAAACAAGGCACGTCTAGTGTCCTTCCATTCTCATACGGTCAACATTTACATTCCCTTTCAAACACGAACACAATGGCTTGGAGTCTTGGGATCGATGCTCGATATGCAAAGTATCGCAAAAGTCCGCCAGCCTATCCCGATTTTAGGAAATCCGGTTCCGACTTGTCTATGTAGATCGTTGTAATTGCTGTTATTCTCTTCATCCTCCGCTCATGTGTCGGGGACCCGGTCCTCGACGTCTCACGCTTGCTGGCTGATGGGTGCATCATCGGTCTGTATACATAATTGATAATGCATATAGAAAAACTATAGTTTGAAGCCCAGATCCAATCAAGACCATCAGCTGATAGTTATCACACTGCAGAGACGAACAATACTGGCAACCTCCGATAAAAGCCCCTCACCTGGCAAGCTGTTTGACGGCTTGACGTTGAAGAGCTGCAGCGCAACGCGAGCAACACAACCCGCATCTCATCGCAAGTGATGCCCATGGTTCTCGTGCGTATTTCAATGTCAGGCCGCGTGAGTGATGTGAGACAAGCCTAATCGGTAGCAGTCCGAGCAACCCTTGTCCAACTTGTGCATCCTTCATCTATGTAGCTTTATCCGACATTAAGAACTCTTGTATCCTTGCTCTCCAATTTTCAAACCTTTTCTCACAGTGACATCTGACACGCATGCTAATCACGATCTACAACCTATTACCGGGCGCCACATCATCTCAGTGCCGCCCTGTCAGCATCCCTCAACACCAATTCGCTGACGAATCCTCAACCCCTGGCGTCGAACCTTGCTGCCCCGGGCTTGTTGCCTCATTTTGCCTCCGGATGGAGATACCCGGCCGGCTAACGCGTGCGCTGAACGCGTTCGCCGCGCTGAATTTCAAGCTGTACGCGTCTGGCTGCACGCGTCTGTTAACCGCGGTCTTTGTTCTGATACGAAGCTCTCTGCCGGACCAGCTGCCGGCCGACAAGCAAGCGTGACAACTTCAATCACGTTCACCGTTTAAGCCTCTTCGGAAAGTGGCGCGGCTGCGGGCCTCCCGAATGCGTTCCAAATTGCTCTTTCCAATATGACCGGGCTACCTAGGGCATTGCGTGCAGCTGCAAGTGTTGCTAGGCATTGCACTCTCCACCGCTTGACGTTAGGTCGACTTGACATCGTTAGTGGGAACGTAGACACGACATGAGATGAGGACGGGAAGTGACATGTCATCGTAAGGCACAGCTGCATGCGTGGGAGAAGCTCGAAACGAACCCCAACGTGCGTCTGCTGGTCCTCGGTGCAAATAAACTTCGCCGGTGACTTGCCGGCGTGCGCCACACAGCCCACTAGAGGGGCACGCAGCTCTCTGCGACGTGCCCAGTGCTGATGGGGGATGGCGTCGCCTGCAACTGTCAGACCATGCTGGAGCGACCGCCTGCTGATCGTCGTGAGTGGCCCAGTTGCGAGAATCCTGGGAAGTGGTGCCGGATGGCGTGCATGCGACTCTGATCATGTGACTTAGTGTCGGGCAGGAGATGTTTGAGTGGAGAGCGCTGCTTCGACTTGGCGGGGTTACGGGAGGTGATTGGCGCGGAAGAGATGGCTGGAGAGAACTCTGCTAAAGGTTTTCACGATCTGAGAGCAATAGTTCGAAAAAGATGTGCATGTGAGAGTTCTCGTGTTGAAGTCCAGGAGGTTTGATTCTTAGTACATCTGATGGCGTGAAGATCCAACATGCAACGTCCCCTTCCCTGATCATCCGAGCGCAGCGCGGCGAAAGTTACAACGCTGCCATAGATATCTTGATTACCGGTCAACCTCCGAGACAACACTTGCTCGTGATCTGTACGTCGCAATACACCTATGATATTTGCATCACGATTTATGCCTGCACATGCAGTCTGACGGATCCAGGCCGTCCTCAGTGATACTTCGCATGAATGGTTCCGTACTTTTTGCCGTTGACCGTAAAGGAGTATTCAATTGTAGAGTCGACGTAGATTTCCAAATCGAGTTTCAGCCTGTAGTATGGAACACCCGAAGGGCTGTGCATGAGCACGAACTCCTTCTCTGGCACTGTGCTCAGGTTCACCTCAAGCGTAGCAAGCTTGTTCACCGACTATATACGATCAGCCACTTTTTCATCAATCGAGGACTGAATCTGCACTCACCTTCTCGGAAGTACGATTAGCAGACTTTTCAGCATCTGAAGTCAAGAGATCGATCGAGAAGTATCTCTTGTCTCCAACCCAGAAGGTGTTCTCGAACCTTGAAGTAGTGTGACAGGTCTCTGAAGTAGAAAGATCTTGGCCCTTCTTTAGACCCCACAACATCTGTTCTGCGGCCATCTTCTTGCCGGTGTACTGGCAGGTGTATGCATCAATGTCTCGGTGCTCCTTTGAATCGAAAGGCTTCATGCATTCTGTGCCGTAGTTCCGGCGACACTTGCGGTTCTTGATGGGTTTGCGACCATCGCCCTCAAGACCCTTGGCTGCAGCGCCACGGACAATAGCAGACCAACTGTGGATGTCATCAGTTTATGAGGAGTGCGCATGTTGGTTTGCTTATGCATAAGCTGGTCGAATCGCTTGGAGACTGTTGAGCTCAGCAAACGACTTAATCTTCTCATACACATGAGACCCGGAGAAGCCGCCAACCATGATGATATACTGTGATTGATGAATATTGGTTCATAAGGGCATACATATATGATCCCACCTTGGGCTGCACTTTGCCGCCCAGTCGAGTCTGTTGAATTTGGCCGAGGATGAGGTCATAGGTACGGCGGATAGGGAACTCGAACATCTCCTGCATATCTTCACTAGATGATTGTGAAGTCAGAAGATGTATGTGACATGTTAGAGAGGACTTACGCGGCGATCTTGATCTCGCCGTCGGAGATGCCCCACGGCTCATCATCATCGATCGCGCTCAAGGGAGCGGGAAGACGCAGGTAGTTGGTGTCAGTACCGGAGAAGCCGCTCTTGGCCTCCAGTATGAAGTCCTGGACCATCTGCCCTAGCTTCTTAGACATCGATGTACGAGGAGTTTCATGGCTCCTGCAACCTGCGATCTTGACGAAGTCTTCTGTGCCGAGACGCTGCTCAAGCCACTTGAGAAAGCCACGATCAACGAAGCTGCCTCCGCACTGATCGCCGCTACCAACGGTGGATTCCTCGAGGATTGTTGGCTCCAGCCCGGCGGCACTGTACGAGATGAGATCGACAGTGCCACCGCCCATATCGCAGGCAACGAAACCATCTCCCAGGATAGACTGCGCGTCTTGAGCGCTGCCTCGAAGAGACTGAATGGTGTAGACAGCTGCAGCCTCTGACTCGGCAATCGTGATGATTCGCTTGAGCTTGGGAAACTAAGTCTTGTCAAACCCTGCCTTGCGAAGTGCTAGGCGTGTCAGAGCCTTAGCAGCGTCAGACAAGACTGCAGGCACGGTGATGACCAACGTGATCGGTAACGTTCTTCAAAGCTCCTTGCCATATTGAATATCCAAGCTCTTGATGAGATAGTGATTGACTTGCTCAAGAAAGTCGGCGACAATATCGACAGGCTTCCGCGTAGACCCAGTGTTCGCGTTGGGCTCGCGCTGAATCCTCGCTGCCTCTCCAGTCTGTGGTGAATCGAGCTCTAACTTAGTCCACATGTGAGATTGGAAGTTGATAGGAATGAGTGAGCCCCACTGGGTGCCATCTGGGAGGTATGCGATCTCGCTTGAAACTTGCTCCTTTGTGCCGATCTTGGTGTGTCGAGAAGGCCAGTCCTTGATGACTTCGATGTGTTTATCCAACACGCCCGTGTCAGAGGTCTCGCAGTACGACATGCCTGAACAGTTAGAAGACGCGTCATCAACAAGAAGGATGCTCTCGCATACCTGTATACGTGGTACCGTAGTCTACCCCGATAATGAGGCGATTGCTCAGTATGGTGATGATTGTTTCTGCTGTATTGGGTGAGGTCACAGGAGGGTGTGGATGTACTCAGGGTGAGAGAAGAAGTGCAGCAGCAGAGAGGCGCCGCAGAAAAAAGTTGGCGAGGGGCACCAGGCGCGTGGGAGCTTCTCAGTGCAGCGAGGTGAAGGTGAAGTTGAAATTGCGCAAATTGTCGCCGTGGAACTCCCACAAACGTTTGCAAAGGCTGCCCCACTCACTAAAAGACCAAACATTCTGCCAGCTACGCCGTCGACGTATTTCGCGAACTGATCACTCCTGCACTGATGTTGTGATCCGTCACTAAAGCCATAAGTTGTCTTGTATCGTCAGCAGGCGAAGTGAGGTGCTCACCATGACTTGATAGCTCAACACAATCATGGGAGCGTCTAAGCAAGACAGCTTTGCCGCAGAATCTCCTACCAACATCGACGTGAAGATAACCGAGCTCGCTGGGAACAAAGCGTCGAATGCCCGAAACGACAGCTTTTCCAAGTCTGAAACCAGCGCCGTGATCAAAGCCAACGCAAAGAAGAGATCGGATGTCGACCATAGAGGTCTTGTGGCCACTCTGGAGGCCCTACTCACAAATCGCGAGGATGAATTTGAGAGAGTGCAGTCAAAGTACGGCAAGCTAAAGGACAGGTGCAAGAAGCTTTTAGACGAGCACGACACTCGAGGCAACGCTCTGCAGGAGTGCGAATCCAGCCGCGACCTTCACCTCAAAATAGTCTGCAACATTCTGAACACGGGCATCCACCCCTACGCTACTCAGAACGGCATGATGCCAGAAGAATGGACAGAAGAAAGTATTGACAAGATCATGAAACCCCTAGCCTACGATGCTCTGAAGGCTTCCTCTGGTCAAGACTCTGAGCCGTGAGATTCGCTTCGACAACCAGGAAGACAGCCTCGACATCCTTGCGTCCGGTACTTTGCTCGTCGGTGTTTCTCGAGACTATTGGAAGAACCGAGTCAACAAGAAGTCTCTAACCGAAGCATGGTTCTGGTCCGTCTTGATTGACAACGTCTTCCGTTCCCCGTTCGCCATCCTAGGAGCGCGTTGCGAAGGCCTCAGCAAAGTCTAGCAGAACCTGTTTGATGCGCAGCACTGCAATGGCTGACCGAGCCCTACGATCCTTTCTGAAACCTGGCGCTACACTACAATCGAGCAGATGTTGGAAAATATCGAGAAGGGTGCCGGCGATTTCGGTAAGCTGAGGCCGCAGTCCAAGGTCCTTGAGCAAGACATGATCAGCGTCCGCAACAGCATCCTCAAGGCTCTCCAGTCGGGCTTGACTGCGGATTCCTCCAAGAAGAACTTGCCAAAGATGATGCAGCTTGTCGACAAGGCTTTCGCTCTGATGTCGAAGATGGGCTTCCAGCGTGTGCGTTTCCAGATCACCCGTCCCACAGTCGGGGCCCGCTTTGACGAGCATGCCATGGTGCCTCTCTCGGTCCCCCGATGGTGACCGCATTGCTGGTGGCATCGTGTCTTTCATCGTCAACCCAGGTCTCACGAAATGGGGTGATGCACGCGGCAAGAACCTCGATCAGAGCTACGGCATCGTGCCCTCCTTAGTTCGACTCGAGATCCAGGAGCCGAAGCAGGTCAGCAGCCCTGCTTAGGCTTACATTTTTTGAAGGGTGAAGCCTAGATCTTTCGTGTAGGCACAAGTGGGAGGATGTGTATGTGCATGCAAGTATACGAGCGTATTGGCGGCGATACTCATGAGGAATTGTGGATAATCCACTTTCCCTGCCTACGACAGTCCAGCTAGATCAGTAGAACAAACGACAGGCTTTTCCATGACGATAGAACATGAGCTGTGGTGAACAGACGATCGATCGTGATCGCCGCGGGAGAGCACGTTCACAATCGCGCTAGCCAACTCGACTAGCGCGATTGGGCACGCGTCGAAGCATCAACAGTTATGGCAGCGTCACGATCTTGTGCAAGCACCCGCGCCAAAGCCTATGAACAGACTTCTCGCGCCCCCAGCCTTCATACGCCTCGCAAATATTGATCCCTAGCATGCTCACAACGCAATGACCCTCGCCCTCCCTTAATACCCCGCAAAACCTCTTTACGCGTCTTCCCGGCGCGACTTTCTCGACATCACGCACGCTGAGCGTGCTCATAGACCGCGACGATGTACCTCCCACGAAACCTCATAGCGCACCTCTACGGAAACCTCATAAAACGGACCCACGCCGCCGCCCCGCCTGTCCTCCTACTCGTTGCCCTCGAACCAGACGCGCTCTGCGCGTGTCGAATCCTCACCGCGCTACTAAAGCGCGACTACATACCGCATAAGATCCAACCCATTTCTGGCTATGGTGATCTTTCCCGCGCGGTAGATGAGCTGGTACGGCCCATGCGGACCACCGAGGGCGGAAGTGGGGGTGTTGTCGTGTGTCTGGGTGTTGGAGGCATGATTGACATGGAAGAGATGCTGGGCATGGACATGGACGAGAACGGCCAGGGAGGGACTGGAAATGTTGAGGTCTGGGTACTCGATGCACGGCGGCCGTGGAACCTGGCGAACGTATTTGGGACACCGATTGGTGAGGACTCGACCACTGGCGAGCTGATGCGGCGGCAACCTGGTGTGGAGAAGGGCAGGATAGTGCAGTCGTACCAAGGCCTAAGAGGAGGTGTGATAGTCTTCGATGACGGGGATATCGAGGAGGAGCTCCAGGAAGAAAGAAGAGCATACTGTGGTCTCGAGGAGATGCCAGAGGTGGGGGAAGACACAGGCTCCGATGACGAGGCGGACGATCATGATGACAGCGCTCCTGAGCCTGGCCAGGCACCGAAGAAGAGAAAGTCCTGGAGCGACAGAGACGATTCGGATGACGAAATGTCCGAGGACGACCGGCCACGGCAGAGATTACGAAGCAATTCAGTAAGGCAGGCCAACGTGACTTGAGAGTCAGGACTGACACATCGCTAGGGAGGCTCAATACTGTCGTCTCCAGACCGAAGACCCATGCGGCGAGGTCTAATGATCGAGACCCAGCTCGGCGGGTCTTCTGACTTCTCACGATCAGACTCACGAAGCCGCTCAGCATCCCCGTCGATAGTACCGCCGAAGGAAAAATCGGTCAAGAGCTTACGGAAACAGCTCATGGTCATGCGAAACAGATACACCAGCGTGCTCGACAAGTACTACCAACTCGGCGCCTCGTATGCAGAACCTGTATCTTCTCTCGTCTACGCCCTGGCATCAGAACTCGGCCGCGAGGACAACGACCTCCTGTGGAACGCAATCGTAGGAGTCAGCAGTCTGGAATTGTATGGACGGACGGGCAATGGTGTCGGGCTGAACCCCCTCTCGGCAGCTGGTGGATCTGCAGGCTGGAATGGCAACCGAGGCGAACAGATCCGCTCAGTCTTCAGAGACGAAGTGCGGCGACTGAACCCCGTCACAGATCCACAAGGAGTTGCTCGCGATGCAAGTCTGGGCGACTCAACTGGCGTCATTCCCACAAGTGCACGCTCGGCGACAGACAAGTCGATACGACTGTCGCCAGAACCTCGCTTCCTCCTACTACGGCACTGGTCCCTGTACGAAAGCATGCAGCACTCGCCCTACCTCTCCGCAAAACTGCACATGTGGAGCGAACAAGGGCAAAAGCGTCTGAATAAGCTACTGGCAAAAATGGGCGTCTCACTCACCGAGTGCAAGCAAAACTACACGCACATGGACATGGAGCTCAAGCGCGGACTCCGAGAACGACTCCTCAAGTTTGCTCCCCAATACGGTCTGGACGGCCTCGTCCCCCCGCCACCACGCAGCGGGGACATGAAAGACGGCTGGGGCTTCGTCCGCTGCTGGGGCTGGAAAGCATGTCTCTCCGCCGTCGACGCAGCCGTCATCCTCGGCGCAATCCTCGAAGTCGGCGACGCAAAATCCCTCTCGCAGTCCTCCTTCGAACCCACAAACTTCGTCGGCACAAACGACCAAGGCGATACAACCGCCGCCGCCACCCAGGAAGAACAGGATGTGGCGCAGGAACACGTCGTGGCGCGTTTCTGGACTGCTTACGACGCCCTGGGCCAGATCGATAAGCTCGTCCAGCATATCTCGACAGCGCAGCATCTACACCGCGCCATCCTCCGGACGGGAACGGCGTTGATAGAGAAGAAGCAGATCCGCCACCTCCGCGCATTCCGCATGGCCGTCGTGAAAGAAGGTCCAGATGTGCAACTCTTCACGCACCCCGGCGCGCTGACTAAACTCGCGCTCTGGATCGCAGAGGCTATCGTAGAGCTCAACGGCACGAAGGGCAGGAACCGCGGCTCTGAACTCGTCATGGCGGGGTTGGATGATAGTCGCGGGTTGTATGTTGTTGTTGGCCTCGGTGGGGGTGGTGCGACGGAGAGCGCGAAGGAACGATTGCAGAAAAGAGAGAAAAAGGCCAAGGAGAAGGAGGAGAAGAAGGCCAAGAAAGAGGCGGAGCTGAGGAAGAAGAAGGAAGCTAAGCGGCAGCGGTTGGAGGCGGCTGGTCTTGATGAAGATGAGATTGAAGACGACACCGAGGAAGAAGACGACGAATCCGAAGAAAGTGAGAGCGAGGACGAAGATGAGCAGAAAGGCGGCAAAGGGAGGAACAGATTCGGAAACGCGTTCCAAGAGGTCGTCCGTGAGACAGGAGCACGTGTACGCATGGACAGCTTTGAAGCGTGTGTCATTGAGATCAGGAAAGAGGATCTTAGTGGGTTCTTGGAGAGGTTGAGTATGAAGGCTGTTGTTGGATGACCATCCAGCGGCTTATGAGGAGGCTTGATGGGAGCATGTTTGTCGGATTGGTTAGGAAGGCAAGGCACGGTATGGCATGGCATAACATAACATGGCGAGGCATGATTTGGATTGGAGTACCCCACCCCCACGGCGTTTCGCTGTTTGGCACATGTAGCAGCGATGATATTTGCGTTTGTCTGAGCATAGCGCTTCATAGCACTGCGAATTTATTCTCATCTCAAGGGTGGTTCCTGCCACACGTGTGGGTGCTGACCGATTATGGATCTGGCTCCACCTTGGAGGCCTCCGCGGAGGCCGGGGTCACTGCTCAGGCTGATAAGGCGCAGCAGTGTTCTTCTCACTCGGATCTGTGCACTTGGACTATCCCACACAACGTTATGATAGGAACGGTTCAGACCGTCTGCCCGCCGCCATGTAACCTCTGCGCCCGAATCAGCAAGAGCTTGCAATGAGATCACGACAATCGCGAGGATGCTCATTTTGTATGGAAGTGCCGGGAGGCTGAACGCAATGCCTCGTGTACCACGCGCCGGCTTGTCGTAGAAGTATTGGAAGGTCAAAAACTTAATCTACGATTTCCAAACGACCGGGTTGATTGGGTCGCGCATGTTCACTTTATGGATCTTGAGAGAAGGTCCATTTGCAACTAGTTTGCCACTGTGACTACGACGAAAAAGACGAAGCCAAAGGCAACGGGCTTGAAGACGACCGTGAAGCGGGATTGGGTTGTTCTCAGATCAGCTTCGGCTTCGTTGATGCACAACACGAGAAATAACTGGAATCGCCTAACTTGATCAAGGGCTGGGTTGCAGGCTGCGGCGAAAATCATGCTGGGATCTGACACTCGATAGCAGACCCCTGAAAGACAGTCTCTCTTGTCACTGGGCTGCTTTTTATTGACGTGAAGCGTCTGTCTTGTTTGACGAGACGAAGATTCTCGGTACATTGCCTTCAGCTATGTACAGGATACCACAGCCGAGCCACTGCAAACGGAGACCAGCAACTTCGAGTACTTGATTCAAGACGATGCTTTCAGCCTGCTGGAGTTCCGGGATCGTCTGCCGCCCTCTGTGCGCGACAGCATCACCCCAGCCCGCACCATAGGTGTACACTTCTTGTGGAGAGACCGATTCTACATTATACAAGACGACCAGAACGGCAAATCCCAGCAGCTGGCTACTATGGCTTCAATTTCGGGGCACCCCGGTCATCGTTTCCGATTGAGTTGATCTGCATTGGTCGTATGGGGGTTCTAGGGCTGGATGATTGGGATCAAGGTGTCTGTGCAGCCTCTTACTTTCACAGGGAATGTTCTGATTTGGTAGGATGTAGTCTGCGTGAAGAAACACGCAAACTCGGTCGAGATTAGACACATGGCTTTCACAACGGTCTTTGAGTGGAGTGGCACGATGGCGTTGCACATCGTAAGGCTATCGGGAAGGTGAGGCAAGATCATTGGGACAGTGCTGAAAGAGGAGAAGTTGACGTTCGACTTGACTGATCAGAGATATCGTCCATCACATGAATTGAAGAGCACAAGAGTAATTCGTCTTTAGCAGCCACACATTCTGTAAGATACTGAAGGTCTCCTAGATCTGTTTCATATGTTCGTCGCTTAGAGTCGCGCCGCTGCATCCTTACATTCATTTTGAAACGTCTTTTTACAGAAGCAACAGGACACATCAGCAAAAGAGTGTGATGGAAAACCTATACTTCCCGAGCAACTCTAAGGTGCGCAAAATCCAGGTAGCCATGTCCGGAGACCGTCAAGGTACCTCACTACGGGAACTGTCCTCTATTTCTTGCGGCGGCACACTCCAGGCGTGGATCGTCTTGGGCGTTGGACCTATCGGCGGATCTGGCCTTCTTTGAAGCATCCTACGTTTCCTGCATTCACGAGGGAAGAGCCAAGCTATGGTCCCGACGGCTGTGATGGCTACAGCAATGCTGACCACAACGCCGATGGATGTTGCTATTGAAAGTCCTGTCGAGGCTGTCTTGTGAGTATGGTACGCCGTTGTTGAGGTGGGTGTTGTAAACGGGTCCAGAGAGGTGGGTGTTGTAGACGGACTCAGAGAGGCGGATGCAGCGGCTAAGATTGATGAACTCGCGACATCCCATTCGGCTGGATGTTTCTTATAACCGTTTCCATGGGTATCGTATAATACACGGGTTTCTGGATCGATGTAATGTTGGGGGCAGGTGTCGCAGTCCACACCTTCGCCGAAGGCGAACATGTTACCGCCGCAATCAGTAGTTATGTATACCTATATTGGCAGTAGAGCAGTTCTTCCAATCTGATACGAAACGGTACTCCCTGGGGACCAAATTTCCTTTATAGCAGAGCAGATTGGCAGCATATCTCTGTCCTTCAAGGCAGCAGTTGTTTGTGCCTTTGCCTCATGAGACCAGTTCCGGATCACCCTCTGGGTAGTGCAGCGAATACCTCGCTAGTTTTTCTGCATCATGCATCAGTAATGCTTCATGTGCCTCCAGAGATCTCTTCGCTGGCGCACTATTTCGGATATAGCAATCTCCTCTAACTGCGGTTGTTAATAATGAGCATATCAACATCACCACGATTACATGAAATGGCGGTTTGATGCCCATTCCCATGCACATAGTTTTAATTGCTATAAAAGGACTCGATCTGATCGTATGAACTAAAAATGGTCATAATTTGGTGGTTTCGAGGGCTAAGAGTCCCAAACTGGTTTTGTAGGTAATCGCTAGAGATGTTGCTGCGCGTGACGATCAACACCTGTATGCCGCAAATCTTGTGACAAACATAATAGTCTTAGTACACATACCAGCCATGCAAGTGAATGGTAGTAATGTACTTATCATGGCACTATTTAGCGTCGATGTTGATTAGCGAGTGCCACTCGGGATTTGTGCACAGGGCTGCTTAAGGTACTCCACGACAAAGAACACCCCTCAAACCGGAGAATGTCGAAACTGGCTGTGCCCCGTGCATCTTAATTTAGCCTCCACTGTATAAGACGATGGCATCTATGACAAACAGATATCCTTCGGTACAGGCCTTGGTTGTTTCAACAACCCGGGGCTGCCCCAGTACTAAGTAGTGCCCAAAGTGTAGAACTATCCTGTGCACCGTAATAACACATTAGAACACTGGAAACCTCTGGGGTCTGTGCGAATGCCGGGGTCAGTCCGTACAACCTATTCTGTGACCGCAGCAACGATTGAATTGCATTTACAGAATGCAGCCTGGAGGCAGTCAGGGTACTGGCACCACGGGAAGGCTGGACTTGACTATGTTCCTGGCGATTTGACAAGTATTAGTACTTGAGTCCTAGTGCTATGGCAATTCACTGCATTGGCAACTCTCGTGTCGGTGCTGGTTGGTGCTGGTCGCTCTGAATCGCCCTCATGTACAGAAGTTAGAACCCTTGAGCGTATACCACGTTCGCATCGGCCTCGTTTTGGTAAACATATGGAATCTTCTTGGCGCTATTTTTAATGCCTGCCTTTTTCGACGCCCACATACTAGTAGCCAGGGTGTGACTGCAATGTCTGCGACTGCCACTGCAGCTCCTGTACATATGCCCGCTCCAGCTCCAGCAAAAGTTCATGAGGACCCTGACGATGCGAAGTCTTTGATGGTGCCGTTGTCACTGTTGCAACCGGTACGACTGGTGCGCTTTTAAGAGTTGTGCACGCCCGTGCGGAAATGGAGGGAAGGAATACGAAAGGCGTATCATTTCACGCCGCCGATTGTGACGTTACGGTCTCAAGACTCTTGATAGACCGAGTACTCGAAGAGGCTGTGTTGGACGTCGAGATCGGATCGCTGACCTCGCCTGTATCCGGGTCAATGAAGTACAGGGTGCTTCTCCTACACAGACCTCTGTCAAGGGCAAAGGTGTTGTTGGTGCACGGTGTCAGATGGACGCCAGCCATATCCCATGCTGCAAATGAACGGATCAGATGGGCTTCTTCGGCTACCACATATAGGGGCAGGGTCTTCGCGAAAGAAGGTTCCGTTATTTGGTGGACATGTGAGGCAATAAGATATCAGAAGTGAGCCTCCAGGAGAATCTCTAGAATATGTTTCGCCATGGAATCTTGTTCGTCTACCAGCTCGCTAATTGCTTCGAACGATCGAACCCACCTCTTAGCTGCCTCTCGGGCTTAACAACTTTGCCCTGCAAGATTGTGTATCGGATGATGTTCTCGCAATCTTCTGGTCGAACGCGAGCCAGCCATATACATTGCGCAGCCTCGCCGTCGCTCTCAGCTCTTTGCTCCTCATTTGCGTCCAGTACCACCTCGTGGTCTTTGTCTGCCTCGATCTTGAGCTCTTGCAGCGCCTCTTGTACACCGTTGGCGTGTCCGTTGGCTTCATTTGGATGCTCTACTGTCGAGGAGTGACGGTAGACCATCACATTTGCTGAAAACTTGTGTCCACCAACATGGCTTATGAAGTATATTCCAACTCCACCAGGTCGCTCATCATGCAGATCACGGTACAGACCTAGGGGTCGTAGATGCCTCTCGAACTCGCGGCGCAGGAGCGGCGCAGATTGCCCACAGCGGGCATCACGAGTCTTCTGACTACATAACAGGATCAAGTACTTGTGAGGACATGGTCGCGCCTTCAGGTTCGCAATCGTCGATATGGTGGGTGGTATACTGGTATCTGCAGCCGTGGAGGCAAGATCCGTGGAGGACGAGCCTTCAGACGGTGCTGTCGAAGGTTGTGAGGATGTTACGGGCTTGCGATGTAGCGGCGAATCGTTCGTTGGACTTCGGTTCACGTAGCCAGTGATGAGGTCAGGTACGTTGGTAGGCGTTACGTTGTCGACGAACTGCCATGAAGGTAGCAGCAATACCCTGGAGCTGGTGTCTGAATGATCGGGTATGGGCATGTCGGAGGCCGAGAGCATGAGTTTCTATTGTTTGTCAGCATCGGGAGAATCTCTAATGGTGTCAAGTTGCTACTCACCCCATTGCTGGGCTTCACATCCCCTCTGTCAACCGCCTCCATGATACTCCCCTTCTCGTCTGCAACATCTCGCACCCAATCTGTTTTTCCAGTTGCGACGATCAGGTGCGTCTGCCATCCTTTCACATGACCGTATAGCTCTTCTGTTTCGTCGATTTCGAACTTGCGCGGGTATTTGATCGTGCAGGTTGCGCAATCGTGTAAGCAGTCGTCACCATCTATCGTGGGGTCGGTGGTGGGGAATAGATCCTCCGTATTTTGAGCCTTAGCGAACTCGCCATTCGTCTTCAATATCGGTATCCTAGACGACGACAAGGTCGAGGACAGCTTGTAGGCGAAGTTTTTGAGTGTGGCAGTCATCCTGTATGCGTTTACCGGCTTGTGGCTCGGCTTCGGCGGCACCATCGTTAAACTTTTAAATCTGATTACCGGTAGAGATGCCAAGACTTGCCGCGGAAAGTGGGCGCGATGACGTTCGGTGTTTTGTTGTTGAACACGGGAGCTAAGTACTTCACTCTCTTAGAGGCGTTAATACAATGGTCTCCATGACTGCTGAGAGTCCCGCTCTTATGTATCCATATGCTGACACCTTCGGTTAATCGTAAGGAGCCGATGCATGTGGAAAGAGCGGCCGGTCTTCGGACATCATCGTCTCCGAACTCAACACCCAAACCCCTTCATTCGACATACTACCCACCCCATTTAAGCGTTTCACGTGCATGGCCAGAACAAGGTCATTGAAATCTTTCGAAGTTTCGGGAAAAGTCGATGCAACTTCACAGCAGCGGGAGTACGCATTCATTGACCAGCGACGCATGAACGCGTCCTAATAGCCAATGAGGCTGAAGCTGTTGAACGGTGCTCCGTTTTGCGAGCAACTCGAGTTCAACAATGACATTCTTCTCGATGTCGCTGAGTGCAACGATTTCAATGCAAGGTCATGGCACGGCCAATCGACAGCAGAAGAGGTTGCGTTGAAATGGCGGGAGGTCGGTCTGAGAAACGCTCGCCTACATACAGGGTGGTCGCAGCCTTATCTTCCAGGGACTGGTCTACAAGGCGCTTACTCATTCGCGATACCAGGAGTCGAGGAATCTCCTGCGTTACCTTGCCTCGACACGACGAACCTTGACACAACATTAACGCTCGATGAAGACCAATTCGCGGCGGACGATTACCTTCAGCACTCACTCATTTTGCACGACACGCTCATGTCCTCGCAAGTTATCCAAAATGTGACTGAGGACGACACCGTGAACTCTCCATCATTCATGACAACGAGTTTTGGTACCACAGCATCAGGAGCCAGCAGCCCCTCTCCGATTGACAACCACGTCCTCTTGCTGCAGGTGCCAACCGCAATGGTGGTCACGCCTCTCGGCTCGTTGCCAAGTGCACAGCATTTGCGCTCTATCTATCCCCAGACACCCACACCGAACTTCCTCTGTGCGCTTATGACTACCCCTGAGCGACGCGAAGTATTCGTGCACAAGAGAGGCTACAGGATGGACTTGTGGGAGATCACTATGGGGGACGACACACGCGCAAACTTCAAAGTGACATTTTGGCTGCGTCCACCTCGAGAGTCGAATAACGAACAGAACAATGCACAGGTGCGGCTGCTGCACACTTTGGAGCGACTTCAAGTCGGCAACATCCTTCTTCTGCGCAACGTAGCGCTCACGTCTTTCCGCGATACCGTTTATGGACAATCACTGAATAGTGCAATCACTAGAGCCAGAACGTCAGTCGACGTGTTGGTAAAAGGCAGTGGGCTATCGATGGCGCAAGTCGGTGGGCTTCCGGCACCAGTAGTTAAGACTTTTATGAGAGTGAAGAGGTGGGCAAGATCGCATGTGGCTGAAGACATACAGCATATAAGGAAGAGAAAGGGTGGACCTTCGAGGCCTGGCCATACGGCAAAGCGACCGTTCATGGGTTCTGCGCGAAACGAGGACATGCCACCAGACACCATGGAGGAGACTTGAAACATTCGCACAAAAGCAGTGCACCAGTACCCGCCGATGTGTGACTGAAAGACACTTTGACGGGTCCTCAAACGATGCCTGACCAACAGATGGTGGTTTCCATCCCTCAATCCTACTCAGACCTACGCCGACTTGCACGTGGACGTCCGCAATGAGAAATATCCACATGGTCACTGGACAGTAACCAAAAGTTATACAGTCCTTTCTCCCCAGATCCGCCTCATCCAATTTCGAGCCTGTCAGAGATGGTGGTGGCTCGACAATTTGTTTGCGACGATTGGGGTCGCTTGGAAGTGTCGCACCAGCAAAGAAGGCCCGTGCCTCGCTCCTTATATCTTATTGCAAGCAAGAACACCTCATCACACGCTTTCGAGCATCACGATAATGGCTGTGCTTGCAACAACTGGTAATTCACAGTACCAGCTGTCAACAAGGACAACTTGATCGCTTGATATCATGCATAACAATCGGAGACCCCTCCGAGACCGAATGAACGATGGTGCCGGTAGAGCTATGGTACTTAGTTTCGACTACCACGAAATTCCGCTGGATGTTTCCCGCAATGCAAGCTCGTATGATGCTGATGATGCTACGAAACCCTCGATCCCATTGGCTGTGTCTCCGTTTCTTTTGCCCATGAGGACGTTCATGCGCGAGAAACTGAACATGTTTCGAGTAGCAGCATATATGCAGGGACCCTGGCAACGGTATCGGCAACCCAGTCACCGTACCGGCCATCTGGACGACCTCTGCATGAAGTGACGACGGCGCAGCCGGTACTCCAGACGTACGCAGCGGGGCAGTGGACGCATGCGACTCCTCCTCATCTCGTTGGTGGCTTATATGCTCTTTCAATCTGCTATTTCAACTACTGCATCACGCCTCCGGTTTGCCCAGTCTTTCGTTCAGTCCTAGTGACGTTACGTTCTTTTCATTGCGCTATAGTCGCACAGTCGCTCCTTTTGAATCTTGATTGATCTATTTCATTCTTTACCGGCCGGCCACGATGAAGTCTTTCGTTTCTTCCGTTGTAACTTTCACCACCTTTCTTTCATTACTAGCGAACACGCAGGCCGCGATCAACTCTACCGATGAACCGTCATGCGGAGTTGCCAAGACAGACGATAGCTACTTCAGTGTTGTTGGAGTGCAGGGTACAGGAGTGCATCCGAGGCAAGAGTTACGCGAGCTTGAGAAGGACACGGAAGTGTGGAACATCTTCTTGCAAGCTTTCGCTGGATTCCAGGCTATGGACCAGAGCGCGAAGGCGTCTTACTACAAAGTCGCAGGTATGTTGCAGTCGCTTCTTCAGAAGAGTGACGCTGACGAAATCAGGAATACACGGAGCTCCCTTCGGACAATGGGATGATGAGGCTGGTATAGAGGGCCAAGAAATGATGGGCTACTGCCCTCATGGGAGCAACATGTTCGGCCCCTGGCACCGACCTTACCTCGCTCTCTTCGAGCAGATCCTTCATGATCGTGCTTTAGATATCGCAAAGGATTATCCGGCAGGTGAGGCTCGAGACAAGGCTATGGAGATCGCCGAAAAGGTGCGCCTGCCCTACTGGGACTGGGCCGTGGACCCACCCAACAGCGAGGAAGGATGCATGCCTGCAAGTCTCCGTAGCTCGACAGCTACTGTGATTTTCCCAAACGGTACTACGGGCAGCATTGCAAACCCGTTGTATCGCTACGACTTCCATCCTCTGGTCTACGATGACTTTGCACCTTTAGTATGAAAAACAACTTGCTATTTCAGGGACTCGATAGCTAACGCCTTCACAGAGCGAATTCCAGTTCAAGAACTGGAACAATACTATTCGCTTCCCAATTGATGGTTTCGCCATCAACGCTACCAGTCGCAACGATGCGGCGAATGAACGCATTAGCAGACAGCAGCCAAACAATCGTGATATGCTTTACAAACTGCTGACGATGTACCAACCGTACAACCAAGTTAGTAACAAAGCCAACGGTGGTACTATTGGAAACTTAGAGACGCTCCATGATGGCCTGCACAATGCTTTCGGCCTGGGTCACATGGGTATTGTCGAAGTATCGGCATTCGATCCCGTTTTTTGGTTCCACCACGCGAACATGGACCGCATTTTCGCCCTTTACCAGTACAGATACCCTGACACCTGGGTCGAGGATTCAGCACAGGCTAAGGGTACTTTTGCAGTTGCCAAAGGTGCCATCGAGGGTGCTGCAACGCCGCTTGCGCCGTTCCACATGAATGCTCTCGGTGACATGTGGACTGCGACAACATCCCGCAATTGGACATCGTTTGGCTACACGTACCCTGAACTGGTCTCAAATCCCTCCAACCGAACCTTCACTGCGACACTCAACAAGCTATACAAGCCATCTACACAGGGCCTGGGCAACAGTACGAACACGACCATTCTGGCGCCTGGTGTTGGTAGTGGTAATAACACCACCAACAGCACTACGAAAGCGATCGACTGGCTGTGCGAAGTTAAGATGCCGACTGACATCCAAATCTCGTATTCTGTCCGCGCTTTCTTGGGCAAACCAGATGCCGATCCGAAGAACTGGCCCACGGATCCCAACTATGTCGGTCAACTCGCCTCAATGTCTTCCCCTCGCATGAGCTCGGACGTTATAGTCACGGGTAACATTGTACTCACCGAAAGACTGGCACAGAAGCACCAGTCGGGCGAGTTGAAGAGCTTGAACAAGGAAGACGTCGCAGCCTACCTGAAGGCCAACTTCAGTTGGCGCATCCAAGCTTTGGACTACAGTGAGATCCCTCGTAACAGCCCGCCTATCGGTCTCACTGTTACCGTTTTCAACGTTCCTATCTCGATCCCTCGGTCGGACGATGAGGTGCCTGGTTGGGATGGCGAGGTTGAGTACAACCACGATATCGAAGGCAACCCACCTGTCTACAACGGCCCCGGTCCTCATGGCACAAACTCTACTACTCCTGCCGATAACACTGCCGGACACTTTGACTCTTCGTCTGGCGAGTGGGTATGGAACAACGCCACAGCCTCTGCCGCTTATGGTCGAGTCGGAGGCCAGGGCGAGACCAGGGTCGTACGGGAGACAGAGATGTTCACCCAGTACATCACTGTTGGTGCCGACGCCACTCCTACGCCTGAGGTTGAACCCTCGACGACTACTGCGCCTGCGATTTCTGAGACACGTGCATCGAGCACTATCAATATTCGTACGAGGACGAAGTTCATGACCTCTATTATCATCGAGTATGCTACCGTCTTGCCTGGCAAGAAATGAGCCACTGACCACACTCTTTCTGCTTGCCCTTCTTCTCATGTATATGATGCGCGCCCGCTCGTTTGCTCTCGTTCATATCCGCGGGTAGGCGCTCAAGTTGTGTTTGGTCAAATGTTTTAGTATGGGGCTGCCCAGCGCTGGTCGTGAGCTTGCCAGCTCATGAGATCACGAATTTTGAAAAGATGGTGTATTAAGGTCGTGCATGGTCGCGTCGACAAATGGAGGGCTGGAAAAGGCAGTATCCACTCTTGACCTTCTTCTGAAATACAACACTGCTCTTATCTCCAGAATATATTTCCTATTCTCTTGCTTCGCGTGTATGTCTGTGATACGGGATACAAACATGATATTAACTGTTTGGCCGTTCTGCGAATACCAGATCTGGTCTGCCAGTGATAGCGTTTTCTTCCAGGTCCTTACCGAACTTTTGATGGTTGGATTAAAAGGTATGCATGCAGTATGGACGAATATTTGCTGATCTCGTTCATCGGTCTACTGCCTGTATGCAACATGCGCTCCTCCGCTCGAACCGACGTTCTCGTTCTCGGCGAGCTTGAGAACGTGGCGTTCGATGCAAGAATGATGTTCGCGAGCCTATCGGACATACCGAGTCGTACACGCAATCTCGTCTAGCGTATGTGGGGAAGTTGGTGGCGACTATTTACCAGACCTCAATTCGAACGAAGGACGAGGACCCCGGAACCTCGCACTTTCCTTCGGATCGTCGCGTGATAACATGCATATCGTAAATGTGAAGAGATATCGAAAGACAAGCCTGAAGTGCTCTGAAGTGCTATTGAGTGCTGCGTGCGTAGAATGGTTTGGCGATTCGCGGACGGTTCGTCCGGTGCAATGTCTTCTGACTACATCTTGACACATACTGACGAATCCGAAGAGCCAAGTCCGAGAGGCCAGGTGATGCTGCGTTGTGATTTGTCCAGCGTATGTGGAGAAAGGCTGACATTGTATTGATTGTACAGCTGAGCACAGGGAGGGCGCTCGCTAGCGTATGTGGGGTTGAGCATGTCCTCAGAAATAGGTGTGACAGCTTATCCTGACGAGGCAAAGCGATTCAGAGGCAGCTGCTTGCCATGAGATAACATGTAGTTGAACCCGAGAGGTGCGTAGCATGCTTTCTGGCTTTGTTCAGAGAGGATGTGCGACAAGGCAGACTCACCTGCTGAGCATCGCGCTGACTTTGCTGCCCCAGGACTAAGGAAGACTCTCTTGCGATGAACCTCCGGCCCGAATATGGTGTATACTTGAAGATTTAAGAGACCACCCGGGCGGACAATCTGTTCCGACGGATGGGCAAGGAATGAGCAATATTGGTAGTTGATCATGTTTGTCTGGCTTACCCTACTTGACCATATATGGACATCCCAAACAAACTCGTCTCTACAGCGAAAGGCATAGGTGCTTCGCTTGAGCAAAGACTTATCGAAATCAGCGCTCCAAGACACAATGGTAGCACGGATCTTTCAAAGATAGTCACCCGTGAGTCGACTCGTGAAGGCAAGGCGCTAATGCAACTCTCGGACTAACTTCCCTGCGTATCAATCTCCGTAATAATCCCAAAGGTCCGCCCAGGCTCAAGATATTTATTTCCCTCTCCCGTTCCGTGTGGCACGGTCGAACCGCCAAACATCGATCGAGTAGACTGCCGTCTCGTGTAATAGATGTAGCCTTTGCGGGCGCTGTCCACAGCCGCCAGTCGATAGGCGATTCCAGCATGTCCACGTGGTGTCTGAGCACGAAAGTACAAATGTGACTTCTGCAGGAGCCGCAAAGATTGTCGTCAAACTCCGCGACACGCTACCAACCGCCTGCAGAAGCGGTGTCGTAGCAAATGGTCCTGATTTGCTCGAAGCTGTGATGATCACCAGTTGCGGCTTAGTCCGGTGCAAGCTGCAGACAGGGATCACGTGTCGAAGATATCGGGAGTATCGGAAGGAGTTCAAGTGTGCGTGCTGTCGATAATGAACGATGCGGGTGATGCTCACAAGTCAACCATTTCATTAGCGGTATTACTCAGGTAGGTACCTATATCGAACTCGTCTGGAATTTCCTTTCTGGTCTGTCATGTTGACGTTGAATGGCCTCGGAGTTGCTACCGGTAGCCAGTGGAAGGCCTGAACGAAAGCTGTTTCTGCCAAGGCGGCCGCATCGAACCTCACTCCGCAGCCATAACTCGACAACCGCATCAGAGAAAGCACCGCAAATCGCAACTCTTGCCGTGTCTTAGCTTCTACGCATAATAACCCTCGACTAGCTCTTTCTGAACCCTGGACCTGGCGCTTGGGCTCTTTCTTTGCTCTTGCTCCGCGTTCAAGCGCACCGCGACAGCAAAAGAAGTCTGTGCGTGTATGCTGTGCAATCCGCGCCCTCGATGCCAGGTGTCATCTTTGCTGCAGTCAGAGGAGCGGGAAAGAGCTTGTGTCTTGGGCTTGAGTTGCGGAAGTGGCAGCTTGTTCGCGCGTCTGAGGACGAGTCTGGCCGGCGGTCGTGGACTGCTGATATCAATCGCGTGGTAGGACCATATGAACATGCGCTTGTCCGATATGTTTCGTTGACGTCGTCCGGTCGGCTTTATGTCAGGTGGGCGGTGTAGAGCGTGAGTTGATCGTTCCTGCCATAAGGTGACTAGATCGGACTAGCGCTATTGCGTGATTGATGGCAGCACGCAATCGCGACCAGCGACGACTGGCCGAAACACGCAAAACCTCACTGAAATCGCTGACGCATCCAAGCTGATAGATCCCCACATACACCGTGCGTCAAGGAACGTCCGGGGCGCCACTACGATACTACTACTTATAAAGGGCTGCCCGCCCTCACCTTTACTTTGTTTGGCACACGACCAAAACGGCATTATTTTTTTAGCAACCCGCGCTCTTGACCTCTAACTCTGCTTTAACTTTTCTACCATCAACCACCAGTCTACTTTTTGCCTTCACAACTCTTCACATAGGTTCACTCTCGGCTTTCTTGTTGCACGCCCATCTGTGAGTGAGACATCTCTCACTAGCCAGCAACGCTCGGTCGCCTCCACATCACCATGGCACCCAGCGCCGTACACTCAGAGTCTCCAGCGGCGTACTCACACCCACTCAAGCAAGCAAGACATGGTCTCCCCTCACTTGAGTCGCAGATGTCCACCGATGGGCACAACCCAGTGAACTCCTTCGCCAATGGCAATGGCCACGTGGATGGCAACAATGGTATTCACAAGATCAACGGTCACGAACCCCGCCCTCAGAATAGCACAGACGTCGTCACATCACAGTTTCTACTCGAACAGTCACAGAAGATTGCGTCTGGCGGCGGTTCAGGCTCCTCAAAGCAGCCAAACATCTTGTACATTATGGCTGATCAGATGACTGCGCCGCTCCTCAAGATGAACAACCCAAATTCCGTCATCAAGACACCAAACCTCGACAAGCTTGCAGAGACAGGCGTCGTATTCTCTAGTGCCTACTGTAACTCTCCTCTTTGCGCGCCTTCGAGGTTCACCATGTGCACGGGACAGCTGCCTTCCAAGATTGGTGGCTACGACAATGCTTCTATCCTCGCACCTGAAGTGCCGACTTACGCACATTACCTCCGAGCTGAAGGCTACGAGACCGCGCTCGCTGGGAAGATGCATTTCATTGGACCTGACCAGCTTCACGGTTTTGAGCACAGGCAAGTCACGTCGCCTAACAGATCGACTACGTCTAACGGAGAGGTAGACTTACCACAGATATCTATCCTGCTGACCTGGGATGGTCAGTGAACTGGGACAAGCCTGAGGAGCGACAGGAGTGGTTCCACAACATGTCTTCGGTTATGCAAGCCGGCCCTACTGTGCGAACCAACCAGCTGGACTACGATGAGGAAGTCATGTTCAAGGTGAGCAGGCTTACGAATGCACTGGCTGAATTCATCAACTTACTCCATCTGCCAGTCCTCTCAGTTCCTCCACGAGTACGTGCGCGAGCCGGCTGAGACACGTCGTCCATTTGCTCTTACCGTATCTCTGACGCACCCTCATGACCCTTACGCTATGCTTCGAAAGTACTGGGATCTCTACGAAGATGTTGACATACCTCTTCCTGAGAATGAGATTCCTCAAGAACAGCAGGATCCACACTCCCAACGCATCATGAAGTGCATCGACCTTTGGAACAATCCATGTCCTGATGAAGCGAAGCTGCGCGCTCGTCGTGCTTACTTTGCCGAGTGCAGCTTTGTTGACGACCAGGTCGGCAAACTCGTGCAGATTCTCAGGGACTCTTACCTCGACCAAGACACCGTCATTGTCTTTTCAGGTGACCACGGCGATATGCTCGGTGACCGAGGCCTCTGGTACAAGATGTCCTGGTTCGAGAATAGCGCACGAGTGCCCATGCTCATCAACTACCCCTCAAAGTTCAAGCCGAAGCGTGTGACAGAGTCGGTGTCTACCATGGACCTCCTTCCCACGTTCATTGACCTTGCTGGAGGAGATGCGTCAGCCATCCTACCCATCGACGGTGACAGTCTGTACGACTACCTAGTCTCGGATAAGCCCGGCAAGGACGAGGTCTTTGGTGAGTACATGGGCGAAAGCACCGTTACCCCCACATACATGATTCGTCGTCACCAGTGGAAGTACACTTGCTCTTTGGTCGATCCGCCGCAGCTGTTCGACCTTGTCAGCGACCCCAAGGAGCTCAATAACCTTGCTGTCTCTGACAAGCCACATCACCAAGAGGTGTTGGACAAGTTCGATGCTGAGGCTCGCGCCAAGTGGGACTTCCAGCAGATTCACCTAGACGCGCTCAAGAGCCAACGCTATCGCCGAACCTGCTGGAAAGCGCTGCAGCTCGGCCGCAAGGAGCACTGGGACTACGAGCCTCCTGCCTCCGGCAGGGACAAGTTCATCCGTTCCCATATCCCACTGGACGACCTTGAGCTCCGAGCTAGGTTCCCTGTCGTCGACCAACTTGGTCGCGAGCAATCCGCAACTGCATCTCACCACGGTCTCGCTGGTGCCCGCGGCGAGTAAGTCAAGTGCATCGCCATGCCCAACCTTTCTCTTGTTCACCTACTTTTTGCTTCATTCGCAGCCCTTCAGCGATTCATGATGATGATTTTACGACTTCAACGGCGTTAAGATTTGGAGATATAACAGCACGCGATGCATAGCGATCTTCAAAGCATGAGTAAAACTGCGGTGGAACCACTTTGTACAAATGTATAGTAGCTATAATAAAAAACCGACAAAACCTAATAAAACTTGATGAGTCGGGATCGAGTAATGTTCACCGTGAGATGGGACCAGCATGACGAACGCGCCCTTTGTGATCGCAATCGCCACGTGACTCACTATCGCCGCCAACCGTTGTCGCTCACCTGCAGCCGTTCCAACTCCGCATCATCACCTTGATTCCCTGCTGTACCCTCTGCGTACCGACTCACCGGTTCACCTGACCTTGGCGACCTCGTACCTTGGATCTCAAAGCATCATGTCCACCGCAGCACGCCGCCGCTTGATGCGTGACTTCAAGGTACGCCACCATGACGCGGAGCTAGCTGCGACCTCAGCGAGAGCCTTGACGAAGGTCCCAAGCTAACAGAACTCAGCGCATGCAAACTGATCCTCCTGCTGGTGTATCCGCCTCTCCTATAGCCGACAATGTTATGACTTGGTACGATTCACTGCAACCCGCCCCGCACGCGACACCTGGACCCCTCGGTCTGCATTGCCCTTGAGCTCCTGAATATCACAACCACGACCCTATGCTTTCTGGAAACAGGCTTGCTAACTGTCGAGCAGGAACGCGGTCATCATAGGTCCCGCCGACACACCGTTCGAAGATGGCACCTTTCGCCTCGTCATGCATTTCGAAGAAGCTTACCCGAACAAGCCCCCTGGCGTGAAGTTCATCAGTCAGATGTTCCACCCGAATGTATACGGCACAGGCGAGCTATGCTTGGACATCCTTCAGAACAGGTGGTCACCGACGTACGACGTGGCAGCTATCTTGACAAGTATTCAGAGGTATGAAAGTAGCCTTGGACAATATAGCGGAACGAAGAGCGGGACTGACAAGCTGCAGTCTATTGAACGACCCTAACACATCTTCGCCGGCAAACGTAGAAGCGTCCAATCTGTACAAAGAGAACCGGAAAGAGTACACAAAGCGCGTGCGGGAGACAGTCGAGAAGAGCTGGGATGACTGATCTTGCGTGGACGGACAATGACATGTTAACATGATACGCATGGACAGGGAGTTTATATGGACCGGCATCGGTTGGAATGAGTTTTGGAGTTTGTAGGCGTCGGCATAAGGTCTATTACAGCGAGGCGTTTTGGGCTACTGCAACTCTACCTTGTGGCAGACTCATAATCGAATTGGATCCTCTTCTATTGGTGCATTACCCAGCATATTGGGCAGACTTGCACGAGCATATATTTAGCAACATCGGCCACGTAGTAAGGGGCGTTGGAGCTGGTCCCATGGTAACTATCATTCTAGCCACCAGGAAACACCGCAAGAGAACTGTCGCAAGCATGTTCGCCTATCTGAATGAGGCTGCGTCAGGCCGTTAGTGCACCGCCCTTCGGCGCGGAGGGGAAGGCGCTAGCGCAGGTCGTCCGTCAACTGTCCGAAGCCTGGCCTGCACCTCGAACCGGACCCTGGCCGCACGCAACAACTCTAGACACGCATCTTTTGCTGTTCTTCTGCACGAGCATCTACTGGTCGCCGTCGCAAGGTGTACTAGCAGCGCTACTCGCTGGCTCCAGGTACCCACGGCCGGCGTTGCTCGGGACCTTTGATTTGTTTTCCCCTAAACGGCGGCGGGGGTAATTGCGCTCTTCCACCGCGCGCCAGATCCCCACAAGACGTGACGGTACCACAACAGCACCTCCCGCTGGGCCTGCAGCCGCCATTTCTCTTTCTCACCGAGAGGCGCAGGTAAAGTGAGGCCGTGGGGCCGAGACACTGCGAACCCTCGCAAATATGGCGTAAGTCTGTCCCAAGAATGCGGTGAGCGATGAGCATGGGCTAATTTAACAATGCAGGAGCAACACCATCAAAGGTACGTCACGACACGAACAGCGAGCACAGAAGAAGAAACGAGTGACTGACGGTGGGACAATGCAGTGGTGGCGCGTTTCCGCCCGCAGAACAAGATCGAGATTGCCAGCGGTGGTGAGCCCATTGTTGACTTTAAGGCTGACGACACATGCTCGATCAACGTACGTCTAGGTCTGCGGTGGTGCAGGCATTCATGCCTACGGACAGCTGGCTGATTGACATGCGTACAGTCCAAAGAGGCCTCGGGGGCCTTTACCTTCGATCGAGTCTTTGACATGAGCTCGCGCCAAGTTGACGTCTTCGACTACTCTATCCGACCGACCGTCGACGACATTCTCAATGGATACAACGGCACAGTCTTTGCTTACGGGCAGACAGGCGCGGGCAAGTCCTACACGATGATGGGAAGCGACATCGACGACGACGCAGGCAAGGGTGTCATTCCACGTATCGTCGAGCAGATTTTCGCAAGCATCCTAGCCTCTCCCAGTAACATCGAATACACCGTTCGAGTGAGCTACATGGAAATCTACATGGAGCGCATTCGCGATCTGCTCGTACCACAGAACGACAACTTGGCTGTGCACGAAGAGAAGAACAGGGGTGTCTACGTCAAGGGCCTTCTGGAGGTCTATGTCTCGAGTGTTGATGAAGTCTACGAGGTCTTGCGAAGAGGTGGTCAGTCGCGAGCCGTCTCCGCTACCAACATGAACGCCGAATCATCACGTTCGCATTCGATCCTCGTCGTCACAGTCACCCAGAAGAACGTCGAAACAGGGTCGATGAAGAGCGGTCAGTTGTTCTTGGTCGATCTGGCTGGATCAGAAAAGGTCGGTAAAACAGGTGCGAGTGGTCAGACCCTCGAAGAGGCGAAGAAGATCAATAAGAGTTTGAGTGCGCTGGGCATGGTTATCAACTCTTTGACGGACTCGAAAGCCTCCCACGTTCCCTACCGCGACTCGAAACTCACCCGTATCCTGCAAGAATCTCTCGGAGGTAATTCGAGGACGACCCTGATCATCAATTGTTCGCCAAGTAGTTACAACGATGTGGAAACCCTCAGCACTCTGCGATTCGGTATGCGAGCGAAAACGATTAAGAACAAGGCTAAAGTCAACGCTGAGCTCAGCCCGGCGGAACTCAAGGCTATGCTCAAGAAGGCACAGAGTCAGATCACAACCTTTGAGACTTACATCGGGTCATTGGAGGGTGAGGTCCAGATTTGGCGTGGTGGAGAGTCGGTCCCTAAAGAAAGGTGGACACCTGCAATCGAGGGTGGCACAACCTCTACAAGCAAAAGACCAGCATCATCAGCCCGCGCACAGACACCATCACGATTCGATGCCACAAGGAACTCTGAGACACCATCGAGACCGGACTCACGCATGGATCTGGACCGCGCAGGCACACCTAACATACCCTTGGACAAGGATGAGAAGGATGAGTTCCTGAGGAGAGAAAACGAGCTTCAAGACCAAGTTGCCGAAAGGGAGTCGCAGCTTGCTAAGGCCGAGGACCAGCTCAAGACCGCCAAAGAGGAGCTTCAGTACTACAAATCCAAGGACAGCGAGTCAACCAAAGCGCACGAGAAGATGACGACCGAGCTCAATGACATGAGGATGACAGTCGAGAGGATCCAGTTCGAGGGCAAGGAGGCTCAGATTACAATGGATGGGCTGAAGGAAGCCAACTCTGAGTTAACGATGGAACTGGATGAAATCAAGCAGCAACTTCTGGACGCAAAGATGAACGCTAAGGAGTCGAGTGCTGCAATTGACGAGAAGAAGAAAAAGAAGGCCGAGGCGATGGCACAGATGATGGCTGGCTTCGACCTGGGTGATGAGGTCTTCAGCGAGAATGAACGCAGCATTCGCAAGATCATCGAACAACTCGACCAGCTGCACGAGATGAGTTCAGCTGGGGAGGCGATCGCTCCGGATTCTCTGCAAGAGCTCAGGGAGAGAATAGTTGAGACTCAGGGCATCGTCCGACAGGCAGAGCTCTCGCTCACAGCACGCAACGAAGACGACAACGTGCACAACAAGCGACGTGAGGCTTTCGAGGCACGCAACGCTGCTCTGCAACGTTCGTACGAAGAGCTTCTTGAAAGCAACCTGTCTGAGGCAGACACTGAAGAGCTCAAGTCTCGTCTCGCAGATGCTTATGCTGCTCGTCAGGACGGCAACGTCGAGCTTGTCGATGACCTGAAGGTAGACCTTGCCCGCAGAGTGGAAGAGAACCAGAAGTACAAGAACGAGATCGAGGGCCTGCAGCAGCGAATCAAGAGCGGCGCAATCGCGAACGGTGTTGCCAATGGTATCAATGGCAAGTCGGTCCAGCAGCAGATCGCTGAGTTCGACAATATGAAGAAGAGCCTGATGCGCGATCTCCAAAACAGGTGTGAGCGGGTAAGTATTGTCAGCGCTGCGATACTCTTCATCTTGCTCGTGTGAAGGTAGGCTAACCCCTCATCCTACAGGTCGTTGAACTCGAAATCTCTCTCGATGAGACACGCGAGCAGTATAACAACGTGCTCCGCACATCCAATAACCGCGCCCAGCAGAAGAAGATGATGTTTCTTGAGCGTAACCTAGAGCAGCTCACCGTTGTGCAGAGGCAGCTTGTCGAGCAAAACAGTTCCCTGAAGAAGGAGGTCGCTATCGCTGAGCGCAAGCTGATCGCACGTAACGAACGTATCCAGTCGTTGGAGAGCTTGCTGCAAGACAGCCAGGAGAAGCTGACAGCAGCAAACCACCGGTATGTCCTCCCTATGTGCCACCTAGAGCACACAGTAACATCACACAGCTTCGAATCGCAACTCACAGCCGTCAAAGAGCGCCTCGAGGCGGCAAAAGCCGGCTCAACACGAGGATTGGGCTCACCCAACGCCGGTGCATCATTCGCGTTCGGCGGTGGTGTAGGGTCTCGCATTGCGAAGCCCCTTCGTGGCGGAGGCGGAGATGGTCCAGGCCTACCCATCATCGGCAGCCTCCAGAAGGATGGCGAGGTCGAGCCCAAGAACAAGCGCACAAGCTGGTTCTTCAAGCAAGGATGACTTCCACGTCTCAGATGAGAAGAGCTTTTTGGATACCCGGCATTTGATGGCTTTTGGTTTGGTACCGCATCTTCACGACGGCGTTCGATTGTTGGAAGCATGGAATGATAGATAGATGGGTGAGCCTATTCCTGCGCCCTGACGACGTGAACGAGGCACGATGGTCGTTCTGATGTCCAAGGATGAGGAATTTGACTCCGTGGAGCACCTGTGCGATTATACCATAGATCTATTCTATTGTCTTGAACGCCACGCTATGTCGACGACCCACGCCCTGCTCTGCTTCATACATGATGCGATTACCGTGTTGCTCTTTATGAGTGTGGCGTGGAGGCGTTTGCTACACTCTATAGTATAGCTGCTCGTGAAGACCTCGGCCATGGCATCGAGCAGTCAAGATGTAGTAGCCTATTGTGCGGAAAGAAAGCGGGTCAGAGATGAGATGAAGAGCATGGATGACGGTGCTACTGATTGAGTCGCACACATGAAATTGAAGTATGAAGATCATCGTGAGGTAGAATGTTCAGGGATTGTCAAGATTCAGGAGGCATTTGTTGCTCGCGGAGACAGGTTAAACGACTCCCCTGGACATCTGGCGGATGCATCGAGGTTGGGAGATATGATGTTATATATGCCGCAGAGGAATCTCTAGTGTTATCGATATTAGTGCTGCCAACATCATCAGCATCATCATCATCATCATCATCGAGACCAGGGTCTTTTCCAGGGTGTAGCTGCGACTGAATCGCCCCTCAACTCCTCAACAACCTTCACACCCCGCACCATCTTGCAGATACGGAATCTTCCAAACAAAGACCATGTCGCAAAGACTCAATCACAGACAAGCCCCCGTGCAACGTGAGATCAGACGCCCCCACGTTGCTCGGCTGATTGGTGTTCAGCAGAGCCACGCTAGCCGCCGTTGATGGCGCACGTCTCAACGACTTTCACATGCTCACAATCTGACATCTATTCTTCACATGGCAGGGCCAGCGGAGCCTCAGCGCGGCATTGCGAGATGTTCTCGTCAACCATGCAGCGGCTGATGAGCCTGACTTTCTTCCAAAGGATTCCACTCCAACATGTGTGACTTACCTTTCGTCTTCACATCCGCTTGCGGTCCTCAATTGTCTCGTGCAAGATAGCAACAACGCAACCCTGCAATCGGTCCTGATAGATAAGCAGAGCAGCATGCAGCAACACGACCGGATTGTCGCCCTCGACATAGACCCGGACGCAGCCACGCTTGTCGATACGACGGAGCTGAAGAACGCTCGTACCAGCATGTTTTATCAAGTCCTCCCGACCATGGTGTCGAGCCACCTGCCTACGATCCCCTCAATCCGCCGCTCAATAGGTGAGATACGCGACCGACGACTGCACAGCAAGACAAACTCCACAAGCGAACTGCCGCAGCCTGAATCGCCACCACCTGGCTACACCTCGAGACCTAGCAGTGGCAGCGTAACACCCAACAGGCGGTCTCGTGTCGTTGGCGATGCGGATCTGGACTTTCCAGACGATGTCTCCGAAAGACCAGGCAGTTCTATGAGTTCAAATCCCCCACCGTTTTCTGCATACGAGACGAGGACTGGCATCAACTGGAAGTACGCCGGTCAAGGTACGAATCCACTATGTCACGAGAGATATACGCGTGCTTACCGCTCACAGGAGTCAACCTCATGACATTGGCACATCGAGAATCCAGCATACCCAACTACGGCATCGACGACACATCATCTGTCCTTACCAGACAGCTGTACCTGCATGGAATGACCTACCTTCTTCGTGGCCTTCCGTCAGACCTCACACCAGAGGAACTGCTGAGCTTACAAGCCGCCGCGCCGCAAAGTCTGGTCAACGCACAGGCGGATGCTGCAGGCCATGCGCTTATCCCACGTTCGGCACAGAACCGAGTCGCGCGGGACATGCCACCGCAAGATCCTTCCATACTGCACCGGATGACCGCCAGCCTCGTTCTGCAAACCTTCGTCTTTATTCAATTCCTCCTACCGTACATTAAGGTCTTCCTTGCGCACGCATACCAATTCGAGCGCGAACATCAGATCACGAGACGAATTGTCAACGGCAGCATCACCACAGTCGACGACATTGGGCGGAGGAGCCTTCACCTGTCACAGACCATCTGCCAACTGAACGATGGAAAGGTCGGTCAAGCGATCAATGAGATGACCATTTGGTGGGTTCGAGGCGTGACGGGCGGGATGCAGCAGGGTTTCGAGGAGGGTCTGAACCGGGAGCGGAGGGTTCGTGAGAAGAGCAAGGTGGCAAGAATCGAGTAGGAGTATGGTTTTGAAGCATTGTGGGCGTGGTGGGATGGAAATTCTTCGGCGTCTAGCATTTACTTAGCGAGCATTGCATATACTGAATAGAACTTGTTAATTTGACATTTCTCGAGATGACAATTGGGGGCATTCGATGATGCGTAGGTTGCTATCTTAGCGGCGTTTTAGCGTGGAAGTCGCGTTAGGGGTCGCGACTTCCGTCCGTGCGCTCGAAAAAGTCGAGTTCCGCTGGGCACCATCATAAGTCTTTCATCGCTCATTTGCCTTTGACACTGAGGCGCCTCTCATTCAGACGCCCTTCTCCATTACAGTACATTAACCCTTTATTCTGCGATACCCTTCAGACGCTCTCGACTTAGCGGCGAACCTCCGCAACACCTCATCTACCATGTTTGGCGCATTTAGAAGATGTCCGACAATATTGTCGAAGAGCATCTCCAGGGTCGCTGTTTCTTCAAACATCCTTCGCACTCCTCTCACACGCACATCGGCCGTTCTCAGGATACCGTCCACACGCATCAGTAATGTCTGCGTCGCCGGTTTCCACAGCAGCGCAAAGTGGCAACAGGTTGTGCAAGAGGTCGAGGCGGAGCAGGCGATTGCTGAGGAGGGCCCTGCTACGACCTTCTCAGAGCTCGCTACCCGTGGACTTGTGCATCCCAATCTCATCAACACCATTACCAAGAAGATGAAGATTGAGACCATGACCGATGTCCAGCAGAGGACCATCAACGAGGCGCTCAGCGGCGTCGACATGTAAGACAGCATCTCCGTACAATGTAGAGCCATCGTCTAACAGATCGCAGCATCGCACAGGCTAAGACCGGTACCGGTAAAACACTCGGTTTTCTCGTCCCCGTCATTCAGCGCATCATCACACGCGACCCCAAGCTCGGCGAGAAGATCCGCGGCTACAAGCGGGCCAAGTCCGACGACATCAGGGCTATCATCATCTCTCCCACCCGCGAGCTCGCGGAGCAGATCGCCGTCGAGGCGAAGAAGATTACTGAGAGCACGGGCCTTATCGTCCAGGCGGCCGTTGGAGGAACAATGAAGCGCCAAATGCTCCAGAAGACCCAGCGCGAGGGCTGCCACATTCTCATTGGTACTCCTGGACGTCTCTTCGATATTCTCTCAGACCCATACTCCGGTGTCAAGGCACCTGCTCTGAACGCTCTTGTCATGGACGAGGCTGATCGCCTGCTCGACGATGGTTTCACCAAAGAGATTGACGAAATTAAGCAGCACTTGCCTGACCCACAAGAGGTCGAGCGCCAGAACCTCATGTTCTCCGCCACCGTTCCCCGCGATGTCGTCGATCTCGTCCGCCGCACTCTTCGCCCCGGCTTCCACTTCGCCAAGTGCGTCAGCGAGGATGAGGAGCCCACACACGCCCGTGTTCCTCAGAAGCAGGTCTCCCTTGCCGGTTTCGAGAACATTATTCCTTCTCTCTATGAGCTCTTCCTTAAGGAGTCGCAGGAGGCCATGGTTAGCGGTGAGCGCCCCTTCAAGGCCATTGTCTACTTCAACTCCACTGCCGAAGTCACACTTGCCGCATCCGTCTTCTACAAGCTCGGTGGTGGTTTCAAGAAGAAGACTCCTCTGTCTGGCATCCGCAACTTCGAGATTCACTCCAAGCTCTCCCAGGCCCAGCGTACCCGCGCCGCTGACGACTTCCGCACATGCAAGTCTGGTATCCTCTTCTCGTCCGACGTCACAGCCCGTGGAATGGATTTCCCCAATGTCACCCACGTCATCCAGATCGGTCTGCCCCGCGACCGCGAGTCCTACATCCACCGTCTCGGTCGTACCGGTCGTGCCGGTAAGGAGGGTGAGGGCTGGTTGTTTGTCACACCTTTCGAGAACGGCGAGATTCGCCGCCGTCTCCGTGGTCTGCCTCTAAAGGAGGCCACATCCGACCTTGAGGCCGCTCAGATCGATATGAGCCAATCCGCAGAGGTCCCTGAGAACATCGGCCAGATCCTCCAGGACTGCGTCGAGGCGCATAAGAAGGTGTACCCTGATCAGCTTGATGCTGCGTTCCGTGGTCTCTTCGGTAGCTTCCAATGGTACGGCGATAAGCAGGGTCTGCTTGATGGCGCGAACAGGCTTGCTGAGTTCGGTTGGGGTATGCCCACTCCTCCCCAGCCTCCTGCGTCTCTGTTTTCTGGCGGCCGTGGTCGTGGTGGCGGTGGTCGCTCTAGTGGCGGGGGTCGCTCTGGTGGCTTCGGCGGCTCTCGCGACGGCGGCTCTCGCGAAGGTGGCCGCTCCGGCGGTGGTTTCGGCGGCCGTGATGGTGGTCGTGGAGGCTTCGGCGGCAGCGACAGGCGAGGTGGTGACCGTGGCGGCTTTAGTGGCCGTGATGGTGGCCGTGATGGCGGTCGTGGAGGAGGTTTCGGCGGTGACCGAAGGGGAGGAGACCGTGGCTTTGGTGGCCGTGGTGGTGACCGCGGTGGTGACCGCGGCGGCGACCGCGGCGGCGAGAGGAGAGCGCCTCGCCAGGAATTTGACTTCTAGGCCTTTCAACGTTCGGGAGGGGGCCAGACTGTGAGTTGACAGCCGATGTTTGTATACTACTTCGCTTCTCCGAGGCGAACCAACGCCTTGATGGGCGGCACTTTACTTCACGAAGCGCCACGCACTTCACTGTACCATATGTATACCCGTGGGCTGTCTTGATAGAATGGGGGGATCTGGGTTTAGCATTGGGCGGCGTTCAGGCATTGTGAGCGACAAAAGCTTCTTCGACATCTCCATTCACCTTCGGAGTTAGAATCAACCATGTGGTAGGATGTAATGTACGATGATATGTGTATTGACTACTCAAGTTTCCCGAACCTCGTACCATCTCACTACAGTGAAACCCTCAGGGCAATCGTACTGGACTCGACAGACACGCATGCCGGCGCCGGCGTCAGTCTGCCCTGGCTTGGCCTAAGCAGAAAGCCAGGAATAAGCCAGCATAGCCAATAGTAATACAGATCTGTGTTCCCTAGTCAGCTACTCATGCTGGTTCCTGCGAATGCTCCAGCCACGGCTGCACGTGGCAGAGCGTGGGCAGCCATCTGATGTGGGGTAGGAGGAGGTCGAGATGGATCCAATCGAGGGATTAACTATTACAGTGCAGATCTATCTATGGTTCAGGAGACTACGATGGCAGGAGCAACTCAAGCTCACCAAAACTCTCTGATCTAGATCGCACAGACTTTACTGATCTCTTCTCGATCTCCTCTCGATCTCCGTCACGAAATGATGAGGGATAGTTGTTGCAGAGGCCACGGTGGATACGGATATCGAGCTGGTGTGTCATCACCGAAGACCTCCAGGTTCATCAATCAGCAATCTCAGTCTCGTAAGTAAGATCGTCCGTGTTGTAAGAATCTTGGGAACTGGGTCGTCTGCTTGGGTCTGCTCCGGTCCAGTTTCGTCTGGACAAGAGCAAGATGGTGGTTGTCAAGGCTGGTCCAGCTCAATGGGATCTAATATGGTCCTGTCTATCATAACCTCATGTATGAGAGGTAATTCGACAAGAGTATGATCATGATATGCGCACAAGTGTGAGTCTGCCTTGATAAGTCGATTGTGGAGTGAGGAGGTATTCACCTCACCGTATCTCAACAATCTACTGCGTTGGAGGTGCACAAACATGACACAGCGAGATGCGACCGGATCAAATATCATAGCCCGCAGCTGGGTGTGACATGATATTTCTCAATCTTGTTGACCTTCTCCAGGCTTTGATCTGAAGTGAGGCAGAAGGAGCAGGCTGACCTGACTTTCAGTCGATTCTACAAACAGATGCGATGCGTGATCGTCATGCTTATACAATCCATGATCCAGGAGATATTCGTAAGTCGTGAATGTTGTACTCAGCCAAGCCGGAGCAGGTCTTGTGTTCTCGATATAGCCGGAGTCCTAGCTGTCTCGGTACGCAGTCAGACCATGTGCATAACGAAACTGCATTACAGCCGTACCAGCAACTGTATTATCATCACGACTGGCTGCAGCTTGAGGTCTCAAAGGGATTGATGAGGTACCAAGGTTTCAGGTAGCGTTACTGATATACTTTCTTGTGTAGCGTTCGCCCCTACACCCTTTCGACGTTTCCTTCGCCACGATAGCAACTTCTACATTGACCTGACCTTAGTACTTAGTAGTGAAGCTTATACTTCCCCAAGCGGCCGATGGTGGGACAGGGAGAGCGATCTCGTGCTCTGTCACTTTTTGCCTGACGTCTCGAAACACCGTTCCGGTCGTACCGGCTGCTCTTTCCACGGCTTCTAAGGTTGGTATCCGCCGTCCTCAGCACCGAGTATGCAGAGTTTAGAGATCGCTCACGTTGAGCTGGTAACGGCGAGCTGTGCTTGTGATCTGAATAAGTCAGTACGATGCTTCGATATCCAAGGTCGAGATGCGTCAGTGGTCTGGAGGGACAACCTACCACGAGGTGAATGTCGATGGGATTTCGAAATCCGACTATCTAAGACTCTGCTAGAATGTGAGGCGGCCGTTTGGCGTGCGACTTTAGACTTTTGGTGCGTAGCCTCCCTCTCGAGCTCATGAGATGGAGTCGACTGGGAGGCAAAGTCGAAGGCCGAACTGCGCTCAGGCGGCGATGATGGTTTGGTATGTGGTGGCGTCCCAAACCTCGTGACGTTGTGGTGATCTTGATAATCGTCCTGGTAGTGGTCTTGAGGATGGCCGCAGCTGCCACCTTCCATACCTTTAGTGCTTGGTCGCGGTACATCCTGGAGGTAGCCACCCTCAGCAACAAATTCCTGAGGTGCTATGGGCTTGTAGATCTTGCCATCCTCGTCTTGGGCATAAGTACCGTCTCGCAGAAGCTCCAACTCGCACTTCTGTTCGTACCTGACGATGGCCCGCTGAACACGCTCACAGAGTTGCTTCGTGAAATTTACTTCCCGCTTGATGTGCATCATCATATTCTTGTCCTGGTCTCCTTGTTGCGCGACAACACGTTGCCAGCGTTTCAGAGCGAAGATGTCACGATGGAGGGTTTTGCCAACGTCGCGAATGCGGGCGATGTCTCCTGGTGTCCAGCGTTGGCCACCTTCAGCATCTCGCTCATAGTTCATGACCAGGTCATAGCCACGAGCTGTGCGTCTGATGAGTTCGTCGATAGATGTATGCCAGATCTGAGGGAGTCGCTCGTCCTCTGGCGTCTCAGCCCATGGAAGGTCTTCGTTTGGCGTGAAAGGTCTGGCTTGGTGGAAATGACGCAATACCACTGGCATTAGATTGGGATTCTTGAAGGTCTGAACAGGCGGCTCTGGGGTTGCATGCGTGGAATGGGGTGTCATGCGCTGACAGAAGTTCAAATACTGCCTGGTACTAGGATGCGGTATGCGTGCATGTGAAGATCGCTCGGGACGCTCTGGCGGAGCAGGCGACTGCTGTGGCTGAGGATGTCCAGTTTGAGGAGAGAGAGCACCGTCTGAAGGCCGCCATGAGTTGCTGCATCGAGGTCCACGTCGAGCTTCACGTGCCATGTTTGTGACTGAGGGCAGTGTGCTTCTAGTGATACGGTGAGTAATGAGAGTGGAGTGGTAGAGACAGTGGTATTGATAGGTGGAGGGTGTCCAAGTAGGTGACGGCGGTTATCCGTGGTGAAGTGAAAGTCAGTTGTGGAACAATCGGGCGGCGTACGGCGATTTGCACGCGGTCACCAATGCAGTGTCTGGCGAGTCTCCGGACTCCATGCAGACATGAAGCATTGCGACTCAAGGTACTGTAGATTCATGGTTACCTCCATCAGCCTCCATGTTTTCGACTGTCTAGAGGGCAAGCCTGTGCATGAAGAGGATGGCGCCTTCGTGTCAGGTAAAGCACTCGCGCTCTATAGCAAATGTCTGACATAAGGTGTGCAGACAGTGATATATCCATCGTGTTGTGCAGCGTTGAGATGCTGGGCTAATGTGAGGCCATTGATCATGGTAGGTGTGGATGGTGAGGTTGATCACCGCGCGAGGCAGGAACGAGGAGCCAGCAACGACATCATCACATCTCATGCTAGATATCCCTACCAAATCCTACACGAGGGCTCAAGTGCAGGTGTCGGTGACTATTGTGGATTAATTCGGTAACCGAGACGGGTGGTGTGGGCATCTTGCGCCTGCACCTAGTCTCAGATCACCTGCATCTTCCAGGGGGCACGATGTTTTCTTCTGCAGTGGTGGTGACATGGGGAACACAGGTGCTGGCCGCGAGAGCCTGGAAGTCCCCTGATGTCGTCCATGCCATGACTCTGTCCATGGATGTTTGCTAGGAACGGGCTTCAATAACAATCAATGCAATGTTGGCACAAACACGGCCCCGGAGAACAATGCATGTTAGCTGTTTTGGTCATGTTTACGCGAAGGGGTGACCTGGAAACCACGATCGTGCGCGGCTAAGCGCGAACGGGTCCCTCATGTCTGATGCCAGTCACAACAACACACACCTCCTCCCGGTCCAATAACCGCAGACGCTGCCTCACAACGCGCCGTCGTTCGCTCAATTGCGTCTTACTAAAACTCCAGTCGAGTCCCAAGGCGCAAGCAGCCCTGCCATGGATGCAGCGCGCTGCTGAAGGATCCTCGACGTGCTTGTTACGTCGCGTCGTGTGTGAGCTTGCCAAACTCAGACCTTCCCGCCCCACCTATCGGTCTCGCTACCAGCACCACTCACGCGCCCAACCACCCGCTACAAACCACCACGCATGGCCGCAGTCGCTGTGCCGCAGTCTCCTCGGGTCTCTGCAAACATGGCTAATCGACGCGTGCCGCTGGCCAGTTTGCAGAATGCCACCAACTCACCGATACGCGCTCCCGCAGCTACTGGAGTAAAGCGCCAACGCTCGCACGCGAGCGAGCAGCGCGACATGCCCTACGGCCAGCCCCCACCGAAGAAGCAGATGATCGAGGTCGACGATGCTGAAGCTCGCCGCCATGGGCTTGTCCGCCGCAGTAATGCCCCAACCACAGCCTTGACCAGGAAGCTCGAAGCTGCCCGCGAGAACAAAGCACCGCCCAAGCAAGTCGAGAAAGCTCAGCGAGTTACGAATGACCTCGAGACTATCCGGCAATGGCAGAGACACTACCGCAAGCTCTTCCCGCAGTTCGTCTTCTACTTCGACAGCGTCCAGGAGCCCCAGAAGGATAAGCTCATGAGCAGAGCTCAGATCCTTGGCTCAGTACGTCAGACCTGTCCAACCAAACTCCCTACGCACTAACAATATTGCAGCGCGAGGTCACTTTCTTCTCTCGTGAAGCTACCCATGTCATCACGACGCGTCCCATACCCGCCGAGCTCGACACCAGCTCATCATCCCTTGCCAAGGGTACTGTCAACCCAGCCCAGTTGGAGAACAAGAAGTCTGTCTTCGACACCGCACTGTCGAAGTCGGGTCAGTCGGGTCGCGGCGACATCTTGATCAAGGCCAGGGAGCTGGGAATGAAGATATGGTCGGTGGAAAAGCTCCAGCGCATGGTGGACACCATGTTCAGCAAAGAGGCAGGAGAGGACATTCAATACACGACGCGTCATGGCACTGTGGCTGGACAGAAGGGTCGTCAGGCAGATCTGCAAAGGCTGTTGCAGAACGAGAAGTTGGATCGAGATTATGTCATTGGGGCTCAGGACATGGTCCAGCTACGCGGCTACTACGTGTACGTGCACGACATGGACGAGGCTACGCGACCTGTCATGATTCGGGAGTATCAGAAGGTCGAGAAAGAGAAGGGCAAGTGGCCGCAGTTCCGTGCGTCTGGCAATGGCAAATGTCCGTTCGTGGAGGACCCGCACTTTGGTCGTCGCCAGCAGGAAGAACACGAGGAGCGCCGTGCACAGAGAGCGTTGGCAGCAGCCCCTCGTACGCGTGCCGCGTCAGCCATGGAGGAGAAGCGTGCGTTGGGCGAGAATAACAACCTCGCCCGGCGCGAGACTGCCCCTGCTTTGGTCAAGAAAGAGGAGCCCGAAGATGACGCGAAACCTCTGGATCCACCCAAAGGCATGCCGCTGAAGCGTACTTCTACCGAAGGCCCTCCACCTATGTTCGGCAGTGCTCAGGCCAGCATAAGAGCGATGCCTCGCTTTATTGGAGGAGAGCCTGTAGCATCTGGCCTGCACCAGTCCAACATGACTTCTGCTATTCAGTCCCAGATGATCTCGTCGACTGCAGCCGCGCCTCGTGCCGGTAACAGCAAGGAGGTCAACCAGCTGCAGAGAAAAGTTTTGGAAAAAAACAGTGTCACATCGGCCAACAGTGGGTACTCATCGGTCATGAATGATGTGCGCGGTCCTCTCAACCAAGATCACACTCAGCCGATGCGCGCTGCTAAGCGTAAGGCTCAAGAAAGTCTCAGCCAAGCCCAAGAGATTGCCGAGCAGGAACGGCAAGCCCGCAAGATGGCAGCACTCCGTAAACGCAAGACTGTTGAGAAGGAGCTGAAGGCTGGCTACTGCGAGAATTGCAGGGAGAAGTTCGGCGATTTTGACGAGGTATGCAAGCCCTGTCAACTTTTGTATCTCTAGAGCTAACAGCTATGCAGCATTGTGTCTCCCGCAAACACCGAAAGTTTGCCGCTACCAACGAGAACTGGGTCGAGCTTGACGCGCTCCTTAATCAACTCGATCGTCAATGAGCTTTACGCACAGCATACGAATCCATGCATTTTCCACGGCGCCGACGCACGAATAATACCCACGACATAGCTTCTCTACAGACTCTGTTCCCTTCGCTGCGGCCCTCACACGTGAGCCCGCGAACTCTGCGGCTACCTGTTTCATTGTTTTTATTCGCAACTTGCAGCATTTTCGAGGCGTATCTGCACCTTCACCTTGGTGGTTTGGTTTGTCTACTTCGTTTTGGCGGCATTTTTTTTGACTTCTGGAGACTGGCGATGCATCAGTCCTTGTCTATACCATTGCATGCATAGGGCCGTCCTGTATGATCCCTGTGCCAATCACTACCGACTGTTGACCGGCTGGCATATTTGAAGAGCAGTTGCTGACTATTGGTGGTTTGGTGAGTGGCTAGGTGGAAAGGCAAACGAAAACGAATGTCTGCAGCAAGCACGCACATGTACTTGCAAGCCCAACTATGTATCACTATCGTATTAGATATCTAGAGTTGTATCGAATGCGATAAATCATATCGTTGGAAAGAATCTCCCGTTTGAAGCACCATGCGATGGTTGGCCTAGTGGGATGTGATAGGTCGGTATGGTGTTTACACCGACGTGACTTCCTGTGCCGTCACTCCTACAACAATTTGCAAGATTCGCCTTCCACCTGTCTGCCTTTTGCGCGAGCTGAAACCTGGCATCTGTATCAAGCTCACCGTCGCTCTCAGTTTGAACATCGCCCTATTAACGCCCCGTCGCCTTCAGGCTGTTGCCTCACATGTCGCAGTCACCTGCAGAAAGAGCGATCGAAGAAGATGGCAAGACAGAAGCGCCACTCACAATGGCAGCGTCCGTCATTCTGACGCATTTACCACGCGATGCATCGAAAGCTCTCGAGATAGCAGGTAGTTTGCGCGTAGAAAAGAGTAAGCACCGTGCCTCCCTTATACGTGGCACATCGTCTTGCAGCATACTAAATTCGCTGCAGTTACAGTGCGTCTCCAGCCTATCGGCTCAGCACCACATCTGAACCAGAGAGTCTTCAAACTATCCACAAACCAACGTTTCGAAACCATCATGCGATTTCTACGCAAAAGACTAGGTGTGAAGGAGCACGAGAGCGTATTCTGCTATGTTGGCAGCGTCTTTTCGCCAGCGCTTGATGAGGGTGTGGGGAATCTTTGGACGGTAGGGCACCAATACCTGCAATGAGGTGACCGCACCAAGTACTGACGCGCATTGCAGTGTTTCAAACAGAACGAGGAGCTTGTTGTAGGCTATGCAATGTCACCAGCTTTTGGGTAACCTTTCAATTCGATCTAATGCTTGCCTGCGCGATCGCCGCGGCACAAACCCCCATCCTATCCTGACACCAAGCACCAAAATCCAAAACAAGTCGCTACTGACGCAGCAGGGGTATGTGGAAATACAGCAAACCAATCACCAACAACGAAAATGAGGCTCTACTCTTTCTCGTTCACCGCCTTCTCGAACTCCTCAAATACCTCCTTGGGCATGGGATACGTGTGTTCAGGCGCAGGATACGCTCGACTCTTCACCTCCATCTTGTACTGCTCGATACCCTTGAGAGACTCCTCCCAAACGTTTCCGAATTTTTTGACGAACTTGGGTAAGAAACGACCTGGCGGGAAGTTGCCGAGCATGTCGACCTGAACAAGCACCTGGCCTGAGCAGCCATTGCCAGCACCAATGCCGATAGTGGGAATGCCCAGCTTCTTCGTTACCAGCTCAGCAACCTCAGCTGGCACCGCTTCGACGACTGTGGCAAACGCACCTGCCTCCTGGACAGCGAGGGCGTCTTCAAGGAACTTTACCGCTGAGGATTTGGTCTTGCCTTGCACTCGGAAACCACCGAGCGCGTTCTGTCTCTGGGGCGTGAGGCCGATGTGAGCAAGGACCGGGATACCAGCACCTGTAATCTTGGCGATAGTCGGTGCCATATCCTTTCCGCCTTCCAGCTTAACAGCCTTGACGCGGCCTTCCTTGATTACACGAATCGCAGAAGCAAGGGCTTGCTCAGGCGATATCTCGTAGCTGCCCATTGGTAGATCTCCTACCTTCCACATGTCAGTATACTGACGAATGTCCCAGATCACGCGTACATACTGTGAAGGCTCCCTTGGCAGCTCGCGATACTGACTTGCAGTGCAGGATCATCTCATCGAGCAATACTTCACTGGTATCGTCCATACCCATGGCGACCATAGCGAGGCTGTCTCCGACAAGAACTACATCCATGCCGGCGTGATCCGCGACATACGCACTTGGGAAGTCATGTGCGGTGATGACCGTGATGGGTTCCTTCTTACGATACATACTCTGGATGGTGTTGATGGTGACCGGCTTCCGTGTGGTGAGTGTTGCACCCAAGGGCGAATGGGAACTCCAGCGAGCGTTGACAACGGGTATCAATCCTTGCGAAGCTGACACCAACGACGACGGTATCTTGGGTCCACATATTTGCGAAGCTATCCGAAGAGTGTTAATTGTGGCACGCGACATCATCGTTGTTTTGAGGACAATCGAACCCCGGGATTTTTGTGGTGTTGGATTAGACTGCTATGGGTAAGTTTTGGGTGAACAAGTTCAGGGGCGAACAAAAGTCTTATATATATGGCTGTGGTGTGGTGTACACATATCTTCGCTGAAGTCTCTCTCACGATGGACGCTCGGACGTTTTTGTCGGCTTTGTTGGCGCCTCGACGAGTCGGCTCGGGTCGTCTAATTAGTCTTGCACCGTCATTGGCAGTCATGACCGGCTATTCTTCAGCACGACGGTCTCGACAACGGCCTTGCTGCTACGGCTCAAAACCTGGAGTACTGCGTTAGTGAAGAGGCACGTCCGCCGATCCGAGGCCCTGGTCTGCACCGAGGCCTCGGAGGAGCCGCGGCGTTTCGGTGCTGCGATTGGGTCATTGTGTGAGACAAAGCTCTGCGCTTCACAGGATGCACTTCCTGCAAAATGCTCTCTTCAAACGCTATTAATGGTCTCTGGAAAGATCTGCACTGATCATCGATCGCCTTATACCTCGCAGCGTACAATGATCGGAATGTGAGGTTCAACCTTAATATGAGCAGGCCGCAGCGTGTCACCGCCGTCATCCTTGTCCTGTGCAAGACTGCCCTAAGTGTCTCTTTCTGCAGACATCGTTTGCAACAAAGTCAACGCCTGACTCTGATATTGTGTTGTTGGTGTCTGTTTGCATTGGCGTCATTTTTTACGCATGACATGGCTGCGGTGCACGACTTGGCGAGGTCCTGCCGGACTCAGCGGACGTGTACAAGCGCGACTCGCCGATCATGTGCTCGTGACTGCAGCTCAACCCAACCACTCCCCCAAATCTTGTACCCTGCCTCTTGCACTTCATTTCGGCGGCAGTGTTTAGCTACTCCACAAGACCTCAGCCCCCTCCCCGACGTCACCCTGCCAACAAAGCACCGACGTAGCTCCTCTCAACCCCTCACGGCGTTCGCTATCGATAGCCCCGCGAGCACCTCATAGCCCAGACAACCTACGAATCCACGTACTGAACGGCGAAGTCCTGCGCACTTGAACGTCGATACACACGCACACAAGGAGAAGCCGATAAAGAGCCTCATACCGAACGACGTCATCATGAGTTCTCCAAAGAGGCGTATCGAGACAGATGTAGGTTAACACCTATGGAAGGCGCGTCAAGATAAGAGCACAGGCTAACGAGGGCTTTGTGTGTTAACATAGGTTATGAAGTAAGCCTGGAATCGTTCAGGTATGGGGAAATAGCTAACGACGCTACAGGATGTACGTGATAGACACACCTACGCAACGAGACCAGAATCCAGCAACTGATGCATGACAGGCTTATGAGCGACTATGAAGTCACGCTCGTAAACGATAACAGTAAGTCTCGTTGCATGCAATCGATTATATACCGCTGACAACGTGACAGTGTCCGTTCCCTCCCTGCTTCGGCCAACGCCATACCATGACAAGGCTGACACAAAGCAGGCAAGAGTTCTACGTCAGGTTCAAGGGGCCGGAGGACAGTAAGCCAAAAGCCTCCCAATGCGTGAATGCCTACTGAACAGATAGCACCATTCCAAGGAGGGCTCTGGAAGATCCACGTCGAGCTGCCCGACCAATACCCGTACAAGAGCCCCAGCATTGGTTTCGTGAACCGCATCTTCCACCCAAACATCGATGAACTGTGAGCCATGATCTCTATTTCCATTCTCATTGCATCCATTCAATAAGGCTGTTGAACGGTTTTTGACCTGCATACAGGTCCGGCTCGGTCTGTCTAGACGTTATCAATCAGACATGGTCGCCTATGTATGACATGATCAACATCTTCGAGGTGTTCATTCCTCAGCTTCTCCGGTACCCAAATCCGACTGATCCTCTAAATGGTGAAGCGGCCGCGCTTCTCATGCGAGAACCGAAAAGCTACGATGCAAAAGTTAAAGGTATGTATGCTGCGAGCATCAGGCCATGGCAGGTGCTGACCGAAGGCGCAGAATACGTACACAAATATGCCTCGAAAGATATCTCCGAAGACTCTGACAAAGACGACGACGATGACGACGATATGAGCTCAGTCGGCAGCTATGAGTCTGGCGACGATGAAGCAGCTGGCAACATGGACGACATCTAAGTACGTCGGCCATGCTGAGTGTCAGTGTCTTTCCCGTCATCCCTACTTCACGGCTCCAGATTTTATCACATATGGGTGGACGTTCGAGGCGCATGCCGGCGTATACACAGGTTTGCATCATAGTTTCTGGGTATAAGTTTGTCAATAGTTGGTTTGCAGATTTGGGTACGGTTTCTTAGTTTCTCCTTTGCGTTTTACACAGCAGACACTTTTCATATCAAGAACCGAATCGACCTGTAAATGCAGTTTTAGGTCATGGTGAGGAGGAGCCGGCAGACTTTCCCACCTGCTTGTTGTTGCGAACAAGTCAGAATTGGTGCGGTACGACTCAACTCCACTAGGATACTTTCACATGTGCCCCAACTCAATTCAGACATCATCATTACAATCCTTCAATCCTGCCTAGTCTTGGGTTTATGGGTCAGTCAGAAAATTTACTCTTATAGGCGGTTGCATGCATGAGAGATCCTTGCTTGGTTGTTTGCTCACCACCACCAGTCCGTGGAAACAGCGGTATAAGCATAGAAGACATAACCGGAATTTGACATATGCTAACGACAGCCAGGTACAACAAAGTGCTTCATGTGCCGCACACACAACAGAAGTGCAGCTGTACAACATGCACCCTATCGTTGTTGGTTGTATCACCTACAATACCGCTAGCCATGACGGGAGTTGGCCAGCAGCATAGAGGACAAGCGGTGCCTTAAGCAGTAGAGCTGGCACTCCCCTCGACATCCAAACTGTCTTGCCACCTATCCCCATAAACCTTCCGGCTGAACCCTGGCAGTTGCTGCTGCAAAGTCTCCAACTCGAGTAACTACAAACGGTGAAATCAGCAGTGGCGTCATGACGCTCTTCAAACGAATCACGCCTTCACGCTGACTTGCTTTCACTGTGAAAAGATGCCAGCTGCCTGGGCTACCGTGTTATTCTGTCGCGCACCGACGTCCTGCCACCTCTTCTTGTTTGTTTATAAGCAGGTCAGTCCGCAAAACGGTACCAACAGCGGCCGCACCGACTACACACTCAGGAGGCCACCATAGCACGCAGCACACACACAACCGCTACACCCGCCGTAGAGCATTACCGTATTTCGACATAGTCAAGATGGCGCCACACTTCGGGCAAGGGGCTCGACGTTCAGCTCACGACCCCGCCCGTGGAGGTCCACCGCGCAACATCTCACCTGCTGACAACATCCCACTCGGCCGTCCTCAAGGTCCCCGTGCTCCTACCAGACGGGAAGGCAGCCGCGCTGGCGACACTCAACGCAAGCGCGACCGTCGGGAACGCCGCATCGAGCTCAAGGTCGGCCGCAGTCCAAGCCCAATGGTACCCTTGAGGCGTCCTAGCCGTCTCGCGGATCAAGTGGCATACGATCATGGCGGCGAAGAGCACATCTCACGCACCTTCTATGGCGCTCACGATCCACCACCACGTCCTCAGCAGGGCTGCAGTCTTCAAGAACGTGTCACACGCGACAGTGTCTTCGACGAAGACGGTGGACCAGTGCAGTTGCTCTCGCTGTCTAACGGTCATCAAGGTCAAGCCGTAAACACTGACACTGCTACTACATACAACACAGATATGGAAGTCGACGACTTCGCTGATCTCTTCGGCGCTGAAACTCCTCCCCCGCGACCACCGCGGCAACCCATCAGTACTAAGCCTATCCAGTATGACTCCTCTCACAATACTCCCTTCAATCTCCACTTGCACGCCCAGCGTCCTGTGCAACCAGCCACCAGGCGCGAGCCCATCCGCATGGTCAACTCTAGGACGCCGCATAAGCCTGATACTGACGGTCCAGTCCCTGGCATTGGTGCTCAGCCTCCTTCATTACCACTAGCCAACAAGCTTAAGGCCAACAAGCATCCAGTCAACACCTACAAGGGTAACGATCCTATCAAGAGGCGTGTGCAAAACAACTTGTTGCGATGCGTCTTGTCCGGCAAGCCTCCGCCAAAGCCCAGGAAGAAGGCCGACCGCATGGTGCTCAAATGCGCTGGCAGGCAGGAGTTTCGCTAAGTGTGGGATTGCCTTGGTGCTGGCTTGTGTCTAGGTGCAACTTTTTGTTTGAGCGACGACGGGTTTGTACGGGTGTACTTTGCACTGATCAAGGGCAGGGTACCGCAAGGGAATTTGGTTGGCGTTGAGCAGTCGCACTTTTTTTTGGACAATATTCCTGTAGTATCACGACAACACGTATGGAGCGATTATCGTCATCTAGTCAGCGTTCTTCAACCTGAATGCTGGAGGTATTCAAAACACCCAGCTTTGAATATGGTCTCCACGCGTAGCCCTCCTAACTTCTCGACCATAAACAGGAACACTTCCACGATTCCGAGAATCAGTGGAGTCTCGAGCCATTGAATACTTCCAGAGTATCGGGCTGATCTGGATTATATATTCTCTCGCTCTTTAAAATTTCATTGCTCTCCATTCAAGCACAGTACACAAGAAAAGGCACTGAAGTACTTCACACTACAGCGGAAGAAAAAGCGTTTCGCCATTCCTACTATCGCAGCTATACTCCTCACAGCGTCTCGGCTCTTCCCAAGAGTTGTCTACCTTGTGTCGCCCTGTGCAAATACAGCACCGAATGTTGCGAGAAGTCTCCGTACTTCACCGAGTACTCCGCCAGTCCTAAGTGAATCCCAATTTTCCACGCGCTAACTACCCACTGCCTTACACATCGGCGACCACCGCTACGCTACGGCAAGCTTAGTGTGGTATCATTATAGAGATCTTCAAGCCCTCTAGAGATATGGACTCACAATATTCCAGAGCCGCTACATCACCGCCCGAACGTCTACACCTTCGATAAACACACCAACATCCAGAAGAAAATCGACGACGACCACGGTATGCCAAGACCGGGTGAGATTGACGATGAGTACAGCATTGGATCACTTAGGGGTAAATCTCCCCACGCCGTTCCTCCTGCTGGCGTCTTTGTCACTGGCGTCCTTCCGATCGAGGTCGAAGTCACTGTTGCTCCTAGCACCTTGGGAACTTCCTTTACGACTGTTATTACCTTGATGGGTTGATACCTTACTCTGATAATTTAGGTTCCTGTTGACGCGTAGGTAGTGACCTGAGTAGAATTATACTCAGTGGGCTTAAGAAGCGAAGATGCATGGGCTACAGAGCCGTGTGCGCCATGAGTCTCGTCGCTTGTACCGAGATGGGTTGCTTCGACGGCAGCGTAAGTACTGCATTCATCAAGGCTACCGTACATCTTTGAACAGCTCCTCACAGTACGAGCCTGAATCCAAGGTGCAGTCTTGCTCCTCCACCTAGACTGGTCGTGTCTCTGCGGGTGGTCCTTCATAACGCCCTCAAGGCTGCGTCATCATTCTTGCTTCCCTGCGGCAACTAACTTCCAACGCTTGTGACTTCCCATTTTCGAGCTCTAACCTGCTATTATCCTCTCGACCCGAATGCGTAGGATTCTCAAATCGCTGCAGCCGATCACAGCAGATGCCCCAACGCACTTACGAAGCATAGATGCTTCCAAAGGGAGCAATCAGATCTTGGAGGCCTCCGACCGCACAATTATACGGACAGTACCCTTTCTGAAACACGCAAAATCGTCCTCAAGTATCGGATTGAACATGAGCATAACAATGTGCTATTGTATTGCACTGAACGCCACCAGAGCCCGAGCTTTCTTCGGGCATTCGTCGGACCGAGAGCCTTGGCGTGTGGGCCAGCTCCAACTTCTGGAAGTTTCTGCCTAAAGCTCCTTCGTATTTCAACCTGCAAACTTTCAGACACGTCCCTTTTTACGACTTTATATTTGCTCAGCGTCTTGTTTGTAATTCTCGGTTTCTTGCATCACAGCTCTCGGTAAGTTATCTTGCGCACCCCCGCCCCGAATCACAGGATGAGACACCAGCTGGCACCAGTCTGAGAAGACTTGTACTCTTTGCATGCGGATCAGCTTCCCGGTCCACCAGACCACCTCTGATATTTACAATTTCTCCCACTTCAGCAAACACCTGTATGTAAAGCGCATTGCTGACTGTTTGCATTGCAGATCGAACTCTTGATTATACCCCACCTTCCGCGCAATGGTTCTACACAACCCCAACAACTGGCATTGGGTCAATAAGGATGTGTCGGGCTGGACGCGTGAATGGCTCGACACAGAACTCCCGCAGATCTCAGCTGAGCAGGATGGCGTTACTGCGAAGATTGACAAGGTGTCCAGCATGGACGGAGATGTTGATGTGAGCCAGCGCAAGGGCAAGGTCATTACTCTGTTTGACGTTAAGCTGAAGCTGGAGTACTCTGGTAAGCCAGGTTGTTCTCGTTGCGTATGTTCAGCCGACTGACTCAGTCGGCAGGCAAAAACAAAGAGGGCGAGGAGGCCAGCGGTACTATCATGATTCCTGAGGTTGCACATGACACGGAGGAAGACGAGTATGTCGTACGTTCCCTTCGCTCACATCCATTGACATTTTCCCCTTCATGCCTTAGCATGCATACTGACCAGCATAAAGTTTGATGTAGACGTCTATTCCGAAGATGCGAGCAAACAACCTGTCAAGGATCTTGTACGATCCAAGGTTCTCCCACAACTTCGCAAGAGCCTCGCAAAACTCGGCCCTGCTGTCATGGCTGAGCACGGCAAAGACATACAGCATGCACCCGGCTCTAACCCATCGATCGGCTTTTCGACCCCCAAGGTCTACTCCAGCTCGAGCGTGAACAAGTCGACTAGCTCAAAGACCGAGAGCGGCTCCCAGAAGACTAGCACCGGCTCGGTCGTCAACGTCACCACGATCAACGACAGCACCGAGTTCCGCACTACTGCTGCCGAGTTGTTCCAGACGTTCACAGATCCCCAGCGTATCGCTGCGTTCACTCGCGCCCCACCTAAGACTTTCACTGGTGCTAAGCCTGGCGGCACCTTTGAGCTGTTTGGAGGGAATGTTAGCGGAGAGTACACTGAGTTGGAGGAGCCCAAGCATATTGTCCAGAAATGGCGACTTGCACAATGGCCCGCTGGCCACTTCTCAACCCTGTCGATTTGGTTCGATCAGAACGATGTCGACGCGGTGACAGTCATGAGAGTTGAGTGGAAGGGCGTCCCGGTTGGCCAGGAGGAGCCGACCAAGACCAACTGGGACCAGTACTACGTCCGCAGTATCAAGACTACCTTTGGGTTTGGTACGGTGTTGTGAGAACAGAGGATGAGGAATACATCGTCGCTACCTGGAACATGGAGCACGAGCAACGAATGATTTACGATGTGAACGAAGTGATGGATATATCGAGTGAGCAGAGACACAGTCGAATATTAGATGGAAGAATTATACCCCGAAAGTTCTCACTCAATGTTAGCGCCTTACTTTCAAGGCGATTCATACAGCAGGTTTGCACACAGCAAAATAGGGAATTAAGACCAGGCCCTAAGGCAAAAGATAGCCGGCTGCAAACCAAAGGTAGTGCGATTTTGGGCAGGTGTTCATTGCTTGACTGCGGACATCTTGCAACATGATAAGATTTTTGCCGGCTACAGCGATTTTGCTGATGTAGCCGCCAGAACTGCAAGAACACTCCAGAACACAATTTCGCTTATCCTAATACTTTTCGTCACTGTAGAGCTCGTGTCGCCAGGTCTTGCTCACAAAAGAACGATCTAATAACGGCGAAAGCCGTAGCTGAGAGCAACACAGTCGGAGAAATGCCGCGATTACGGTGGGACAAGACGTACGAAGAGATCTTCGATAAGTGATATTTTTAGAATGGTTTTCGGCCAGTAGCTGACTGTACTGCCATACCGGCGGAATTGGTCACGGGGAGAAGACTCTTGACATGGAACTATCGCAGTGAGGTATTGGTCTCGGTTATTTGGTTCTACCGTGAACGCACTCATAGTCACTCATGCGCAAAGTGCATCGTGCTGCTTCCTTTGTTTCGATGGGGCAGTGACTTCCCATCGCGAGGTAGTTGTCATGCTACGGGACCCAAATTGCATAAACAGTGCCAGCCAACGATCCATCAACAATAGCGTGATCCTGGTAACAAGGAAACAAGTGTCCCTGGCTACGAAGATACGAAGGAGCCGGTTTTTGGGCAAGGGATCGTTTTGGTGGCCAGTGCACCGGAGCTGTTCCATCACTGGGTGAAAGCCAGCTCCTCCCTAGACATTGCGTTTCGCCAACGTACGCGGGTTGTCGCCCACCACTCTTCTTGTATCCTATCGCCACCCATGATTTGCTGCATGCCCTGTTGACCAACTGTTAATCCCTGTCAATCATACGCGTGACTGTGTATCGACTTTGTCCTAGAGATTTCAGCACGTGCAGGTTAGACACGGCTCTCAACCCTGATTTCGGCACCTTGCGGAACTGTCCCGAGCGATTCCAGGAGTGGTGTCAAGCCTCACAAGCTCACCAAGCTCACCAAGCTTCAAGCTCAGCTTCCCCTAGCGCGGGGTAGCTCCAAGCTGCCGGTACCCTCACAACTAGGTATCGACAATGGTTACGGCTGCCGTCCGACGCGAAAAACAAATCCACACCCTTGACGACCTCCAGAGCTTATGCCTGAGCAAGATAAAAAACTTACATAGTTGCAATGCCGCCGTTGAAGTCTCCTCATATCCGGGTTCGGTGATTATCTTGGAAGTTTCGGTATTACAACTATGACGTCCGTACACGTCTAGGTATCTGCTTAACCGTTAAAGGAAGGTAGGAGGATCTGCGGCCTGCCTATCGTAATGCGGCCGTATCATGCACGGTGCAGACAAGCTGCCATGACTACAAATAAGATGCCTGGAATGGAGCGGATTTTGACCCAGTTTGCGGACTGGAATTGGCTTCGGACGCTTCAGAAACGGCTCAGCTCTACACCTCAAGTATCAGTTCACGACAAAGCTCAGTATGCTAAAGCTCTACGCTACTCTGCCTTTGTTGGTGGCCAGCCTTACTGCAGCACAATTTGTCCCAGCACCGACCGATCTCACGACCAAGGAAGGGTACGCTGGTATTAACGTGCGGTACAAGCAGGTCCCAGAGGGTATCTGCGAGCTTGATCCCAACGTAAAGAGCTACTCTGGATACGCAGACGTTGGCAAAGATCAGCATGTCTTCTGGTGGTTCTTTGAGGCGCGCAATCAGGATCCAAGTGAAGCTCCATTGACCGTCTGGGTGAGTACATGCCAATTGCTATAAAAGTACTGCACACTAACACTGCGCTTCAGATCAATGGCGGACCTGGAAGCTCCTCGATGATTGGACTCTTCCAGGAGTTGGGGCCTTGCGGCGTTGGACCAGATCTGAAGCCGTTTAACAACCCGTACTCGTGGTCAAACGCTAGCAATATGCTTTTCATAGACCAACCTACACAAGTTGGCTTCTCATACTCGGTTCCCATTCCCGGTTACATGGACAACAGCGGCGACATCATCCAACTCCCGGATGCAACTTGCCCTGACTATGCGGAGGCCTACGGTACATGCGGAACCTACTCAAAGCCCGACCTCACTTTGACAGCCAATACCACCCAAGGGGCCGCGCCAAATATGTGGAAAACGCTACAGGGTTTCATGGGTGCTTTCCCTCAGTACTCGCGCAATGGGTTCAACTTCGCGACTGAAAGTTACGGCGGTCACTATGCACCAGTGTTCAATGGTTCGTCACCCTCATGAAGATCATTAGTGATTACATTCTAATTCTTCGAAGCCTACTTCCTTGACCAGAACGCGAAGAACATCACTGGCGCGCACAAGATCGATCTCGAGAACGTCTTGATTGGCAACGGTTGGCTCGACCCGCTCATCCAGTATCAAGCATACTACAACTACTCCGTCTTCCCCGGTAACACCTACGATTACGATCCGTATAATGCCTCGGTCAAGGCCGAATGGTACAACAACATGTACGGAGCGAACAACTGCTATGACATGACCAAGCAATGCTACGCCACTGGTGAGAATGCAGTCTGTTCCCGGGCAGACAACTTCTGCGCCACCACGGTCGAAAATCTGTACGACATTTACAGTGGGCGAGATGAGTACGACATGCGCTACCTGACACCGGCTCCATTCCCATACAGCTACTTTCCCCAATACTTGAACACGCCTGCAGTCCAGACAGCCATTGGAGCATACCAGAATTTCTCGACAGGCTCTGGCGCTGTGTCTTCTGCCTTTGGCAGCACCGGCGACGACGATCGTGAGTCTGGCACAATCGAGGCCTGCCAGAAATTGCTTGCCGCTGGTGTCCAGGTCATGCTCTACTATGGGGATGCTGACTTCAACTGCAACTGGCTTGGTGGGCAGGGTGTCGCAGATGAGATTGCAGCACCCGGTTATGACACTGCAGGCTTCGTCAACATCTCCACATCCGACAAGATCGTTCACGGTCAGGTCAAGCAGTCCGGACTTTTCTCCTTCGTCCGTATCTACGAGTCAGGCCACGAAGTGCCGTTTTACCAGCCTTTGGCATCGCTTGAGATTTTCCAGCGCGCGTTGAAGCAGGTCGACATTGCTACAGGCCAGTACAAGGTCGATGTTGGGTACAAGACAGTTGGTACACCAACAAGTACGTATCGCGAAGGTAATGGAACCATCCAATTTGACGTCACGCCGGCGAACGCGACTTACAACACTATGCTCAATGCTCCAGACCCAGAGCCAACATGGGCTGTGGATGCTGCAGCAAAGTCCAAGGTGAAGCGGTCGAGGGCTAGAGAAGGCCGACCAAGCATGGCGCTGCTCAGAAGGCGATCTACATGAAGATCAGCGCTACATGACCCATAGCCACATTTTGATAGTTGACCACAGATAATGCAACATGCGTTTCAGATATAACATGCAGGGTGAATCGTGGAGGTCGTCGTGACCCGACGCTCTCCCACACCGGCCTTTTAGTCAGCTCGCACGACGTTGACGCTAGCCCGAGCCCTCGGCGCCATTACCGGAATTGAAGTCGATCAACAACATCTTGTAGCCGCAATGCTGCCCCACTGCTCAAGGAAAGTCAATAGGTATACATAGTAGAGCCGGCCATATAGAACTAGCGCGCCGTTGTCCTCGTACCGATTGTCCTCGTACCGAGCATCAGAGCAAAGCAACGCAAAACGCGTCGTGCTGGACACATGCAAGGATGGTGAGCAAAGGCATTGATCCCTGCCTTCGGAGATGCATGAAGCCTTGGAACGGTGTTGAGAATCGCATCATTGGCAGTCGCAGTGCGTGTCGAACACGAACTCTCCGCAGCTTCCCATGCCACGCTCACTCGACGCTCCTCACACCCTCTGCACGACCGCGACCAGACATCCAGCAGCAACAAGTCCGAGATTGACGTGTCGCGTTGCCCCACATCAGGTCCCTAGAGGCGTTTCCCAGCATCGTGCGACGCCTGAGGTGTGCAGACTTCGCCGGTTCCAGTCGCTGGTCGATTTTCTCCTTGCACCTGCTGCGCCCTCGACATAGCCTGCGATGGTGTCTGCTGGTGCATGGCCCCGCTGACAGGCGTCTTCGCCTGTGTCATACCCGTGCCTCTGGTCGCCAGCCCTGTCTGCGGCCGCGCGGAAGCAACGCAATAGCGGAGGACGAGTCCACACCACATCCCAGCTATGGCGCCCACGAGCATGTTCTCATACCTCAGGCCAGGTCATGCAAAGCGCAATGCCTCGAGCCTGGCCTCCCCAGATCCTGTCTCCAGCCCCGCCGCCGTCCCGCTGCCGTCGCCGTCGCCGTCGCAGAACACCGAGTATTTCGCATCGCCGCGCATACCAGATAATGCAAGCTTCACCTCTGGCTCGCCCATATCGCCATACCCGCCGCAGCTCCCGCCCATAACACGCGTCGCCTCCAAGCTAGACCAGGCCAGGGCTACACAGAGCTCTCCGCGCCCTGCAGATCAGCGCGCGCTCAGCACAGGGGGGTCCAACAGCCAGTTAGCGCAGGATCGCGGCATGCTGTCCCCGCCGCAGCGCACACACGGACAGTTGTATCCCAGTCAAGAGGAGAAGAAGCCTCCGTTCTTGCGTTCCAGAACAGATATTACCCCCACAGGCCTCCGCCCGCAGGGACTGGGCATCTCACATAAGCCAGATCCCATCCACGCCGCAGAGATACCCTCTCAATCGTCGATGCACCTCACGCCTTCCCTCACATCCCCTGGCTATGCGAGCCACTCCAAGTCGCAGACCTCACTCATGAGTGGTCTGACGGAGAAGCTGTCTGGCAGCTCCAAGGCAGCATCGACACCCACGGCTGCGCCTGGCAAGGCCAAGTCACGACTCAGGAACCCTATGTCCTTGCTTATGCGGCGAAGATCAGGCCAGACACTCGACCCCCTCCACGACGAGTCCCTAGTTACTCAACGCTCGCCTTCGTTTGTCCCACCGATTCGCGATAACTACGACCCCAGCATCCGAGGCAACATTGTCCACGACTTCAATGCGCCCAGGCTGAACAGGAACTTCTCGTACAACAATGCATATGGTAGTAGTCCAGTACTGCCTGGTACTTCTGGCGAGGTAGGCAGGGTCAGCCCACCCAAGATCGAGAAAGAGCATACTCCAGTCTTCCGGGAGCATTTTGACGATGACACGAGTTACGAGCAATCGCAAGCAGCTGTCCGAGCTGAGCAGCTGGCCAACAACGATTTCGTAGCGCGGAACTCGATGTTGTTACTCTCCGAGCCCTCGCCGCCAGAATCATTGCCTGCACCCAGAGTAGCACCCCAGCAGGACACGAAACCAACTCCAGAAGACACATTCTCAGAGCCTCTACCGCAATTCGTCTCGCCACCTCCTCCACCGCCCTACCAAGCTACTGATCATACCGCTGCGGTCCTGTCTCCTGTTGAGGAGATACCCAGCCCTACATATGCGCCAACAGATGATACCCCAAAGGCAAAAAAGTCAACGAAAAGTCCGCCACCAGCACGGTCTCGAGCCACTTCGATTACCGACCCGCCATGGCAACCAGCGGGGTTGCCAGCACATCTCAGCAGCCGAGCTTCAAGATTTAGCTTCCAGATCAACGGTAGTAGCGACTCGACACAGGAGCACGTCATGGAAGAGAGGCACAGGAAGAAAGCAGCAGAGAAGGCATCGGAGCAGGCCCACTTGTCAACGAACACAATCGAAGATGAGTATGACGAGTATGGCGTGGACGATGATTTCGACATGGATGGCGGTTATGAAGAAGAAATACCCATGCTGGGAGAGGAGGACGAGTTTGGTGGGCTGGGCGACCAAAGCATTAACGATGGTATCAGCACTTTCGATTTCTCGACATTGTCCGTTAATCCCGGTATGATGTACCAGATGAGCTCCATGCCACTAAGCGGCCAATTACAGACCCCTTACGACATGAACGGCAACCCCATAGGATTTGCGACGTCTGGCGGAATACCACCAAAGCAGTCGGACGAGAACGATAGGTATCTGAACCCAGAAGAGGACGACGATGACGAAGCGCAGCCATCGATTGCCCCTCAGCAGAAACCCAAGCTCGCTTCTAGACAAGCTCCATTGGACTCAGGTGGTCCGGAACTGAATTCAAGCAACGACCCCAGTCCAGATGACAACGGCCTCGATGACGATATGTACTTCGATGACGGCTTAATTGGCGAACAGGATCTTGGCGATACACCTGCATTCGACGAGGAGACCTTCGATGACCCTGAGGGCCCGTTGTATGAGAGGAAGATGAAGTCAGCACCAGCCGAGGATACACCTTCGTCTCAACCACTGCAGGCATTGCCCTCTGAAACAGGGTACGAAGCAGACGACGACACCTTGTCTAGGCACCTGGAGAAGTCGGAACCTTCGTTGGCTCACAAGACGTCTGTTGCGCATGCCCCGGCCGGACCGACAATGTTCAACTTCAACGACATGAGCTCATACCATACTGCGCTCGTTGATGCAGCGAATCGAGCCGAAGCAGCAGGCCGGTTTGCACGAAAAGCGAGTGTCGATGTCGGCAATTCAAGCTCTGAGCTTGATGATGGATCGTCAATCAATCTCTCGCGCCCGAGTTTAGTACCTGACGATGGTCGGTTTAGCCTGGACACAGTCGGCTTCCCACAGGATGACGACGTGTACGGAACGGACATGAGCTTCCAGGACGATTATGACTACAGTGACTACGACTCGGCCCTCGAGAACGACCCGATGATTGCGGCTGCTAACGCTGAGGCGTTGGCTTACGACGACGAAGGATTCTATGGGAGCGAATTCGGCTTCTACGCAGCAGCTGGCGATGCACAAAGCGAGTGGGGCGGTGTCTTCGCCTCGGGGCTCAACCGCGCTGTCAGTGGACGCAATGCTGTAAGGGAGCCAAATTTGACTCCCATCACGGAACGAAGCGAGTACAGTACGCGCAACTCTTTTATCAGTCTGAACCATTTCCGTGATGGGTCACTACCGGTTGCAAGTCCTGGGCTTGCTCAGTTGGCGCGCCTGAGTCCCTACGAATGGCCTGCTGAGGAAGAGAATATGAGTCTCGACGCTCTTATGAAGTTGCGGAAAGGTGCGTTTGGTGGGAGTGTATCAAGTCTGCCCAGCAGTGCGGCAAATAGCCCGCGCAACTCTTCACCTTTTGGCATGCAGTTTGCGCCAAGGGCCGGTAGTGCGGCCGGCAACCGTATGCAAGAGCAGTACGATTGTAAGATTGTAAGCGACGAGTCAGCAAATGTCGCGGATGGCTTGGAAGATGAAGAAGAAGACGATGGTTTCATGGACGCAGTCGACGGAGCTCACGGAGATGAAGGTGGTGGGAAAAGCGATGGAGATGAACGCCCCGAGAGTCCTACGCTCACAGCGAGCGACTACAACTCCCTCTCAAGCCCCAGCCGTCTTCAAGACCTTCCGCCCTTCCCGCCACCGCTGCAGCCTCAGATTCTGCAGATGCAAAGCCTGTATATGCAGCCTCCGTCTCACCTAGCGTTGGCTATGAAGTCGCCTGCAAACATTGCTCTGCCGATGTCGCCGTTTGGCATGCCGCTACCATCCCCGTTCACGATGAGCCAGCATCCAGCGTCGCCACCACCTATCGATACATCGCTCTCTTCTCCTACGGCTACATCGTCGAGCGGTCCACGACGTCAGTCTGTCGGTTTCGCGTCACCCATATCAGCAACATCGCCCATGACGCCTGGTGGAAGTGGCTGGAGAGGTGGACATTCGCGTAAGGGCAGTGCAGCCGACAGCGTTACGTATGTACGTGAGCACGACGAGGCCGGCGAAGGTCGATGGGTCCTCGAGAGAAGACGCACCGCTGAGAGCGGAGAGCTAGAGCTGATTGGGAGGGAGATTGTAGAAGGTGGAAGAATATGATACCCAGCTTCGGCGCGGTCGAAAGAGGCAGGATCGTTATTGCTTTGGCATTCAAGGCGTTTGAGCGATTTTGGAACCATCAATGCTTGTATGGTATGACAGGCTGGCCCTCTTTATCGTATCAGAAATACCCATAGCATAGGCCGATATTGAATGAAACCATGCATGAGATGGTGAACTCAACGAGTACTGCCCCACCATGCAATTGGTTTGAGCTCATGGCTGTACGCTGTTGACATGCCACAAGCGCACCAGATGCTATGTACACCGAGGCTCGGAAATCTTCGCGCCTCAGAAAGTACGGGTGCTACTCTTGTATCCTGTCATCTTCTACCTGTAGTGGCGGGTACAGCCGCAACGAACCTTCGGCCCAAACATCGCCCCTGCGTCTAGGCTCATTGTTGACGTCTGTCGCTACTTCCTTCAAGACAAGACTTCTAACCTTCTAGAACATCGATATTCGAAGCCTTGAAGCCCAAACAAACTCCCCACAGCTTGTAGCAAATTCTTCTCCACAACTCTTCCCCAATCATGCGACGCGTCATTGCCAAGCAAGGAGCCTGCCGAATCCCGCGCCCCTTTACCGCATTGGTGGTGCCCGCGGCTTGTAACCAAGAAACTTGAGATACAGACAACAGCCGTTGGGGGGCGTTTCTTGCAAGGCAGGGCGCCAATAATAATGAAGAGCGCAACGTAGACATTGTGTTCTCTTGGCTTTCTGGGCCGTTGTTGCAACACCACACTCCTTGTCACCTTGTTTCTTTCTCACAGACAAATCCGGCGATTCTGCTTTGCAGGCCTGGCATGATGGCACGCCCGCTTAACTCGAGCCTCATCTTTGACAAACGAGTGCTCATGGGTCTCTGCGCCCTCGTGATCCTCACATTTACGTTCGCCTTCCTCTACTCACCAGATCTGCGGCCGAGCTCCGACTGGATACCTCCGCTGTCCTCGAAACCCACACCCGTCTTCTCGATACCGCCGAAGAACGCACAAGATCCGAACATCGTCGAACTCGACTACCTCGCCATCCAACCCAATGTCACGGACAAGGTGCGCTCATACTGGAACATTCCATACGCAGCGACTGCAGGCGGCAAGAATAGGTTTCGTGGGCCGCAGCCAGTAAACAGGACATATGGCATTGGAAGGAAAGAGAAGCCGCTCGTATGGAAGGGGGACCTAGGCATGTGCCCGCGCATCCAGAAGATCGATCCGAACCTGAGGAACAGGGAGGACATCGCCGGCGAAGACGTTGTGGGCATCTTCGCAGACAAGACTGAGGACTGCCTGAGTCTGAACGTATTCACGCCATTCGATGCTGAGGCTGGCGATGATCTGCCGGTTCTGGTTAACATTCCCGGTGGTGGTTTTCACCTGCCTGGCAGGAGTAACGGCGGTGAGATGGTAGAGAAGGCCAGAAAGGAGAAGGGGCGGAACGGCAAGCTAGACAAGGGCATTGTCGTGGTGACGATGTACTACCGCAACGGTATCTATGGCTTTCTTTCTGGCAAGGAGATTGCAGAAGATGGGGATTACAACAACGCGCTCAGAGACCAGAGGGCCGCGCTGGAGTGGGTGCAGAAGTACATTCGCTACTTTGGCGGCAACCCCGACCATGTTGTTATCATGGGTACCAGTGCTGGAGGTGCTTCGGTGCTGCTACAACTCACTGCCAACGAGGGCGACAACCGCGCCCCCATCCCAGGAACAGGCAGAAAACCCCTATTCCACGGTGCCATCGCCCAGAGTCCCGCGAGTCCAACCTTCTTTACACCAACGCAAGCCGAGAAGTTCTACAACGAAGTTGCTGATGGGCTCAACTGCACCGATATCACTTGTGTCCGCAACGCCTCCCCTGGCGACTTATACTACGAGAACTACCCGATGAACTTCCCCGGTCGCGAGACACCCCCACGCTGGATGTGGGCACCCACCACTGAGCCTGCTGGCGGGATGTGGACTGAGCCTGCACCGGCAGCCATCATCCATAACCGATATGCCAAGGTCCCCACCATCATTGGCTACACGTCAAACGAAGGCTCGGACCAGGTCAAGAAGACAACCGACACGCTCGGCGAGTTCAAGAGCTACCTCAAAGATCACTACCCACTCCTCACCGACGACGATCTCGATCTCCTTGCCAAAACATACCCGAACGACCGACACTGGCCTGACAGTGGAAGGTACTGGGATGCAGTAGCTAAGGCGCAGGGTGAGATTCGCTACATCTGCCCGACATACCTTGCCTCGAATGCTATGGGCACATACAACCCTGGCAATGTGGCAACATATCAGTATCAGTGGGACGTCATGTGGGGCGTCGATATCGAGAACGGCTTCGGCACCAAGCACGCTGGCACAGTCGGTCAGGTCATGGTGCGCCGCCACAACGAGATCTCCGATTACTTCCTCAGCTTCGTCAAGTACCTCGATCCCAACGTCGAGAAGGGCAAGGATACGCCTACTTGGGAGAAGCTGGATGACAAGAAGAGGCGTCTATTCTTTACCAACATCAAGGAGGGCGGCAAGCGCGGCGATGGCACAAACATGCTCGGCAAGATGCGCATGTGGATGGAGAGCGTGGACGAGAAGAGAGAGGCGAGCTGTGGCATCATTAGGGGGTTGATGAAGAGGCTGCAGATGGAAGGCGTCGAGGCCCTAACGCTGGACGAGTAGACGCATCGTTCACGATCTTTTTCCTTCTCCCGCTGTGTACACCTGGGCATATTGAGCATTGATAGGCGTTTACATAGATGCCTCGTCGTACGCGATGCGCGGCTGTACGAATTCGATTTCTTTGTTCTACCACAGGGCTCTCGCGTGTATGCAGGGCCCGGCCCTCAGCAGATTGGTGAGGCATGACAATGTACACGGAGGCAGTCAATGTTGCGAAAGCTCACTTCTTAGCTCAACTTTGACTCCAACTTCGACCACACCAACTCGACGCAATCATGAGTACACCATGCACAAGCCTGGCATTCGAAGTACACCGCTATAAACACTGTCTGTGCCTGCAGGTCTTCCTCCAGTCTCTACGGTCCGGACGGACTCACTTTTGTTCTCTCTCTGGACTCACCTGAGCGCCAAGCTTCGCAAACATGGCGCGGTGGATCTCTCACCTCTGGCTACTTGACCATGGTCTCCACGCGTTGCGACCCCTATGAAGAAAGCTTTACAGAGACACGAAGCGATTCTGGAAGCTAAGCAAGAGATGCGCGAGCGAGCAAAGCCTCAAGCGACTCGTCAAAAAAGTCCGCGCTTTGAACCGGATCACACTGCACCACCGGTCACACGCGAGCCACAACACCACCACGAAAGTGAGGTCAGAGTCGAGGAGTCTGTGCCGCTGATCGATCCATTAAGAGATCCACAAAGGACCCCACGAGTCGCTCAGGCGCCCCTACTAGATGCAACATGTCGCAAAAGAAAGGGTGTATTAGTTGACAATGGCTGTTCGGGATTGGAGCTGACCTCGATAACAGCAGGAGAGATTTCGGACGAAGATCGACGCGAACTGAGGCTGTCGCACCGTTGCAGACCTTGGTCGAGAGAGGGAAGGTCGAGTGGCGTTTGACGGATCCAGGCCTGCAATGCTCATAGTGCTCATAGTGCTCATAGTGCTCATCATGCTCATCATGCTCATCATGCTCATCATGCTCATCATGCTCATCATGCTCATCATGCTCATCATGCTCATCATGCTTATAGCGCTCATCGTGCTCATAGTCCGAACATGGCCGTTTGAAGGGTTAGCACCTGCTCTTTTTCTTTTCCTGAAGTAGCACGGAGGTGGCCGTCGTGTTAGCAGGCCGTCGTATTAGCAGGCCGTCGTATTAGCAGGCCGTCGTGTTAGCAGGCCGTCGTATTAGCAGGCCGTCGTGTTAGCAGGCCAGAGGGGTAGGTCAGCAAGGACGAGCATGCATGCACATGCTCTCCCCATCAGGGCAGACGTTGATAGCGCTCCTCACAAAAAGCAAACTTGCCGTCATCGGCTCTGATTCGCTCATACAGGGTGCCTATCTACCGTAACCCCATCTACCGTAACCCCATCTACCGTAACCCATGCCATTCGCCCGACGTCCCGTCATCGGAGACGCCCGACGCCTCACATGCCGGTCCCGCCCGGTCCGAAGAAAAACCCATCGAACAGATCCAACCCATTCCCGTCGCTCCAATCGTGCGTCCCATCGCCAAAGCCCATGCCGAACCCGATGCCCACGTCCTGCGTCGCGGCGCCGTCGGCCATGCTGGACGCGCTGCCCTGGACGGGGAAGCTGTCGAGGAAGTCGAGATCGTTGTGGAACCCGAGATCCGGGTAGGCCGAGGACATGGACTGGCTCTGGGGGTAGGCCTGGTAGGGCAGGGCTGCGGACAGTTGGTAGGGCGAGGGGAGAGGCTGGGGCGGGGACTGGGAGATTGGGGGGGAGAGAGCGGGTGCTGCTGACGGGAAGGGCTGCTGTTGCTGCGGGCTGGGGATGGGCTGCTGTTGCTGCGGGCTGGGGATGGTCTGGTGTTGCCGCGGGCTGGGGATGGTCTGGTGTTGCTGCGGGCTGGGGATGGTCTGGGCGGGGTTCTGCGCGAAGCCGAAGCCTTGTGTGCGTAGTTGTGGGGAGATTTTCAGGTCGGCCGTGAATTGCAGTCCGTTCTCGGGCTTCATGGGGGTGGGTGGGGGCCGCATTGTGTTGACCTGATTCGATACCCGGCTAAAGGAGCGCTTGTCTGTTTCGTCTTCGGAGAAGAGGTCCTTCAGGTTCATGTCGAATCTTGGCACGGGCTTGCGGGATTGGTGCGGGTGTTGGTTGAAGTAGGTTGTGTTGCGTGAGTAGGCCTGCATGTCTGCGCTGGACTGCCCATCGGTGTCTGATGCAGCCGTGTATGCTGTGGTTGGTGAGTGTGATGCTTGGGGGTAGTGTTGCTGGGAGAGAGGGAGTGTGCGGAGGGCCGGAGGGCCGAAGCCAGTTGTTGACATGCACATCTGGATCGTGGCTTTGCTCATTCGGTCAAAAGCATCGCGACAGGCCTCCGCGGGCGGGCATTTGTCGATGAGATCACCCAGGACCGAGGTCGCGGCCAATACGGTGAAGTCGACGTCATCCAGGGACTGCAGGGTCGAGTTAGTGTGGCTCAGAGGAGAGTGTGGCTCAGAGAAGAGTGTGGCCCAGAGAAGAGTGTGGCCCAGAGAAGAGTGTGGCCCAGAGAAGAGTGTGGCCCAGAGAAGAGTGTGTCAAGACGGGTCGTCAGACTTACCAGCAAGCTGCGGACATGAACGCTGTGCCACACAGCATACAAAAAGGATATCCCTGGTGTCTGAGTCAGCAACGTCACGATGCACGGCGAAGAGCACTTGCCAGCCATGAACAGGTGATGGGTCGCCAGGAAGGTGTAGTTGACGAGGTGTACACGGTGGAGCTGCCTGTAGAGCTTCAGGACCTTTTGGCCGGCCTCGGCCACCTTGAGGAACACCAGGTCCTCGTCTTCACGCTCGTCCAAGCTGACCACGGACGGACTGCCGACATCAGAGCCGGTCGTGCCAAGCACCCCTTCCAGGCCTGACGGGACCACCAGACTCTGTCTGTACAGCATGATGACGGCCTGCCAGTAGTTCAGCTCCAGGAAGAGGGGCGAAAACTGGACACCAGCGTCCCGCTGGGTCGGAGCCGAGTCCTTCCATTCGTGCAGACGCCTGTCGATGTCGGCGCGCCAGGCGCGGAAGGAGTCAAACTTGGCGAGGAACGGCGACGGCAGCTTGGTGTGCATAAACTCGTTGCGCTGATTCGCGCCGCTCGCCCTGGCCTGCTGGGCTTGACGGTGGTGCAGAACCTGCAGGATCTCCGACTGAAGCAACCGCAGGCGGAAGTAATGGTGCGCAACCACCTTGTACGTCGGCCTCTCCAGATGCGGCGGGGGATCGAGGAAACCTTCCTTTGTGATGAAGCGATCATCGAGCAGTGACGGGAACTCGGTCGTGACGATCTGGTCTGTGATGCCCTGTCCAAGTCAGTGGTGCGTCGCACATGGAGGTCAGACCGCGGGTCCCCAACGGGCAAGAGCAGCGGATGGCAGACACGGGATGCTACTCACAAACGGCCTGCCGACGCAGGTACTGACGAGCCTGTCGACCGAGTACACGCACCACCACAGCCGCCGTCGCAGGTCTCTGACCCACTGTCTGCGGCCCCTCTCCTTTGCATCAATCTTGGCCGTGTTGGTGCCGCCGGCGGCCGCCGACTCGGCGTCCTCGTCTGCAGGACGCTCGCTCTTGAGGCCCTCGGAGCGGCCCTCGGAGCGGCCCTCGGAGCGGCCCTCGGAGCCTGACCCGTCAATGCCCGCTCCGTCCTCGTAGTGCAGCCCCAGATCGACGCCGAGGCGGACAGCGACTCCTACAATGTACCACAGGCCAGGAGCAACGGGCCTCAGCAGGGCGAAGCCTGCCAGCAGCAGCACGGCCTGCAGCTCCTCCAGGCCGCCGCCAAAGCCGTCGGGGCGGTCGGCGGCGGGAGAGGAACCCAGAAAGTTCTCGAGGTGCACAATGGCCGAGGCGTGGTACTCCTCGGGCTGGTGCTGGTGGCCCGCCAGACGGCGCTTCTTCGAGTGCGGCGGAGACGAGCGCGACTTGTTCGGCGAGGCGGACCCGTCGTCGGTCGGCGAGTCGTCGGCGTCGGAGCTGCCCAGGATGATGCCGGCGCCGATGGCGAAGACAATGTTCAGCATGTACGACTCGCGCGAGGTGCGATGGCGGTCGGCGTTGGCGTAGACGCGGTCGAACATGTCCATGAACTCGCCGCGGTGCAGGATGGGGATCTGCGGGTTCGCGTGCTCAAAGTACAGCTCGACGAGACGCCCGGCCAGCTCGCGGTCGGGAAAGGGCGCGTGGCGGAAGGTGGGCTTGGTGTGCAGGCCGAAGAACGAGTCGCGCATCGAGGCGCCGCCGTCGACGACGTGGGCCGGCGCCGCCGTGGTCCGGCCGCCGCGGTTGCTGCCGCGCTCCGACGACGCGCCCGAGACGGAGCTCTTGACGGCGGCGAAGACGACGCGGGCAAACGAGATGCCCGAGGTGGAGCCCAGGCGGTGCGGGTCGCTGGCGCCCTGGACCGAGACCATGCCAATGTGCGAGACCAGCTTGGTGAGCTTCTCGCGGTCGTACCGGTCGGGCTCGTCGCGCGGGGGCGAGGCGGCGGTAGAGGCGGCGGTAGAGGTGGCGGCGGCGGCGGCGGCGGCGGCGGGAGCGCCATTGCTGCGCGGGGCGGCGGCGTTCGCGGACTGGTGGGCGGGCGGGTTGAAGTCTTCGGCGGGCTGGCACGGCACGTCGTGGACGGCCAGCAGCGACTCGAGGTAGGCGACGCGGGTCTCGAGGTACCACACGTAGCTGCGCGGGATCTCGCGCTTTGTGATCGGGTCGTAGCCCACGCACTTGACGGCCGCCTTGTCGCACGACGCGCACGACGGCAGCCGCTGGTCGCAGCGGTTCTTGCGCAGGCGGCAGCGGTTGCAGGCGCTGACGTTGCGGAATGTCGACGACGCCGACGATGCTGCAGACGACGCGCTGCTCGCGGCGGCGGGCGCGGCGGCGGGCGCGGCGGGACTGGCGGCCGTGTGCGAGGCGGCCGTGTGCGAGGCGGCCGTGTGCGAGGCGGCCGTGTGCGAGACGGGCTTGTGCGAGACGGGCGTGTGCGAGACGGGCGTGTGCGAGGCGGGCTTGTGCTGTGCAGACGAGTCCGAGGGCGACGCTCCCTCGCCGTCATGAGCCTCGTCCAGAGAGCGCTTGAGGCCGCTCATCGGGGCGCATAGCACAACCGGCCTCGGGCTTCCACGCTGCGTCGCCGTCGCGGTCGGGGTCGGGGTCGGGGTCCGGGTTGGGGTCGGCGCGCAGAGTCCGTGCGAGTGCGAGTGCGAGTTCGAGTTCGAGTCGACGGCGGCAGCCGGGGGCGATTCTGCGCTTCTGCAGGCGGCGCCGAGTCGGTCGCGTCGTGTGCTGGTGTGCTTCTGCCATGGCGGCGCGACGCTCTCGACGGGCGCCTGGTCGCTGCATCGCTAGGCGGGCTAGTAGGCCTGTCCCGTCCTTTTTCCTTATCAGCGGCCCAGATAGCCTCGTCGCTGATTTGTGTCTGCCCTCGTCCCGTCTCAGCCCTGTCCACCCCACCACGACCGTGCGAGGCTGACCGAAGCAACTGCACACCGGCCGCCCTCGGCCAGTTGCGCTCCACAGTCTGGGGAAAGCACCGACTGCACCACCACCTACACTGCTTATGCTGCTCGTACTGCCTGCACCGCGCTGCTTGTACTGCCTGCACCGCGTTACTTGTACTGCCTGCACCGCGCTGCCTGTACTGCCTGCACCGCGCTGCTTGTACTGCCTGCACCGCGCTGCCTGTACTGCCTGCACCGTCTATACCACCTGCACTGCCTGCACCGCGCTGCCTGTACTGCCTGCACCGTCTATACCA